CCGAACAGGAATTGATTCGAATGCCTGAAAATGAGCTCTATGCCCAGTTGGTTGCTCTTCGGGAGCAAGTATCAGCTGGGCTGCCTCAAAGCCCTTCTATCATACCTACACTGGAATTAGATACCTCTCCCGAGAGTCCTTTTTTCCAAAGAAATGGTGCCAGATAAGACAAATGGAAGTTGCTAAAACATTCGAGGAATGCGATGAGGTTAACGACTGTATCTGGTTTTTGAAAAAGGGGTTAGAGTCATATGAACATCTCCAACATCGTCAGCAAAACCGACGCAAAAGACGTCAGAACCGCACTACAATCCAACCAGACAGCGACTTGAGTTCAATATCAGGAAGCGATGAAGCTGAGGCTACTTCAGATGAAGAGGGCCTTGTTGTTATGCGGAAAAAGCAAGCACAAGTGGTGCGCAATATGGAAACTCGAGTCCATGAGCGCATTGAAGAATTTAAGCGAAGATATCCGCAATGGAAGAAGTCTTATGACCCTATCTTGAGGAAGTTGAATCGCCGTCTAGAAAGAGTTGAATAATAGATAAGAAGACAGTAGACCTCGTTGAAAACTCCATATAAATTCAAACCGCGCTATTAATGACTAGAGGGTGAACTTGTAGAAGACCTGAACTTAGAAGACCTAAAGGGGTGAACTTGTAGATATTTCACTATGAAAATCCCATAAAGCTAATTTCACAATTAACAACATACAGAAGAGATTATATACGAATAGAATATAGTATCTATCAGAAAATCATAAATGAACTATCAGAAAATTATAAATAAACTCTTCGAAGAGGATACATATATTCCGCCTATAATCCATAGTTAAAAACAGTAACCCAGCAACCCAGTAAAAGCAATATATCAGACAGTAAAATAGAATAATAATATAATTACAGCCCAGTATTTATTATAATTATTATCACCACGGCCCCAGCAATATAGAGCCGTTTATTTACGTACCCGAGTACCCATTTGTTATATATAAACCATACCAAATAGCCGTCGTATCCAACGAGGTAGTCCGTCATATGAAAGCACAGCATGCAGCAGATAACAAGGCCAAATACATCCACAACATCATCAAGGCCATCCCCGGGATCATCAGTAACCAAGAAGAGTTAAAGCAATGGTCAGTACCGCCCCCAACCACAGCCCCGATACCATGGTTGCCGCCACCCAAGCCGGACGGATTAGGATGTGATGAGTGTCCGTATGTGGCCCGTCAGTTGCGACGCATCAAACAGCATTATCGGGTTCATCATAGATGGATAAACCATCGGACACGCAGTCGGCGCACCAAGGAGTCCGCAGCAGCCGACCCGGCGGTGCCATGGAGAACAGGAGTGCAGTGTCAGCGGTTTTTCCGGAATCGGGTCGCCAGCAGTTGGTTCGAGGTCGGTCGGAGCATCCCATCAAGCAGCAGAGGGGACAGCCAGAACGACGTCAACCGCAAAGCCGAGTTTATTAAGCGCATTCAGCAAGAAGATAAAGAAGCGTTCGAAAGCGAGGCCAATGCCCGGGTCCAAGATATCAGCGACAAGTGGGAGGCGCAGCGATGGTTGAAACGATGCGGATGGCCCCGGCATTTGGCCAATATCGACAAGATGTGGTTGCGGAAGGAAGTGTTGCAGCCGATTGGCGAGAACGAGCCGGTATTGCAGACGATGTGGGAGATTTTCGAATGCGTATTGGACAATGCGTATGTGGCCACCAGCCGTTGCAGTCCCGGCACAGCCGAGTTGTTCGAGATGGAGCGGAAAGAGATTCACATCACGCCCAACAAGCCGTTTGAAGGGATTATGGAGCCAGACGCATGGATCCGGTACAAGGGGCATTGACGTACGATGATGTGTATTTGGGAGCGATTGCAGATATTGGATGGAACGCATGGGGACAGCGACAGCGACAACAGCACAGAGTACAGTACGGACGAAAGTGACGACGAAGATGCCCGTGGCAGCACAAGCGAAGAGAGCCGCAAGCCCGGAAGCCGGCGCGGGAGGAAACGGCCGCCGTACCGCACGACAATACAACAAGACAGGTCGTGGGCCCAGTTTTGCCAAGGAGTTGAGCAGGTTGTGGCCGGGACCGACACCATTGGCCGATATACAGAGTGTCGGTTGGAACGGAGTTGTTTAGACGCCGTCATCCAATTATTCGACCATCCATTGAAGAGCGGGCAGCATTACGAGAGTATCGTCATTAGTGCGTTGGCCGTCATGGGGGTTGAACCCGGACGGCGGATGGATACCGGTTGTGAATTACACCCAAGTATATTCAGCCGTCATCAAGGTGGCCCGGTATTTAGTGTTATACCAGTCCACATTGGAGCGGCAGGATCAGATCGCCCAGTTGCAGCAGGTTGTAGGTAAACGGAGGGCAAAGGAGAAGGCCGACGGGTTGTTCCGCATTATCCGAGGCAAGATGCGGCGGTTCATGACGCGGATATCCGATGACAAGGAAGCAGAGCCGACGCCGATGAATTGTATCATCGATACACGTTCGTACGGGTTGAAGATCCGATTTACGACCCCGGGCGAGGAGACGATCGATTGGCGAGGCGACCAGATTATTCACAAACGCGTGCGATTGGGGATGGGCACGTTATCCGATATGTTGCATAACGTATTGCAGGAGGCGCGGCGTATGTTGGCCGTGTTGACCATGACAGACACCGCCGCGCCGGGGACGGAGAGGCAGAGCCGGGGCAGAGCGTTTGCGCAGGTACGGCCGAGCCGTCGAGCAGTTCCGGGAGCAGATATGGATGATGATGCATATGTTGGGCGGGCAGCCGGCACGAGCCCCTAACCACTATTCCGCGGTCATCCAGTGCCATTCGGCGGCACTCGATGACCGCTCTGCGCACGGCCATTGGCCCGCGCCCCCCGGCCGCGGCCCCACCGGACCTCAGGGGCGGCACTTGATGACCGTTGGCACTTGATGACCGGTCTGCAGCCAATCAGAAGCCGGCTAGGGTTAAGGGTAAAAGGGGGAAAGAGGGAAAAGAAGGGCTAAGACAAAAGAGAGAGAGAGAAGAGAAAGAAGAGAGAGAGAGAGAAGAGAGAGAAAGAAGAGAGAGAGAAGAGAGAGGAGAGAGAGAGAGAGAGAGAGAGAGAAGAGAAGGAAGAGAAAAAGAAAGAGAGAAAGAGAGAGCAAGAAAAAGAGCCTTTCCTTCCTTCCTTCCTTCCTTCCTTCCTCCCTTAACTTCCCCTCCCCCCTCTCTCCCTCCCTCCCTCCCTCCTCCTCCCTCTCTCTCTCTCTCTCTCTCTCTCTTACTATGGATCAGCAGCAGCAGCAAGCAGCTATTACAGCAAGCCAGAGCTGGCTCTGCCACTTATCCCCACCTTCAGATCCTCATCTGCACCTCTCACGGCTATGCTATTACCGACCTGCCAAGCCACCTCCGCAAGCAGCATCCCGACCTCAGCCAGCCCCACTCGCCGGGCCCTTGCTGAATACTACAGCCAATAGAACCTCGAAGGACCTAGCTGCCGCCTGCAGCTGCAGCAGCTAGAGCCAGAAGGCCAGAGGGAGGGCGAGAAGAAGCAGGACCTTAGCAGTGCCGGCAGCAGAGGCACGGCAGCAGTAGCCCCCTTTGCTGGGCTTCCTGCCCACCCAGTATTCCGGTGCCGGAAATGCTCCAGCTTTATAACAGTTTAACTGGAAGCTCTGCCAAAACACACTGCAGCCAGCTCCATGCGTGCAGCAGCAAGCAGGCTCGAGCCGGCCTCTGGTATCGGGGCTCTAGCTCAGACCTTCTCACGCAGCCGGCAAGACGGGCCTACTTTGCAGTCGACCCAACTGCAGCTGCTGCAACAGCCGCCTCCTTCCTAAGCCTAGGCTGCTCGTTACACTCACACTCTGGCTCTTCTTCTTGCCCTTAAGCTCAAGCTCAAGCTCAAGCCTCAGTATAGAGTCTAGAGCAGAAGTACAGAGGCAGGGCAGAGGCAGCAGCAGCAGCAGCAGGCTCAGCTTGCAGCTACTATCCAGCAGCGATGGAGGCACGAGCAGGACGACCAGCTAGCAAGGCTGCTTCAGATAGCTAAAGATAGCATCCCCAAGCACGAGATTACCAACTGGCTGCGGCATACCGGCTGGCTCGATCACTTTGGCTGCCGAGACCTCAGCCGCATCCACGCCGCCAGCCAGATGCCGCAGCCAGCAGACGAGCCGGGCCTAGAGCTCCTTGTTAAAGCTCTAGACCACGTCTTCTTCCGCCGCTGCATCTCCGGCCTCCAGACGCTGCCGCATATCGGCCGGCTTCCTGGCCAGCCCTACTGCAGGAGACTCACAGCCGGCCCTTTGGGCCCCTGCAGGAAAAGGACAGCATGGATCGATATCTGCGCTATAGCAAGCGCTTCCTCTGCTACTGCCTCCGGGTTCGAACACTCGAGCCGGCCGAACTAGCCACACAGCACGCCCTTATCCTTACCCCAATGCAGCGAGGCCAGCTTGCGAGGCTTGCCCGTCGGCTCGAGCAGGCTGTAGCTGCAGGCTGCAGCTATAGGAGCGGCAACAACAGCGATGAGGACGAGGACGATGAGGGCTATAGCAACGGTCATAGCAATAGCAAGATAAGAGCCCAGGTTGAGGAAGAGGTCCTACAGACTCTAGCCAGCTTCTGGATGCAGCGCCTTCCTGCCGACCCCTTTGCGAGCCCGCTGTGGCATTTTGTCGCCGTCCTGGGGATCAACAAGCAAACCGGGCAGCTGCAGCCGGCCTATCTATTTACAGGCACTCTAGCCGGCCTCGTATATACAGGCCGAGCTGTTGTAGCCGAGGCGGCGATCCCCAGCAGCCAGCGGGCGGCACTAACAGATCTGCCCGAGCAACTGCATACAGCAAGAGAGAGCTGGCTATGTAAGACCAGCTTTGCACCAATGGGCTATATCTTGAGCCTGCTGCTCTACAGTCGGAAGATTGCAATGGAGACCGGCAGCCGGCTTGCAGTCTTGTGGAATGCTGAAGGAACCCTGCTTTACTACCACGGTCAGCCTCTTGCAATGGATACCATCCGGCAGCTAGTAGCTAGAATGACAGCAGATGCTGAAGATATGCTGTGGGAAAGGCTGCTATTCCGGCCCTCTAGCAGCAGCAGCACGACGACAGCAGCAGCAGCCGGGCTTGAAGCTCAAGGCCGCTTTCTCATCCCTCTAGCAGCTATTTGCGACGACCTGACTCAGACCCAGCGCGGCCACTCCTTTATGCATACAAACGGCCTGCTCGGGCGGGAAAAGGAAATGCTCCAGAGCCTTATAGCAGGCCCGCTACGGAAGGAGTTCCTCGACAGCAAGGGCGAGTGGAAATGGCCTCGGGTCCAGCGGTATTTACAGCAGGTTAAGCGCTTTCAAGAGCTGCTCCTGCTCCTCATCCATCTAACCAATCAGCCTCTTCGAGGGCCGGAAATCACCGGACTGCGGCTTGTCAACGGCATCAATCGGGACCGCAGCGTATTTATCATCGACGGCAAGGTCGTCTTAGTCAGCCAGTATCACAAATCCCTTGCCCACTTCGACAGCCCTAAGGTTATCCCTCGGATGCTGCCGGGCCGGGTTGGGCAGCTTCTGGTGATGTATATGCTTTACATCCGGCCCTTTACAGACCGGCTCGAGAGCAGCCGGCTAGCCCTCCGCGATGAGGTCTATCTGCCGAGCGACTTTATCTGGCATCAGCACGAGAAGCCCGGTACGCCCTGGAATAGCAATCAGCTGTCTCGAGCCCTCGCCAAATGGACCCAGCACTATATCGGCCAAAGGATTACGCTGCAGCAGTGGCGGCATATCGCTATTGCCGTCAGCCGGCGGCATACTCGCGCCCGAGGGCCCCAGAGGGGGTATTTCGGCGCAGCCGATCAGGCAGAGGAGGAGGAGGAAGAAGGCGAGAGCTACGAGGATGTCGAGGATCTAGCTGCTGCACACACAAGCCGTACGGCTGCTGGCTATGCAGTGACAATTGAGATCCTTAAGCGGCTGACCTCTGAGTCTCTAGAGGTCTTTGGCCAGGCTAGTCAGCGCTGGCACCGCTTTCTTGGCTGTATAGCGGAAGATGCTGCTGAGAAGACTCAAGATATAGAAGTACAGAAAGATAAAGAAGAAGAAGAAGGAGAAGAAGAAGAAAGAAAAAAAGAAGCAGCAGCAGCAACAGCTAGCATTAAGACAAAAGCAGCTAGGGCTCACCCCAGCACAAAAGAAACAGTTCGAGGGAAGAAAAGGAGTAGAGCCAGCTTGGAACTAAAGGGCGGAGCTGAAGGGCAGAAAGCCGCCAAAAGGATCCGGCCTCTAGGGCTGCTACAGACAGCCGGCTCGGCCGCAGTTGGAGCCTTAGACGACCGGCTCCTCCTGCAGACTCTACGGCAGGCCCTGCAGAATCCGGCAGCCGAGTTCCGCTCAGCAGCACAGAAGGAGGTGTGAACGGCCTCTAGTAGCTGGATTCCAGCTATCTAGTCCAGGATGCTATTTACATCAAAGATGAAGAAGAAAGAAAGAAGTTCCCAAATGCCCCTGAGCTGTGGAACGATTTCCCGTCCCTGGCGCGCACGAGCCTCGTACGTCTTGCGGCACAGCCGCAAGGATATGGGCCCTGGCCCGTGACAGGAGGCTATCCAGCTAGCCGCAGCCAAGCAGACTCCTCTTGTGGCCGTCCTGCCTACCGGTGCCGGCAAGAGCCTGATCTTTATGGTGCCGGCCCTTCTGACTGGAGCCGGCATGACAATTGTAGTTGCGCCCTATCGGGCGCTCAAGGACCAGCTTGTCAGCCGCTGTCAGGATGCCGGCCTGGACTGCCGGACCTGGCCAGAGGCTCAGGATTCCTGGCCTACAGTCACTATAGTATCAGCCGAGGCTGCTATCACTGATAGCTTCCTGCAGTGGGCAGCCGGCCTCAGCGTCGGCAACCGGCTTGACCGAGTGGTTATCGACGAATGCCACCTCACCTTTACGGCAGCCTTGAGCTATCGGACCAAGCTGAAGGGGCTGATCCGGCTGCGGGGCCTCTGCTGCCCGCTTGTCTTCCTTACCGGCACCTTGCCGCCGCACAAGCAGGCTGCTCTTGAGGCTGCTATGCTGCTGCAGAACCCTATCTACATTCGGGCCTCAAGCCACCGCCTGAACGTGCAGTTCCAAGTCCATAATGTCCGCAGCGGCCGAGGTATTGCGGAGGTAAAGCAGCATGTAGCAGCTCGAGCGAGGACCTTAAAGGCCGGCGAGAAGGGCATCATCTTCTGCTGCAGCCATGTAAGCTGCAAGGCGGTTGCCCGGCAGCTCGGCTGCTATTACTACCACGGAGATACGGAGGCCGAGGCAGGCAGAGACGGGGACGAAGCCAGCCGCGCCGCCTTTCTAGCCCAGCGGCATATAGGCTATCAGCAGTGGATTGAAGGGTCGGCACAATACATTGTGGCTACAGCCGCTCTAGGCACAGGGCTTGACGTCCCAGGCATCGTGCATGTGATCCACCTCGATATTCCCTACTCTATCCTTAGCTATGCTCAGGAGGTCGGGCGGGCCGGGCGGGCTGGCGAGCCGGTGTTGGCTGAGGTTGTTGTCGAGGAGAGAAAGTGGCCGCTGGGGAACCCACAGCAGGAGGCCTGTTGGGATGAGGAAAGGCAGGAAATCGGCAGCTTGATCTGGACCCCGGGATGCCGGCGGTATATCCTAGGCCGGCATCTAGATGGGGATTATCGAAGCTGCCGCGCCATCAGCCCCAAGGCCGCCCTCTGCGACAACTGCCAGCGGCAGGGCGAGCCTCCCGCTCTCGGGCCGGCTCTGCTTCAAGCCCGAGGCCGGCAAAGCAGCCAGGACCTAGCCGAGATCGAGGCTGCGCTCGAGGAAATCGACGGCCTCGCACAGGGCCTGGGGCTAGGCAAGCGAGGCAAGATGGGGTGCCGGCCCTGCTGGGTGCGCTACGGAGCGGCCGAGGCCCGACACTCATGGTATTGCTGCCCCAGGCTGGAAGTGAGGCCGGAAGGCAATTCGAGCACAGAGACGGGGGCAGCCGCAGCAGAGAGCGAGCCCTGCCGGCCTTCCTTTGTCGACGCAATGCGATTTCAAGAAGGCATTCGCTATGAGAGCGGAGGAGGCAGGCAGGCATCCTACCTAAGCTGCTTCCACTGCCACCTCTCCCAGGCTCTATGTGCGGAAGGCTATAGGGATAAGGGCAGAGGTTGTAAGTATAAGCATATTGTAATGCCGCTAGCTCTTGTGGTATTTATCGAGCCGGCGATGCGAGCCTGGATGGAGAAGGTAGTTATCAAGCGGGCCTTACGAGACGAAAAGGACTATCAGCAGTGGCTGGGGCAAAGGCACCCGCAGCTAGTTGGCGGCATAGAGATGACAAATGCTATGGCAGTATTTAGTTGGATAATTAAACAGCAGAAAGACTAGCCGAAAGAGAATAAATAAAGAAGAGCCTCTAAGAATAGAGGATAGAGAGATTGAATATGGCTTCTAGTAGCAGATTCCAATGGCAGATTCTAATAGCAGGAACTAGCAGCAGCTTTTGCTGTCAGGCAGGCTGTAACGGCAGCTTCCAACGGCAGCTTCCAATAACAGCTTGGGGGTCAAATTAAGGTTGTGGGGCCCGGTTTGCGGGGACGCCGGGGCGCAGAGGCGCGGGCGGCCCCATAAGGTCGGCCAATATCATCTGCAGCCGGCCTTTGATGACAGCAACGTGTGCCGGCAGGCTCGAGTTGCTGTGTGCGAGTGAGGGCATTCGCAGCCGGCCCTTGATAACACCAGCTTGTGACCAACGCCTGTGCCGGCAGTCTCGAGTCGCGTTGTGTAAGTGGGCGCATTTGAAGCCTGCCTTTGACAACGGCAGTTTGGAACGGCTGCAGCTTGTGCCGGCGGGCTCGAGTTGCTGTGTGCGAGCGAGGGCATTCGTAGCCGGCCTTTGATGACAGCAGCTTGGCCGGTAGTCTCGAGTTGCTGTGTGTAAGTGAGGGCATTCGCAGCCGGCCTGTGACAACGGCAACTTCCAACAGCAGCTTGTGACTGCAGCTTGTGCCGGCGGGCTCGAGTTGCTGTGTGCGGGTGAGGGGATTCGCAGCCGGCCTGTGACAACGGCAGCGCGTGCCGGCAGCTTCCAACAGCAGCTTCTGACTGCAGCGTGTGCAGGCAGGCCTCAGTGGCCTAGGGTAGGCAAGGGCATTTTCACCCGACCTGTGATAACGGCAGCTTGTTACAGCAGCCTGTGCCGGCCGTCTCCAGATGCTGTGTTTAAGTGAGGGCATTCGTAACCGGCATTTGCTGACTGCAGGTTGTGGGAGCAGCTTTTGACAACAGCCTGTGACTGTAGCTTGTGCCGGCAGGCCCGCGTTGCTGTGGGCGCATGAGGGCATTCGAAACCGGCCTTTGATGACAGCAGCTTGTGACCAACGCCTGTACCTGCAGGCTCGAGTTGCTGTGTGCAAGTGAGGGCATTCGCAGCCGGCCTGTGATGTCGGCAGCTTGGAACGGTTTAGCAGCAGGAAGGGACGAAAAAAAACACACAACTCATTAACTTACCCTCGGGGATTTGCACTGAGAGTCGTCGCACAGGCGTCTTGGCCGGTCAGCCCGAAGCTACATCAGATTACGCGTATGAGGTCGGACCAACCTACTACTGAGTTGTCGAACGGAACGCGCCCCGTTCCTGTGTGCACGCCAATCACAGCACCCCATTCCATCCGAAAATTATAAATGAACTCTACGTAGAGGTCATTTATTTTCCCATACTGAAGAAAACCGCGCTATTGATGACAGGGGGTAGAGGTCATTTAAAAATCAGGGTGTAGAGGTCATTTAGGTTTTGGCCATTAAAACAATTAAAATGGATATCAATAGAAAGGTAACTCCAAGGATATATCGTACGTAAAGTATAAAAGGCAGAGAAGTCAAGTTGCAGTGTTGCGATCGGGTTGAAATTTTGTGGTAGTGGACCAATAAGGGTATAAGGATACCAATAAAAGCGGGGCGTGCGAGTTAGTCGGAGCCAGTAGCAACCCGTAGTGTAAACCGCCAGCCGATGACACCCAGGTTCAGGGTTAGAGCAGGGTTAGGGTAATATATCCCATAGCAACCCAGGAAAAGCAAATAAAACAACCAGAATAAACATAAGAACATATTTCACACAATCAAAGTACAAGGAAACAGCCAACACAAGATTGAAGACAATATGGACCCGTTTATCCACATGCCAGAGTACCCATTTGTTATTTGCAAGCCATGTAGGGTTGCCGTCGTCGCCAACGAAGTGGTCAGTCATATGCGAGTACAGCATAATGCAAAGTCAAACAGCACAGTAAGTCAGGACCCTAGTAACGAACCAACCCACCTTTCAACCACCCCCACTTACACAGTCAATTGAGCCACTCACCAACTTCAAATATAAATAAAACAGCAACGCAGTATTCCAATTGGTCCATTCAAAGACTTTTCTAGTAGATAAATGGCTAAGGTTTCCAAATATCAATAAATTAGCCAATAGAAATTTAAATTAAATTAGCTATTCTGAATATTCCGACTCTGAAGGTTCTACCCGCTGTCTTGTGGCTCTAACATTCTGGATTGAAATAAATAGCTTATTTGGATCCTTGTCAACTGCAGCTCTTTTCCTCTTCTTTGATTGGGCCAAGTGTTGCTTTAGAGCCTTATTTTCCTCTTCCAATTGCAGCACTTTCATCCCTAGAGTGTCCAGACCCTTGCCTATAGTCCGAAACAGCCGTCTCGTGGTTGGGCTATTATAGCTAGGTCGACCTTGTGACCGCACCAATGACTGTACATCCCTTGAATGACTAGGGGTTGTAAATAGGTTATTTTCTGACCTCTGGTTCAGTCTTGGAGGCGAGGGATCAGCTGATTGGACTGTAATAGTCTGATTGGGGTCATCAATAACGAACCGACTACCCAACGCCTTATTTCGGTCCATTGGCCACAAACCTGACCCTTTCCATCCAGCCTTTGCATTGGCTTCCGTCAGAGCGGTATTTCTAGCTTCAAAATAGCACTTTAGGAAGGTCTCTTTCCTTGTTGGGCTAGTGTCAATAAGGGGATTGGCTAGGGTTAATGCAGCCCGATATGCAGTCTTTAAAGGCCCAAAGACTGATATATCAAGAGGCTGAAGAACATGGCTTGTATGTGGCGGCAAATAGATTAAATGGATCTTATTGGCCACACAGAGACGCATAAAATCCGTGTTGCATGTGATCCATGGCCATCCAATATCAGAAGACGCTTCTCATTGGACTTTTCCGGCTTTGATCCCGGGATAAAGATCTCTTTAAGCCGCTCAAGGCCAATTGCATCATTAGTCCAGCCTTTATCAGACGATGTAAAGTTCCAATTGGTCAGAAAGTCCATATCCTCTGGAAACCACTGCTGTTGGGGGTTTTTCCCTTTGAAGATAACCAATGGATTGAGGTGTTTTCCAGTTGCAGAAATAGCCTCAAGAATGCTAGTCCAATTCAGGCTGCCCGGGTGCTTTTTAAGTGTTGATCGTAGCTCTGATTGGCCAAGCACAAGCCCGTTAGTCCCGATCCCTTGGAAGATCCCAGTTTCATCCCAATTCCAACGGTTGCACGGAGGTATGTGATTGACGCCTGGTTGGCCCATAATGTCAAAGAACTGGCCAATAGCATACGGATTGGCTCCATTTATCCGTCTTGAGTCAATTCCCTTGGCTCTGAGTGTTTTTATTCGTGGATTTCGGCGTAAAAACCCGGAAATCCAACGCCTTCCAAGTGGCCGGTTATCTTTAGCTGCGCTCAAAATGGAAATAACCAACTTCCGGATCTGGGCATGAGTCATAGCCATACCTAGCTTGTCTTGGAAGATAAGCCAGTCACAGAGCTGCCTTTCCTGCTGTATAGAAAGCCGTTGCTGCCATTCGTGGGCTTCGTGGCGGCTCTCTGTGCCCTGAATCTGACTGCGTAGGGTTGGGTACGGAATATTGTGGTGATTGGCTGCTTTTCGCATTGATACGCCTTCAGCAACCTCTTGGATAGCCAATTGAAGGTCATTTTCAGTGTAATTGGGCATGTTAAAGAGCCCTGATAGGTCAGATCGTTAAAAAAATTGATGTAGATGGAAGAAACGCGTGTGGCTTGAGACGCGTTGTGGTCAACGTGAATTAAAGTGGGGTGGTTGAAAGGTGGGTTGGTTCGTTACTAGGGTCTCTGACTTACCTCACTGCAAGACCTACTCCTTGAGGCGCCTTTCGATCGTCAGAGCCTCTATAACCACACGCCAACAGAAGGTTTATACGCCCGCGTTTCCTACGTACTGCGTTGGTGGCTAACTATAGGGCAGGGATGAAGATGCGCCTTGCTGCCTAACAACGCCGTCAGTCTCAACAGCTGACCGATCCACTGTATCCACCACGCTACATTAACTAAACGATGTGTTGCTATAAGCTACAGGGAAATGAGAGGTTTGATAGACGGTATATAGTTAGATTAGGCCTGTCAGGAAGCGTGGGAGGGAACAAACTCCCTTCTACAGAGTTTGGAGCGGTTTAACAGCTGGTTACCCGCCGCAAGAGAAAGGGGGGTTCTAGGGGGTCCTCCCAGGAGAGTTGAATTGCAGATATACGATATTTACCCTTCGGGCTGGATATTCAGCCATTAAGTCTCTTGTCTTAGCAACTTGATGGGTGTTTGAAGTATTTTAATAATAGAATGTTACTTTACTAGTTAATTTAAAGGTCTTAGACGCTAGAAATAATAATCTAGAAAAGAGAACTAGAAGATAATTTAATTAAAGATCTAGAAAAGAGATCTAAAAGAAAGATCTTTTAAAAAAAATTAGTTAATGTAACGGGAGCGTCTGGAGTGCTGGACCCAGGGTGGGGTCGATACGTAACTAGGGCGCACGGAGCAGACCACAGGGACTATCAACGCATCTTCGCGTCTACGCGCCTGCCCGCTTTCTCTCTTTCCTCTCCATTGTAGTATTCTCACAATGCAGTAGCATTACCTCTTGAGTTGATCTCATCTAGCCCGTGACAGTTAAAGCTAGCAAACTGAGCTTATAACTATTAAGTAAGATAGATTAGTAGAAATAGCTTAATAATAATAGATAATCTTATCTTCCTCTTCTACCTAGAGAGGAAGAAAGCTAGCTATTTATCCCTATTAATCTAATTAATTTAGATACTCTTAATCTAATGTTACTATTATAAGCTGATAACCTAGTCTGTTAAGGACTATCTAGGTTATTGAAAGTGGACTAAGTTCAAAGTCTCTATCTAGGTTTAAAGGAAGCTTCAGTGCGGACCCGGCCCTATGCAGAGCTGACTTTCCTACCGGACCGTCTGACACCTGAATTGGTTCTGAAGGGGCCTCTATTCCTTATATGATATCCTAGAGCCCTGGTGTTCCATGCTTCCAATTTAACAGAAGGCGAAATAGGTGTCGCTAGATTTTTAATTAACTTTTTTAAGGTCCGCAAGGTACACCTGTGGCTTATGTGGCTTTGCAGAATGCACCTGTAGCAGCGAGGTACATAAGGGAACGATCTCTAACAGTGGCGGAGCTAGCTGTTTTAATGCCCGCCTTCACTGATGCAGCGATACGCGTTGCTAATACACAGTCGCTAGCGAAATCAGCTTCCAGCATTCCCTCAATGTCTTTTTTTTTTTACACAGCAACTTGGAGACACGTTTTTGGGGCCAGTTCGCGCTTACACCGTGCGTGTTCCCATAGTCAAGTGTTCACAGCTAGCACAGAGTATAGCAGAAGTCTGCTCCGTGCCTCGCTACCTTGCCTACCTATGAAACCCGGTTGCAGTGGCGTGATAGCAAGACCACTTTTGGCATAACCCCGCTTCCCAGGTACGACCGTGACATTGTTGTTGACGGCTTGGATGGAAGCCAGGAGCTGGTGCAATAAGAGAGAACACTTATCGCCCGGTACAGGAGTCAGAGGAGAAAGACTTGGAAGCATAAGATTAAGAATGATTGTGGTCAATGTGACAAGGGCACGGACGGAAACAGAGTCAAGATCGAGGACTGGCCGCGTTTATAAAGAGGTTTAGGTTAGTTACTAGTACTCAATTGTAGAGAAATATTTCCACGAGCCAAGTACGTGGAGTGATATTCCAGCCCCCCAGATATTTAAGGAAAGCCGATGGCGTCGTCGTCCGTGTCACACAATTGTGATCGTCAAGTCATCAGCGTATAGTGCCGTATTGATTATATAGGATTTAGAACAGCGGCCCATGATAGAAATGTCCTCCTGATGTGTTGTTGCGTACTTACCAACTCTACGGTAATGGCCTTTCTGCCGTCCATCGGCTTGGAGTACGAGACATTCCAGGTGGCCGGATGATAGCAGTACGGGTAGACAATATACAACCAGTTCCCCTTCAGCTAACTTTGCATCCATAAACACCGGCTTGGAAAAACTGTCGCTGTTAAGGTCTTCGTCTTCAAAGAGCAGTTGTACGGTCGGTAAGGATGTGCCGAAGGGTGCGAGTGACGAAGGATAGAGTCTTCCGGAAAGTTGGAGTGTTGCACTGCGAACTCTACCGAAGATATCCTCTGTCGTGTAGTCGACATTGTAATCGAGAATTTCGACAAGATCTTCCGAGTCGCCGTCTAAATGAGATGAATTAGGACGGAGGTCGCCGCTGACTGACACCCAGGACCAGGAAGGTCCAAGGTAACTCGCCGTTCTCTTCCCGGGAACGTTGAGTGCCCAGAGAAGCTGTGAAGGAAGATGGTTTGTCCACAACCCAACAACATATTTTTGAGAATCATCGCTGTCAGCGATCCTTCTAGCTATGCCGGAAATAGCTGGTAGCGTGTCTTCTTCCTTAGTCAAGTTGGTGGCAGAGTACATCTTCAAGAGTGCCGACCAGTATGAGAGAATATTCGCCGACGTGAGCTGCCCCAGCCCACTGGAGTCGGTAATGGACTGTCGCCGAGATCTAAGTCGTTGCTTAGGCAATGACATAAGGTTGTAACCGGGCATGAGGCCTTCGGGGTAGACTTCGCAGGTTATACCGCCATAGCATTCCCAGAAGAGTTGATCCTTAGCGAAGTGAATCGTCCTAGGCGACAGGAATCTTTCTTGTAGAACCCATCCCCTCTTATTCAGATGTGCTTTTTCAACAGCCTTGACGAAGATGCCAGGGTCCCACAGTCCAATTCGGGATGGTTCTAACCCATCCCAGGATGATTGAACAAAAATTGGACCGAGCAACCCTGGGTTACGATCCGGGAAGAAAAGGCCGTCGTGGCAATCCTGCGAGTGAGTAGCAGCGATATTGCAATAAGAATTGCCGTAAACGTCGCTCATTTGGCTTGCTTCGCGACTCCAATCCTCCTCGGAGTCCTGGATGATGCAAAGGGAATCGATCCAGAGATACTCAAAGCCCACTTCTCTTGACAGTTCCACGGCCTCCCGGAGAGTTTTGGGCAGGGTGTCAACGACGATCCCCTCTTTAAACTCTCCAAGAAGATGAGACAAGAGGCGAACTGGGGGCCCGGATCAGCGATGGCATCAGTTCAAGCTATCTGCAGATTAAAACAGTCAGATTCAGTCAAACAAATCAGATCGGCGAATCTTTCAGATCAGTCAGATCAGATCTAGTCATTCTTTGACTGCAGATATCTGAATGCCTTCACAACCCGGAATATATGTTATTCCGGGTCCGGACTACGTAACTCTGTGATTTTCGACCTTGATACAAGCCTCAATTGGGGGGGCTGAGAGCCCAGCAATGACCCCTGCCCATAGATCCTGGCCCGAATCCCTTGGCCAGGTAACGGCCGCAGGCCCCTGCTAGGGGGATCCGGTGGGAATGTGAAATCTCTAATTCTGCTGACGGCTTCTGAAGGGCTGCTGCTGCTGCTGCTGCTCTCAGTGCTCTGATGAAGCTATTCCCAGCCCTCGACCGCTCCCCATTACGATGTCCGACCCCAAAGCCGATCAACGAGGCCCTGTCGCCGATGCCTTCACTCTTCTACGTCCCGAGCCCTTCAGCTTCATCAAGCAGGTCGAAGCAGCTGTTGCCATCAATCCTGTGGGCTTCCCGAGCATCCCTGACCTTCCAAGCATCGTCTGGAAAAGCCGACGCTTCGTCCTCGAGTCACATCTTGACCGGAAGCGCTCCAAGGGTCGCCGCAGCTGGATCACAGCCCACGGGGACTTCCTTGCAGAGCTAGGACCCGGTGACGGCGTAAAGGGCGTTGTATGGTCCTGTAGGATCTGCGGCCAACGTAACAGGCCACAGTTCTTCGTTGCACAGTCGACATCCTCATCTATAAGACACCTCTGCGAGGAGCACTCTATCCGAGGGGACCCTAACGAAGAAGAAGCATCTCTAACGGTTCTAAAGCTTCAAGGGACAGCAGCAGCAAAGCGACCGGCCGGTTCGATGATGACGAAAGCCCAGACGACCCTGATCCACGATCTAGCCATCGGTTACATCGTGAACTCGAATCTTCCCTTCTCTACGTTTAACGACCCGTTCCTAAACGCAATACTCTCCCGGTTCGATCCTAAGCTAGCTCGAGATATCTCCTTAGGGCGTCATACTCTGACGAAGGACCTCGAGAGGGTCTACCAGTTGGCGAGGGCTGCCGTTAAGGGCGAGCTAGATGAAGCCGTCACATCGATACACATCAGCTTCGATTGCTGGACGTCCCCGAATCAACTAGCGATGATCGCCGTTATCGGCCACTTCCTCAATCAAGACCTCGAGTACCAAACCCGGCTGCTAGCCTTACGTAGGCATCGAGGGGACCACAGCAGCGAGAACATCGCGAGGACGATCGAGAAGGTCATCCGAGACTGGGGAATCGAGAGCCGGATCGGCGTTAGCATCTGTGATAATGCCTTCAATAACGATACCTGTTTGGCAGCGCTATACCCTCGTCTGAACCCGAGATTCAAGCCTGACGACGTTAAGCATCGACGGATGAGGTGCTTCGGCCACATCTTGAACCTCGTAGCTAAGGCCTTCCTCTATGGGGACGATGCCGACGCCTTCGAGCTTGATGGCGATCATCTAGAGCAGCTAGATGATCAAGAACGAGCTCTTAGACATTGGCGACGCAAGGGGCCCGTTGGAAAGCTTCATAATATTGTCAGGTTCATCAGAGCCTCCCCACAACGGATGGAGGCGTTTAAGAAGGCAGGCATCGAGGAGGAGGCCGGCCAGGAGCCCGAGATCTTCTCTATTAGCGAGCCATCAAGAGCCGAGCTCGAACTAAAGCAGAATAACACTACCAGGTGGAATTCGACGTACTTAATGATTAAGAGGGCCTGGGAGAAGCATGCCCAGATCCAAACCTATCTGAATAGTCTGGAACTCGAAGGGCCGGCATCTGGGAGGGTCCCGGTCGAGGATCATCTATATCCTGATGACTGGCGGGTTCTTGGAGAGATTCAGCAAGCCCTCGAGCCTATCTACCGTATGACGATGTGGGCAGAGGCCCGGAACAGTAGCCGGGATGGTAAAGGACAGCTATGGTCACTTCAAACGGGCATCGAGTATGTCCTCGAACATCTTGAACACCTCAAGGGCCTCTATCATGACGAGTCAGCCGATCAGATTACAACATTGGCCCAGGAACAGACCCAGCCACAGCCTAATCTGTGAACGGCCTCTAGTAACTGTATTCCAGCTATCTAGTCCAGGATGCTATTTACATCAAAGATGAAGAAGAAAGAAAGAAATTCCTAAGTGCCCCTGAGCTGTGGAATGATTTCCCACCCCTGGCGCGCACGAGCCAAGTACGTCTTGCGGCACAGCCGCAAGGATATGGGCCCTGGCCCGTGACATAATCAACCTACCCGGCGTCGACATCGTCAGCCTCGCCGGCATAACGAGGCCGCCCTCCCAGAGCATATCAGGGCAGCCTACACAAACATTAGAATTGTTAACATGCAGTCAAGGGAGAGGGCCTATATGAGGGCATCAATCAACAACGCCTGGGTCAAGCTTGACTACTATTACGCTCTTCTTGCAGAATCCCCTCTCTTTGCTGCAGCCGTCATCCTACATCCTAGCCACGGGTTGCCATTCCTCGAGGAGGTATGGTCTGACCAGGGCCAGTGGCTTGTTGACGCCAAACGGGACCTCGAGGCCTACTTTAACCGTTGGTATCGGCATCCCGAGGCATCTAGGGATCCCTTTAGCCCATCACCATCTCCAGGGCCCCAGCAGCAGCAACAGGGGCCGCAGAAGGAGCCAAATCAGTTCGAGCAATGGTTCAAGAGCCGGAAGCCTAGGCCACAAGGCCCTGACGATGAGGAAGGGGAGCTCCAGCGTTACTACAGGCTCCGCATTGAACAGGTCGATGATCCCGTAAGGTGGTGGGCAGACAGGAGGGCTGAATTCCCTCGTCTGAGTCATCTAGCCCTGGATATCTTAGCCATTCCGGCTATGGCAGCTGACTGCGAGAGGGTCTTTAGCATCGCGAAGCTGATGATTACGAGTCAAAGGCATCGCCTCCAGGACTTGACGATCGAGATGATGCAGCTGCTGAAGCATTGGATCGGCGAGAGGGCAGTTAAGATCGGGAACGTCGAGGTCTAACGACGATCAGGTCATCGAGGGCTTGGGAATAGCTTTATCAGGGTCCCGTTGGGGAAGGGCTTGGCAGATATCTGCAATCAGATCAGTCAATCAGCCGTCAGGCGTCAAATATAGCAGTCAGATCAGATTTAGGGTCAGGATTGATCTGATTGAACTGATTCCATCGCTGGCCCGGATCCCCAGCAGTAGCTCAGAGTGGCGTAATTCCCGCTCGGTGCGGAGTCCTCGGTTAAGACAAGTTTGATGGTTGACTCATGTGGACTCCCAATGCTCAACAGGCGGGTAGGGTAGAAGAGATTCGTAGCTCTGCCTGTTATCTGGGTTCCAAAGACCCCAAACAACCCAATTGAAGCTACTTCACAAACTGATTTTATCAAAAGCCGAATCAGCCGTCATCAGGGAAGCTCTCCGACATCGATTTTAGCTGCTATGGACCAATTTGCAAAGGGGGCACGAGGAATAATGCACCAGATGGCATTATTGAAGGCAGAGGTCAACGAGCTTCGGGAGGCAAATGCGACACTTAGCCGGCGGCGCAGGGCGAAAAAAACACGTCTCCGGCTTTCAGGGAGCATGACAGTAGCTGAGGGGCAGGAGCTACAAGATCAGAGGGAAATCGCTGAACAGATACAGCAGGAAACGCAGCAAAGTAGTGGTCGGAAGAGGCGGACGGAGACGAGGGAACGGCGATGTGGAAGATGCAGGCAACCCGGGCATAATGCGCGTACTTGTGAAATTGATATAGATGCGTCTAAAGAAGAGGATAGTGATTGATTTTAATTGATTCTAGGCGTTATGGTTGTTTTATTTCGATATTTGGTAGTAAAGGTGTGGTTAGGTGAGCCACTCGCTTGTCTGAGCCACTCACTTATCATGCACGTTATACGCTACTGGATATTTGCCAGTGGAGTGGACAGTGGAATCCACTAGTGGATCCACTACGTGGATTGAGTGGCTTTCAACCCTGGCCCGAAAGCGTGAGAGTGCCACTATCCAACCTGTCTCCAGGGCTGTCCCCGACTGACTGTAGACAACTGGAGACACTATAACATATTGCAGGCTCCCTTTGGCGTTTGTACAAAGTCAGGCGTCGGCTAACTGCCTAGGCTGCTTTGAATCTTCAAGTCAGGCTATACTTCCGATGCTTCCGACGCTGTATGCCACTAGGTGAGTGCCATACCTTGACTGAGCGTAGTGCCAACACCAGCTTTAGGACTCTCTGATGATTGCAGTTAGCCAAGGCTCTCACGTGCAACTGCCGAGAAACAAACGTGGGGAAGTCGAGAACTGCACAATGTTAGTTACACACATCACTCTGCGTCCTCTCTGCTTTAGGAAATGGATCCACATGCCATCATGGCTTATGGTTGGTAGAATGTTGCCCCACAAATACTAGTACGCCTCCTACATCACTAGATTTGAGAAGGCAACCAATGCCTTGCGGCTCAGAGTTGAAAAAGATGTTCAGCTTCAAGCCACAATTTACGGTGTTGGCGGTAAGTTTCAGGCAGCAATCTAGGCAGATTGGGCAGCTGTACTAAATACGAGAAGTCCTTACTTAGCTCAGCTTTCGTGGACCATCTCGGAATGGCTCAGCTGATGGCAAGATCTTATTTTAACCCCAACATCCCAGACCACGTTCTTTCGCTCAGCAGGAACCTAGGTTAAGAGGTTACCACAACTTCTTCCTGTATTGATCTTTGGTTCGTCACTCCTCGCCCTCAGGAATGGACCCGTCGCGTTTGTGCGGCAGATGCGAAGAAGTCCCAGGGGAAATATTCTGCTCCTGCGGGGACAACTTCTGCCATGATTGCTTCCACAGAAAGCATCTAGCGCGAAACCCCAATCATCGCCGGGGAGGCGACAGCAAGACTGAGAAATTCTGGAACATGGTCACCGGCGCCTTGTCCGACATCGCAGGGGTCATCACCACATCTAATCAATTTAAGCGGGATGAGGCGACGAAATGGTTTGGCCTCCTTCAAAGGACCGTTGGTAAAAAGCAGATCAATTCGCTGGTCGAAACGCCTCGGTTTAGGGACCTGATGGACGGATCTCTGCATCACCACAGAGACAGTCCCAAAATACAGTTCCCGAGCCTTACGTCCTTTGTTGGATTCACAGGTGCGGGGAAATCACTGCTGAGTGAGTGTCTGCCTGTCCCATTATAACGCTGGGTCCCTTCAAGTTTTCTAACAAATGCCACTTGCAGTTCGGACTTTGATGTACCACTGCGATGCTGCGCAGGACTTTCAGGATCTTGAGGCGCCAGTGCCAGGAGCCTCCTCGGGGGATGCCGCATTGATCTCGACAACTGGCGAAGTGAACATGTATCTTGACCCATCAACATACGGCACAGAGACGCCGATGTTCTACGTCGACTGTGAAGGGCTGAATGGCACGGAGCCGTTGGCAGCCCAACACCAGAGCGACTGGGCCCGAGTGGGCAAAAAGCACGAGATCCAGGTCGAGATGGACCGTCGAACCGCTGTCAGGACGCTCTATCCCCGATTTCTATACATATTCAGTGACGTCGTTTGCTACGTGACCAAGGATCACAAAGGCTGGGCGGATTCTGCCGTCTGGTTGCTCGACTGGAGTCAAGTTGGAGCCCAGCACACCATCAATCAATATTCTTTGCCAGCTCTCATTATCATCCTCAACGCCTCCACTCTCACAAACGAAGTGTGGATCTCCGAAGATCAAGATGTCGTCACCAACGCCTTCTTCCGAGCGGTCGAGGATGAAATTAGGAAAAACAACAAGCTAAGGGCTCTTGCTGCAAAGGTACGTAGGACACCGATATTACATACTGCATACTATGTCAGTGACTTCAGCACCGGCATTGGCTGACATGCATTGAACCGAACAGTACGGAGACACAACCATGAGGCAGCTATTCTCGCGAAGCTACTCAAGTGTCTATGTACACTACATTCCCTTCAAGGGATTCCCACCGCTGGGCACGTCTGAGGTCATCTACAAGCAGACAGCACGTCTGGCCACGCGCATCAAGCGTGATGCGGCCCGCGTGCAGCAACAGCGCGCTGAATCATGGACTCGATTCGACACGAGACAGATGTCGCTCGTTGTCGACTCGGCTTTCCACCACCTGGCCAAGGGAAACCAGGAGCCGTTCGACTTTGGACAGTGTCGTCGACAAATGACGATTCCTGACTCCACTGAATTGGGGTTTGCCGAGTATCTTCGTCATTGCTTGGATGGCAACTTGGAGGAAAGGTTCCAGCCGACCGCGGCTGGCCTGGGAACTGCCATATTGAAGAATGCACTCACTGATGAAGGGAGCGGTAAGTGACTCATGAGCTGGGATTGATGATGCCCCTCTTGTCCTCGAGAGCTCTGCCGGCCCTGACCAAGTAAATTTCACTTCACAGATTTGGTCCTGGTGCCATCGGTAGTGTTCAATACAGATATAAGAGCCGTATGCAAGCGGGCTATAATTCACTTCCTAGACGAGAGCGCCCAGTGCGCATTTATCGATCCAGACTCTGGCGAGAGGTGCGCAAACACAAAAAAAGGGCACGCCAAGGGCCATCAAAGATCATCAGGCCAGCTCCTCAAGGAAGGTTTATTCGTTGATGGGCCATTCGATTCTTCTCGCTTCATCCTCTCTATCGAGGAATGTGTGCTGTCAGTCATGAACGCGGTCAATCCTCAAGCTCACTCAAGCCGGCGTAAGTGGCAACTGCTTGTTTCCAAACATCACAGGGAGCATATCGAGGTCCTCCGGGATCTGGGCGGCTATCCAAAGCCCGGCACAGCTCAGGACAAGCTTAAGCTGGGCTTCTTCATGAAGACAAGCGTCTGCTACGGTTGTCTGTTTGGCAATCCCGAATACCGGCTGCCCTGCAGACATGTCATCTGCGAGTCGTGCTTGCGAGACAGCGATCAAGGAGAAACACATGGACAGCAAACAGGCCTTCACATGCTGCGAAGTTGCCTAATTTGCGGTGACACTAAAACAGCCGGGTGGCCCTATCAGATCCGGCTCCGACCTCTCCTCTCTGGCCTTCGCGTGCTGTCGTTGGATGGAGGCGGTGTCCGAGGAATTGTTGAGCTTGTTCTTCTCGAGAAAGTTGAGTCTCTCATAGGGCTGGACTTGCCAATTGGCATCTTCTTTGATCTAATGGTCGGAACGAGCTCAGGTACGTCCCTGCACCTTTCGATCCCGACTACCTACGTGACCCGGAAGCTGCTGCGCAGAATCTCGGGGAGGAGCATTTTGACAAGAAAGCTAACAGAGGAAAGGTGGCATAATCTCCCTCGGAATCGGGGCTCAGGGTCGTAGTGTTAAAGACTGCGCAGCCCATTTCCGAACGATTTGCTCGACAGGCTTCGACAACAAATTTCTCACCAAGACGTGGGGACTCGGGTGGTTGGCAAGATGGATCAGAAGTTCTATCTACACCTCAGCCGCCATGGAAAAAGCCTTGCAGACGGCTTTCTCAACGAAACCCCCGATAACGGTGTTTGGTATGAGGAATCACTGCCGAAACGCCGTGACGACAACCGTCGGCAAAGATTGCTACCTCATCGCCAACTACAACCGCGGCGGAACCGGAATTTATATGAATTCGGAGCTCAGTGTATGGGATGCGTAGGTTTTCGCCTTCGCCTTTGCTAAATCGCATACGCAGATGCTAATGAGCGTAGGGCGAGATGCACTTCCGCAGCTCCCATGTTCTTCGAGCCCAAAAGGCATGACGGCTGCGATTGCCGAGACGGCGGCCTCAAATGGAACAACCCCATTCAGCTTGCAGTCAACGAGTCGAGAGAGATATGGGGCGAGAAATCATCATATGACGTGGTTCTCTCCGTCGGAACGGGTGAAGCAGACGAGGCCCAAGGAAGACCGTCGTCCAAGTTCATCATTCCCGACTGGCTTTCCGGTCTATTCACGGCGCTGTTGAGCACTATGAATGGAGAGGATGAGTGGTTACGATACTTGAAGTCACAGCAGCGGGCTACGGAGAGATCGTCACGGCTCAATGTTGTCTTCCCCGGAAGACAAGAGCCAGCTCTGGACGACTTCGGGGCCATTGGCTCGATGGAACAGACTGCGAGGAGCTACTATAAGTTCTACGAAAGGTTACACAAGTCCCAGTTCAACCCCATCTCCCATGCAGCAGGTGTACCGTCACCAACCAACTCCTTGGAGCTCGTTGCGGAGCGACTGCGAGCCAGCATGTACTATTTCGAACTGCGTTCCGTCGAGAGCGCCGAAGAAGTCTGCATCTTCAGCGGGTTGATCCGATGCCGACTTGGGCCCATTGATGAGGGATACGACAAGTTGCTGAAGATGACGGCCGGGTTTAAGGTGAAAGAGAGCTTCTACAGCACCTCCGAGCTATCTGAAAGCGCACCATTGGACGTCCAAGTCGTGTTTTCGCATCAGTCACCCGAAGAGCCCATCCGCATCGATGTCTCATTCGAGAAGCGATACAGTGTCGCCATCAGCGGCTTCCCAATCAAGATGAAGGTAGTTGAATTCCCCCGCCCAGCTCTCAGCTATAGCGTTAACAACTCTGAAGGCACTAGTGAAATATTCAGAGGCAAATTCGTTCCATATCCAGTCATTAGCACCACCTGCCGAGCTCGATGGAGCTTCCCACGTTCCTGCGACCGATTCTGAGGCTATGGCAGTGGAGTCAAATCCGACAAATGAGCCCTCTGAGAGGCCCGAAGCCACTTCGAATGCTGTCGAGACCGCTCCTGAAAGTAAGCTTCCGGCCTCCAAACCGCCGCCTCCAGCTACTAAGCCCAAGCCCTTACATCTTCGAGGTGTTGTTTCGCGCCAGCAAAGAGATGTCACAGCTCGTAAGTAAGCAAACTCGCCTTCAATAACAAGGGTCGTCGCCCGAGTTGAAGTACCAACATAGACATTAGAGAACCACAACCTCCAACGGCCTGATGTTGGAACTGCCACAGAACAGTTCGTCCGCGCCGCAAAACTCGGAGATTCAGACGATGTAAAGCGATGCATGACTGCTGGGATCGACATCAACTGTAAGCACGGAGGCTGGACTGCACTCGGACGGGCGGCGCAGGAGGGAAAAGAGGAAATCGTGAGGATTTTAGTCAACGCAGGTGCAGATCTTGACCTTCGGATGGACGTTGGCTGGGGGGTTCTCCCTGGTGACGGCACCGCGCTCAACTGGGCCGCTGCTGGCGGTCATCTCGAAATCGTTCAATATCTTGTCTCTAAAGGAGCCACGATCGACATCGACGCCAAGAAACCAGCTATTTTCGGCACAGGCGGCACACCCATGACCATGGCTGCTGGAAAAGGAAGGCTAGCAGTCGTACGGTTCCTTTTTGACGCGGGTGCTGACAGAAAGTCTCGAGAGGGCGTCCAAGGGTGGGCGGCATTTATCTGTGCCTGTTCCGAGGGCGAGATGGATATCGTCAGGTTTCTAGTCGAGGACCGAAAGATGGACGTGAACCACCGAGGCACGCAAGCTGGCATAACGGCGATGATCACGGCGGCAAGACATGGAGAGAGAGAAATCATGGAATATCTCGCGAGAAAAGGTGCTTCGCTTAATGGCCTGGACGTGGACGGCAAGACGCCGCTGCATCATGTCGCCAAAGGATGCAAAAGCATACAAAAGGACACCGCTACTGCTGCGTGGCTTCGCCGCCAGGGTGCCGATCTCGGCGTAAAGGATCGGGTTGGCAAGACACCACTAAACCTGGCACAGGACAGATTGCTCAAGTCTGAGCCGGATAGTGCGGACAAGTGTCGCGTGCTAGTAGACGTTCTGGACATAGAAAAGCCAATCCCCGAGGGAGCCGAGGAAGGGGACTCATCATGCAGAATCATGTAGACAATCATCATCATAAGGCAGAAATAATGAGTTTGTTGACGGTAGTTTGCCTCGGCCACCTGGAATCCTGATATTTGGATTATCTTGGAATACTGGCTGCAGAACCTGGACTTATGTCGGCGACACTTAAGCGGAGACCGGCCTAGTAGTTGTCAAGAGGTCAAAGATGTGTGTATTGTTATGATTCTCCCTAACTAGCTAGGCGAGGGAATTGGAGCCTGTATGAGGTCCCGGCTGCCTGAGGCCACAGCCGCCGTAGGCGGTCGTGGGCTTCCTTCAACAAATATCAAACGCCAAAGTGAACATAAGGAACCCAGAACGGCCGCCTCGGCTCCGGCCCCTCTGTCAATTCAGCGTCCCTCTCTGTTCCCGGCGACCATGACTTTGCGCCCCCGGCATCCTCGCCCTTCACCCACTGGTCTCGGAGCGTCCTAGTGGCCCGGTGAAGCCCCCTGCTTATCGATTCATCCCCCATCCCTTCATCCCGCAGAAACTCGTATGTCATTCTCGCCATGTCCACACATAACCCGTCATCGACGTTCCAAAGCGTGCCCACCACGTGACGGAACCCCGCCAACTGGCAACCATTGGCTAGATGGATGCTCTCGTCAATAGACCCCTCGTCCAGGATCTGACCCGTCCCGCATGCTGAGAGGTAGGCAAGGAATGGCGGCTTCGAGGTAAGGTTGGTCTCCAGGAGGCTCGCCACCGTGAATGGCTCCCGGTCCCAGTCATCGAGGAGCAGCTGGCTCTGCAACGGTTCTGTGGGATGCGTGCTGCCGTGGCCGGCAAAGTGGAATATCCTGCAGGCCTCCAAGGCCGACGAGACGCCGGCCTTGCACGGTTCAGGCTGGTCATGCGGCAATCCCATCGACTCGCAAACAGCCACTACCGCATCAACCTCGTCGCTCGCATGTTTGAGCGGGGTCTGTTTTGGCGTGTTCTGCATGGCAACGACAACGACTTTCCGGGACTTTCCGGCTGCCGGTGCTTGCTGGGGCCGTCGTCGACTATGTATGATCGCCTTGACAGACGAGGCGTAGGATGAGATGACCCGATCGACCGCCGTCTCGCCGGTGCGCCTCAGATGGTATCCCGCTGCATGGAGTGGAAACCGGGTCAGTGTGCCGGTGGGAACCCACCACACGTGTGGCCACTGACCGTCCGAAGGAGGCCCAGTAAAGCCTAAAGCATTAAGAACGTGACAGACGATGGCATCCCAGAGCCATCCAAGCGTGTCGAGAGTTTTGAGTTCCCGGACATGGTCGTTGAGGGCCTCTCGGGAGAGGCGTGGCAGCTCCAGCAGTCGGATGCCGGACTGCTCAATGAGCAAGGCATCGCAGCGATACGAGCTCACATTCAGGACGACAATCGGGCCCTGCCGTGCAGCCTCCAGCATATCGGCTTCCGACGCAGAGAGCAGGAATCGCTCAAAACCGGACTTGGAACGGATTGTCTCAAGGAGAGCGGCAAGCTGGGGTCCAGCATCGTGGCGCCGATCGCCACCCGTCTTTGCAGCCGCAGTAGGGCGCTCGGCTGTAGTTAGGGAGTCCGCCCGCGGCGGCGCGTCTAGCTGATCTCGCAGGTCGATAAAGGAACGCGCCAGGTCGGGATGCTCGCGTTCAAGAGTAGCAAGGTCGGATTGCTCGAAGAGAGCTCCCGCGATGACACCACGACCGGTCTCAAGCAGTTCGACAGCAGCAGCAGGGCCTCTGTTGTCATGAAGAGCAATGGCTGCCGCGTCCGACGACAGTCCGACAGCAGCGGAGAGGAGGTACCGCTTGTCTGCGTTCCGCAAAGAACGGGGCGTCAATAAGGGAATCAAGTCAATTGCTGTCAAAGCTGTCCCGGAAGCTGCTCCGGCAAGAATATAAGGGAGCTCAATAAGCTAGACCCTTAGCGTTACAAAGCAAACTGCATGACCTTTCGTGTTGAATTGGTCCCATGGGGTTTACCACGGGTCGTCTCTCGCGACGCCACTGACATTTGTTAGTCTTCAAGCAGTACGTGTCTTCCTGGTCCGCCCAGCGCTCCGAACAAAACAAAACACTACCAAATCAAATCAATATAAATCAATACAAAACAAAGCAAAATTGAAGCTATTCAAAACAATACTAGGCTACCGTTTTGTATTGGTAATTTTGGTATATTTTGGTAAAATCCCCCCTGTCAGTCGGCCATAGGGTAAGTGCTTCCCAAGGCCCAATAGTCCACTTTTCCAGTCAAATTTTTGCACATGGGCCCATCGCCAACATCGTCAAGATGGCTAACCCCAACGATCCATTTTTCGACGATTCCTCGTCGGTATCGAGCCTGACGCCTAGCCAGTCAGCCAGTCAGTCTTCCGGGGCTCTCACAAACATTCCGCACGCCGGTGGTGGCGCCTTTTCAGTTCTTCGCCGAGCTCGTAGCGTAAAGAACCAACTTGATGATGTCGACGAAGCAAACCTCCCAAGTGCAGTATGCGATATGCCGAAGATCCTAATTAACAGCAAGCCCTATATTCGGTCGGAGTGGGTGGATAAAAAACGGAAGAAAAGATCCCCGATCGAACCGTACGGCTCACGCTTCGTCAAGCTCGATCGCGAGCACCGAAACTGTGGCGAATACTGGCTCTGTGATCTTTGTGATGAGCATGGTATAACAACGATTTTTTCCCTGCCTAGAGGTACGACTTCTGGACCGCTGGACCACTTGCGGCAGCATCACAGACTTCTTCGCTCTCGTACCTCTTCCGTAGAGGGAAGCGATTCGACTGATTCTGAAGCGAATCCGCGCCCACAGAAGAGTCAGAGGACTCTACAGGAGAGCCTGCGGAAGGCTGTTGTGAGTAAATCGACGGGGCAGACTTTCTGAGATACACTGTTAGGCTGGATATCGAAGGCGAATATTCCCTTCTCTGGAATCGAACACCCGCTTTTTCGCCAGCTTCTCTGCTTGTTAAATAAGGATCTTGTGCAGGAGCTTCTGCCTCTGTGCGGAGATACTGTCAAATCGTGGCTCAACGCCGAGGTCGAATCACAGAAAGGGCTCCTGAAAACAGAGCTCGCCGCCTCCCCTTACAAGAAGCATCTCTCTTTCGATCTCTGGACCTCTCCGAATCAATACGCGCTCCTCGGTATCACCGTTCACTTCGTCAGCGCCTCGCAACAGCTTCAATCTCGCTTCCTAGCCCTCAAACGCGTACTCGGCAGTCACGGTGGTGAGAATCTCGGTCCAGTTTTACAGAGCGTAATCGAAGATTTCGCGATCTCCGAGACTCTCGGCTACTTGACTGCTGATAACGCAGACTCGTGCGACGGCGCAGTTACGGAGCTCTTTTGGGGTCTTTCAGGTGCAGAATCTGTCACTGACGAAATCGCAGAGCTTAGCGCTCAACGCAGGATTCGCTGCGTTAATCACCAAATAAACCTCGTCGCAACCGGATTCCTTGGAGGCTCGAAGAAGGAGGCGCTCAAGAAGCTTGATCCTCACTCAGAGGAGTATAAATCTTTGCTAGAAGAGATCAAATTCCTTGAAGACTGGCGTCAATCGTCAGCAATTCAAAGGTTACACAACCTGATGAGCTGGATCAGAAGATCTCCGCAGCGGAGAGAGCGGTTTCTCGACCTTACCTACGGAAAGCTTACGGAGGAGGAGCTCCTTGAATTCGGCCAGGTCCTCTGGAACCTTCGCGACGTTGGCGGGTTGATGGTAAAGCAGGATAACGATACGAGATGGAACTCTTTCCTCGCCTCTGCAGAGAGAGCGATGAAGTTAAAAGATCCGATCGAGGTTTTCCAGAGGAGGGCGCTTCAAGAGAGGGACGCCAAACGCCGCCTCCCTGCGGAATACGTATTGCATGACGACGACTGGTCTTTCCTCGCGATCGCGATTGAAATACTCACGCCTTGTCAACGGCTCACGAAGCTATTCGAAAGCAGGGCGCCTCATTTCGCGGAAGTAGCGGCTTCGTTATACTATCTCCTCGACCACTTCCACGAGAAGAAAAAGGTCTACGCCGACGGGCTCGTCAATCAAGAAATGACCGGCCCTGAATATGCCGGCCGCTCCATATTCATCGGTGACGAAGTTCCGGCTCTGCGACCGACCACGCCGCTGGAATCTCAATCGCAGCGACCGCAGCGACCGCAGCGCAAAAGACGACTCCCGGAGCGATACGGAGGTTCCGCAATGAAGTTACCTGGCACGATCCGAGCCACTATTATGTGCGAATCTGGCGAATCTGGCAAATCCGGCAATTCCGAAGATCCTACTTTCTCTGACGATAAGAACCTTCACGCTTTGCGTGCCAGTCTTTCAGTAACGTAGATGTCACCCATGCGTCGCATCCAACCATGCGTCGTATTTTTCCTTACCTTTAAAATTAAAACCTCAATAAAACCACAACAAAGCATCAAATCAATTAAAACTAATCGCTATACTCTTCTCCAGAAGTCTCAATTACAGCCTGACAGGTCCTTGCATTATGACCGGCCTTTCTACAAGTTCCACAGCGCCTTTCCCTCGGTATCGCCGACCTCCCTCGACCACTACTTCTCGACGATTCAGCTGCTACCTGCGCATCAACGTCTCTCTGATCCATCTCATCCCTTCCTTCATCTAGAGTCATCTTCCCTCCTTTACGTAGGCGGGTTCTTTTAGCTCTGCGCCGCTTGCTAAGTGTCTCATTTGCCTGTCGAAGGATCTGGTTCTCAGATTTTAATAATGCCATCTGATGCATTATTGCCTTCGTTCCCTTAGTAAATGACTCAAGCGCCTCAAGAATTGATGCTGGAGAGCTACTCTGATGCCTTCTAACTCGTCTTTTGAGGTATTCAGACTGAGAGCTAGCTTCAAGCACAGTCTTTGGGGTCTTCGAGACCCAAGGGTCAGGGAGGCTGACCTCCTCCCCAACCGGTGTTGGAGTCCGTAGCTGCACATCAAGCTTCGATATGACATTTTCTGGGTTCAAGGGAACAAGTCCGGCCCCTCGAAAACCTCCCTCAATATTACTCCTTGTCATGGAGGCTTCATGGGCAGCGTAGAATGCTGAGAAGAACTCGGTCTTCGAAACGTGGGTTATAGAGCATCTGATTAATTGCTCAATTGCTTGACCATAGGCCGTTTTAAGCGGCCCAAAGCACCCGACATCAAGCGGCTGAAGTAGGTGAGACGAATGAGGCGGCATACAAAGCGTAATAATGTGGTTCTCTTCACAATATTTCTCAAAGTCGACGGAGTGATGACTTTCATGCCCATCGAGGATTAGAAGACGATAGCGACCGATCGATCGATCCTTTGTATGCTGATTAAAGTGCTTGAGCCACTCAAGACCTGTCTTATTGTCGGTCCAGCCATTTTGAGTTGTTGTAATAGCCCAATCGCCCGGGAGGTTGCTTTCTTGGTACCAGTTGGCGAGGTGATATTGGCCTGCAACCACGATGAAAGGCTGGATCGCCCACCCTTCCGCATTGATAGCCTGAATGACTGTAACCCATTCCCGGTTTCCAGGCTGTACTAATTTCGGGTTTCCACGCCTTTCTGCGCCTGTGATGACCATTCCGCTTGCGATTATGCCCATCATAAAGCCGGTCTCATCAAAGTTGTAGATATCGGCTAGGTCGATACCATATTTCGCGATTGTATTCTCCACGAGCCGGAACCAATTGCGAATAATAGTTGGATCTTCGCATTTGGCCCTCTGATAGTCGTATTTTCGAAAAAAACGCGTCTTGAGCTCTGGTTGTCGCCTGACGAAGTTAGAAGCCCAGCGCTTGCCGACTGGTGACGCGTCGCGGTCAGCGAGCAGTTGGTTGGCCATTTCTTCAACACCACGCAGTCGCGGGGGAAATCCTCGTGAATCTAAGTCGAGGATGAACTGAATAATGATCTGTTCCTCTAGATCAGACAGTCGACGCGATGGGTTGATCCAGTCGCGTCGAGATTGAATGCCCTTCTGCCGGCGACGTAGCCTATGTTCATTGACCTCATAGATACTAGCAGCGCGTCGGACACTGAGTTTTGGGTTATTTTGAAGGGCTTGAAGGGCAAGGAGGGTTTTTGCCTCTATATTTGATTGTGACATGCTTAGTGGTAGAGATTTAAGCGATGAAGTGGAAAGTTAGGTGGAAGAGGGAAAAATGCGACGCATGGTTGGATGCGACGCATGGGTGACATCTACGTTATATAATACTATTTGAGATTCTAATACTATAAGAGGCTCCCCAGTCTTGGCAAATTTCATCCGCAACCTGTATAAAGAAACTTCAGTATTAGAGGATAGGCTGTTTATTCAGCATCCCAAGGGCTTTTATTAGCAAATCCGCCGTACCCAGAACGCTCCCCTATACCAATTTCAGACTCTTTCTGTAGAGAATGTTCAAGCTGCTACGAAGGCTCAGGATATGCTCTATCTCTAGATGCTAGATAAGATTAAGACAGGTCCCCAGGGTAGTGCGTATTATATGCCTAACGCCGATATAGATAATATACTTACTTGTAACTATAATATAGAGATTCCCCTACTGTGTTAAAGTTAAGGCCTAGTTGTATAAGGTCCTCAAATACTTATTAATATTAATATAGCAATAAGCTTTGCGGGATTAGAATATCTTGCTACGTTGAACTATACTCTTAACTCTCTATAGATAATAGCTCTTTAACTTATATATAGGTTTTTAAACAGGTACTCAGCAGACTCCAACTCGGCGGGTTAATATCTCCAGTACACCGGAGGGCCGGGTAGTATGGGAAAATCCAGGGTTATTAAGGCCCTGAAATAGGTCTTTTTGGCAAAAGGCTAACTATATCTTCTTCAGATTACGGGAACATCAGGTAGTGTAGCTGCACAGATTGGAGGCACGATATTGCATTCTGCCTGTAGTCTGGATACCCAGCGCTCCCTCGACAAATAACTCCCACTTTTCTCGGAGGCAAAGAAGTAGATATAGAAGCAGAAGCTGGTCCTCGTAATCGACAAAGTTAGTATACTTAGAGGTGCTACTCTATATAAGGCTAGCTGCCGTCTTCAGTTGCTCTATAATTGCCCGGATAAGCCCTTTAGCAGTATTTCCATCGTTCTTTTAATAGGGGACTTTTATTAATTCGCCCCAGTTCGAAAGACGAGCCTCCTGGTAGACTGAATAGCGGATCCCCTCTTCGTATCCGTAGGCCAAGCCACCATTTCTTACTATCGCAGCTTCAGTCTGTAGCTAATATTCAAGACCGTGGTTCTTCTCGAAGAACAGGTCCGCGCACGAGACGACCCTGAGCTAGGCGCTCTTCTGGATTGAGTACGGCACGGCACCCAGATATAGCAAGATCTGGCCCTACTGAATACAAAGCTGGTAGACTGCTCTGATATCACCTTCAGTAACAGCTTGCGCGCTATAACACCTCTGAACCGCAACCGATGGAGCCTCAATATGGAAGCCATTATAGACTGGGCGCGCTTTAATAAGAGGTATATCTCCGTCTTCGTGTCAACCCACACCTGGCGAAGAGCCGGCCTGTCCCAATATGAGATCGCCCAGGCGATCGAGCAAGGGGATGACTCCAAGTATAAGATTCCAGGCCTCTTCTTCTATACTCAGGGGATACCTGTAGTTATTAATAAGAATATATACACAGGCTTGAAGGTTATCAATGGCGCAGAGTTTACTGCGGCAGATATCATCCCCGATCCGAAGCACCCAGGATACCATCTTGCGGACGACGTTACCATCTACTTCGGCCCACCGCTAGGCATCTTATTACAGTCGAGCGAGACGGCGAGTTTGGCTGTTCTTGTCCTCCTAGCAGAGATAGTGCTTATCCGCCCCATCTTGCATACCCTCAATCCAAGCGACTCCTACTTTAAGTTCTTATTAACGAAATATACCCGACGGGGACTACCGGTTATCCCGGTATTTATTCTTACTGACTATAAATCCCAGTCCAAAATATTTGCCGAGGTACTCTTAGAGCTGCAGGGAAATTGTATAACTAATAGCGAACCCTCTAAGTGCAATTTTACCAGTCTCTACGTGCAGTTATCTAGGTGTATAACGCTTCGAGGTATTAAGCTTCTCAGCCCTATACAGCCCTAAGATTTTATTAGTAATAAGCTAGACTAGACTATGGTAGATGCTATGTAGAGACTTAAGAACCTGGCTGCGCAGACGAAACAGTTTTATAAGGGCTATACTATCTCGTGAAAACCTAATAGCTCGGAATTAGCAGCAAGTTATGTATGTCTATTAATCGACGGATACTTAGTGCGGGGGGGGGGGGCTCAGCATAATGCCTACTGCCTAGCTTTTCTCTACTTCTTAAGGGCATTTATCTGAATAAAATACTACGTCACCCCATGCACATTGGAGCGGCGACGGGGTGCATGGGGTAGCCTCAGCCGAAGGCTGTGTGTCCGCGGGCCGGGAAGCTATTACTACTACTGCATTATCTACGTACTGATCCATTGCCATGGCCATTCTTGGCATTATGTGACATGTACAGATTCCGCGTGAGCACCTGTCGTTTCCGAAGCTCCTGATCCCTCATCTTCATCTTCATCTTCATGCCATCCGGGGGAGACCTGTAGACCATTTTCACGCGAGAGATAGCCACGTAGCTTAAACCAGTCCGAAAGTCCCGGCAGGACAGATCTGTAACTATCATGTCTTCGGTAGTACTTTGTGACTTGTGCATGGTAATTGCGTAGCATACGAGCAGGGGAAACTGCGTGCAGGCGCAGAAAGTGGCTCTTATAAGGAAGTCCCTCTCTACTGGGAGAATCGACATAATCTTCCTGCTCTCAGCGGTGGTCAGGAATACCGGTCCGCTGTATTTGTCAAACTCCATCATGACAACACAGGGAGGGTCTTGGATGGGGCCGGCCCCAGGTGCCCAGCCGATGTCGTAAATCGTACCGCGAGCGCCGTTGCAGAGGTCAACTGGCTGCCAAAGGTTGGACGTCAGCATCAGACGGGAGCCAATGCATATTGGGATCTGCTTCGCAAGGTTGCCCGCCTTGTCATCAGGCGCAGCAGCCGCGCCGGGGCCGACGTTCTTAGCCATGACCTGGATGACTGGCCGGCTGAGGCGGTCGAGGTGATAATGGTTATATTCGTTCACCCTATCTTTGGTAGCGTATACTCGTAAAGCGTTGACAAACCTTGCGACCTCTTGATCGTCTAGTTTTGCCTGTACGCGGTTGGAAAGGAGCTTCCAGGACTCCACGTCTTCGTCCCCTGGTTCGGAATCGCACTCTACCCCTAATTGCTCGAGATACCTCCGAGGCCGAGCAGGCGAGAGAAGCAAATTGAAGTAGCCCTCGGCGTTATTGGATTCAGAGAATTCCCCCTTGTCACCCATATTTATCCCGTCCCGTTCTGGATGTGCGCCATGACCGTCGGCTAATCCAGTGGTTAGCCTGCACAACGACGACGATCACGGCCAGGGATACCTTCTTCAGGCTCATCGGGAACTCCAGAGACGCCCAGTTGAGATATCGAGGGAGTCAGGGAGACAGTCTCCCCCGCACGGCGCCGTGAACGATGGTCGTGCTGTATAGCCACCTGCCTTGCCTTCGCCTCAGCCTTGGAGGCATCATCTTGTGAGTCTTTCCCGCCCTTATGGAACCTAGAAGCTAAGTAAGAGTACTCAGCATCAGTTGTGCTGCTTGGGACAGTAGATGGATCAGAATGTAACGCGATTTGATCGGTCGTTGGCTGTACGGTCGGTGAGGGAGCAAGAGTCCGGAAGTTGCGCAAGCTTTGTTGGGTTGGTGGGATTGGCGTCCCCAGCACCACCTGCGGCTGGCTAATCGGCTCTTCAAATAACCTCCTCGCCGTGTGAAGTTGCCGTAACCTCTGGGGAAGTAGGCTGGGTTCCGGATCTCTCGTTCGGAGGCGAGAGGCCGGCATCACCGTCGGTTCTCTTCCGGGCAGGTCTTTCAGCTGAGGAAGAACGGACGGCGAGCTTCCTCAATGTTTGGATCGCGCTTCTGGATCTGGAATTCTTTATTCAGTTAGTGTTGAATGCTCTTATGGTCTTACGGAGTGGGGAGACAGAGCTGACATGAGAATTGCACTGACTACGACAGCCGAGGCAGTTTTTGGGTTTCCCAGCAGATTTCCGTTTGCTGACGAAGTCACCCGCCGGTTTCTCCTCGCCACAGCGGGCACAGACGATGGAAATCAAGTCATCTTGAAGCCCTTGAGGAGTAGACTTAGGACTCATTACTTAATGAAGCACGCATCAAGACGCGTTGTTTCAATGAAATTTCCATGTCAAGCGAAGCGCAAGTAAACAAACCAGGGGTGTTGCGAGCCGCAGAAAGCTAGGCCCACTTCTTAGCAGCCATTGTCCAGTTGTTGCACGTTTTGCGACCATCCATACAAATTGCTGGCCAATCAGAACCCGGGAAACTTATTGACCCCTGTCTGCACCAAACCCTTAATGTAGAGTCAGCCTTCGGCTGAATTACTAATGGTTGTTAAAATTAACTCAAATCACAATAATAAGATGGGAAGATAGGAGGGATTCCTTGGTCCGTGCGCTAGATGTATTGATCTTCGAAACACCCGGTGGTCCGTGCCCTCATCAGCCACAACCATGATGCCCGCGACATCTCAAACAACTGTAGACCTTCATCAAACCCACAAACTGAAAGACTCGTTCCGAAGGTTTGATGGCGGGCCCGTAGGGGCCGGTCTCCTGTGCCTTTCGGAACGAAAGGTTCTTCCTTCCGCGCCCTAACGCTCGGGCCGCATACCGCCCCGTTCGAGCTTCGCCACATTCGAGTTCTTTTCCAGCCACTTACTTGCCACCCTCTGGGTTGTGGTTTCGAAAAGGTGTTTCGCCCGGCTCGGCCCTCGTTTTCTGCGGGTGCGGGTGAGGGTCCGTTTTCCTGCGGGGAGGGTCCGTTCGGGGAGCTCCTCTCCCGTACGTCCACCATCCGATCGACCAACTGGAATTTGTCCTCGGTGACACGGGGAAGACCATCCTCCGAGTGGCGCTCAACAGTTTCTTTTTCTGTCTCCCTCCTATCCTCGCGATGGCGGGGCCTGAAATACGGCTTGCTTGGGCCCCAATCTGTCCAAGGTCCGATCCCGACAGTTCACAACCATCTGAGTTCTGGCTCATCGTCCATGCACCGATATGGTTCTGCACTCGGCCACTGGCTCTCTTCTGTTCGATCTGCACTCGGCCACTGGCTCTCTTCTGTTCGACTGCATTCAACTTCGAGCAATGGAGCATTAGATAGATTGAGATTGCTTCTTCTCTTCCCTCCTCACCACACCCGTCTGACATGCACTTGTTGCTATGCCCCGGCAGGATCCAGTCAGAGTCCCAATTGATGAGATCCGCCGTACATTGGAAGATCTTGATCGCCAACACACTCAGAACAGGGCGGCGCCAGTCAGAGTCGCCCCTGATGAAATACGCCATACATTGGAAGATCTGGATCACCAACTCACTCAAAACAGGGCCCGAGGGAGGCAGGGGACTTCTCAACCGACTGCTCCAAATTCCTCGACACCTCAGAGAGCCGTCCGGCGCCGGCAAGAGCCGGTCAGGGTCCCTCATGACGAGATCCTCCGTATGTTGCAGCATCTGGACCGCCAGCACGCCGAAGACCAAGCCCGTCAAAAGGCAAAGCGCCCTAGGGAACAGGAAGCTCCGCGGCCCACGCAACTAAACCCCTCCCCGAAGAGGCCGCGGCCGATGCGGGAAACCGTCCAACTCCAGTGGGAGGCAATCAATTCTATTCTACAATACCATGAATCTTGCTTTCGCGACAAGGAGGAGGCATCAGCGACAAGATCTTGGTGCAAGGAGGTCCCACTCACCCTCCAGGTAGAGGCTTCCAAGTCGTTCTACCAGGCGTTTACAGACGAGAAGACGTTGCCGATTTCGCATTGTGTCTTCTGCTACAGAAAGCATGCGCCTTGCGAACTTACCACCATCCAGTGGAAGAGGCAGTTGACGCCCCCCCTGCTGCAGGCCACGAGGACTCTTCAGCAGTGCAGGAAGTGCCTTCCACTGGATGACGAGGCTGGGGTTCACGTGTGCCTCGAGTGCCGCGCTGGCTTGGAAGGTGGAAAGCTGCCTAAGGTCTGCTCGGTCAACAATATGGACATCGGGTGTGAGCATCGGTACCCCGAAGAGCTTGATGGCCTCTCTCCTGTTGAAGAGAGGCTGATTGCTCTCCAGGCCCCTTTCGGCTACATCACAAAGTTCACCGTTGACAACAAGACCCCGTCGGGCCTCAGTTACCGAAAGCACGTGAAGGGCCATATTGTCGTGTTTCCGAACAAGGTGGAGGACCTCGTTGCTACGGCTCTCCCCCACCCTCTTCTGGAGACCGTCGAGAATATCCACGTCTCTTGGAGCGGCTCGAGCAAGCCTGGCCCTGCAGACGTTGGGCATCTGCTCCAAGTGCGCAAGTCTCGCCTAAGGACTGCCTTGCCATGGCTCCAAAAGAACAACCCGCTTTACGAGCACGTCATAATCAACCACGGCGAGATAGACGCCTGGCGATATGCAGACGGCTCCAATGTCCCAATCCTCATCATGGATAACATGCAGAGGGAGGAGCCGTCTGCTGCTGAGAAGACGCAGACGGACCAAATAGTCCCAGATACCGATCGAGGCTTGGAAGACAACCGGTTCACAAGTATTGAAGAACTCCTTACCTCGGTACGCCCCCACCCCACTGAGGAACCGTGCCATACGGAAGACACTCCGTGGACGGAGCAGCACCGGCCCCCGCCGGGTGGACCCGGCATTTCAGCCCCTTCCCCGGAGCCTACTGATGGCAGTAGCGATACCGTCTATGAGACATCGTCATCCGGCATGTTTCCTCTTGACGGACCGGCTGCTTTTGAAGAGTCGGATAAGCTGTCCTTCTTAGTTGGGGTTATGCCGACGAGTCAGAGTCAGAGTCGACAAGGCGAGGAGTCTGAGCCGCGCTCCATACAAGTCCAGACGACAGGAGAACAGCCGTTCATCCGGGTGGAACGTGGCGCGGACTTTGCGGACAGCTTGCACGAGGACTTCTTCCCACGCACTTTCCCGAAGCTTTTCCCGTGGGGGAGGGGTGGCCCAAAGGCATTGCGTGGGTCGGGCCGCGATCGACGACACGCTTCGGACCCTGCCGAGCACCATTCAAACCACTCGCTCAATTACTGGGCCAGATACGTACTGCGGCCAGATACGTACTGCGGCGACACGGCGGCCGGTTTGCCACCCATCCCGTCTTTTGTTTCCTGGTCTTCAACATCCTCCTCCGGTCCTCCAACCGCCGTATCAGCATGGTCCGTATGACAAAGGGCTCTTTTGGGAGAGTTGAACGGATTTATGGAAGCCTGACGGCGGACCGGCTTAAAAGAGCCGAGGACGAGATGCGAGAGACGAGGGCGACGACCGACTCCGACATAGCGTTCCTGCTCCGGGAGCTGTCCATCTTTGGCCACGCACAGCCGCTCTCGAACGAAAGCCGATTGCTCATGCGGAGGAAGATACAAGCACTTGACATTTGGACCGGTACGCCCGTGATTTGGGTTACCATCAGCCCCAATGACATCAATAACCCGGTGAAGATGAGGCTCTCCATCCACAGGCTCCACAAGTACGACACCGCAAGGAGCCTATTAGCCGATCTTCGGGGGAGGTACGACAGAACCGCCCTCAGCACCATGGATCCGGTCAGCTCCGCCATCTTCTTCCACAGAGAAGTCTCTCTGTTCTTCGAGAAATACGTCAGAGCAGGCCAAGAATCGGCTTTTGGCAAGATCAGCCATTACTATGCAACGGTGGAAACGAACGATCGAGGCAGCTTGCATTTGCACGGGCTCCTCTGGTTGCACGGCAACATGGAGTTGCCGTCCCTGATTGACGACCTGGCTGGTCCTAAAGAGGAAGAATACCGTGCCCAAGTGACTCGGTACGTGGACTCGGTCTTTCATGAGTGCTTAAACGAGAATGCTGGAAAGGTTGCCCGACAGGAGAGGAAGCCAATCCACCCGGTTGAGGAGATGATGAACAGCACCGAGGCTCTTACTGCGGCCTTTGACACTGAGTCCAACTTCATCGCGTACTGTTGCCAGGTTCATTCCCACACCTACACCTGTCTCAAGTATTCTCTGAAGGGACTCGCCGAACAGGGTGCGAACAAGTACAGACGGACAGCTTGTCGGTTCAAAGCGCCTTGGAAGATCGTCGAAGCAACAGGATTCTCGGAGGAGGGCCTCCTCAAGGTCCGGCGAAACCACCCGCTGGTTAACCGGTATAACAGAGCAATGGCGATCGGCCTCCGCCACAACCACGACATCTCGATGATCTTGACTCGGACCAAGGGCCTGGCCATGGTGTTTTACATCACGAACTACGCGACCAAACTGGATACGCCAATGTGGAAACGCATCGTCCTCGCCGCCGAAGTCCTTCGACAGCTTCGTGAATCTGACGTGCCGAGTCGTCCGGTGTCGGATTCTGCCGAGCGTGACGCCCAGCGGCCGGCCGTGCTGAACCAGAGCCGTCAGTTTCTGATGAGGACTGCGAACCGAATCTTTTCCGAGAGACAGCTCTCGTCCGTGGAGGTCTGCTACCACCTGCTCGACTATCAGACGGACTTTACCAACGTGCCGCACTGGTCCTTCTTGAACCTGACCGCACTGTATTGGGCCATCTTCCGCCGATGGGCGCACCTTCGCCGTCAAGCCGGCGTAGAGACAGACGCGGAGGAGCCTCCTGAGACGGTACACCTTAGGGAAGGCGGCCGGACCCTGTTATACCTGGACGCTTACGCCTACAGAGGTCGGGTTCTGAAAGATCTGTGCCTCTATGACTACATGTCTATGATTCAACTTGTGCGTTCCCGTAACCTGGATGAGGACGAAATCCACGTATCTCTTGAGGGGCGCTCTCCAGAATGCCACAACTGGGTACAAAAGCTTCGGCGACCTCCTGACTACGCCGTGCCCATCTTTCAAGGGTTCATCAGCGACGATCACAACGACGAGCACCCGGTATATTTCAAACGGTACCTTCCAACTCCCACACTTCCATCTCCGAGCCAACTCTGACCTTCTTCATAGCAACTCTGTCCTCCATTTGGCCCTCTTTGTGCCTTGGGAGGCCTTTCTTTCAAAGAGGCAGGGCGATATCACTAACATCTGGTCGGATTACGAGGCGGCTCTCTCTCCCCGCCTGCGTTTCCACGTCTCCAACATCTCCCTTCTCAGAAAGTCAGCCGAAGATGCGCGTAAAGACGCAAAGCTCTGGGCCAGCCGGTCGGAAGGTGATGACACGGTTGATGTGGAGCTCCCCCTGGATGAAGATTACTGCGGTGAAGAGGCAGCAACGATGGCTGAGCATCACCAAAGCTACACAGCTCTGCTCCAGACTCTTCAAAATGCCATACGGGATTCCGACGCTACGAGGGACTCCCCAGTCTTACGGAGCCTGGCCCGGGACCTGTGCGAGGAGAACCCTGCTGAAGAGGATAGGTCTTTTATCCAACGCCACGAGGGCTTTTACCAGCAAATTCGCCGTAACCAAGACAGTCCCTTATGCCAATATCCGAGTCTATCCGGAGACGATGTTCAAGCCGCGGCAAAGGCCCAGGACATGCTGCATCTCCGAATGCTGGATGAGATTGAAGGTTGCTCCCAAGGCGCTGTGCACTCCACGGGTAACGCCGACATAGACGATGTCTTAGCTCGGCATTACGATGCAGAGATTCCCTTTCCGGCTCAAGGTCAAGACTCGGCCATGGACATGCCTCGAATCCTTGTCGATGTCAGTTCTACAACAGGCTTCGTCGAACTGGGACGCCTTGCCGCCTCCAACTATACGCTCAACTATCTGCAGAGCATGGCTCTCCAACTCGTGTGCAGCTTCTTAGACAAGTACACTGCCGATCCGGACTCGGCCGGCCAGCATCTCCAGTACACGGGCGGGGCGGGTGGGACAGGAAAGTCGAGGATTGTCGATGCCCTGAAGGACGTGTTCGCGGCGAGGGGTCAATCACACCTTCTTCAGATCACCGGCACGTCAGGCAGTGCTGCGGCCCAGATCGGCGGGACGACGGTCCATTCGGCCTGCGGCCTGGATGCCCGCCGCTCTTCCAGGAAGCAACCTTTGTCATTCCCAGAAGCCAAGAAATGGACCTGGAAGCAGAAGCTCGTCCTCGTGATCGACGAGATCAGTATGCTTGGCGGAGCCACCCTATACGACGTCAGCCGCCACCTCCAGTCTCTCCGCGATTGCCCTGATAAGCCATTTGGCGGTATTCCTGTTGTCCTCCTGATGGGGGATTTCCATCAGTTCGCCCCGGTGCATGAGACGAGCCTCCTCGTGAGCAAAACGATGGATCCCGCCCTCGCCCCCGTCAGCCAAGCAACCATTTCTCACCACCAGGGCTCTACTCTTTGGCACATGTTCAAAACTGTTGTCCTTCTTGAAGAACAAGTCCGCGCACGGGATGATCCACAGCTGGGCGCTCTTCTCGACAGAGTACGTGCCGGGCTCCAAACGGAGCAAGACCTCCACCTGCTTAACACTAAGCTGGTTGACCGCTCCCGAATCGCTTTCCACAGCGGCTTACGCGCCATAACGCCGCTGAACCGCAACCGCTGGAGCCTCAACATGGAAGCCGTCGTAGACTGGGCGCGTTTTAACAAGAGACATATCTCCATCTTCATCTCGACCCACACTTGGCGGAGGGGCACGCTATCCCAAGACGAGATCGCCCAGACCATTGAACAAGGAGACGATTCCAACTGCAATGTCCCTGGCATCTTTTTCTATGCCCAAGGGATGCCCGTAGTTGTGAACAAGAACATCTACACGGGGTTGAAGATTGTGAATGGAGCGGAGTTTACAGCCGCAGACGTTGTTCCCGATCACAAATATCCAGGATACCATCTTGCGGACGACGTCACCATCCACTTCGGCCCTCCACTCGGCATACTCTTGCAGTCGAGAGACACAAAAGGCTTGGCCGTCCCGACCCTCCCTGCGGGAGCAGTACTCCTCCGGCCGATCTCACAGACCCTCGATCCGGCCAACCCACGCTTCAAGTTCTTGTCGGCCAAATGCACTCGGCGCGGATTGCCCGTTGTTCCTGCATTTGCCATTACTGACTATAAAGCCCAAAGCAAAACGTTCGCAGAGGTGCTCTTGGAGCTACGGGGACATCGTATGGTCAATGGAGAACCTTCTAAATGCGATTTTACTAGTCTCTACGTACAGTTGTCCAGGTGCACGACGCTTCGAGGCGTCAAGCTTCTCAGTCCTGTACGACACCAGGATTTCATTGGTAACAAGCTGGATCAGGCCATAGTTGATGGCATGCAGAGACTCAGGAACCTAGCTGTAGAAACTCGACGGATATATGAGGGTCACGGCCGCGATACCTAGGAATACCGGTAGCATGCGAGATCATTCTGAAGATAGTTTAACCGTTTGGCTCATCCTGAAGTCTGAAATCACTCCAACGCCGCCGACCTTGTAGTATCCAGAACCGACCCTACTTGCCCATGCCGGGCCCCATGACTTAAAGCTCCAACCCGGCGCATTTTCAACCCGACTTAAGGGCGCCAAGCAACAACTAGACGCAGGGGTTTTGTGGTTCAAAACGCACGACGAACCCCGTATTAGGAGTCTTAGATCTCATACGGCGACTTCACCGCCCGCCAATCATCCGGATCCTTCTCGCCTCCGTTGCCCGGCCGGAACTCCTTCTGTTCCTCACAATAATCTTTCCACCACTCTTCGAAGGCCTGTCTATTGTACAGACTTCTCGGCGGGCCTTCTCCTTCTCCGAAGAGGTCCAGAACGCGGTCACAGTACATCCACACGCCCTCAAGATGGTGCGGCAGCAACGGCTTCATGTCCTTGCGCGCGACCACCACGGTGCCGACATATGACCGCCACTCCGGGGGCGCAAACCCGGACTCGGCGTCGATATTGACATACGTGGCGATCTGGTTGTCGAGGTCCGCCCGGTTGGCGGACTGAGTGCCTACGCGGTAAACGACCAGCGGGACGTCGATGAGTCCTGGGACAGGAGGCACGGGCTGCGAGAAGACGGCATGATCTGCCTGGATCGTCGTAGCGGACCAAGGCGCGAATTTCAGTCTCTCAACGTCGCACCGGACGATGACGGCTTGGATGGACCCTGACGCGCTGTGTGTTGCCGTCGATGCCGGTGCAGCCGACTGTGAAGTGGCGGGGTTTGCTTCGACCGGAGACACCTGCTCAGTGGGGGTTTGTGGCTCGGAATCGGTGTCTATGTTGTCCCATTTGGAGTAATCGATTGGCGCCATGGAGAGTGGCTTAGTACTACGACCTGGGTAAGATCAGATAGTCAAAGAAATAAAGATAATAAGGATATGCCTTTTCGGAAACTTGATATTTCGGAAGTTTTCAGGTTTGTCAGGAGAATTGATCAGTAAAGTTTTCTTGAACTTCCCATGGTATCGAATCTACGTCACAGGGCAGATAAGATTCTGGGCTGTAAGCCACAGTATGTATGCACAGTATCTCAAACACCAAGTCTGCCCCACGTGTCTTTCGATGCGAAACGAAAACCTTCGTCCTCTCTCCTCCCAAAGGTCTCCTCCCAGAGGACCACCTAACACCGTATACCCTCAACCCATATACCGATCCATGATCGAAGAGCCACGGGGGAAATCAGAGGATTTCGAAAGGCTCGTTCCGAAAGGCATTGGCGGGCCCGCAGGGACCGGTCTCCTGTTTAACACACCAAAACCCGGTAATAGTGCGCCGCATTGCACTGGCGCTTGCCCCGCCAAAGTTCCTTGCACAGCCCCATCTGTGCCCGCAGGCGAACTGACGCGGATTGATCGTCGCTACCTATCTGCGGGCCATCTTGCTAGTGTCAGCGATGATTCAAGCTCCGGTGCAAGTTTGGCTGGGCCGCGGACCCTCGTATGCTTGACGGGCCCTGGGCAGCCCGTTTGTGAGCGCCTTTGTTCTTGCCCGCAAGCAGTTGGAGCCCCCCCAGCCGAGGGCATTTATAAGAGGTTTGCTGCCAGTTTCTTTGTTCGACGTAAACCTTCTCCCTCTTCTTGCGTAGACATCCCACTCGAAGATCCCCTTACCCTCTCAACTGCCGGGTTTCGTACTCCCTTCACCAAACCAACCACCTATCTTTCCATCTAGGCCAGAGCTACCAACCGCCGAAATGGTCAAGATCGCCATTGTCTACGTACGTCCATCCCTTTCCGCGTTCACACATAGCCATGGCGGGTTGATGCGCCCCTTGATTTGGGTATGATGTCAGATAGCTCAGGCACTGTACATGTACAACTTGACTTCAGATCTGGGCTTCTCCAGAGAGGCATAGTGAATGGGCCATTGAGGCTGCACTTCGGAGTCGCTCAACACCGGTTGCTGACTCGACATGTGCCGCAGTACTCCATGTACGGTCATATCAAGACCCTGGTCGACGCCGAGAAGAAGGGAATTGAGAAGGCTGGAGGCACCGCCGACGTGTTCCAGTATGTCGAGACCTCACCCTAAGGCGGGGTGATACGCGAATAGCCCTATAAATCAAATATTGATATACTCTCGCAGGATCCCTGAGACCCTCTCCGACGAAGTCCTCGCTAAGATGTATGCCCCCCCCAAGCCCACCGACATACCCATGCTCGAGGACCCCTCGGTGCTGGAAGGCTATGATGCCTTCCTGCTCGGCATCCCGACCCGTTACGGCAACTTCCCTGCCCAGTGGAAGACCTTCTGGGACAAGACCGGTAAGCAGTGGTCCTCGGGCGGGTTCTGGGGCAAGCTGGCTGGGGTCTTCGTATCCACCGCCTCGCTCGGCGGCGGCCAAGAGTCGACTGTCCTCGCCGCCATGTCCACCCTGGCCCACCACGGTATCATCTACGTGCCCTTCGGTTACGCCAAGGCCTTCGGCCAGATGACCGATCTTAGCGAGGTCCACGGCGGCTCCCCATGGGGTGCCGGCACTTTCGCCGGCCCCGACGGCTCGCGCAAGCCAAGCAGCAGAGAGCTCCAGCTCGCCGAGATCCAAGGTGAAGAGTTCTACAAGACCGCCCTCAAGCACTTCGGTTGACTAGATGGCCCGGAAAGCGGCAAGAAGGCCGGTGAGAACGGGAAGGTTGCGGCGACAGACCAGGTCGTCGCGGGGACGAATGGCGCGGAGCCGGTAACCGGCGCTGCTGCGAAGGAACAGGCCCAGCAGACACCGCAACAGCGGCGGGGGGAGGAAGATGACAAGGAGGGCGGCCCGTGTGGGTTGCCGGCCACGTGCTTCGTGTTGTAGGGGGGACACTCTGTGATAGCCAGACAAGTCATGCAAAGTTCGATGATCATTCCTACGTTACTGCATCTATTTCCTTGCGGCCTTGTCTTTTGTTGTAATATCCCTCACCCCTCAACGGCCCTCCCTAACATCTGACCACAAAAAAAAGACCCCTCCTTGAACCCGATTATTCGATCCTTTTTGACCCTACTGTAGTATAGTCTTTGTTTTAGTAAATGAATTAAGGCCGCTTGATCAACCGTATCATCAGCTTTATCGCCTGCCTCCTTAGGCCTCGTGGATGGCGTCGGTGTCCGCAACTTTGGAATTGGAGCTGATCTGGACCTGCTTTTTCCTCGGCTATATAGTTTCAACCTGCACTTCAAGGAATTCTACTCTATATTGTAGGTAGAAAACTGGCAGTCCTTTTCCTGGAAACATTTTGTATCTTCCTGAGCTGTAGCCGTTGCGTAATACTGCGTCTATCCAGCTGGCTGTTGTTACAGATCTGGATGGTCCCGTAGATCGATGCCCTTCCTTGGTATCGACCAGTCGGCGACAGACGGAGATACATACCCTTGTGGGATAAGCTTAGACTCCTGGCCGGCATAGAATCGCTCTTAGCGTTGATGGTAAAGGTGAACGAGAACGATGACGAGAACGAGAACGAGAATTGAATTCACTAATGCGGCTGGAGGTAGCATGGAAGGTTAAGTTTTGGGCTGAAATTGGCCTCCACAAGGAGTAATCCTTGATCCACGTCAGTTTGTTGGGCAGGTTCCAGGATTTCTACCCATCAGGACAGTCCTACTTTCCGACAGGTCAAGCCTCGGCGACTTTTACGGTGAGATTGTACGGAGGCGCATATCAAAAGTCCTCGCTTGCCAAGGCACTAAATTTAGTAAGCTTTAGCGTCCACCCAGAAGCTGCCCCGCACCAAATTTGTATGCGTCAATTCCCCAATGTCTGACAATACCACTCTTCCTCTTCAATTCAATGAAAATGCCTCCAAATATTGCAGCTCGAGCGTGCGTTATTACGCTGAAAGCTGCTGGCAAAGAGACTATTGCAGTTGCCTATTTTACAGGGCTTCCAGTACGAACGATCAATGATATCTATGCACGAGCAATTAAGCGCGGCTTCGACCTAGCAAAGAGAGCTCTTGAGATTACAGATGCCCACGTTGCTGATGCACCTCGATCCGGCCGACCTAAGAAGCAGACCATAGAGATCCAAGAGGCCATTGCAAGCAAGGTACGCCGTGACCGCTACGGCAGGGAAAAGACCTGTGCTGATATTGCTGGGGAGCTTAGTCTGGAAGGCTTCAACATCTCTTCTATGACCATCTGGCGGACCCTCCGGGGCGCTGGCTTCAAGAAGACCAAGCCGACCAGGAAGCCTGGTCTGACGAAGAAGATGCGGCAGGATCGGCTTGAGTGGTGTTTACAGCGGAAGGACTGGACTCTTGAGGACTGGAAGAACGTCATCTGGTCTGACGAGACCTCTGTTATCCTGCTTCATCAGCGTAGAGGATACCGTGTTTGGAGGACTAAAGATGAGGCCTTTGTCCGCAGCTGCATTCGTGAGAGGTGGAAGGGGGCTTCTGAGTTCATGTTCTGGGGCTGTTTCTCATATGATCGCAAGGGCCCTATGCACTGCTGGGCACTAGAGACCAAGGTTGAGAAGGCAGCCGCCGAGAGAGAGATCGCGAAATTGAATACGGAGCTGGAGCCGATAATGAAGGAACAGTGGGAGCTTCAAAATGGCATGCGGCGCCTTGACCTACGTAACCTCCCCGGCAAGAAGCCCCAGTGGCGATGGAGTCAGAAGAACGGCAAGCTTACCCGACGGGCTGGGCACGGAATAGACTGGTATTTATATCAGACCAAGATCTTAGTGCTTAAGCTGCTGCCCTTTGCCGCTGAGTGCCTCATTGAGCGGCCAGGGACTATTGTACAAGAAGACAAGGCGCCAGCACATAACCACCACGCACAGCAGCAAGTATACAATGCAGCCGGTATTGCGAGGTTGCTTTGGTGCGGCAACTCGCCGGACCTCAATGCAATAGAGCCATGCTGGCCCTGGATGAAGAGATAGACTACAAGGAAAGGGGCCCCTAAGACCCATAAGGAAGCTATCGCAGCTTGGGAAGCTGCTTGGAAGGAACTTAAGCAGGAAGCTATTCAGGCTTGGATTGAGCGAATTCCTCGTCATGTGCAGGAAATAATTACTCTTGAGGGTGGAAACAAGTAACTATAAGAAAGGCCGGAGAAGGCCCTCATACTAATTTAGTAGCACTATTCCCAAATTAGCTAGCTCTGTGTTTTAGCGCAAGCGAGGACTTTTGATATGCGCCTCCGTATTGGCGTAAGAATTGAAGGCTTTCGCCGTAAGGCTTATTGGAAAATTCCCTGGGCCATACCTCTATTCGGCTGTTCTCGTCAAGAGTGCAGATCCTTGTGAGCTGTGGTGTTTACTATAGTTCCCACTGCTTCTAGTCCCATTCTGTCACAGTCCGAAGTGTAATCATCTAGATCGTAGAAAAGACATGCCATGCTTACAAATTATTAATTATAAATCGCTAAATCAAACAAAGCAGTCAATCAGCATTGATACCAGTGAACACCCGCACATTCCGGTGAGGCCTTTATATACAAACATAGCTCCCCTATTCGCAAGCTTTCTTGTACACCATCATTCATCATTTCTCTAAGATTCAATCCGACGTTTCCAAGCCCCACATGCAGCTTTCACTTATAGGCGCAGCCGTGCTCCTGGCTGCTCCCGGAGTCCTGGCCAAAACAAAGCATGAAGTTCTTGGACCAATTGTTCGCATCCGGAACGGAACAATTGTTGGCAAATACGTCGAGACCTACGACCAAGATCTTTTCTTAGGAATCCCTTTCGCGCAGCCCCCAATCGGAGATCTTCGCTTCAACGCGCCTCAACCCATCAATGAGACCTGGACAACCCCTTTGAACGCCACTGCGTATGGCGCTCATTGTATCAATTACCTTCTGGGCTTACCTTTGGACCCCGCCGACCTCGCCACGAGATATCCTCAGAGCGAGGACTGCCTGACGATCAATGTTGTCCGACCAGCAGGAACGAAATCCAATGCACGTCTTCCTGTGTTGACTTATATATACGGAGGTGGCTTTCAGGAAGGAGGCTCCGGCGATGCAAGATACAACGCCAGCGCTCTCGTCCAGAAGTCCGTTCAAATTGGCCAGCCGTCAATTGTTGTCACTATGAACTATCGTCTTCAAGGATGGGGCTTTTTGGCTGGGAACAACGTGCGCAACCAAGGCCTCCTGAATCTTGGTATCCAGGACCAGCGACTTGCTCTGCGGTGGATCCAGGACAATATTGCTACATTCGGAGGAGACCGTCAAAGAGTCACCATCCAAGGAGAATCCGCCGGTGCTGCCTCGGTGGGCTTTCACTTATTAGCCAATGGAGGACGGAATGACGGCCTTTTCAGTGCTGCAATCTGTCAGAGTGGCGGACCCTACTTTTTTGGCAGCTTTACGCCAGATGCCCAGTCGGAGAAGGCGTATGAGAGCGTCCTGAAGGCAGCTAATTGCACGGATGCACACGACACACTGCAATGCTTACGTGCCGCGCCTCTCGAAATATTGAACACGACCTTTGCTGGTTTGTCATTCCTTCCGGTTATAGATGGAACCCTCGTCCCCGAATACAGTTCTACGGCTCTTGCGAAGGGCCGCTTTGTGAAGGTCCCTCTGCTCATCGGTACCAATACCGATGAAGGTAAGATCTTTGCCGGCATGGGTGTCAACACGACCGACGAATTCGCCGGTTACATCACGCAATACCCATATATTCATACAGCCAACAACCAAACAATCCGCGACCTGCTGGAAGCCTATCCCGAGCTGGGCACCAACTCGACACATGGTCAATCGGACGATACCCTCCCAGTGTCTGCGCCATACGGAGATCAATTCCTGCGCACTGCCAGATATACCGGAGATGCTATTTTCATTGCCGGGCGGCGATACACCTGTCAAATCTGGACTGAACATGGCGTCCATTGCTACAGCTACCGGTTTAACACAATTCCCGGCGGCACCGATCCGCTGTACGTTGGTGCGACTCATTTTGAGGAGATTGCATTTGTCTTTGATAACGTCTTGGGAATGGGCATGACATCAAATGCTTTTGATGTTGAGCCCATTGAGCGGGAAGAGAGCTACAAGAAACTAAGTGACATGATGGGCAGGATGTGGATGAGCTTTGCTGCGACACACTCGCCCAATAATCACAAAGGTATTCCCGCCAATCTGATTCTCATGAGATTCTTACTAACATCTATATTTAAAAGTGAAATCGTTCCGGACTGCCTGGCCTGCGTACAGCTTGAAGAATCCCCGGAATATGGTGTTTGATGGAAACGCGACGAGCTTCGTGGAAAAGGATGATTGGCGTACCGACGCACTGAAGTTGATCATCGAAAGATCCTTGGATTTCGGTCGTTGATACGCTTGATCCTCCTAATCCATTGGATGCTGTGGAGTCTAGCAAACTGCAGACCATCTACGTAAACTGTAGCTGAATGTTAGATTTCCCTGGGATGCCTGTTGAACAGAAGGGTGGTCACGTGCAGAGCATGGGTCCTGAGATTGCATGTGGATACGTGAGATATCTCAGGGGCAGACACACGTCCCGAGATACAAAAAAAAAGAAAGAAAAAAAAAGGAGAGAACAGAGAATCAACAGACCCGACGCTAATGGACCGAATACCCGTACTGTCTGACAATAACAGCCTAAAATTGACGTGCCAGAAGTAGCTATTCATCACGGAGCTATTTTCATCCAGCAAACCACCACTCTCATGCTGCCGTCGTGGAGATTGGCGGGTTCAACCCACTCCGGTTTACTCCTAGTTCGGGGTCGCGTACTCCAAGCATTTCTCGTGTCGCGAGATTCACCATGTGCTTCTATCATCAGGATGTGTACGCCTGGAGCCAATAGGAAGGAGGCTCCATCCGTCAATTCTGTGCTCATCTGCGGCCTCAGCTCATCTACTCAACGAACAGCGGGCAACCTGGAAAAGACACGCAGCGAGGCGGCCGTGGCGTGGTGTGACATCACACGACTGAGACAGTCCATCTCGGCCGAAGGGTTGTCTCATGCCACTGTCATCGCAGGCCGTGCCCACAGAAGGCACGCACAGCACCCCTTGCCAGGAGGCTTCTGTCGGTCAAGCAACAATGCTCAACTAGCTCGGGCGGGGAGTTGGAGCGTGATGTAGTGCAGACGAGCCGCGCGTAGTCTTCCTCAGGTCGTCCTCTCCGATATCGTCGTCGTCGTCGTCCGGATGTGACGGTCGTGCTTTTCGACCTTCTCCTCCTCGTGGTGAGTGGCGCCACGCATGGACTGGTTGAACCTGCTCACCTGCTCACGCTCGGTGTCGGCGAGCTCAAGCATCAGGGAGTCAAGAAGGTTGGCGTGGCTGACGAGGAGGCGGAGGTCGTGGTCTGCACGGGCAGCCTCGGAGGAGAGTTTGACCCGCGCCTTGTGTGCCAGGTAGTAGGTCTGGGTGATGAACATCTCCTTCTGACAAGTGATGTTGAATTTAGAGAGGGGAGAGTAAGATGTTGTCACTGTGACTCAAGGCAGAGAAGAAACGCTCCAAACGACACGTCGGGGCCGATTGCCGATTACAGGCAATCGCTGATAAATGACTTCAGGCTCTTCCCGGATAATAAAAGCACTCGGCGCAGATAAGCGGTTAGTAGTAACCAACGTGGCTAAGAGTGCAAGGCAGTATGTCAACATTCGCAGTTGAACACGTCCCGCCAGAACCAACCCAAACAAACCAACAACCCAGAGTCACAAGCTACAACGGGCCCGGCACTGTCACATAATCGTTATCGAGCCTGGCGGTGAGGTTGCCTCGAAAATCAATAACCACACCCCCAATGTCGTCCCTACCCAAGCTGATATGCCCATCCCCTTGAGGTTACTTCAGTGACTGGAAATATCTTTGTAATTCCATTCAAGATAATCCTAATCTATGTCTTCCTCATATTGACTTCCTTGTGAGATTTCGCCCCCGGAGTAGCCTTTGCCTAGTCAAACGCCCAAGCAACCCCATACCATTCCAAGGGCGGTGACGACCTCATCTACGATGGCTTCAATGGCAATGACTAAATCCTGAGCGACCTGAACTGGACTTGAACTGTGGAAGCTGGTGGAGCCTGACCGTCACGAAGTCATATAAGGAGAAGCAGAATCAACTACAGAACCGGCTAACAAGCCCCCTTCTGACCCATGCCGTCATGAAGGTGGCCAGCTCATCGTCCGCCACGCAGGTCACGAAACCATTTTTGACTGGAGCTCGTCCAAGATGAAGACCAATGCCATTTGTTGGGGTGCCTTCTACAGTGATTGCCGAGGGAGGTCAAGGAGATAACCGAGGGCAGCCGGGTCACCCTGACGTACAACCTGTACTTTGCCCCTGGCGTTGGTAACCTGACTGAGAACTGCCCGGCCATGGATATCAGCACCCTTCCACTCTACCAAAAGGTCGGACGAGCCCTTGCCAACCCTGAAATTATGGGAAAAGGGTTCGTTTGGACCATTATTTGTTGCCAGGGTCCATAATATTAATATATCTGTCTAGATGGCCATTTCGGTATCTTCCGCTCACATGCCTACGCCCACAACACCAAAGTGGGAGCCAAGTCCTTACCCGCCGTCCTGAATGGCTGTCTACGTCTTTTTTCAGGCTCATGGCCTGAATGTATCCGTACGTCCTGTCCTTGACGATAAAAGGGCCCTTGAGAAATCGGCAGCGTATGATCCGTTCCATGGCAGTGCAAATGGATCTGGCCAACGTGAAAACGCCAAGTTCCGCCCATACAGTCGCCTTGGTCGCCTAGGACAGGTCCGTGTCTTCGACTATTATAGCAGGGATGAAAACATGCTCGAAATTTTGAATTCCTGTAAAGATGACGTTGTTGGCATTAAATGGCTGTCGATGCCGTCCCCGGATGTCATGGAGCAGGGGTTCATCTTCATGACTGTACGTGCCACCCCCCTCCAGGCCTGCTGCCCGGTCTCAATTAACGAGCATGGTACGATAACGAGCTCGGCATGGAAGAGATGTACACATATGGTGCAAAGCTAGTCGAAGTCCCGGAAGCGAGCAACCGTTCGGACAAGGGGGTGCAGCCCCAGGAGTAGTCGAAAGTCGACACACGGTGTATTAGCTGCCCTCAACATCAGATGTCATCGTATCTCATAGGCAGCCAAGCGGATGATGGAATTATTCTATGACGCAAGTATCCAGTACGCATACTACTCGGGTTGTTCGACCGGTGGCCGCCAGGGCCTGAAGGATGCACGGCTCTTCCGCGATGATTTTGATGGCATGCTCATTGGAGCGCCGCCCTGGTGGACTGCCCTTCTCCAGACATGGACCACCCAGCTCGGTATCCATAACCTCCCTGTTGGTGCAGCCAACCACGTCGACGCGTCACTGTACCCCGTTCCCGCCGCCGAAGCTGTGGCCCAATGCGATGTGGTTGACGGTGTTGTCGACGGCATCATCAGTCGCCCCAAACTGGGTGACTTCAATCCGGATACCCTTCTCAGCATGGGCCCGTCGACTGGAGATCCTCATGTTCTCCTTAGCGAGCCTCGGGCATTTGTAACATGAAAAGTCCTCGAGACCGCAGAGGCACCTCCGTGCAAGGCGCACTCGAGAGGGGTAAATCGGGGTCGTATTGTAGGTGTCCAATGCCGACTTCCCTGATTCGGAGCGAAATTGCAGCTCAGCCGAATCCTGCGGACCCCGAGCCCGAGTGATCCCCTTTCTATTGCGATAGGGCATTCGCTCCCCAGATAAGGGCAAACTAATCTGCTGCTACGGTGTGTCGGCCGCATCAACCCTTGTCCACTGGGGTGAATGTGGTTCCTTAGGAGTAATTATGGAGTGTGTCTTGCTGGAGTCGAAGGATAGTTACATCAAACCCCCTGCGGCCCCGAAACGGTCTATACGAGGCGCCTTCAAGTGGTGCGGGACAAGGGTTAGTAGGTCGGTACTTACTTCCCCGATGTCAAGAGCCGACATCCACAACTTCGTCGTTCTCGTTCTCGTTCTCGTTTAGGGTACATAGTCTGTTGTAGGGATGATACGTCACCTGGCCCGCCCCACACGTTCATCCGTCACCTCAACTTCCAGTTTCTAACCCCTTGGTAAGCCACTGACCGTCGAACCGTACTTTTCGTGGTTTAACTGCAACTTGGTTCGCAGCTGGTCCGCATAATTTGAATGCCTCTGGACAGATGTGCGGGGTCTCTATACGAGGAGACGTTGGGAAAGCTGCCAAAGCCCGCTGACACTTCCTCTCTACTTTTGATCATGAAAGGCACCGGCTGCAAGATTGCATATCCATACAGCCGACCGCTCGGGGGTGCGACCTCGTGGTACAGAATAAGAGAGGATCAATCTGCCAGACTTGAGCGGGCCGAACACCCGTGCTGTGAGATTTTAACTCTGAATATGGAACGAACCATGCCCATTGCGGTCACCGAAAGGCGGAGACGCTACTAGTCTGTTATGGATATTCATGCCGCAAACATAACGGACGGCGGACCAAGGGTCTCCGCGACTTTGGACTTTCTACGCCAAAAACGCAAAGATGAAAGTTTGTAGGGGAGGCACATGTAATTGTAGCCCGGCTTTGCAACCACACAGCAACCTCTGGAATAGCATCCAGCGTTGGCTTTGAGAATGTTGAATAATAGAAGCTTCGTGTGTCATCATTAGCTTGATTCCATCGCCGCCTTGCATTCTCAATGATCTCAAGCTCCTCTGACGTAATGAGGCTTCGGTGATATTCTTCCAGCTCAACAGCTTCAGCTGCCTCCTGTGTCTCTTTTGCCCTTGCAGCAGCTCGACCGTACATCAGTGGTGTAAGTGCGGCGTGGGTTGGATGTGTGTCGTGAGAAACTTAGCGAAATTTTGAGAGCATTGGAAATGACATGTTTAATTACGCGAAAAATCCACCACAGCTCTTCTCGAACTGAAAACTACATCATTCGATAGAGAAAGCTGCAAGGTATTTTAAACATAAGGAAATATCTTTTTGCAATTACATGTTGGCATTTTATGCCCGATCAAAGACGCAAAACGAGGTGCAATTCTCAAATGGTGCTCCAAAAACATCGGCAATCCCTGGTCAGCGGCGTCAGACCCCTGGTTGCAGTTGGCCAATACGAGCCAGGCATGGCGTCTACAGTATCCTTGTCAGATTTCAAAGCCAATACAGGAGAGGCAAGCCGGTCGCGGCTTGCGCATAGAGCCTTGAGGAACGAAGATGGCTATGGCGGTTTTCAAGGTGCTTTTACAGCATTGGCCAAGAGCCTTGGGCAAAACACCGGGTATAACAATCTGTTTATGACTGCAGTGCAGCCTTTCATGAAGGAGCATGAAGCGGCGTGTCGTGCCGCTTTAAACCCATTTTGCGAAAACTGTGGGTTACTTGCAATGAATCTTGCAAAGCCCCATGTCTTGGCTTCACGTGGCGGAGGATCCTTTCGTTGGCATCTGGGTCAGTCCCGTGTGTGGGAAAGGGGGATGTGAGACGCGGATACGGCAGGAAATCCAGGATATAATGGCTGGAATTGTTCAAGAGGATCCGCACCGAAGGCGGAGTACTTGTATGGAAATTTTGCCGTGCAAAGTATGTGGGGCAACAGAAGGGATCAAGAGATGTGGTCGGTATAAAGTTGTTGGATACTGTGGGAAAGAGCACCAGAAGGCTGACTAGAAAGTTCACAAGAAGATTTGTATTCGCAAGGGCGGGTAAAGTGGCTGAAAAGGCATACCTGTCCCCGTCCTTTGGAGACATCGAGTGCCACTGCTGATGCTGGCCAGCGGGAAAGAGAGAGCGTCCAACTTTTTCATCTTTTGGAGAGGTGGGCATTCTATTTTACAAACGACAATTCCTTCTGATACAGTATGCTCTTAGCCAACTTCTAGCTATTTCCTTGGAGGGTAACGGGTGCGATGAAGTTTCGGGGCATTGTACCAAAACGAGAGGCAAACTTAGGCTGTTCTATTGTTCCCGTGTTGAGATGGAGGGTGACGTAATGGCTCCCGAGTTACCTATTATTGGCAGCAGCGGTGTGTGTGCGCGAAAAGGCAACGATGCGACCGTCTCCTCAAAATTACGGAGGGACGCGGAGGAGAGCGCAGGGTTGGAATAGCGACGAATTGTATGCATGGACTGGCCGAGACTGTGACAATGGACGCATACAGGCAGGGTTGTAGGTGGTTAAGGGGACTATTAGCGGATCGCTTGGATACCGCAGGAACCAATGTCGTATTAAGAAGCATAATCATCATCCAGAAGCGAAATCGTGCAACTAAAGAGATTCCGGCGCGGAAGCCTTGTGATCTACCGGTCGCCTGGAGTCATCGATGTCGAGAAGGCAGTAGCAGGATGGATAGTCGAGCGGCGAAACCACATGAGGCGGTTGCTCACGTGGGAGCCTGCTCGTTTTCAGCTGGGAACGGACAAGAGGGTAATGATGTAAGTGTGTGGGAGAGAGGGCAGGGAGATGAGACGACCGGAGGCGGCGTAGATGTGGTAGCAGCTGCCGAAAAGGAGCCCAGCGCAAGGGGCAGGAGGCTGGGACGTTTGTCAACATACGATTCACTGGCGAATGCAGCATCAACGTTCCGACAGATTCTGCCCAAGGAGTCTGCGGTTGAAGATACCGCATGGAGGCAGCATGCGGAAGCAATTGCAAGGTCGTTGCCCAGAAGACGTCTGCGGGGCGGTTTGCGGTCAAGCAGAGCACGGAAGTCTCATGATGCGGCCAACGGTGGAGGTTCCGCACAACATCAGCCACCGAGTCAGCTTCAAAGGTCTTTGTTACCCAGAGAACGTGGTGTGCCGGAGGCCGCGGATCCTGATCTTCCGCTCTTTCATCGACACTTTTTGCCCAAGGAGAGGCGGGATGGAGATGATGAGAGGCGCGGTACGCCTCCGAGGAAACAGATCCGAGCTCGAATCCGAAGGCAGAGAAGACCGGAGTTGCAGGCCGAAGACCTGGCGAGCGTGTTGCGCTTCTTGGAGGACGAATTTGCCGTGAAGGAGAATCTGTCCAATGATCAGATGTGGTGTACGCCAATACCACATGAGAGAAAGGTGTCGACCGTGCGAGCCTTCTACAAGGAGTTCCACGATGCGGACACTTTGCCAATACGGACTTGCATGCTGTGCTACCGTAAGCGCACGAAAAAAGAGTTGAGAGATGTGGCATGGGACCAATGGATGTCGAGCTGCGTCGAAAAGGACAACCGTTCGCCATTTTCATGTCGAAGCTGCTTTCCCGTGGGCGAGACCTTCTCGGCATGTGCGGAGTGCGCTCGTTGCTTGAGGCGGGGTGTTCTGTCGCCTGCGGCCCAGCTTCACAGACGTATTGGGTGTGAGCATATGTTTCCCGAAGAGCTGAAGGGCCTCACGCCGGTTGAGGAGAAGCTCATCGCGCTGAATTCGTGTTATGAATTTGTCACAAGGTACAGCATTCCGGGTGGCAAAAGGCAGACTCTGAGGTATCCGAGGCACGTCAAAGGCCACATCACGGTGTTCCCGAACAACGTGCAGGAGCTGGCCGCAAAAGTGCTCCCCCATCCGCTTTTGCAAGTCATGGACGAGATCCACGTCTCGTGGCAAGGCGCGGAGAAACCGGGACCGAGCGATCTTTCAAGCCTCCTATCGGTGAGGCGGCGAGTCGTTGAGAGGGCCCTTGTCTGGCTGAAGAAGAACAATCCACACTATGCTGAGATCGAAATCGACGCGGCGGAGATGGAGAGTTGGGGAGCCCCGCCACGTGGGGTGCCGTCGTTGGTGTACGATCGCATGGAGCGGAACGAGCCGTCGGCGTGGGAAAAGACACGAACGGCGCAAGTCATGCCGCCCTCGGAGCGCGCCATGGACGAAGACGATTCGGTGGAGATCGAGGAAATTCTGGCTCTGCTCAATCAGGGAGAAGACGCGGCAGCATGCGAGACTGGAGGACCAGTGACGGACGAGGCAAAGGAGTCTCGCTGTGAAGCTGGAGCTGAGGCTGACCAGGCCACGAAATCGATCAATGAGGTCACCTGTTCTGGAATGTTTCCGCTGGACGGGCCGCCGGATGTAGCGGACGTCGAGAAATTGCGGTTTGCTTGCGACGCTGTCGGTGAAGGTGCTGAGACCGGGCATATGGGCCCGAGAACATGGGTTGGATGCTCGGCTGAAAGGCGGCAGGGGCATGCTGATGACGACTCTGAGCCGTACATTCATGTTTCTCGTGGGGACGAATTCGCCGACTCGTTTGATGCCTCGTTCTTCGCGAAGACGTTCCCGACCTTGTTGCCGTTTGGCGTCGGAGGACCAAGATTGGCTGAAGAGGCCATTCTCGAAGCGGGAAAGGCCGCCAACTTGCGAGGTAGGACTATAGAGGCAGAGGCGGCTCTGCGAGATCTCGTGTACTCGCGAAGCTTGAATCTTCGGACGTGGGCCGACATCGTGCTCCGGCGCCATGGTGGCCGATTCGCGATGCACCACGTCTTTGCATTTCTTGTCTTCAACATGGGTGTGCGGTCGAGGAACCGTCGCGTCAGCATGCTGAGCGTGACGAGGAAGAATTTCCGCAAGGTAGAGCGCATTGTGCGCTCGCTGACCGCAGAAAGGTTAGCGTCGGCGAGGGTCGAGCTGGAGAGCTCAGGCAGGACGACCGACGATGGCGTAAAGGAGCTGCTCAGGAGCCTGTCGCTGTACGGCCACCGGCAGCCCATGTTACGGAAGGTGTTGGATGATGACCCTGTATGACGAAACCTCGGATAGATTGATATCCTGACCTTAGTCAGAAGGGGGGTATGAAAACCCCTCTTCCGGCCGATCCGGATGACCGGCAGAAGTAATCATCAACATCATCATCACTGTATTGATCCCTATCTATTTGATCGAATTGACCGTAACGGATCCATCATCATGTAGAACACGCTTGCTCAGTGATGACGCAACGCACAAGCTACAAGCAGAACAGAAGCATCGAGTTCTAATCCCTGGCCAGACACAGACGGCGGATAAGGAACATGTGATAGAGCAGCTGATGATGTCCTTCCTGTTATCTGCTTTATAGGTTTCTGATTCTGATGCTTTATAGGTTTCTGACCCAAACGACATTACGAACCCGGTGAAGCTCCGACTGGCAGCGTATCGCTCACGCGATCCTGAGGCAGCCGAGGCTTTCCTGCGAAGCCTTGACATGTCGTTTAAACGTATGCGGCTGTCCATCTCAGACCCCATGAGTTCGGCTATATTCTTCCACCGGGAGATGACGTTGTTTTTCGAGCATTACGTGAAAGTAGGAGAAGAGTCAGTTTTCGGGCGTATCAGCCAGTACTATGGTGCTGTGGAAACCAATGAACGAGGGGCGCTTCACGTTCACGGGCTGCTATAGTTGCATAGAAACGCGCATCTGAGTTCCGTGCTTGCCGACATCCACGGGGAGGATCAGGCGGCGTATCGTGAGCGCATCGTCCAATACGTCGATAGTGTTTTCTCTGAGGTAAAGTAATGCTCAATGCGTGCTGTTGGCCATCCAGGACTTCTGGTGGGCAAACGGGGCTGGGCTGACATGCTAGGCAGGATCTTGACCAGGAAGGGTTCTGCGTCGTGCAAGCGGAGCGGTCGGTGACGTCCGATATTTCCTCGCTGCTGGACAACACCGAGCAGTTCTCGGCTGCATTTGACGAGGAAGCCAACTTCTGTGCCGGCGCGACACAGATCCATACCCACAGTCCGACCTGCGTCAAGTACTCCCTGGGCAAGAAGAGAGGGAAGGGCGACCTCTGTCGGTTCAAGGCGCCATGGAGATTGGTCGACAAAACTGCATTCACGCCAGACGGCGTGCTGCAGATTCGCAGGACGCACAACATGGTTAATCGGTGGAACAAGGCCATCGCCGTGGGGCTTCGCCACAACCACGACATCTCCTTCATAGCGACGCAGCGGAAAACCATGGCTCTCGTCTATTACGTCACGAACTACGCGACCAAAGTAGAGGACCCGACGTGGAAGCGCGTCGCTGCGGCCGCAGAACTGTTGCCTGTCCTCTCAGCAGGTGGATTGCCGACCGATGGGGCGGATGTTGGCGGCGACGCCGTGGGCGACGACGGTACCAAAAACAGGACGCGACAGTTCTTAATGAGAGTGGCGAATCGTATATTCACCGAGCGGCCTCTGTCGCAAGTCGAGGTCGTCGCCCATCTTCTAGGATACCCGAGCGAGTTCACGAACAGTAGCGCTTGGGCGTACTTGAACGTATCTCTGCTTTACTGGCATGTCTTCCGACTGTGGCGGCATCTCCGGCAAGAGAGCGGCATCGCGGTCGCGGACGGTTTGGTGGACGACTCGATCGTCGTGGAAGAAGCAGGCCAGAGAATTAGCTTCGCTGAGGCGTATCGTCATCGTGGAGATGTCCTGCGAGGTCTGTGCCTATATGACTATGTTTCGCTTGTCTGGCTCAAACGCGTTGGCACGGACGAAAGCTCAGGTGCCTGGGGAGAGGTGCCATTCGAGAGCGATTGGACGCCTGGAAGACAATGGGTGCAGGTGCTGAGACGGCCGGGAAAACATGCCGTCGTCTGCTTTGACGGCTACCTTAGCAAAGATTTTGGCCAAGACGACGAAGGGTCGTGCCATCGTAGGTATGTCCGGGGACGACTCGACCGAAAGGGGTTTGAAGAGACTAACTCCCATACTGAAGAGCAGCCGTGCAGCACCTTGCCCTGTTTGTGCCGTGGGAGTCCTTCTTGGGGGAAGAACGAGACGACATCAACGACATATGGGCGCGGGCACGAGAGGCGCTGCATCCTAGAATCTCATGCCTCGTCGATAACGTGCAACTGCTTCGGCGGTCCGCCGAAGACGCAAAACGGGACGCTAAGCAATGGGCATCCTCATCCGGCGACGGCGACCCCACGGGCGGATATCTTGAGGAGGCGGGAGCCGGCCAGGCGGATGAAGAGGCCGCATCGGCGTACCAGTCCGATAACGTTGGAAACGCAACGCGTCTTATCGATGTTGTCAGAAGCGCGGTCGGTGCGAACCAGATCACGGCGGGATCGCGGGAGCTCACAGCAATGACGCAGCAGCTCTGCCGCTTCCAGCAATCAGCGCTATGCTCGACGGCCGAACTCCAGGCCACCATAACACCCGAACGGGGTGAAAGACGGATAACCACGTCAGGGCGGGTGTTTTCCGGGGCCGCAGTACCGCCGCAGGATCAGGTCAAGGCCATAAAGTCACAGCAGATATGTGCCTCCAAAGAGAGGGTGAAAATGATCCAGGGCATACAAAATGTGGCGGCGGCCCATGGAACTGATCGCAGTGCAGCGGCGCGGAGCGCGCTCACCGGTTTCGGGGACGGGGACATTCAAATGACGGCGGCAGACTTGGACGAGACGGTAGACGACGCAGATCCGAGGGTGGAAGTCCAGTTCGGCCCATCAACCTCTTTCCTCGAGGCTGGCAAGGTTTTGGTAGCACGATTGAGATTGAACAAGAGACAGGCGATCGCTTTCCTGATAATATGTCGCCAGCTCGACCTGATAAATCGTGCTGAGAACGGCGACATCGGTCAGCTCTGCCAGTTCATCGGCGGCGAAGGTGGGACTGGCAAGTCGCGAGTCATCGAGGCACTTGTGGAGCTTTTCGCTAAGAAGGGCCTTTCGAATCGTCTGCTGATCACGGCGACGTCAGGGACGGCCGCAGCACGCATCAATGGCATCACGATCCACTCTGCATGCGGGTTCTCGAAGGACCCTGGGACAGGCGCGGACATGACGAAAGACTTGGACGGCGTCCGGCTGCCGAAACGGGCGGAAAGATTCGTCCACGGTCAGTCGCGAATGGACTGGCAGGACAAGGACCTGCTAGTCATTGATGAGGTGAGCATGCTCGGTGCGCGGACGCTGCACGCGGTGAACGAGCAGATCTGCCGGCTCCGCGGATCGCAGCAAGATTTCGGGGGGATCCCCATCATTCTCTTTTGCGGAGACTTCCGCCAGTTCCGCCCGGTCCAAGAGAGATCGATCCTGCTACCCAGCGTGGCCGTGTCGTGGGACGAAGACAACTCATATAGGGCCGAGCAACGGCACCAGCATGACAAGGCGCACGCGTTGTGGAAAAAATTCACGACCGTCGTCATGCTGGACGAACAAATGCGCGCCGCCGGGGATCCGGTACTGCAGAGGCTGTTGAAGCGAATCCGATCGGGCGTGCAGGACCGGACGGATCTGGACCTCCTCAACTCAAGGTGCTACCGGGAGGACAGGCGGATCCCGTGGGAGACGGGCATCACCGTGGTGACGCCGCTGAATAGGAATCGGTGGAACCTGAACATGGAGGCGACCTTGTCGTTCCAGATCCAGCAGCGGTCGATGTTGCGAATCTTCATATCCGAGCACAAGTGGAAGGACGGCCTGCCGACCGAGGAAGAAGCCATCATGATTCTGAACCAGGGCGACGACAGTGCGATACCGGTGCCGGCCGTCTTCATGTTCGTGCCTGGAATGCCGGTCGTCGTGAACCATAATACACACCAGGGGCTAAAACTGGTCAACGGCGCCACTTACACGGGGCTGGAGGTCATCCTCGACAAGGCGTACCCGGGCCATCGAATCTCGGCCGACATGACGGTCCACTTCGGGCCGCCGGCGGGGATAATTCTGGAGTCGGAAACGACAAAAGACTTCCACTTCGTCGGGATGCCGCAGGGCACGATCCTGTTGGCGCCCATGAGCGTTAAGATACAATGCCAGCGGAAACGGCCGTGGCAACAGAATGACGTTACCCGAAAGGGCTTGCCCTGTGCGGCGACTTTTGCATGTACAGACTACAAGGTGCAGGGCAGAACGCTCGAGCGCGTAGCTCTGGAGCTGCGAGGGACGCGGACGACAAACGTCGACGGACGAGTCGTCCCCTCGCAGTGCGACCCGTACAGCCTGTACGTGCAGCTGTCGCGTTGCCCGACGCTGGACGGCATCATGCTCGTGTCCAAGGTGCGCGAGAGAGACCTGGTGGGTAACAGGGTCCCCGAAGAAATGACCGCCGCGGAGGCGAGACTGGAGGAACTGAGCGACAGGACCATCCAGGAGGCGTTGCGCTGGTTTGACGACGATTCTGAAGAGTCAAGGCGACTTGCGTTAGGTGACGTGAGGAGAAGGGGATGAAGAAGCTCACGGGCAAGAAGGAAAAAAAGGCACCGACGACCAATCACGACGGACTTTGTGGTTTTGAGGGTGAGGGGCGGGTGGGGCGCGAGGCGGGGCATAGATAGACGGGGCATAGACGGGGCACATAGATAGACGGGGCACATAGATAGACGGGGCACATAGATAGACGGGGCACATAGATAGACGGGGCATAGACGGGGCATAGATAGACCTTTCGTTCCTCAAGGCATTGCAGATCTTCCGCCAGTAGTGCTGCCGTTACTGCTATCGTTGTGGGACCCCCTCTTGTCCCGCGTGCACAGTAAGCACTTGTATCTAAGCATGTAGCGCTCGGGCTCTGCAGTTGCAAGTTGCAACTGCAGCCATCCACCTGAAGCTGAGATTCGTTAGCGGTGCCTACAGATGGTACGTGCAGGCAGGATCGGGGCCGGATCACCCTCGCGGCTTGCAGCTGTCGTGATGGATGCTCGCCTTGTTATCCCTTCCGTTGAAATGTGGTGGTGTCACCTTGCACCTCTTTATCTCGCTGCGATGACCATAGTGACATGCCGATGTCATTGCTAGCTAGGTAATGACGTCAGGGTGTGCCGAGGAGAGGAATCTCGACCGTCGTCGCATACAAATCCCGTTTCTGCCGTCTATGTCGCAACAGCCTTTCCCCCATAGGCCTTCCTTGGGAGGGGGACAAGGAATAAGCTTCAGCGTGAGTTGGGAGAACGGTGCAGCATCCAGATTCATAATTGTGCCCATCTTGTTGGTAGTAAAAGGCCGTGGTGCTCTCCTTCCAACGTTGGTTCCTTCCTTGTTGCCGCTCGTCCTCAGCAACACTTACAAGTAAAATTTTGTCGCTTCATCTCGCTCCGTCGTCAACTTGTCGCCACTGATCCTCCTCCACTCTTAGCGGCCGCCAGTTAACACGATCGCACCAAATCCCCAAAGCGAAAACGGCTCCTTGCTGGTAGTGACGGCAGCGGGAAGGTTCAAATAAGAAGGAGATGGACGAGCGAGTAGGAGTGGGACGCCAGAGATAGGTAAAAGGGTAAGGAAAGGTAGAAGGACAAGACCGGACCACAAGGTCCAAGCACTGGACGGGAGGAAGGGGTGGAGGGTGGGGGTGGCCACAGAAGGGTCTTCCACTGGGGTCCTCCACTGGGCACCTGGCGTGGAAACTGGGTGGGCCCTGGAAAGGCGCTGAGACGAGCGGGCTGGACAAGGCCAGGGAAAAATAGCAGGGCAAGGCAATGAGCATCACAGCCCAAACAACGTCTCTAGCCGACCTGGCCTATGGGTCATTGATGAGCGACTCTGACTTGGCCCTGGACTTGGCCTGAGATGGCCGAGAGTGGGATTGGGATCCGAATCTTGCCCCGCTTTGGACGGAGATGATAGAGCTTTGTCTGCTGAAACGCCGCTTTGAAACGGCTGGGATGGACTCGCCGAGACCAGGACAAGGCACAGGACCTGCACCGTCTCTTATGCCTCGTGCCTTGCTCCCAAAGTCCATCATGCTCGGCCATGCCTTACCATGCCTTGCTGTGCCGTGCCTCATGCTAACGCCTTAGTGGTCTAGCTGGGCTGACTCCGGCCCTGGCTCGCGCACTGGCATTCACGAGTCGTCGGTCTCGCTTGACCAAGCACTTGCTGACACGGGATCCGAAAGACTTGACAACAGGAAACACACGGACATACCTCGAGGCCAATCCGACCCACCGCCTTTGCCTCCAGCGCCCGCGAGAGTATCAATACCCGTGTGTCTGATTGGTGACGCGCCGGGCTCCGTCTCTTGCTGGTGGCTTCAATCATCATCTGTGTGTCCACCAAGTTGTCGACGCTACTGCTGGGCCCGCTGTTGAGAGTCACAGCCAGGCTGCTTCAGAAAAATGCGCCCAGTGTAATCTGTCGGCATATGTTAGCGCCCTCCCCCATCCCGTCACCCTCTTCAGCCCAGAACGGTTTCGATTTCATAGAGGCGAGATTGAGATTTGCACAAAATGGGCAGTCCCTATCCCAGCTTCTCGAAGCCCCTTTGGAAACCGGGCCGCGGCTGGGGGTTTGGAGGGGTCAAGACTGGTCTCAGATAAATTCCAGATAGGAAAGGCGTTGACCCACTGAAGTCTTGGCTCAGAAAAAATCAAGAAGGGAATAGCTCGGTAGCATCCTTCCTACCCTTGTGTACAGAGGAGCCTTTCAAAAGTCTCTGCTCGCGTGGACGCTAAGGTCAGCCACAAACAGGGATCGTGCCGAAAGCGAATGTACCCAGCCAAATTCTTAGGTACCTCACCCCTCTTTCACTTTTCCTGTTTTCCCCTCATCTTGACCGCCAAAATGCGTCAAAATACCGATATTGCAACCCGGGCTCTTGTGGTCGTCTTCAAGAGCCCATCGGGCGGGAAAACAACAGCTGAAGTTGCAGAGATAACAGGTCTTTCGCCCCGTACAATCAATGACATCTACGCACGCGCTATTTCCCGCGGATTCGATCCCAACCACCGACCGATGACCCTCCATGACGAATTCCTTCGTGATGCGCACCGCTCCGGGCGTCCCAAGAAGCAGACGGACGAGGCACGAATAGAGATCATCGCCAAGGTTCGCCGCGATCGATTTGGCAGGGAAAAGACGTGTGCTGATATTGCGGGCGAACTGAGCAGCGATGGGATCGAGATCTCGGCCGTCACTGTATGGCGAATACTGAAGAAAGCTGGATTCCGAAAGACAAAGCCAACGAGGAAACCTGGATTGACGAAGAAGATGAGGGAGGCACGTCTGGCTTGGTGTCTTGAACACCAGCACTGGACCCTAGAGGACTGGAAGAATGTCATTTGGTCTGACGAGACCTCTGTTATCCTGCTCCATCGACGAGGAAGCTATCGCGTATGGCGAAAAGCCGATGAGGCATTTGTTCGAAGTTGTATCCGGGAGCGATGGAAAGATGCATCTGAATTTATGTTCTGGGGCGCCTTTTCCTATGATAAGAAGGGCCCCTGCCACTGTTGGGGTCCAGAGACTGCTGCCGAAAAGAAGGAAGCCGAAAAAATCATTAATAAAATGAATGAGGATCTTGAAGCTGTTATGCGAGAAGAGTGGGAAATTTCAAATGGAATACGACGATTACATCTACATCAACTACCCGGCCCGAAGCCAATCTGGCGATGGAATAAGAAGTCCGGAAAGCTGACGAGAGGGTCCAAGGGCGGTATTGACTGGTATCGCTATCAGAAGACAATCCTGATCCCTAAGATGTTTCCTTTTGCTTTGGAATGTACCAAGGACCGCCCGGGCACTTTGGTCCAAGAAGATAAGGCTCCTGCTCACAGCCACTATATACAGCAACAATGTTATGATGCGAATAGCATCAGCCGGCTGCTATGGTGTGGGAATTCCCCGGACCTCAATCCTATTGAGCCGGCTTGGCCATGGATAAAGAGACGGACTACAAGGAAAGGAGCCCCAAAGTCAAGGCATGAGGCAGTCAAAGCTTGGAAAGCAGCTTGGAAGGAGCTTCCGCAGGAAGCTATTCAGGCTTGGATTGAGCGCATCCCTCATCATATTAAAAAAATCATTGAGTTGGAAGGAGGAAATGAATACAAGGAAAGTCGGACACAGCGGTAGGTACATTGGGAATCCTACTATACATTTTGGGTGGGACCCTGCTCTTTCCCGTGACGCTAGTGTCCTTAGCGTGAGCAGAGACTTTTGAAAGGCTCCTCTGTATTCCGTATCGTATCACGTTAAGGAAAGCAACTGCCGAGACTGCCCCTCATTACCGTATCTACTTGGTAAATTCGGGCACTTAGCGTCTCTATTTTAAGTGCACATTTCCACTATTAACCGCAAAAACGTCACAACCTCCTGATATAATTGGCCATATGTGCTTTTATGGGGCACGCTATGTGCCCGAATTTACTGAGTTGTTACGGTATTTTTCTGGCTGCGTTCTCCACCGCCATGACCTTTGAAAGCCACATTGAGCAGATCAGTTTTTTCCAGCAATCTCGGACGCGCTGTTTTGACCAGAACCCATTTCGGCGGTCCAGCCCTCACTACTCCGTAGGATTCACTGGCCACCGCTCGGGCCTCCCTCAAACGTAGCATGGCCGATCGGGCGCCCGAGCAACCCACCAGTAAGCCACCTCAGCCCAACCAAGGCACATGCAGTCTGAATGGCGAATTGCATGGCTGTTTTGGTATTGCTGCAGGTTTGGGCATCAGGCAGCAATGGGTCAATGCATTTCCGGCAACGTTAGCCGGGAAGACACTGCATACTGACAGTTTTATCTGCCTTGGCTGCTGCCGGCAGACAAGCAACTCATATATAGGTCTCCATATCGAGTAAGACAAGAAGCTCGGTTACAACCAACAACTGCAATGCGGCCGCAAAAGGGCGAATAGATAAGCGATCTGTGCGGAGCGGACGGGTTTGTCTTACTATGATTTGGTGCTGACAGGGTGTGCGGGGCAAGCGACACGCTTTTAGGTACTCACTGGTGCAACTTCCGTGTCGCCTCAAACTGAGGCAAGATACGGAGTACCACGACTAATGATCTAATCTGACCGCAGTTGCTGTTAGTCGACGGTTTCTTCCCTCACTACCCCACTACGATTTCTTGAATCCTCCTTCAAGACAATTGCATCTTGCCCCCTCTCACACCAGTATGTGACCCGCCCAGCTGAATAACCGCTCTCTTGGCTTTAGGGTTGCTCACCTCTACATTTGTCCGTTGATCAAGCGCCACCGAAGGTCCGATACCCATGTGTCCCCGCCACGACCTGATCAGCTGCCTACACTTAGGCACCTATCCGACGTGTGCTCATATCCGCCCTTCTTGAAGACTCGACCCCTACGACGGGGCTGTTGTGGCCGCAGCCGGTCAAACAAGTCGTCAATGAGCTCTTCGACAGGGGTTTCCATCAAACCAAAAACGGCAATGGATCGACGCAGTTTTCTCTGTCCCCGGAGGGGAGATAACGTAGATCATCCCACCAAAGCCCCTGGTTCTCCCGCTTCGCATCGAAGGTATGACTCTGAATTCAGTCGAACTCGGCACCAGAAGCCTTCTATACAGCTGTGAGCATAGGTGGCGCTGAGTAATTTCAATTGAGAGACGAACATATCTACAAATGCAGTTCTTCAAGTCCCCTTTACGCGACTCGGGCACGCATTGCACTTCAGAGGACAAGGATACATATATGAAGGCCAGGGGCCATTGACACTTGACTGGTTGACACATGCTACTTAATTCATCCCTACAGGGATTGGACAGGGGTACGTGTATTGGCGTACTGGAAACGGGGCGCGTTTCGTGTTTGTTCGTATTGTTTTCAGAAATGCGCAAAAAGTAGAAACGGGCCCCGTTTCTAAGAATGATAAACCTGGTAACTAGAGGTCCAAAAATATAATTGGACCAAAAGTGGAAACGGGGCCCGTTTCTACGTATAATGCTTGAGTAGGGAGCAGGCAACAAGAGACTCTCCATCCACCCCTTCAAATACGATGAAGAAGAGAGAGTCTCAGACCAGTTCCTCAGGGCTAACTACGACCAAACTGGAACGGAAAAATTCCTCACTCTCTCCTCGTTCTACCATTCACCACCTTAGACGAGTTGAAGAGAAAAGAACGCAACCAGGAACCTCAAACAGCACATCGCTGGAGGATTCCCCGCAGGAGGAGCAATCTTTGCAGAAGGAGCATTCCTCGCAAGAGGTGCGTTCTTCACGAACAAACGTCACATTCAGGTCGCAGGGTAGTTATTGTGGCACACGGCAAGCGGCATTCCTCGACATTGATAGGATAGCTAGCGATGATTAGTGTTTATGAATTAATAAAGACCGGACTCTCCTTACCTTGCTTGTCCTTTAGTATCGCGGGTATTTGAGCAATTGTCATTGCCTCGCCATTGACCGTTATCTTCTACTGTAGGCACACATTTTCGACGAGCACCAGTTAAGGGCCCGTGAACTGGGAGTCAAGCGAAGAGATTATTATGTTGCCCCGGAAGCAGGGGGAAGTAGATCTGCGAGCACACTTGGTAAGGCCGCATGTCACGGCCAGCACCTCCTCTCGTCGACTTCCTGGGAAGTCGTGCACCAGCACCGTGACCAGCGTGCCCAAGAATTCCGAGCCTGTCGACGCCGACAACAGTTCGCATAGCTGATGTTAATCCCTTAAAGGCCTTCGTCGAGTCATCAACGGAAGTACACTATTAGCGGTTTGACCAAGGATCTCAGAGGCAAGGAACTTTAGAATCCAAGAAGCTCCACTTACCTTCTACATATGCGCCTACTGACCTTCAATGTCTCCCAAAATGCAAGGTATGGAGACCCTGCATTGGTAGGGCACCCGAGTTTTGCCACCAATCCGCCCATAGCACTGTGGAGACCTGCCTGGCTCAGTGTGGCATCCTGCATGTTGTTGCCTTGACGCGATTCCTTTTCCAACTCTTCCTGCATACCAAGGAAGGCAGGAGTGTAGGTTCAAGGTGTGCTTGACGAGCGGACACGCACCCGAGGCAGTCGAAATGAAGATCAGTTCACATGCACACAGCGGCCACACCGCAACTTGTCATGCGATTTGGGGGTCGTTCAGTTTGTCTTGGAGTCACACCCCAAATTCCTCCGCGCAACGTTTTGATGTTCACAATTGTGTGGTCATCCCATGCGCGATGCGGGGTTCGCAAGTACATTTTGGGTTTTAGGCAGCCACGCACGGGATCAACTCAAGCCGCCTGATGTCCCAAAGAATATATCTTTTGCTGATATCCCCTTCTCATAACAGCCATTTAAGCAATAGAGCATTGTATCTCCAGCCTCACAGTAATCGGAACGCATCCATCCTTTACGATCGATCTTCAGTACTATTCAAACGTCGACAATCTTTCGCCATGGTGAATTGCGGCAAGTGTGGGTACAATAACATATCTAAGGCCACAACCTGTGCCGGGTGTGGTGAAGCAATCTCGGTGGTGGTCAAGAAAGTGTTGACAATGCCTTCCGCTGGCGGATTTGTTATGGATAGTAAGTGCACTGCGCCATGTCCCATAGATAAGTACTGACTGTGGTGGTCACTTAAATTAGGCAGCATCCTCATTGGTGAGAGTCAGGAGATGACTAGTGGTTGGTTCCACAATGACGAGTGGCTGAGAACCCACGTTTAAACACATACGAGTCGTATGCATGTATCGAATTTATGGTAGATAGCGGGGGGCTCATGAAGGCAACGCATGTCTGCTCACTTTGGCCCCAAATTCAATGACACTACCTTTTGTATATCTTGTTCCTGCCCACCTTCCACAGTAAACACAGCAAACCTTCTATCAACCAAAGCGATGGCTAGTTTCTTCGATGCTCCTATATCAGATGATTATTTTTTTGTCAATGCGCCATGCTGTCGCACTCGGCGGGAGGCTACCTTATACTACCTCCACAATACGCATTTTGTCGAACTGCAACCTCCGACCGACACGCCCGTAGAAGTGCTGCATCAGATAGCGCATCCATTCTCCATGGGGTCAGTTACCGACCGACAGATCGTTATCCAAATTGATGGGGACATTCGAAAATCCGTCAGAATTGGCCGATCCAACCTCAGCGCAGAGAAGAGTAGTCTTGAGCTCGTCAGGGCAAGGACGTCAATTCCAGTGCCCTTCATCCACCAGTACTATCTATCCGCGGACTATGAGCACCTCGTTATGAGCAAGATGCCCGGAGTAACACTGGAAACCGCCTGGCCCATGCTATCTCCTCACGAACGGGAATTCATAGCTGATGAAGTGGTTTCCCTCATCCGTCAACTACGAACACTACATTCTCCACACATCCAAGCTGCTCTTCTGCAGAGACAGCCTCTGCGTGCTGGGATTAAAAACTCGACAGAATTCAATATGGAGAGAATAAAAGATTACCTGTGGGACCAGCGGATTACCGACTATATTCGTCACAGAAGCATAGCTGTCACCGATGAGCCGAACGTGTTCACCCATGGAGACTTAGATTGGGGTAATATCATGATCACCGACAAACGAGTCAGTGGGATCATCGATCTAGAGAGCAGTGGCTACTTCCCGGCATATTGGGAGTGGGTCACGGTCAAGAGGTTATCTCAAGGGCTCCCCAGTGGCTCCTGGTTTCGGCTCTTGGAGCAACGGCTGAGAAAGGAAAAACTATCCGGGTGGGATGGAATGTGGGAGGTAGAGAAACTGATCTCGGCTCTGGATTCTCACTCACAGTGGGCTTTGACACCGGAAGACCGGGAGAGAAACCGAGTCAAAGGATGGGCCGAAGTAGGTGAGATCCTTGGTGTAAGCATCGGTGATCCGCCTCCAGTCACGTACGTCGTGGCATCCCAGCACCCCTGGTGGCTCGAGCTGGTGAATCAACGATAGGAAGTTAAGAAAGTGAGGAAGGGAAAAGGGCCAGATCATGAGGCTCAGAACACCCGACAGATATTCTCGTCAATTAACCAGTAAACTTATACGGAGGAGCATTTCAAAAGTCTTTGCTCGCGCCCAAGCCACACATTGCTTTTTGCTGCATGTTGTACATTAAGTACATTGAGCAATAACCAGTGCGCTAAGAAGCCCTACATTCTAGCGACTCAAGTCCGCTAAGCTGCACTTGCCTTGCCCCTGAAGCCACTAAAGTGATAGTGTCTTCAGCGGGCGATCACCTACGGCTACCTGTCATCTCATGTACTGTCAAGTACCTGACAGGGATCAAAGGATATGGCGTTCTTAGTGTGGGCAAAGACTTTTGAAATGCTCCTCCGTAAACTCGTCAGAAATCCGCCAGAATGCGGACCCAGTCTTTAAGTTGGAGCTTAGGCGTCTATATTGCTTTTCTATCACCATTGCAAAACACAAACGCTGCCCGACAATGCCCAGTGTACCATCTCAGTGCATCGACCGACGACGCGAGATTCCAACGAGCTTCCAGTTAAGACCTTTGATCAAGCCCATGTAAGTTACCTTTCAGCCTGGAAGTCATTTGTGCCTAATTACGGGGCGTTCCCGGCCAGTCTCGGGTTGATAACAAATCACATGTTCGTCAGCCCCACCGTCTGGTAAAATCCGCCTCGTGAATACCCCGTCATCCACTGCCTTCCGCCCCCTTCCCCCGCCAGCACTAAGCACCACTTGTTCACTTTCTACTGGCAAGCCGGAATAAACTTGTGTTTTGCTCAGACTTGCTTCGATGGCCCCTCTCCCCCTTGTCAATATGACCAGATGGAGGCCATGATAGAAAGCGGGCTACAAAGGACGGGAATAGCTGAAGCTATCGGCAGTAGCAAGGTGCGATACTTAAAATGCGTGTACGCCTTCGGTTATCTGGAACCACGAAAGCGGCCCCGAACCCAGTCGGCTGACGTAGCATCGCGATATAAGGGATGGTGTAACCAGACATGCCTTCATTGATGACCACTATGAATCGTCACTGGATGGTGAGGCTGATGTTCTAGGTGACGATAGCCATGTTGTCTAGAAGACAAATTATGATGACGTGGCCGCCAGCTCGCCAATATCGCAATGCCGCTACGGCAAAAGGGAATGATCACTCCTCTTGCTAGTAGCGCATTTTGGTCCATATACTCGTCTGACAACCAAAGACGTAGATAGTCAGATCGACTGTCGTGAGAAGCGGCCTCTCAGGTTCACAGTCCAGCATATAGCGGATGGCACTCACCACAGGTCCGTGGCGCAAATCACCGCGACCGTACATTGTTTCGAGTGACTATCGTCATGCATCGTGTTAAAGAAACGGAGCGTCGAGAATGGGCGCGTCGAGATAGATATCCGTCTTGACTTTTCTTAACCCTAACCCGTGGCGAATGGTGCAGCGAATTGCGGTCGTCACGTAAGATCACGCCAGTAGCTTCTTAACGCATCGATCAATTACGCTAAAGTTTAGGACCCCTTACGTGATTCTGCAATCGGGAGCCCTGTTCGACCGAATCGATCGAAAATCGATCGAATGTTTAGCGCCGTTCGATTCGATGTCGAATGAAATGTGGCATATTTGATTCGCATGTCGAATGGAGTGCGCCCATTTGATTCGATGCGAATCGAACGCCAAGAAATTCGATTCGACATTCGTAAGACTTGGCATCGAATGAATTCGATTCCCGTTCGTAGGATGTCCAACCCTGGTTTCGGTGTGCTCCAGGTTTGAGTATTAGGCGGCAATGGGTCAATGCATTTCCAGCAACGTTGGCTGAGAAAACACCGCATCCTGCCGGTTTTATCCGCCGTGGCTGCAGCCGGTAGACAAGCGGAAGACAAGCATCTCATGGTCAGTAATCAAACGACCCTCTTTATTGTGTTCAAGACGTGCATCCTGACGAGGCATTGGGTCCGGGAGGGGACACTATTCTGTCGTCGTTGCAGCCTATTGGTCTTGGTGTTGTGGGCTACTGTTGTGGAGTACTCTTTGTTGTCTGGGGTAGTGAGGCCGGGACCGCCGAAATGGACAAGTGGCACAACAGCGCATCCTCGATTACAATAGAAACAACAATTTCGTCCGTGCACGCTAGGAAGGTTCATCCAAGTAAAGCTTAGCTAAATATTGTGAAATTGAAATGAATGTTTTTTCTAGAACACGCGTGTAGGTTGGTTTCCGGGGACATAATTGGCCCGAAAGTCGTGATCCAGACCATTACGATATTTAATGCTTTGAGTGGAGTGAGATTGATGTCATCAAAATCGGTTCTTATGGTGCAAAGGCCGAGGCAGTTAACCTTACTGCTCATACGCAATTGGCCAAGAGACTCGCTGTATCAACTTTCCGCAAATATTAATCTTCCCCTAAGTATTGCATTCGTCCTAGCGTCTGTTCAATACCCGGAAGTTCCTCTCTATTTTGGCGCTTCTGCGATATCGGCTTCAGTACTAGATGCAAGCTCAATAGGTATAGGTTGTAAAATTTCGAGCGAGTTGTTCTTCCCGATAGGTATTGAGCGTAACGTCGAGAACACGCGACCTTGGTTCTACCGGGAAGCTGAGACGAGATATCGTCCCACTTCTTGCCTTTTTTCCGAAGTTTGATAATTCGCCTATCCTCTTCTTTCTTCCAATTACCTCTATTTTTCTCTTCGGAATTTGCCATATCAATTAGCAGTAAATAAGGCTGGTGATACATATACGGCCGCCATATAGTAGTTATTTATTGCGGCCTGCTGATTTATATAGGCTACCTAGACTAGACCGTGTTTATAACGGACGTTTCGTAAGACCAGTGTCTATCCTGAAAATGGCTGTCAGTGATTCGGTCAGAAATAGAGGTGGTATTCTTTCAGGAAATTAATGTCTTATCGGACAGAATCTGCAAGATATGAGCCAGGGGCTGCTCCCTCTCCAATGTCCCTGGCCGCCTATCTGTCCGTGACTCTCATGGGATCAGCCCAAGTTGAAGGAACTGAAACTTAAACTATCACCTTTTAAATCCATGCTGCGCTATTAGGTACATGTTCTTCGTCATCCTTAACACCAAAACCGTTCTTCTTAAACCAAGGCCATTACACTTCCCTCGCCCACATCGCCTCATACACGCCAGCAACATTAGACGTCGACCCAAAGCAGTACTCTGTCCACATGTCGGTCCTGTGGCCCTCCCTTATCATAGCCGCAAAGCTCCAGCCATGGTCTTGCACACTCACAGCCGGCAGAAAGGGCAAGCCATCAAGAGAGCCACCAGTGCGAGAAATAAGGTCTTCTAGGAATCGCCAATGCGCTGCGTGCCATGTGCCCAGCTGTAGCTCGGCTGTCTCTGACTGCGCCCTGCCTCGGCTCTTGGTCTCGATGCTGATGGCAATTGGGCGGTCGCGGAGGGGATGAAAGTCTGTATGGTTGATCACCCCAGCCGGCAGCATTCTACGTAGGATCTGCACCGCGTCGGAGGCTGCCTCGTTTTGCCTTGCCGGCTGGCATTCCGCCGCCTCGGCGATCAGATGGGTAACCAGATGGACTGGTGGCGTTGGACCAGTGAGGGCCATGACCTCCACATCGTTGGCTATAGGGTGGCTAGCGATAAGGTCTTGTCTTGAAATTCCGAATAAGTGCCCACATGCCGTGTCCAGTTGTAATTGACGTCGATATCGCGGCGGCCAAGTAGGTACAAAGTGGTACCCCAGTTGCGCCGGTACTACCTTTGACTACCCCAAGCAAGCTTAAGGTTTCTTCTTCCTCTTTTAGTTCTAGCCGATCATTGGATCAGGTTCTGCATCGCCTGCCGATCGACGAGTCCAGGCCAATCTACTGGGCCACTTAATGCAACTCACAAGGTAGTATGGCCTGATTTGCGCATCTATGCTGACGTCCAGAAGCACCAAAATAGAGTGTCAGAAGAAGCAGCCATGGCAGCGGAGTGACGTTACTCGCAGGGGATTACCATGCGCAGCCGCGTTCGCCTGCACGGATTATAAGGTGCAGAGCAGGACGTCAGGCCGGGTGGCCTTGGAACTGCGAGGGACTAAGATGACGAGGGTCAGCTACGGAGAAGGAGTGCCGAGCCAGTACGACCCTTGGTGCACGGGATTAATACCGCTCAAGAACGACCTCTCCGCCCGCATGGCATATAAATACGATGCCAGTATGAATTAAACTACCGTCCCTCGAATGCCTTTGAAGTCAATGACCTCTTCGCGTGCCTCGTGGCAGTCTTTGAAGATCCGTTCGATGTAGGCAGGCTCTATCTTTTCCCCCTCAGGTTGGCTGCACATGAAGTGCAGGCTGCCGTATGTGGCTGTGTAAGAAACTTGGCTGCCTCACTAGGCCGCCTATAACAAGAGGCACCCCGCCTCAGATTCATTCATGGCAACCAAAGCACGCAGCCATGGAGCCTGTTGGACTGGCCGTTGGGATCGCTGGGCTTGCCGGCCTCTTCAGTTCCTGCAGTCGCGGTCGAGTACAAGGCACCACACAAGTTGAGACGCGGGGACATTGTCACAGGACTGGTCTCCGAGATCCAACCAGATCGTGATGTGATTAACCAGGAGGGCGAGGGTTTTGCATTCGCAACGAGACGACTTACCACTGCCGTTGTGACTCAGCTCTTCTCCTACATGATAGGTAAAGGCATCCAGTATGGGTACGTATGCACTGGGGAGGCGTATATTTACCTCCACATTCCGGACGACCCTTCCTGCATCTACTACGCCGTCTGCGTGCTAAGCATACGTGGGAGAAGTCTAGGACGCGGTGTAGTTTGCAGTCAAAGTTCTCTATGACCGCAAGCAAATCGAATGGGGCATTAGGATATTTGAACAGAAGTTTGGTGCCTTTTGCCTGAATGAATAGCCCAGGATCGCGAAAGTCTTGCAATCCTGGCTGGCGTACTGCCGCAAGAACACGGTCCCACAGTTGCTGTAAGCCTTGCGGTGGTAGGAAATAGGACATCCGGAGTTGGGTCCGATAACTAGGGGTCTCGAGCAGACGATCCTCTACCTGAGGAGCACGGCAGGTGGCAAATGCGTGACGATAACTTGCCGGTAGGTGCTGGAGTCGATCAACACCATAGACTTGACGGACAGCGGGATAGAAGATAGTATCAAACCACCGCGAGAGCTGCTCGTCAGTTAACCGATGGAAGTCGCGGTAGCATGGCAAATGTGGAAAGAACAGGTGAAGTGTGATGAAATCGGCTCCTTCGACCTTCGCGAAGATGAAATGCGGCACGCCTTTCAGTGGTGAGGGGATCAATCGGGGCCGCTCCGGATCTGGATCCACGCGATCCAATGTCAGGTGAACATCTGTGTAAATATTCTGACGATACTGAGGAGCAGAATAAAACCGGATACCGCGAGCCGCCGCTGCAGGAGAAGTCACGAAACCCAAGATGCTATCGATGTCAAATGAAATGGCCGGAGGAGTTTGGTTTGTGTGTTCAGTGTGGAGGCACGCCTGCTTGGGCTTGCCGTCGAAATGCCGTGCTGTGTAGCTAGAGAATAACTCTTGCCATTGAGTAGGGCTCAGACTCGGTGTCTCACTATAAGTTTGGTGGGTGAAGAAATGCTGTTTGTCGAGTGTATGAGGCACGTTGCGGGGGAACAGTTGATCAAGCCCATGGTGGTTATGTGCTCCCTCAGCTTCGATGTGCGCAGCAAGAGCTTCTTGATGCTCCTGAGCTGTTGCATCTAGCAGATGGATAGGATCATATGTGTGAGAAGCTCTTGCTATTCTTCCTATCTAATTGAGGTCTGCTAGGTCAGTCTTATAGATGAAGATGACCTCGGATGACCTCGGACGGCCGAGAGGCTCCGGATGGTCCGGAGTCTTTGGCTTCAGCTAGCTATTGATAAAATCAAGGAAAAGCTAGGACTATCATGAGATCGGTGACGAGGCCGATGACGAGGCAGGTGGCGATGGACGCCTATGATGAAGGAAGAAAGCTTCAATAGCATGATACATCCGGAATCCGATATCCCGATATATGTGACATGAGCGCTACAACCATGGATTCCGACCAGAAACTGCTGAATAAACTTCTGTGCAGCATGTTGCACATCAGTCCAGGTGTTGTCATCAGGAGGATCCGCTTGCAGTTCAACATAGCACTCTGGACTCTGACACTCTGTAGGATCTTCGCGCTCTTCGGCGTAGTGGACGCTGACTGGTTCCTCGTCGTAATAGGCCGGCTCAATGGCATCTATGCCGGAATCGTCGCTTTCCTGGCTAGGGGTGATAAAAATGTCCCCGGAAGAGATTTCATCTTGTCTAAACTCCCCAGTGTCGGCTAACGAACTATTCTCGGGTCCCGTCTGCCCAATCTCCGACCCTGACTCCACTGTATGAGGCAACAACTCGGCCAGATCATCTGTGGCCTTAATGTCTTGGTTCGCTTTTTTACGCTGCCGGTAGTTTTATGTGCGTTTCGCTTGCAGGCGACGTCGATGTAGCACGGCCGGGTCCTGTTCTTGATCGTCCACAAATCGGACGTTCATTGTTGCTTCTATAGTTGTGACATCTGCTGCCTTCTCCTGAAGCAATTGAGGTCTAGAATTTTGAAAGCGTCCTAACCTGATTAGGAAAGGTAACGCTCAACCGTGATCTGCTGCTGATTGCTTTCGAGGTCTTCGAGTTTGACACCATGAGCTGCAACAGCAACATAGATCTAATGACAAAAAGAATGCGTTTCCATATTATTTAGGCATCTAAATACCCAATAAAACTATACAAGACGGGGAATTCTGGTTGTGGCTCTGAAGACCTAAGCTGCAATTGCCTACTAGAGTATGGCCTGCTGGTGATAAGATAATTCTGCCCGCTTATCACCTCACCGCCTACCTAAAATATCACAGCCCCGCGTCTCATCAATGTTAACACACACAGTGGGATATCTTCGACGCGCCTTGGAAGACTTCACCAACCAACTTCTTTGCAGATCTTAACTCCGCCGCGACGCCAACCACACGACACTCTCACGATGCCGCCTGCAGAAGCGCTTCATCGCCATCAATCCTCGCTCGAAGGGATCCTTGATTTCTCCGCACAACCTCCCTTGACCCCAGCTCAACGCCTCTCAGCTGGTCACCGATTCAATCGGTTGGTAAACCATTTCGACGCTCCCGATAGCAGCTGCAAGGATTATGACCGAGTGAAACTTGTCCGGCTCACATACGAGTATGCGCGTTCTGAGGAGTCCAAAGGATACTTCTTGCGTGCATTCTTTGAGTCCGCGGGCCTTGCAATTGATGCGGAGCAGGAGGACATCGACCTGACCGATGAAGACACACAGGCCAAGCTCCACGATTCGTTCGTCAACTTTGCAGAGTACCTGTTCGAGAGCTTCTTCTTACCATGTATGTTATCATCGCCTGCGCGTGATTCGCGTCGCTCTCTGACCATCACTCTCACAGTGAAATCGTCTACTAAGAAGACTCCCCAGCCCTCCCCTGCATCCCACTCAGCAGTCCAACGAGCTCAGGGAGGCGAAGGACAGAACTTCCTTGGAACGCCAGAACGTGTGTCAGCTCTTCGAGGCGCTTGTCTACTCCGCGACCGTCATCGCTGCGTCATATCACGGAAGTTTGACGATAGGGAGGCCCTCAGGCGCATGCAAGATGCGCGTAGGCAAGGCGGCGTAGCTCAAGATGACGATGGAAACCCTCTTGTGAAGGGTCAGGGCTACGACTCTCTTGAAGTTGCGCATATTATGCCACATTCACTCACTAAGCTCAATGCAAGCAAGCAACTGGTACGTGCTTTTACTTCTCACAACCCGTCCTCCTTTGCTCATTGCCATTCTTCTAGGACCCTCCCAAGGAAGCGGCACTGGCGATTCTTAATATGTTTGACAGTGGGGCTGCATTCCTGGTCGAAGGAACCGAAATCGATCGACCTCGTAATGCCCTGACCCTCACTCATAGGCTTCACGGCTTCTTCGGTGACTTCAAGATCTATTTTGAGCCCGTTGACCAAGAGCTGCATACGTACCGAATCAATACCTTCATCCAAGATATCATGGAGTACGAGTTTCCCATCACTCGAACGCTCTACCTCACCGAATCACGAACCATTGATCCCCCTTCGCCCCGGCTGCTCTCGATTCATAACGCTATTGCCCACATTCTCCATCTGTCTGCTGCGGGGGAATACATCGACAGAATACTGCAGGACCTGGAGGAACATGGTATTCGGGAAGATGGTTCTACTGAGCTGGACCGTTTCGTGAAGCTACGACTGAATGGCTGGTCAGTCAGCGAAGTCAATGGTTAGCATAGACCAGAGATTCAGAACGGAAATGATTGGGCTGTGGCGCGTCGGTGGTAAATTGATTAACGTGCATGATAAGCATGCCGGTTAAACAAGTATAACTATACACGACAATTAATAATAGAAGAGTAGGGGTGGCATCGATAGCTTCTCGTCCTAGTCGGATGGTTTCCTCGAGATCAGCCATTGCTCCAGTCCGTGAGTATCTACTACGTAGATGATTTCCGAGGTTGTTCAACCATCCGGCCCGGGCCGGATGATCTAGAGGGGTAGCATCGATGGCTTCTCGTCCTAGTCGGATGGCTTCGTCGAGGTCCGCCATCGCTCCAGTCCGTGAGTATCTGTAGCCTAGACGAGTTCCGGCGTTGTTTAGCCGTCCAGCCCGATCTGAGTGACATGGTGGGAGACATGCGAATAGCTTCCTCAAGGTCCGCCATTGCTGCGGTCCGTGAGTGCCTGTCATCTAGAGAACTGACTCTTCTGGGGAATTCGAAGCGGCTCGTTAGTAGTCCGAATTCTTTGCGAGGGATTAACTCACCTGCGATCTTTGAAGCTTCAAAATCCAGAATAGAATAGGTCCTAGTATCGAGTAAGGGTGGCAGACACATTATTCCGTTCGAGCCCAGCCCCGATTAGAATCACATCCAGGCCACACACCACTATAGCAAGCTAGCAACACACTTGAATTGCTATTGGAAACTACAGATACTTAATGCTGGCCGTGCATATCCGTGGCTGGCGCTGCAGTGTGATATGCCACTAAGCTTTCAGCTGACAGAAGTGCATTCTTTGTAATCACCCTTTAGCCTTCTTTATTGGAGGCCGTCTAGTCTTTAGCAGCGCCGTGGCGCGTCTCAAGGTTTTCAGCTGACTAGGCAGAGCGTGCTATGTCCTCCAGGCTCTGCCGATTTGACCTCCTTGCGAATGCACCAGTGATCGGTCGCCAGACGGCTCCAGCCTGATGCACTTCGTCGGCCATCCCTCAGGCTTGCCATGTCACATTCATGCTGCTGCCCCACTGGAGCTGCTGCCCCACTGGAGCTGCTGCCCCACTGGAATGTGTTCCTCGAAACCTTGTTTGGTGGTAATTGTTGGACACAGGATTGGTTGCATTGTCGGTGGAAGAGGGGAGGTGTGTCTCTCCAATTTTAAGGCTACAGCCAAAGGTGGGTGTGGGATAGACTGCACACTTACGACAGTGGTTAACTGTCCTTAACGTTACGCTAGCCTAATGCATTTCGTCAGCTGTCCCTTTAGGCACAGTTAGGTAGCATTTATGCGGCCGCCTTGCCGGAATATGCCCAGGTGGATTTTTTCAGCCGCCAAGTATTGTCCGTCCTTAAGAACGACTGCGGAGAACGACTCAGTACTCCGGAATCCCAGGTAGTTTCAAGCCCTGGACCCAAGCTCCGCAGCCGCCGAAAGCCCTAGAAAGACACCGCACAGAAACAAGGAACATCTACTGCTATTTTAGCAGTAGGGTCTAAAAGACACTCCCGGCAGTCAATTATGGCCTTCGCAGCCGCCCAGAAGCGATTTGCGTTGCTTGTCGGCATCGACTTCTACCTGAATGACGGCTCGAGGAAGAGTGAAAAAGGAGAATCTCTCTCTCTTAGTAACCTACAAGGCTGTGTCAACGATGTCGGGGGGGTTGAAGAGTTCCTTCGCAAAGAATTCCAGCTGGACAACTCTTGCGTCCTTACCTCGCCTCTACCCTCGTCAGGGCTTCCCACGGAGGCGTCAGATCGTTGGCCTACATTTGACAACATCAGGAGGGAATTCAACACCGTATCTGAACAGGCTAGTGCCGGCGACATGTTCTTCTTTCACTTCTCTGGGCATGGGGCACGGCTGCAACCAACAAGCAGATCGCCCCCCGGGAGATCGACAGACCCATCTCTAGTGACAATGGACTTTTGCTGCGGAAAGCCTGCAGTCAGGGGATGGCAGTTGAATGAGTGGCTGAAAATACTCAACGAGAAGAAGATTCGAACCGTTGTCATCCTCGACAGCTGCCACTCGGGTGGTGCCTGGAGGACTGACGGCCGTTTTCGAACCCCAGAAGGTTGGACAAACATCCCAAACCTTCCCGCCGACGAAGGTGCCATCCTAGAGACTGCTGTTGAATCGAGCTGCCGTAATGGCGAGTTGGAAATGTCCTGGTCCATCAACCCAGATGGGTTCACGCTCATGGCAGCCTGCGAAAGTCATGAAAAGGCTGCGGAGAAGACCGTTAACGGCAGATCTTACGGCGCATTCACCCATGGCCTTTTGGCGTGCCTCAAGCAGAACCGGCCAAGCGAGGCAGTTGTGACTTACCGGAACCTGCGCGACCAGATAGTCAAGCAGGTCAACGGACAAACTCCTCGAGTATACGGTCGAGATAGGTTGGTATTCTTCGGAGACAAGGATCCGATCTCGGCAACGCCCCTCGTCGTGCGACTTGACGGGGAGAATATTTATCTTCCCATCGGTAAAGTTCACGGTGTTCGAGAGGGATCCGAGTTCACAACATATCCGCCTACAACACACGTGACATTTTCGGTGGATCGAGTTGACGACTTCGAATGCAGGGCCCCAGCCCTCCACGCACTGACTTTGCAACGACACCCCTACTGGATCGTTCCATGTCGATGGAGTTTGGGAGATGAGATTCTCCAAGTGCTTGCCGATCCCAGTCTGGGGAGCGAATTCCAACAGGCGCTGCATGCAGCTCTCCAGGATAGGATTGTCGGAGATATCGAGATCACCGAACCCAGCGACAGCTCCGGGCCCGATGCCGCCGTGTTCAGGGTGACAAAGCGAGACGATGGCGGCATCGACCTCACGGGATCTCCGTCTTTGACCGGGTACGAAGGTCCGGTGCGCGGGTTGGACCTCACAGGCGTCAACGTCGCTCAGCTGGCCACAAATTCTGCCGTTGCTTTGGCTCACTTGACCCGGTTCAGACAAATCCTCCGCCTCAGTGGCAACGCGTCTCAGCAGCTTGGGCCGTTCGAGCTGACTCTGAAACCGAAGATTTCCGGGGGCAACCTCTCGGGTGGCCAGGAAATAGACTTCGTGTTCAGGAACACAACCAAATCTCAGCTTCACATCACGGTCTTGGTGCTCAGTTCTGGATTTCATGTGAAGCAGCTTTACCCTTCGCAGGATTTTCCAGAATCGGTAGATCCAGGCCACAAGGTTTCGTTCACCTTTAACATCACGATACCTGACCCGCTCAAAGGTTATGGAGAGCAGCGAGACATAATCCGTGCAGTTGTCACGAAAGGCATGCAGCTTTCCTGGAAGAGCCTGGAACTGCCTGACATCTGGAATGCTGATCAGCTGTCCGACAAGCGCAATGGCTTAGGGAGGGACGCGAAATTGTTGTCCGAGTGCAGCTTGTGGGTCAAGGACAACGTAATATCAACAACAAAACAAGGTGGAGGAGATAATGTCTACTGGATGTCTCACTTAGATAGTTAATCGGATAATGTTTCGCTTCTCTTGCCGCCGTTCGCCGACGGAAGCTTCAGCCTCTTGCGCTGTTCGTAGGCGCGAATCGCGTCTCATCAAGATGCTTGTTGCTTTTTGTGGTTGCTCTAGTTTCTGCGTCGCGACTCTGTGGCGCGTTCATCGTCCGGGCGGGACCAGCCGATTCCCTTCGTGAAGCAGGACTGTCCTGCATAGCGTAGGATACTTTACGAGCCATCGTCCATGCCCGGTGCCAGAATACGTGGCCCTGCAGGTCGAAGAGTGGGGTTGCGAGGAGCACACAATGCCATTATGCATAAAGTTCGAAGTACCGCTGCGCTTAGCGTGATAAAGTGCAGCGCAACAGGGGGGCTTATTGTGGAGGAGGGGGTGTGCCGCAGGCAGGCAGGTAGGCTGGGAGGAAGCGTATGATCGTCGCGCTGGGTCCCCCATTTTCTGGGAGATCACTGGGGCAGCCGGTCCCTCGGTGGCGTACGGAATTTGCCGTACGCGAGGAAGCACATAAACGTTGTTGAGCATGTCTGATCACCCTGCCGTCGCCTGATTCCGGACCTGTACAGGTGAACTTGCCAGGTTTGGTGAGGTCCCTTTCCACAAACACCATTTCGAAACACATATTCCATGGAGGCGCCTGCATGCCTTGGTCCCGCCCGAGTGCGCTCGCGGGGATTAATGACGAATGCACCAGGGTGGAGTAACTTGGAGACTGTTCACACATGGATCCGCGAAGTCACATATCAACAGAACCTTGGGGGCACCTTGCGGCATAGCACGCGCTGACTTGTCAACTGAAAGAATTGAGACGAGCCACGACACAGGTTTTGCCAGGTGAAAGGTCTCGCATAGCATAATGCAGCGCAGTCAGCATCCGGAATGCATACCGCGAGCTGACCTGTCAGCTGCAAGTCTAGTGACAAGCCACGACGCCACTAATGACTAGAGGGCCTCCATCCCAAAAGCTCAGGTTCTGTGAGTGGTGGTTACAGCAAAGGCAGATTCTGCCAGCTGACAGCTAAGTGCGAGACCGCGTTCAGGCTTGTCTACGAGGGGGGCGCCACACTCGGCAAGCACACGCAACCTGTGAGGCTACTGGAGGCCGCCAACTACTGTGTTCAGGATGTCAGCTAGACGAATTACTAGACCGCCACTCTCGCTGCCGGGCCTTTCGTCTTCACAGGAACTCCTGGGTATGGCAGACGACGAAACTCCCGACCTTTAGCCTTGGCAATTGAAGCATACGAGAAGTACTCAAGATCCGAAAATACAAACGATACCGACGAAGTCGTTGAGCTTGCGGGAGGCGTGATTCGCTCTACAACAGTTGACCAATTCGTCTCTTTCCAAGCAGACCTAAGATCGAACAACTTCGGACCAAGATTGCAAGCCCGTACGAGCGAACCGGGGCGATGTATGAACTTGAAGTAGCCCTCTCAGCGGCTCGAAGGGTGGTAGCATCGACATCGGACGACCATCCTAACCGCGCACGCTACTTAAATAATCTCGGGAACACGCTTCATAAGCGGTACGAGCGAACAGGGGAGTTGCGCGACCTTGAAGAGGCCATATCAACTGCTCGACAGGCGGTGGCATTGACACCATGCGACCATCCCAACCACGCAGCGTGGTTAAATAACCTCGGGAACAAGCTTTCTAGCCGGTACGAGCGAACAGGGGAGTTGCGCGACCTAGAAGAGGCCATTTTGACGGCTCGACAGTCGGTGGCATTGACACCAGACGACGATCCCGACCGCGCAGCAGGCCTAAATGATCTCGGGATCACGCTTCAGAGCCGATACGAGCGGACAGGGGAGTTGCGCGACCTTGAAGAGGCCATCTCGACTACTCGACAGGCGATAGCATTGACACCACGCGACCATCCCCACTACGTGGTGTTCTTGAACAATCTCGGGACCAAGCTTAATAGCCGGTACCAGCAGACAGGGGAGATGCGCGACCTAGATGAGGCCATCTTGACGGCTCGACAGGCGGTGGCCACAACACCGGATGGCCATCACAACCGCGCGATGTGCCTAAATGGTCTCGGGAACGCGCTTCAGAGCCGATACGGGCGGACAGGGGAGTTGCGCGACCTTGAAGAGGCCATATCGACTACTCGACAGGCGGTGGCATTGACACCATGCGACCATCTCAACCGCGCGATGTGGTTAAATAACCTCGGGAACAAGCTTCAGAGCCGATACGAGCGGACAGGGGAGTTGCGCGACCTAGAAGAGGCCATCTTGACGGCTCGACAGGCGGTGGCCACAACACCGGATGGCCATCACAACCGCGCGGTGTGGTTGAGCAATCTCGGGTACTATCTTGAGAAGCGGTACGAGCGGACGGAGGAGATGGGTGACCTAGAAGAGGCCATCTCCACGGCTCGACGGGCGGTGGAATTAATACCAGGCGACCATCCCAACCGCGCACAGTGCCTAAACAACCTTGGGAACACGCTTCAGAGCCGATACGAGCGGACAGGGGAGTTGCGCGACCTTGAAGAGGCCATCTCGACTACTCGACAGGCGGTAGCATTGACACCACGCGACCATCCCAATCGCGCAAGCAGGTTGAACAACCTCGGGCACGCGCTTCAGAAGCGGTACGGGCGGATGGGGGAGATACACAACCTTGAAGAGGCTATCTTGACGATACGACAGGCGGTCGCATCGGCACCAGGCGACCATCCCGATCGCGCAGGCTATTTGAATAATCTTGGCAATACACTTGAGAAGCGATACGAACGGATGGGGGCGATACACAACCTTGAAGAGGCTATCTTGTCGATACGACAGGCGGTGGCATCGGTACCAGGCGACCATCCCGATCGCGCAGGCTATTTGAATAATCTTGGGGATATACTTGAAAACCGGTACTACCTGACGGGGGAGATGCACAACCTTGAAGAGGCAATCTCGATGGCTCGACAGGCAGTAGCATTATCACCAGACGACCATCCCGACCGCAGAGGCTACTTAAATACTCTCGGGAACACGCTTCAGAGCAGATACGAGCGGACGAAGGAGATACGCGACGTTGAAGAGGCCATGTTAAGGGTTCGACAGGCGGTGGCATTGACACCATGCGACCATCCCAACTACGCATTGTACTTAAGCAATCTCGGGTACATTCTTGGGAAGCGGTACGAGCGGACGGAGGAGATGGGTGACCAAGCAGAGGCCATCTCCACGGCTCGACGGGCGGTGGAATTAATACCAGGCGACCATCCCGACCGCGTACCGTGCCTAAACAACCTCGGAATGCATCTAGTCAACCGGTACTCACGGACTGAAGCGATTACAGACCTCGAGGAAGCTAAGGAATGCTTCACTACTGCCTTACGTCACTCCGCCGCCGCTATAAGCAGGCGTGTCGCAGCCGGCCGCCATCTACTGTCATCCCCAGCCATACTTCAAGATCAACAAGCATACGCCATTGCCAAAACAACAATCGACTTGATTCCCTTATTAACGCCCCGTTCTCTGCAGAACTCAGACAAGCGGCATCTCCTCTCCACGGCTGTCGGACTGTCGTCGGACGCGGCAGCCATTGCCCTACATGCCAGCAGAGGCCCTGCTGCTGCTATCGAACTGCTTGAGACTGGTCGTGGTGTTATCGCGGGAGCTCTCTTCGAGCAATCTGATCTCGCCGCTCTCGAATGCAAGCATCCTGACCTGGCGCGTTCCTTTATCGACCTGCGAGATCAACTAGACGCGCCACCATCGGCGGACTCCCTCGCTGCAGTCGAGCGCCCCACTGCGGCCGCAGAGACGGAAGGCCATCAGCGCCGCGATGCTGGGCCCCAGCTTGCCCGTCTCCTTGAGATAATCCGTTCCAAGGCCGATTTTGAGCGATTCCTGCTCTCCGCGTCGGAAGCCGATATTCTGGAGGCTGCACGGCCCGGCCCGATTATTGTCCTGAATGTGAGCTCATATCGCTGTGATGCCTTACTCATTGAGCAGTCCAGCATCCGACTGCTGGAGCTGCCGCACCTCTCCCGAGACACCTTCAACGACCATGTCCAGGAACTTGGGACTCTCGACACGCTTGGATGGCTCTGGGATGCCATCGTCTGTCCTGTTCTTAATGCTTTAGGCTTTACTGGGACTCCTTCGGACGGCCAGTGGCCGCACGTGTGGTGGGTTCCCACCGGCGCCCTGACCCGATTTCCACTCCATGCAGCGGGACACCATCTGAGACGCACTGGCGAGACGGCGCTGGACAGGGTCGTGTCATCCTACGCCTCGTCCGTCAAGGCAATCATACATAGTCGACGACGGCCACATCGAGCACCGGCAGCTGGGGAGTCCCGAAATGCCGTTGTCGTTGCCATGCAGGACACGCCAAACTGGAACCCGCTCGAGTATGCGCGCGACGAGGTCGATGCGGTAGTAGCTATTTGCGAATCAATGGGACTGCCGCACGACCGGCCCCGCCCATACAAGACCGACGTCTCATCGGCCTTACAGGCATGCACGGTGTTCCACTTCGCCGGCCACGGCAGCACGCATCCCACAGAACCGCTACAGAGCAAGTTACTTCTTAATGATTGGGATCGGGAGCCATTCACTGTGGCAAGTCTCCTGGAGACTAACCTCACGTCGGAGCCGCCATTCCTTGCCTATCTCTCGGCATGTGGGACTGGTGAGATCCTGGATGAGGGGTCTGTTGACGAGAGCATCCATTTAGCCAATGCTTGCCAGCTGGCAGGGTTCCGTCACGTAGTCGGCACACTTTGGAGCGTCGATGATAAATTATGTGTGGACATGGCGAGAATGACATACGAGTTTCTGCGGGATGAAGGGATGAGAGACGAATCGATAAGCCGTGGGCTTCACCGGGTGAGCAGGACGCTTCGAGACCGGTGGGTGAGCGGGGAGGATGCCGGGGGCGCATTGTCACAGTCGTTGGGAACGGAGAGGGACGCTGAATTAAGAGAGAGGTCGGGGCCACGGCCGTCCTGGGTTCCTTATGTCCACTTCGGCGTTTGATATTCAAGTTATACAACATTTATCATTGAACGATGATACGAGGCGAACTACTGAGTTTGCTGTTATGTCGCTGCTAGCTCGCATTCGTTTTCCCCTCATTCAAAATATCCATCAAGTTCCGCAGCCCCTGCAATGTTGACTTTGAAACGCCATGGTTGCTTGCTACGCGAACGACTGTTCCCTCCGGCATTCCCTCTTCCATACGTGCTACGGAAACTGTATCGTCGTCTTTTCGTATCGCGCAAATGAGGGCGAAAGAGTCAAGAAACTTTCGTTTGAGAAGACGTTCTCGCGGGGTTTCGATTTCGTTAGGATCTCGATCAAGGCCATGCGCTATGAGCTCACCACGGACGGATTGCATCCTCTGTAATCAACCGATAGGAGAACAACTAGTACACCATCTGAAGTATCATTTTCTATCGACTTGAACCAATTGGTGGAGGGTTCTGCAGCCGAACCATTCTTCCAGGAGAGGGAGGCCTCTTTGTCCCCAAGTTTGCAACTAGAAGTTTTGTCGCAAGAGCCCCAACGGGATCAACGGGATCGAAGTTGTCACGAGAGTGCACCTGAGCTTGAGCTGAGGAGCGCTCCAAACACCGAGAAAGCTATCGGCACTGATGATCGCTCGGAAATTGCCGACCCCGAAGCAGCCCATATCTCAATTTCAGAGGTCGAAATGTCTGATGAAGGCCAACCAACTACAGCAAGCGAACTGCCAAGTGTCCAACCTGCCAACGACACGATGCAGATTGACTGTGGTTATTCAACTAGGAACAGCGACAGAGGCACCGCACAAGGCAACGATCTTTCTACATCACTCATGCACATCCATCAACACCAGATTCAACGCGCCTTGTCCAATCACATGGCAGCCGACCTACTCAACCTGAAAACAAAGGCAATCGATCTCAACTTTCCGAAAGGAATACAAGGCCTCGAAGCGAGACAATCTCAGCTACCCCCAGCACGACCTCCAACTGCTCAATGGCATGCTGGAAATCTTGTTCCACCTGACAACTCCACAACATTTAGTTGCCATGCCATACAAATATCGTCGCCCCAGAACCCCAACGATTCCGTGACAGGCACCGAAACTCCAGAATTAGGAATATTACGCACACTACAACCAAAACATCCGATCACAGATTCGAATTCAACGGGCGAGCCACGGGTTACGATGCGTTGGGACGCCGCCTATCGAACTACATATGACTCTCGTTCCGAGGTTTCACAAAGAACGTCCCGTGCCTTGAATCCGAAACCGCCGGTCACAGCCCCGACAAGGGGATCACAATCTCGAGACCCCGGGATAACGCCAAGTAAAGTTCTGAGTACACAGCTTAGTGCTGGGGCTTTTGTTCCCATCAATACTGAAGCCAACTCCTCTACGCCTCCTATCGGCCAGCTACAAGCGACAAAGCCTCAGGTTCCCCAAGTTCCAACTCCCGATATTCCACCTGCAAATACGAAGATTTTTAGGCGATCACACTTAGGAACACTCTACAGATCAGACTCGGCGACAGTCTACTTAATACGCGAGCCATTCTTGGTTAGATCCCCAGTCAAACCACTAGTCAAACCTCCCGTCAAACCCCCGACCAGACCTCTATTTCCATGCAGCATTCAAATGCAAACGGGAGAGCCACGATTTGGCCAGCCGCCGCATGAGGTCCCCCCATACTTTCTGAAACGCCTGCGAGAATTGATGGGAAGCCGAGATGAAAACCCCCTTATATCTAAATTTCTTATAAAAGGCCGTTACCTCTGCCCTTGGTGCCAAAGAAAATATCATCGCACCGTCAGTTTTACGGATCATCTGGTCTTAAATCATATCAGGTCCACCGATCCGAAGGTTGTATCACGATCCGAGCTTGACTCTAGCGTCGATAGCGATATAATCGACTTGACTTCCGAATCATAGGAAATGTCAATAGTGTTAATACTATTTCTCTTGCTCAATTCATGGTGATCCTCTAGTGAATTCTGGTCTCAAGCTCGAATAAACTAGAATACTCGTAGAATTTCCTACACCGTCACGTTCGAGAGCTGGCACCGTACTCCAGTGATTTGACCTGCTCGGAACTGATTTCCAGGCTTAATCAAACATGAATTCCACGTGTCTTTTATTCCTTGAATGCCCAGACGGAAAATCGGTCGATCAACCTCTTCCTGGACATACCTGGGCATTTGAGCTAACTCATGAGTTTCGACCCTTTTAACTCACCCATATGAGTTTCGGTCTCACCATACCTCACTCATGAGTTTAACTCAGACTCATGAGTCAACTCACGTAGTTTGGTCATGTGACATCGCCTACTTCCTAAATAGGAAGTTAGTGATAGAAATCTATGGTAACTTATTGAATGAAAGTGTGAAAAATCACCGTGCTACTCCATATCACTAATATCTATATCAATATTATAATTAGCGATGTCCGGATCGCATACGTGCCCCAGTCCACCATGCCGAGTCCCTATAATATGCCCATTCCGCATCCAGTTGCCGAGACACTCAACTTCCTGATCCGCTCGCACGTCATCGACAGCCGGTCCCATGATGTGGTCCTACGCGCGCCCGAGAAGGTCCTTTCTGGCTCTGCTGACTGAGGGTTTATCGAGAGTATATCGATGGCCATACGGCTAAGGCGTGGAAACTGTCGTCGTTGTTCAATGCGACACCACCACTCTAGAGGTTCGCAATCAATCTTTGTAGCTGCGAAGGCGGCTTCCCTAGCGCGGATGGGATATCCTCTGCAGTAGTTTCAATGTCCCCATCGATATTGATATTGACATTGTATTCCTCCTCCCATATTTGCTGCACACTCACAATCGCTGGATTAATCCATACACTCTTCCAGTTCTTATCCAAGTATGTTTTTCGACAGCGTGGATTGAGGAGAAGAGCGGCGACGTAAACGGGAGCCTCATCAGACATAGTGTAGTATTTATGGAGTACAAACCATCCCATCTTGATAGAATGGAACTTGCGGGTATCATGGAATTCCGGTGTCGAGTAGTGTATCTAATAAAGGCAATTGCTAGACGGGCATGATGTTTTGCTAGCCGGGCATGATCTTACACGGGCATGACTTTTCTCCCCCTCTTATTGGCTCAAAAAAAAATGTTAGTACCATCGAATTCTGCCACCTCCACTCCTTGTACTCCTTCTATTCAGCTCCTTCAAATCTTTACCCCTAGAAGCAATCATTACTAGCATATACCAATAACCATTCCTAGAGCCTACCCCCCCGGGCCTTCCCCCCCGATTCAATATGCCAAGTCAACCATATACCCACCCTGAGCAGGATGTTAGGGCTCGAAGATCCCGAAGTCGAAGCCGAAGCCCGAGCCCCAGCGATCAATTGATCCCTTCGAAGCGCCGTCGCGTCGAGCGCGAAGCCGACCTACCGAGTCCATCGCACCTTTTCGAGTCCACCGCGCCCTTCGAGTCGTTCGACAATAGCAAGCAACATCTCTCCATTCTACGGTATCGGAGACGATAATGCCCTCGATAATCTCTTCGCATCATATCCGCAAAGGTTCTCTGATGTCCCCAGACCACATGGCCAGCGAGGCATGAATGAGTCGACCTAGTCGATGCGTAACGATCACGAGATTTATTTCAACACCGACCTCACCCTGGTATCATCATCTGTTCGTCGAGTAACAGGACTGATTCCGGGTGAATACCCATATTCATTATCATCTCCTTCATCCCCTACACCCGGCTCTCCACTATCTTCAACATCTTCCATACAAGGACCCCCTCAAGCAACTAAAGCCGAGTTTCAGTCTGCTCTAAAGCTTGTACAAGAGGTCATTGGAGAAGGTCGGCGCCTTACATTCGACCTCGCCCGTCAATACGAACGTGTACACCAGTGGCGGGAGAGATGGGGCTGGTCGCCACTTAGCCCAGGAGCTTATGAACCCCCTCCTCTATACTCTCCGCCACGAAATCCACAATCAACATCAAGTCCTCCCGTGACTACACCTCCCAATATATCCATACAATCCTCGATCTCGCCAGAGCCAGAGCCAATACCCAACCCCCCTATTCCAGGTGATGCTGCCCCAGATGCGGAGACCCTCTTCAAGACAATAAACACCTTTGCTAAGGAGCATGGATTTGGTATCATTCGGCGACATGGATATCAATATCAAGGCCGGAAGATGAGATATACATTTCAATGTGATCGATTTGGACAACCAAGGCCTACTGAAGGCGTTGGACTACGACAACGGAAGTCTCGAAAATGCGGCTGCAGGTGGCAGGTTATTGCCGAAGCCCTTGAAGAGGGGAAGTGGTTCTTACGACAGCACCCAAATATAGAACACAGCGAACACAACCACGGACCCAGTCTCACCCCATCAGCGCACCCTACCCATCGACGACTGACTTCACCTATCAAGGCCACTGTTGAAGCTACAAGTCGACGGGTTGGTGTGCGTGCTCGCGATGTACAAGCGGTTGTCAAAGATCAGCATCCAGATACCAGTTTCACTCAAAAGGATATCTACAATGCCCGGGTCACGATCAATCGCGATAAGTTAAGTGGGTATACCTCTGCTGCAGCACTTATCAAGCTTTTCGATGAGAGTGGAATCCTCTACTTGGTAAAGTGGGCAGATGATGAGCCAAATCGAATTGTTGGCTTAATATGGACCTTCCCTTATTGCCTTCAGATGTGGAAGCGCTTTCCAGAGGTCATCAGCTTCGATAATACATACAATACCAATCGATTCAAGCTGCCTCTTTTCCAAGCAACTGGGCAAACATGTTTGGGGACTGTCTTCAATGCTGCGTTTGGTCTGATTGATAATGAGAGAAGGGAAGGATTCCAATTCCTTGCAGAGGGCTTTCGACAGCTGATTGATGAGCAATCTATCAAAGACCCAACTATTATCATGACAGACTTTGATAAGGCAATGAAGGCAGCACTAGACGATCAGTTTCCCAAGTCACAGCAGCAATTGTGCATCCACCATATCAACTCAAAAGCAGAAATGGCTTAAGACTTCTGAGCCTACTAGCAGCTCAGATATCAGCGATGTTGAAAAGTCCCCTCAGTATGAAACTCAACTCAGCTTAAATGATCGAGCACTGGTTGACAATTCAACAACCGACAAGATTCCTCATACCTATCGGGGTATCTTCCAGATGTGGAAGGTTGTACTGTTTGCTGATGATGAGGCAGCTCATGAGGAGGCTTGGAAAATGCTATGCAAGGAGTTTGATGATCAACGACCAATCTTGCGTTACTTATACGGTACTTACATGCCTGTAAGAGCTCAATGGGCCCGCTGCTTCATCTAGACATACCGTAATTTCGGTATTCGTGTCACATCTGGCACGGAAGCAAGCAATAATAATGTCAAAACCTATTTGCTTAATGGCATGAGCAACCTCTTTCGTCTTGTTGAGGCAATGCAGGATATGATGAGGGATCAAGAGCGCAACTTCTTGGATAAGTGTGCAGCAGACGAAGTGCTTACTGCACGTGACCTTACTGGACCAAGTTCAGAGTACCTCGGCGAACTACGGATAATGATCTCTTCAAAGGGCCTGTCTTTAATACAGAGACAGTATCGCATTGCACGCAAGGCAATGCCAACTGCAAGGAACCCCTTTCCAACCCCTCTTCAAGACTGTGGCAGTAACTGTTATATCTCAACAGAGCTTGGCATCCCGTGTTCTCATACAATTTATGAGAAGCTGGGTTCAGGTATACAGTTTACAAAGTGGGAAGTCCATCCACACTGGCGACTAAGAGAATCATCATCAAAAGATCCGTATCGTCGTATCCTCGACCCCAAGATTACTTTATCTCTTCGTGGCCGCTCAAGAAATACACCACAAGCCATGCCCTCAACCCTGGCTATTAGTATGGACAGTCAATCCCAGCTGGCCAATACTGAGACACCTACCGATACATCAGCAAGCCAAGTGGGAAGGCAGGTAGCAAAGCGTAAGCGAGGTCGGCCAGTGGAAAGCCGAAATCAATCTACGTTAGCAAGGATCGAACAAGAGACAAGCCAGCAAGATAGGTCAGTTGCACGAGTAACCCGCAGCCAGTCAGCTGTACTTGGTCCTGGACAACTCACTGGGGTACGAGCCACTGGTCGAAGACTGCAGCCGAATATCCGTAGAATAAGAAGTCAATGGGAGCTGATAAGCAGTGATGAGGAGTGATATTATGTTAGAATTACTAGGCATAGGTAGAAATACCGTATTCTCTCAATAAATTGGCACACTCTAGCGTCTCCACGTTTGGGCTTCTCAGCGAGTGACAGCCCGTTAAACCGGATTACTTCAGCAACCTCTGTCGGCAGCACGTGATCTATATTGACGCTAAGCTGTGCCAATTTATTGAGAGAATACGGTAGTAGGATTTTGATCCCTCGTAGTTGAGCTGAAAATTCAATTACTAGTGATTAAAATTATTCAGCCCGAAGGGCGTTTTATTCAGCCCGAAGGGCGTTTTACTCAGTCAGAAAGAATCGAGCATAAAACCTCCTGTGGTTGGCTAATTGGCCTGGCATGTGCTCAACTCGCGCGCGAATTGGTCGACCGTTAACGCCACCAAATGAAGGCATCGCCACAAACCACCCCCTGAGCGTTGACTAGGTAACTCGCTAGCTTGGCAAACCCTCCAAGAGCTTTCAGTTCTTCTTTCAATGTAATCAATTTGTTGGGTTGCTAAGCACGATCCTCACTGAATAACCCCCGTGCCCCTTACTCCTTACACTAACCTTCGTGGCAGCTGCTTCCCTTTTCTGTCGAATCTATCAAACTCATCAGGTTGCTAACAGTATCTAGGTTCACATATTACCTCCGCAGCCAGCCTACCTCTGAAGATTCCCCGGTTACTCTGCCTCCGGAAAGCAGTGCAGTTTACTCCCTGGCCATTCAGACGTGATCTAACTACCTCAAAGACAGCCTCTCCATCGAGATCTATCACGGTATTGGACGTAAGCCTTCTTTGGAATCCTTATCCGTTGGAAAACTGCCCTCTAATGGGCATGGTGGCGGATTCTGTGATAATGTGCCCAGAGTCTGTTTTGGACCAGGTATGTGCTTTGAAGAGGGATGATGGGAAAGAGGCAATGGTATTTACTATTCCAGATGCTGAGGACGAGGCGATGATAAGAAGAATTCAACATCGTGCTGCGTTTCTAGGGACGGGACTAAGAAAGCGGTATTATTCTGGATCAGATGGCAAAGTTATCACGCAGTTGGCGTTATAGTAGGAAGTCTGTATTGGCAGGTATTCCCTGGTTTAGGGATTTCGTCGCGTTTCTTTGCTTTAGCAAAAAAGGCAAGAAGCCGATTTCGCTGCACATCCATGACGCGAGAATTTCTAAAAGTCGTTTCTGGAAGGATATGGATACAGTGGCAGATGATTGTAGTGGCTGAGAGAGAAGTTGCTGGTGGAAATGTGGCTAACTGCTTGGTTTTAATTGGCTGAGTATAAATGAACACTACTAGGGTGGCAGAAAATGAACTCCACCCCCAGGAAAGTGGGGCTTGAAAATGAACTCTAGTAGAGTTCTGAGGTTACAGCATCTGTAGGGTATTTACCCTTCGGGCTGGATATTCAGCCGTTAAGTCCCTTGCCTTGGCAACTTAACGGGTGTTCGAAGTATTTTACTATTACACTCAATCACACACAATCATAATATAGTGATAGTGCCATTAGGTTGTCTTAGGTCAATATGACCTAATGGTACTACCACTGTGCAGTTCTAAGACGACCTGATGGTACTATTGCTGTGCAGTCCTAAGACAACCTGATAGTATTAATATTAAATAGAAATATATAAAGAATAAGCTTATTTCATCAAGTAAGTGAGGAAGGAATAGGAAAATATATTTCATCAGATATCAGATGAAGAAATGGTGTTTGTTGTTTCATCTATGGATTTAGTACGGGTATAACTGCTGTTAGTTGGATTGGCTTCACCGCCTTTGGTTGTATGTATAGCAAGAAATTTTTGAGCCAATAAGAGGGGGAAAAAAGGTCATGCCCGTGTAAGATCATGCCCGTCTAGCAAAACATCATGCCCGTCTAGCAATTGCCTATATTATTAGCAACACTGTTGCTTCTTCCATGGCGAAATGCTTCCACGTTGATAAAGGGTACTTTTCGCTACACATTCCAAGCATCTTTAAGACCCAATGCGAATAGAGGTCTTGCTTAAATTGTTACATAGAAATAGCATCGTTCTATAAGACATATAAATATAGTGGGAAGAGATTAAGCTTCTTGAAAAAGGCTAGCAGATTGATAATAGCGTAAATGCAGTCGACTAGTTTGTACTTGGTGCTTTCTATCCGTATGAAATAATCAAAATCATTAAATTTATTTCCTGAGCTTGGAATCTCCAACTCTAACACATATGCGGAGCTGATACTGGCCTTCTATTTCCTCGATTGGTGGGTAAATGTATATAAAGGCTTCGAATCATGCTCGCCCATAATACCTCAGCACCGCACGGTGTCTGTTCCCGCGCCTGCCGCTGCGCAACAGGCCCCATGCTTCAGAAGCAAATCGATGATAGCTTGGTACGGCCGTTCTAGGGGTTTTTTAGCCTTCGAGATAGCCTCTTCCAGCGGCGTCCGACCACGGCTATTACGCCTGTTAACCGCGGCTCCTCTTTCTAGAAGAAGGTCAACTATGGCTTTATTACCCATCGAGACAGCAAGGAACAGGGCCGTCTGCCCACTGGTAGGATTGGGCGAGTCCAAATCAGCTCCAGAATCGAGTAGTTGTCTAACAACATAATGCTGGCCTTTTTCAACGGCTTTCTCGAGTGGCGTCATGCCATCGGAGAGTTGAATGTTGGGGTCAGCGTTGTGTGCAAGGAGAATCTTGACCCCTTCCTCGCACCCCGATGATATCGCAGACATTAGCGGTGTTTTCCCGATTTTGCCTGTCCAGTTGGCGTCGGCGCCGGCAGTGAGCAACATGCGGGCCATGTCAAGTCCAGATGGACGGCAAACAGCCCTCATCAGCGGGGTTTCGGTGTCATCGGGGCAAACCTGATCTACCCTGATGTGTTTGCTTGCGAGCAAGAGCTTTACCTGGTCTGCTCTTCCTTGGTTTACAGCGTGTTGCAGAGGTGTTATCATCCTCAGGCTCTTCCACCCGTATCCGCCCAGAGCATTTGGATCAATCGCATCTGCTGTGAGCAGGGCTTTGAATGCATCTGTGCGCCGCTCACTATCACGTAGAGCATGCCAGAAAGACGTCCAACCTTGGTCATCCTTGGAGTTGGTATCCACCCGCCTGTCTGACAGCAGCCGCTGAACCACGGCGTCATTGCCCTGTATGACAGCACCCATCAACGGTGTATAGCCCCTATTTGTCCTGGAATTAGGATCCACGTCTTGTTTCGTAAGTAGCAAATCCACTACTGAGGTGCAACCTTTCCACGCAGCAATGAATAGAGGCGTGGTACCTCCATTCGCAAGGCGGATATTTGGCTCGAGCTTGGGGTGCTCCAATAGCAGCTTCACCACCGCGGCGTGCCCCTTCGCTGAGGCGCACCATAGCGGCGAGGCACTGAACTGTGGATCTGGCAAGTTAGGATTAACGCTCTCGCAGGCGAGAAGCTGTGTGACGACTGACGCCCGTCCACTCCTAGCGGCATGCCATAGTGGTGGCGCAGGGTAATCACCCGCTGAGGAGGGCACGTCCCTTACGGCATGCAGAAAATACGACGTCCTCTGGCGATCATCTCCAAATGGTAGCCATTGCCTTGGGGGTAGTTGAGGCTCACCCTGGGCATCGGGTTCAACGCCTTGTGCTGCGAGCAGCTGCTCCACAATCTGATCATTTCCATGCTCAGCTGCCCAAGATAAAGCCGTACGCCCATAGTTGTCTTGTTCGTTTGGGTCGTGGCCTTGGCTCAATAGCTCGTTGAGATAACCCCTCAAGCGGAACTCTGCTGCGACGTGCATTGCTGATGTCTGAGGAATTGGAAAGGGCGACACCGAGAGAATCCAGTGATCCCATTCCCAGAAATTGGTTGCTTGGACAGAGGCCATGAGTTTCTCCTGGTGTTGCAAAAAATTGATGATAGTCTGGTCCTTTCCCGGGAGACTGTGATTGGCGTAGTAACCCCAGTTTCTTGCTGCATGGTTGCATAAAGGGTACAGTCTCATACGATTCTCAAAGTCATCAGCCGTCGTACAGCACCCGCTATTGAATGTATCGAAAGAAAGATAGGTTATGCAGGCTTTTGCCATTGATGCCTCACCTGTCGGGAACCACTTGTCTCCCGCCACGGAGAAGTAGTCATGCGTAGTGTAATGGACTAGGTGGACGGTGTTGGTTTCATCAATTGCCACTAGGCCGCCACACATCGAGACCATGTCCTCAGTTGCCGGAAGATTCTCTCTATCCAGGTCAATCGAGTTCTCTTCCACCGCAAGAGCGTGTTGAAGCTGTTCTGTAGTGAGGGATTCGATTGCAAAGGCCAGCCAGGAAAGGACCTTGATCGCGAAGTCTCTGGAGGCTGGTACCTGGCACAGGACTCTCTCCATGACCATGTCATAAGCGCGGCCATATGCATCAGACCCGCCGTTAAGCTTCTTCAGAGCTGTGCGGACAATTTTCGGAGATGGCATGCCATCCAAAGAGTCTGTGTGGAGTTTGGCGAGCAGGAACCTTGTAAGGCTATCAGTATAGATCAAAGGGGAAGAAAGAGTGTACTTGCATTCCCCGAGCCGCGTGAGCAATTTCTTTCTTGGCCTCCTCTTGCAAGCTTTTGTTGCGTCCAACGACTCCAGACATGCGAGGTAAACAACTGTCGAGGTACAGACGAATATCTTCATCCACGGCACTAACTGGTAACTCGATACTGTCTTCAAAGTTGCGTCTAATATCAGGTAGATCTCTCGATGTCACGAAAATGTTTACTCCACTGACGGCCTGTAACTTCTTGATCTCGGACAGAAACAGGGCTCGCTGACCGTCAGAAGTTTGGAATTCGTCAAGGGCATCAACAACAATCAAGACTCTCGAGTAGATATTGCAGACAGATTGCAATGTGCTGGACAGCTCGTCGAGCAGAGGCCGTGTTCTGTTTGATTTATGGGCTTTATAAAGACTCTCCACGCTCTCGGGCAATGACGGCCGGTTTTGTGCGAGTTGCTTCAAGATGTTTGCCAGGAGAGCATCCGCATTCTGTTCTTCATGCTGCTTGTAGTTTAAGTAGACGTAAGCAATCCTGACAGTATCATCGGATTGAAATTGTTGGATCAAGTGTGCGATGGCGATCGCCGCGAGAGTCGTTTTACCGGCACCAGGAATTCCTGGACTGAAGAGTGTCATTTGTTTGGTCTGTAGCCACTCGTTGAACTGAGTGGAGTTCAGAAACCACTGTCCCGTGCCAACTTGGTGTCGTTTGATATGGTAGACCTGCTGTTTCGCATAGTCAACCTGACTGAGCCAGTCGAGGATGTACTGATGCTCTTGGTTGCGTTGTTCGGAGTGGATCTTGTTGACTGTAGTCGCCACTTCCTCGAGTTGATGGCTCAAGTCTAAAGCAAACGGAACACATTAGTTAATGACAATCAAATTGAGGGATGGCTCGGAAACACAACAGAAGAAGATTCTCGGTAAGTGATTAAACACTCCAAACCTGACACATGGGAAACGATCCATTCCATCAAATATCAACAAGTCCAGTACAGAATAAAATATGTATCAAGAGGAGGTATAGGCCTTACTGTTGATTGTCGGCATATGCTGAACTTCCTGTGGAGGAACAGTAGACAATAGCTCCTTCGCAAATGCTGCCGCCACGGCTGCCGCGTGCTCTTGCCAGGCCTTGTTCTTGTGAGAATCGGCATAGTCGCATATTCCGCGGATTATGACACATGGAAAGTCATTCATGAGACCTGCCGCCTCCATCTCGACGCAAAGAACGTGTCCGCCCAGGCTCCGATTCAGATCGTCCCGGAATCCGGCGTCCTTGATGACTCTGTTGCCGGATGCGATCAGCCCGTAATGAACAACCATGTCCCTTGGCTTTCTTTTCATGACTCTGCGCTTATCACAGAAGCTACAGTCGCTCGAGCCCTCGTTCTCATCCCCATCGGACATAATGGCGTCACTGGTGTCGTTCCTCTGTCCGTCATCCGACGCTGCTCCAGAACTGGCGACAGGGTCTGTGAGAGCCATAGTCGATCGACCCAAAAGGAATCCAGTAAGGGCAGATATGATCTCCCAGAGTATTGCAATGAGTCCACGCTGAACACCCTGAGACCGATGGTGACTGTTGGCAGCAAATAAAACGTCCTCGAGCGAATCAGATCGACAATATTTTGCCGCAAGCCTCGACCAGTTCTTTTCAAGATCGTCGAGATACTGAGGAATCTGAGAACCCTGCATCTCATGCCGGGTCTGCAAGGTCGTCAAAGCCGTCAACAGAGCAGTCGGGGGATTGTTCAGCGATTGCGTTCGCTTGAACTTTCGCTCTTGCTCAACCTTGCCCATGTCCCACTGGACGACCCCAGGAAACTCGGCTATTGGCGTGCTGACGACGACATCGCCGAGCCGGACTTTGGGAGGAATACCACCACCGATACCCACCATAAGACCGAACTTGATAGACGGAAATGTGGAAACCATCTGGGTAGCGACCGTCGCCGATGAGTTGTTGCCAACCCTGCCGAAAGGGAGGCAAGCAATGACGATGTTGTGGTTGTCGATGGAGCCAAGCGTGTATGTGTTGTTGTCGGTGACGGGCTTGGAGAGGGGGCCGTGTTGGGCATCCAACATGGCTGTCGCCGCCGTCTGCTCCTTGGCAAGAGCGCAGACCCAGCCGACTGTGTAATCATCGTGTGCTCGTGGATTCGGACCCGCCTCCAGAGTCATGGCGATGGAGTCAAGGTGAGCCTGCCAGCGAGCCGGTCGCTGTCCACTCTCTTGAACAAGGATAGACTGGGGACCCGGAGATGAGGGAATTGTCGAGAGATCACGGACAACAAAAAAATCTCAGCTGAGCAGGCCTGTTTTTATGGCCCAGGTCATTGGGCCTACTCAAGCATGCATGACAGAAACGGGGCCGTTTCCACTTTCGGACCAATCACAGCTTTTAGAATCCTCCCCCATTCCGTCTTGGGAAACGGGCCCCGTTTCTGATCGGGGCATGTTTAGCGAAACAGGAGAGGCAAACCGGTCGCGGTTTGCGCAAAGGAGCCTTGAGGAACGAAGTTGGCTATGGCCAATTTAACTTTCCTTCATCAACTCTGATCACACCTTCCAGGTTCGAATCTTGCGTGTTGCGAAAGTGTTTGCAGTAGGTAGCGTCGTGGTGGGAGGTGCTTGCTTTGTCAATCGGCATATGATATAGCTTGAGCTCCTACCCTAGAATGTTTTGCATTCCGAGCTATGAATAGTTGAGATGGCAGAGATCACTGGAAGCCATTCTGGACGAGCAGGTGGGGTGTATGAAGATATTGGCCTGTTAGGTTTATGGGAAAAAGGAGGGGATTAGGCGATGTATGGGATGTAAAGCTATAGAGTACTGTGAGAAAGAGTATCTAAAGGCGGATTGGATGGTAGAGAGTGGCCGCTAAGGACGGGTAAAAGCGGGGATTTAAGGATAATAAATGAGTTAGTTTGTACGACTTGGGTGTGGAAGATATCAAAGGGAGAATGATTTCCTATTCATGCGCACTCTTTGTAATGGCAATAGTCTCCCAAATAGCCTTCAATCAAACCTTGGATACTTCTTCCAAATATTTGTTCTTTAGAGGATGGCGGTTTCGGCTCAGACGGTTGGATGATTCTGACACAGCAGCCATGATCGTATCAAGGACAGGTGTAGGTACAGGCAGATGAGTTGCTGATGCGAGGGGTCTCGTGAAGGACGAGGTGGGGGGCTGAGTCCCGCCACGGCTTGGTTCGGGCTCGTCAACAGTTCCCGGTGAGCTCGAGCTGCCGGCAGAAGGATATGTTCCCAAGGATGGGATAGTGGTCGGGGATGTCGGCGGCTGGCACGGTCTCTTTGCAGGCGGTGTGTAATCGACGCCCGACGTTGGTCGCTTCGGCGTCGGTGAGATGGAGAGGTAGTGGTACTGCGTAGATGGTGTAGAGATGACGGATGGCATCGATTCGCCCGGGGTCGAAGCTGGATGTCGCGGTTGCAGCGGGAAGAGGAGTCGATGGGACAGCAGGTCTGCGCGTGGTGAATTTGGCCTTGATCTCCTCGAACGGCGTATGACCAGAAGATGATGGTCGGATCGCTGATGTCGCAGCACCCGGCGGCGGTGTTGGTGAGCCAGACCCGGAAACTCCCTTGTCGAGGAAGTTCCAGGAGTCCGGAACAACGATGAAGATGTAGTCCTGCTCGAGGGTCGGCGGCTGCACCATGAGATGATGGCCAAGCAGGCCGGCCACCTTGCCGGTGCAGGTCAGCAAACCATTGCTCTGGAACTGGGTGTCTCGCCTCTCGGTCATCTTCTTGCAAAGCGAGGCCCACGGATTTGCGCGGATGGGGAAGATGACAAAGACCTGGAAGGGATGGAGGCCTCTGTACGGCGTCTTGTCAGGATTTCCAGGAGCAAGAAATGCGGTCAGCTGGACGAAGCCGCACCACTTGAGTTGGACATCATCCAGGGCGGGCACAGATCCCTTGCGTAGGAGCGCAGGGCCTGGACCTACAATAGGGCCGGTGAAACTGACAATTGGGGATGAAAGAGGAAACTGATCGGTCGCAGATAGGCTCAGAGGTAATATTCTACGGGCAAAGAGGTCAGCGAAAATCGGAAGAGTGGCGGAAAGAGGACGGGACGAATACAACATACGGCTGATAGTCTTGATCGCGCACTATAAGAGCCGGGATGGTATATACAAGGAGACCGCTATCTACAGACTCCTCTAGGCCATCTTAACGCTCAACCTCCCAGGTCAGCGCGAATAGGTGGACACGACCAGCCATAAAAAACCACTGGTCGAGCCAGTCGTCAGGAACAATCTGCTGATTGTAGATAGATAAGTTAAGGCTGAAGAAGACGGAGGGAGACGGATCAGCAGGATCGGTAGGCAGGGGTGAGTAATCCAGAGCTGCGAGCCATGGAGGGGTCGGGAGGATGACCCTCGCGATGGTCTCTGCATTCAGACCCTTGACACGATGCTGGTCTGAAGAGGCAAATCTCGAAGGGCAGCCGGGTTGGACGAAGAACGCTATAGACATATCGCCGCCGGCGCTCCTCTGGCTTGCCAGCGGCTTGCGAGCATGCGGCTGTCCATGGGTCGAGGTAATGGATGCAGCCATTATGGAAGATACTGACCGGTTGCTCACGTGTCTACCTTGCCAGGCATCGAGAGACGTGGGTTGGAATGTCAATAGGTGAGAGGAGAAGATGAGAGTCGGTGTAGGTCAAAGTTCAGGGGAAAAGAAGATGAGAGAAGACGGGGATGACTGACGATGTCAGCACAGCGGGCAGGAGTTGAAGAAAAGTCAAGTTGTGGTCGGTCGTCGAGAAGAAGGGTAAAATGAGGGATTCTATCTATCTGCACCTATGCATGCGGGATATGTCCGCTACCTACTTACCGTCCTTAAGCGTTTCCAGACTGCTCTCGAGACAGTTTCTGCTGCCGTTGAAACTGCGAACGTGTCCGAGCACCAAGCTAGTATCCAATAGCGAATGCCCATCAGACAAAAGCTACCGCCTGGGTCGCCTGGGTGATGCCACATTCAACAAACTAACAGGTCATATATTGGATCAAACCGGAAGGAAGGTCTTCCATCTATTCACACAGGCTGTCCAGGCCGGCTGTATTGGATCGAAAGCGACCCATGATTCATGGCCCGATATCGCGTCTAACTGCTGCATAATTGCAGAGCCAAGCCGAAGATTGAGTCCCTTATTTCGGATCGCAGGCGGCATGCGGTATCCTCTAAAAATGAAGGTCAAGAGCCGTTTCCATAAGCGCCGGTATCTCTGTAGACTGCTATTCTGAACGATGAGCTTAAATGGCTTTGGCTGGCAAGACTGAAACTGTGGGCTCCGGAGCCAACAGAGCAGACTTCGACTTGTATGTCGTGCTGTCTCCTCATACTTGTCAAAGATGATGTCGACGGCACTCGCGATACATGAGATCTTCTGTTCATCTTGCCAGGAAATAGTAATATCAGGATCTCCCTGGCATAACCCTTGGCCGAGGTTATAGTCCGCTGCGGGGGCTGGGCAAACTCCGCTACTAGGTAGCTGCGTCATCGCCTGCAAGATATCCCGCCGAACATTCTGGTAGACGATATGCCATTGAGTGCGCTCAAGCCAAGGACTTATGATTGCGAAGGAACTATCACCAAGGGCCTTGCTCTGCACCCGCGACGATCCTGTGCATCCAAGTATCTCTTCTCTCGCTCTAGCACCTGCGTTAGATGTGTACGCATCTCTGGCGTCAATGTAATAGGCTTTGACGTGGAGACGGCTAAAGAGGAAGGTTTTGGTGCAGAGGGATGCTTCGGCGGCTTGGATGTGCTCATCTTGCGGCCAATCTCGAACCATCCACACGCTGCTCTTGAGGGGAAGAAGCGTTGACACTGGACCCCCGAGCGCCAGGATAGTACTTCCGACTCTGGCTGTGGTGAACCCTGGCTTGGTCTCCCTCGGCCGTTTGGGTTAAGACAATGATGGATTATACGATAGTGTGCCAGAATCCTCTTACTTTGGCGAGCAATATAAGGTCACTTTTAACACCCCAGCCCGTCGGGTTCTGGAGACCTGAGGTAGGGAATCGGGTCGGCTGTCGGAGGTGGAAAGCGGAACTCGGAAAGCCCTTGCTGATCTCGAATGATGTTAGGCATTTTCCTAACCTCCTCGGCTATCTCGCGCCTTTCCGCTGGTGGTAGATCGCGGTGTCTAACCCGCAGATGTGTAACGACTTCGTCTGACACGCACGCGAAGCCGCACATCTTGCACACCACAACCCAATACTGTAAAAGATAGATGAATGGCTCCATTCTTAGTCGGAAAAGAGGGATCTTATTCTTGACGATGGCTGTTTCCTGGAGAGCTCTATACATATTGTCTTTTTGGATTGTAAGATATGCGACTCGTTCGTGATATTAACCCATGTTGCGTTTCTTATATAATCTTTCGACTTGCTTTTTCTACTTATCTTTATTCTTCTTCTTCTTTTAATGTTCTTCTTTTTTAATCTGCTCTCTATTTTTATCCTAAATGGGATTATAGTGAAGAGAGGTAGCTACTAGGAATTATAGTTCCTTTTAATAATTGAGCGTTATTAACTGCAGTTCCTTAGAGCTGCTGGCGTGGGATTCAGAGTAATAACTGCTGGTCTAGTATAGTGGCTGATAGAGTGGCTGGTGGAAATGTAGCTAAGTTCTTCATGTTCATTGGCTGAGTATAATGGAATTCTACTAGGGTACTGGAAAATGAATTCTACCCCCTGTAAAGTGGGGCTGGAAAAGGAACTCTAGTCGAGTTCTGAGGTTACAGCATCTGTAGGCTAGCCGGCTTCCCCGTTGATTTACATCCCGCCATCTTCCAGCCCACCTCAAACAACCTGCTGGCTGCTCTTGAGGGAAAGAAACGCTGACAGAGGACACCTTCTCTCCATGGAAGATCAGGTGGGGACTCTATGCCTCTTTGCTTGGGTCTTCCTCTACCCTGAGTGTTATGCCAGTCTTGGCAATCACGACAGTGGATCTGAATTTTCTGGACCTGCCGGGCAATATATGGACATTTTCGACACTTGAGTCCATCTGGTTGTGGTGGAGAGAGGAAGGGGATCCGGCTGGCGGTAGGAGGTGGAAATTGGAAGTCAGCTAGTTCAGACTGACTTTTTATGATGCCCGGAATTCTTTTGATGTTTTTGGCTGCTTTATTCCGATTTGTTGGTGTTATGTCTCGATGTCTTATCCGTAGATGAGTAGGCACCTTATTGGATACGCATGCGAAGCCACACTTCTTGCATATCACGACTCGGTATCTTTCAAGGTAAACAAAAGGATCCATGATGATGAAGGAAAAAATAACAAATTTCACTTAGTTATTGTTATTGTACAGTATGTTTGCTTTAATCCAACCCATACTCCAACTTCCAAGACACCCCTCATTCACAAGTAAAAGGACATGATAGACGAGCCCACAGCCAGCTAAGGAAAGAAAATGAAAGCGAAGAATCCGGCCGCTACCTAGCTCATCAAATTGGCCTAAGAGTTCCACCCTTCATCACCAGCTCCGTCAGCATTCCCGTCCCTGTTGCGCTAGGACCTGGCTGAAATCCACATTGGGATCGAAAATGCCCTCGCCAACTCCCTCCGCATCCCATCCCTGTGGCGGTAGCACCTGGCTGAAATCCACATTGAGATCGAAAAGACCCACGATATCTTCTGCCGCGACGTTGGCCTTCATGACATCTCCGCCGGCAGAGATATCGTACATCGGCTTGAACTTGTCGTCAAACTCCTGGAGTTCTTTGAGCTGATTCTCGTGGAACTTGGCGACCAGAGCCTTGCACAACTCGGGAGCAGCGCCCATCGCCTTGAATTCAGCTTCCATACTCCTCCGCTTTTCCTCAGGTAGCGGCTGTTGAACATAGTTCCTATACTCGGCTATACCAGTTGAGCTCTGTGTGCTGAGAGTGTCGATGGATGACACGGTCAAGTCTTCATAGTCTGAAAGATCTTCCCCGTTAGCTCGTGCAAATTTACAGCATCAGAGGCTGCCTCAAGCAGAAAAGCAGCATGTGTTGTAAACCTCAGGAGGTGGGACTCACACGGTGACAGAGGGGGTCGGTTGGGGCTGTGGGATGGAATGAGAATTCGGTACATCGCAAACCACTTCTCCTCATCGCTCGTGTCGGACTTTCTCTTGATCGATTGCAGCTTCACCACCTGTTCAAAGGTCATCTGGCCGTCGATGATCGACGGTGCTTTGATGGGACACTGCGATTCCTCGCGTAGATGGTGCCCGAGGAGTTGTGTCGATTTGAAACCCTCCTGGCATCGGGGACAGGCTGAAGGATCCCTCAGGTTCTTCGGGGTATGGCAGCGCTTTAGATGCTCCCTTGAGAAATTTCGATTAGCGACAGTAGATCTCTATCAAAAGAAGGGTCGAGCGCACTTGATGCGGTGAAGCGAGGTCCACCCAGGACCTAGGCATGATCGACTAAGCAGGTCTTTAGGCACACCCCCCTTAAGGTAAGGGCAGGCAAACCTGAGGTTCAGGTTCGGAGGTTCCTCAGATCTACTAGCTGCTCCCAAGGTCCTCTTCTTGCTGCCAGTGCTGCCTGTGGTGGTTTCGGTCTCTGGGCGCTTCCTTTTGCCGGTGTGCTCAGGCAACGTTATCGAGGGCGCCTATGGGTTAGTAACAGTCAGCGACATCTTTACGAATGCCTTTGGACAAAAGAAAAACAAAGAGTTGGCCTCTGTGAAAGTGTTAGGTGAGAACATCAAACTGTGAAAAAGCGGCCATGATACTTATGGCTGGGGTTTTCACCATTTTCCTAACCATTCTTCTCCACGGATCTCCAGCCCTCGGACTCTGGTCGTTAATGGCGGACGCATGACGGTTTGTAAGGGGGTGGGGATGCGAACAGGCGCAGCGAGGTGATGAATATTGCTTGTCATCTTCGAGTTTTCCGCATAGCTGGACAAGTGCCCCGTACACCTCCAGTGCTGACGATCTTCTTGTTGGAGGATCTGTAATTTCAACAACAAGCATGTCATTCGTAATCAACTCGAGGAGGTCATCGGTGAAGGAGCTTGAATGAGGATGGTATCGAAGCTCGGAAATCCACTGGCAGCATCAGCATCTCGATTCTCGAAGCGTAAGCACGTAATGCTAGCACCTACATCCTCAATCTCAGGTTTTAGCGCAGCAATTCTCGTATCGTCGTCTATCGTGTAGACGTAGAAGAAGGCGTCACGGCTCGAAGTATCCGACGTAGGGTCAGTGCGGGATGATGCGAGCCTGTCAAGCCCGTCTTTACCTGAAATCAACCATGTAACTGCCTCAAGGTAAACACAACCAAGGCTCCAGATATCGTACAATGATGAAACGGTGTGAGGCATCAGGTGCAGCTCCGGTGCCCTATAGACAGGAGTATGGTCATCCTCGCCGTTTTTGTCTCTCCGTCGTGGGCTCGCCGATGTCGCCATGTCAATAAAAGAGTGACCAAAATCGCTAATCTTCCAAACGAAGTTGTGAAGTCCGGTTGTATCGGCGGTGCAGGGCTCCGAAAATACGAGGATGTTGGATGGTTTGATATCTCCATGTCGTCCATGCCAGCGCCGTCGTTCATCGCCCTTGGAAAACCCGTGTATGACGGACAGAGCGTCTGCAACTCCCTTCATTTGCTTCAGCATCATTCGGGGGGTCCCAACCTCGGCGTCCGGCCTTGGGTTTGAGAGCCAAAACATGCCCAAATCGCAATCAGCCCATGGGAAGAGGAGATGGAAATCATCCCTGAATTTGTAACTGGCTAAGAGGCGGACAATGTTCGGATGGGCTTGGCTGTTGAGCGACCGTAAGCACGCAACCTCTCGGGAAAAAAGGTCCACGTTACGGCTACGCAATCTCTTGATGGCAAAGTATGGCTGCTTCTAAATTCGTTCAACAAACGGACTTAAGCGACATGGTAATAAAAGTATAGCAGGTAAGCGTGAAGGGCTAACTCACCTTGACATTTAGTCCAAAGTCGCTCGAGATATAGTCTTGGTGGATCTCTACGCGATAGACTGTCCCAAAAGCACCGGAATTGAAGTGCTCGGCGCGAATGATCGGCAGGACGGTGTTTTCATGAAAGTCATGGAAGGGCGCCTCACTAATCCGCGGATTAGGGATTGGAAAGATCGGCGCCAGGAACGACCATTGCCACTCGAGGAATGACGCAGCAGCGCTCGGATCAAGTCCACAAAACGAAGTGTATGTTTTGTCGAGCGGACGTTCCGCATGAAGTTTTGCGTCCCCGTCCGAGCTCGACTTGAAACAAATGGGAAGGGAGTTGTCATCGACTCCCTCGGCGATGAAGGTGGTGATAGCTTCGACCTTCTCAATTAGGAGGAGGATAGCAAAAATCTTTCGGTAGTGGCAAGTTTTAGCATTCGTTGGCCCTTCATGGTCGCAGGCCTGGGCCAACAGCCTGTCTTGCGGCAGATACGTACTCATAAGATCCGTCGTAATAAGATCTAGTAGTTTGGGACTCGGGAGAAAGAACCGGCGAGGATGCACCCCCTCATCCTCCCACTCGTCCAGGTGGTCCGCCATGACCATAGCGGCTTGTGTACGCTCTTTCAGAAAAAGGGCGTATTCCCCAGGCCCGCGACATAGCGCTGAGCTTGAACGTGTGATGGTTGCCAGTTTTCCTTCGCGGGTTGTCCCCCACCAGGTAGAGCACATGATAGGGTCGGGTACTGGAAGACACGTACCAATCCAGGAACTTGATGATGACATGGTGGCCATTGTCCAAAGAAGTTGAAGGCATTCATATGGTCTTCTTTCTCGCCGCAGTCGACAAAGTCTGCGTTGTTTAGGACGTCTCCAGGCATACTTCTCTCAGGCTCATGGGCCTGAATATTTATTAAAGCTAGGCGTGGTTTTCAGTTTTGTCCGTGGCCCAAGATAAGTGATCCTGGCAAGAAAGGGTCGTGGCGCAATGGTCCCAAGGGCTGAAAATAACTAGCTTAAGAATAAATAAGTTAGTAAACCTTGGGCCAGGTCGGTTAACTTACCTGGCGTCCTTCATCCAGTATTCAGTACAGCAGCGTGCTCTAGAGCAGGATGGCTTTTTGTTTGCTCCCTCCTTCGTGCTACCGTCCCAGCGTTAGCAAGGGAATTTCGGTGTACTTTACCGCGCCGTGGATCCCTTCTACCTACATGCAGTTGGTCCCCAAAAGGCATACACAAAGTCCAGGTTTGAGCAACCACCAGGAAGCCCGGGGGTTTGAAGCACAGCTAGAAAGGCGACGAGGCTTGCTCGGCGACAGAAATGTTGCCCAAAAATGGTTATGTGACCTTCGATGGAGAAATAAGACGGAAGTAGATGTGGTCGAAGCTGGCTTCGGAAGTTCGACTCAAGGTAGCCGAAACCTGAGTGTTGGCTTTTCTCTGGTCTGCCAGTCCCTTGGGGGGCGTCCTTCCCTGATAAATAGGACGAGGTTACCTTTGAGGCTGAGTTCGCGCGCAGTGGAAGCGCGCATTTGCGCACTACGCAAAGCGTGGCATGAGGGGTGAGGGATGCGCTGTCAGACACACCTGGGCTTTCCTATTGGTGCGAGTGTGCCCAAAGTGCAACTTTTGTCGTTTCGGTGAGAGCTCTGCTTCTAAATTAAGGTAGGCAAACCCCCGTTCACGGGCGGACCCAGCGCTCCGAACAAAGCAAAACAAAACAAAACAAAATTGACCACTATTTTGTTTTGTTTTGAAATAATACAGGCTGATATTGATTTGGTATTGATTTATATTGAATATTACCAAAATGCTATCAAAGGCTTAGTAAGTCGGGAGACAGCCAACAATCATTGGATCTGTAAGCAACATACGTGCTTCAAATTGCCCCATTTCCCAGCCAAAACTTGAGGCATATGAGCTTCTCGATTGTCAAATCTTTCAGACTGTGCCTCTGCGTTGACACCGCCAATTTGCAATGGCTGAACGTTCTCTCGCACTCACACGAAGTGGCCGGAATTGACAGTATATCGAAGGCCATTTTTGCTAGCCGTGGCAACGAATCCTGGTGCTGCCGCCACCACTCTAACGGGTCGTTCACAGGTAACAATGGCCCCGAGAAGTAGGAAGTAAGCTCATCCTTCTGTGTTAAGTCCTCAGGCTTATCGTAGAAGTCGTCATCGATGAGGTAACATGGCTGGGCCTGATCAACCGGCTGGTTATCTCGAAGGTCAAGCTTGTTGTATTCGTCGTCGAAGAACTTCGTGAAGGTTGAAAACACGTGTTGAGCATGTTCTTCATCAAGGTTCTTCTCAATCCATCGCTTCTTGAGGCCAGGGTGTAGGATCATCGCTGCCCAGTAGGCAGGCGAGTGATCGAGAGTAGCAATGTATTTCTCAATTTTAAAGATGGCTAACTTAGAGTATATAGCAGAGCTATAAAATTCTGGTAGTACTTAGCAATTATTACACACTCTTTACTGTTATTGCTCTTATTAAGAGGGAAGTCTATATTAACTATATTATCGCCTTCTAATTAGCTGGCCTAGAGCTTTGTGTCTTTTTGCATATTCTTAGCTAACTTACTAAGAAGGGAGATATTCAAGATATAAAAACACAGCCTATAATAAAGAGAAGCTTTATATCTGGACTATATATCGGCGATATCGCTCTATATTATAGAAAGAAAGCCTTCCTAAGGTATAAACAGGGCTAGATAGAGAATAGAGTTACTATACAGAATATTAGAGTAGACTTAGATTGGTATTATTAACTAGGAACGTACTATCTGAAATATACCGGGTATTCGTCCCGGTAATTATTGCTGATAAATCCTTAAAAAATCGGCACTGTATACTTATAAGGTTGCCAAAGCTTCTGAAACCAGCTATGGTGCTCTAGAGAAGGCCCCTCGAGAGATATATGGTTTTCGTCCTCGTCCCGGCTGCGGCTACAGACCAGGGTAACCATAGACATATAGTTATAGAGGCACATATCTTTAAGGACACGGCCTCTGTAGGCGTAAGTATCTAAGCATAACAGGATCCGGCTGCCCTCCCTGAGTTATACTGTTTCTGGCGGCTCCTCCTCCTCCGCTTCTGCACCGGCCTGGCAACAGAGGTGTTTCTATCTTCGGAATACCGCCTAATATAGTACAGTTAGGTTTAGGAAGGACCAGTACGGGACGTTAGTAAAGTCTGTCTGATAGCTGAGTATATAGTAATATACCTCTATGGCGGAGAGCTATCTCTCGGAAAATATCCGATTAGCTACCCTTATCAGAAACTGGCGACTCTGGTTTAGCACAGCAGGTCGCTGGGCGCCTTAGTCGGCAGGTGCTGATGCATCTCGCCTCGACACGGTATCTTTACAAAGCTATTACAAGACTTCAACTGCGTAGGCAATTCGTCTCCACATTAGCGTGTCCAACTTCGTGGTATAGTTAGTGATGTAAAATACTATGGCCAGGCCCTTGGTCCTCGTCAAGATTATCGATATATCGTAATTGTGCCGGAGGCCGACTGCTATCGCTTTGTTATACCGGTTGACGAGCGGGTGGTTGCGACAGATAGTAAGCAGGTTGTTATCGCTTAGCCCCGTTATATTAACGATCTTCCAGGGCGCTTTGAACCGGCAAGCCGTTCGCCTGTACTTGTCTGCGTTGTGATTTGCGAGGCCCTTCAGAGAATACTTGATGCAAGTATAGGTGTGGGAATGGACCTGGCAGCAGTACGCGATGAAGTTGGACTCGGCGTTAAAGGCTGCAGTGAGAGCCTCGGTGTTGTTTATAATCTCCTCGACGGGGTGGATCGGCTTCCGCTCCTGGCGGAGAGCCTTTCCAGCATCCTTATCTAAGCATTTGTAAAAGACCGAGTCTATGTAGCGCACTACTCGGGCACGGTACTCTTCGTCTCGAGGGTCGGCGATCTCGTCGACGAGTGACGGCAGCTCCATGTTGCCGTGTAACCACAGGAGTCCGTGCAAGTGCAGACTGCCACGATCGTTCGTCTCTACCGTTGTATAGTAATAGCTGACCTTCCCAAAGACTGATTGTTGGTCTGTTCTGATGTATTTTTCGAAGAATAGAGAAATTTCTCTGTAGAAGAAGATAGCCGAGCTGACCGGATCCATGGTACTGAGGGCGATCCTGTTGTATCTTCCCCGGAGATCCGCTAAAAGCTCCTTCGCCGTGTGGTAATCGTGGAGCCTGTGGATGGAGAGCCTTATCTTGACCGGGTTGTTGATGTCGTTGGGGTTGATGGTGATCCAAATCGCGGGCGTACCGGCCCAGATGTTAATCGCTTGTATCCTTCTGCATATAAGCAGCCGCGTTTCGTTAGAGAGCGGCTGGGCATGGCCAAAGATGGACAACTCACGGAGCAAGAACGCTACGTCTGCATCCGTCGTCGTTCTTGTTTCTCGTATCTCGTCCTCGGCTCTTTTCAGCCGGTCCCCCGTTAGTGTTGCGTAAACCCGTTTAACCCTCTCGAAAGAGCCCTTTGTCGTGCGTATCATGCTGATGCGGCGGTTAGATGAGCGGAGAAAGATGTTGAAGACCAGAAAACAAAAGACGGGATGGGTGGCAAACCGCCCTCCATGCCGCTGCAGCACGTATCTGGCCCAGTAGCTGAGCGAATGGTTTGGATGGCGCTCGGCTGCCTCCGGAGCTTGCTGTTGCTCGCGGTCCGACACGTGCAGCGCCTTTGGGCCACCTCTTCCCCAAGGGAAAAGCTTGGGGAAGGTGCGTGGGAAGAAGTCCTCGTGCAGGCTGTCCGCAAAGTCCGCACCTCGTTCCACCAGGATGAACGGCTGCCCTCCGGTTCCTTGGATGTGTATGGCGCAGGGCTCAGCCTCATCGGCACCTCGAGTCCGAGTCGTCTGGATAGCGTCGGCTAGGAATGAAAGCTTATCGGCCTCCTCGAAAGCCGCCGGCCCATCAAGGGGAAACATTCCGGACGAACGTTGTCTCAAGAATAACGTCACCATCACCGTCGGCATCCTCCGGTCCTGGAATGGAGGTACGAGGATCCCCAGGCAAGGGAAGGTCCTGTTCGTTCGGCAGAGTGCCCTCGGGAAGGCTGGAGTCGTCGCTGGAGTGAGCTTGCGCCGACGCAACAATCTCTTTAATAGTCGTAAACCGGTTCTCTTCTAAACCTCGATCGGTATCTGGGACTATGTGGTCTATCTGTGTCTTCTCGGCAACGGACGGCTCTTCCCGCTGCATGCTGTCTATGATAAGGATAGGTATATCCGAGCCGTCTGCATACCGCCAGCTATCTATCTCGCTATAGTTGATCGTGATATATTTATAAAGCGGATTGTTTTCCTAGAGCTATAAAAGCACAGCCCGGATACGGGACTTATGTACTTGGAGAAGATGCCCAACGTCTGCATCGCCAGGCTTGCTAGAACCACTCCAAGAGACGTGGATGTTCTTAATAGTTACTAGAAGAGGGTGAGGGAGGACTGTGGCAACGAGGTCCTCGACCTTGTTCGGAAAGACGACGATATGGCCCTTTATATGCTTCCGGTAGCTGAGCCCCGACGGGGTCTTGTTGTTAATAGTGAACTTTGTGATGTAGCCGAAGGAGGCCTGCAAAGCAATCAGCCTCTCCTCAACAGGAGACAGGCCGTCGAGCTCTTCGGGATACCGATGCTCGCATCCGATGTATATGTTGTTGACCGCACAGGTCTTCGGCTGTTTCCCCTTCTTCAAAGCGGCATAGCATTCGTGGCAAACCATGGCCTCAGCGTCGTTGCCAGCAGGGAAACAGTCCCTGTACTCCTGGAGCGCTGCGGTGGCCTGTAGCAAGGAGGGCGTTAAGTGCCTCCTCTATCGGATCTTCGTGAGCTTGGAAGGAGGCTGCTTCCTGTAGCAGAAGTTGCAGAGCAAGATCGGTAGCGTCCTTTCATCTGTAAATGCCTGGTGGAAGGACTGTGCAGTCTCTACCTGGAGGGCAAGTGGGACCTCTTTGCACCAAGATCTTGCTACCGATTCCCTCTCTTTATCGCGGAAACGAGATTTATGGTATTGCAGAATGGTCTCGAGGGACTCTTGTTGGAGCAGGGCGGTTTCCTGCGACGGCCTCGGTCTTTTCCGGGGGCGGTCTGGCCTCGTGGGCGGCGGAGTTAGAAGTCCTTCCGGTTGTGGCTCCCGAAGGCGCTTTCGGGGAGGCGGGGTGTGCGGGATTGCCCGTCTGGGCGGCGGAGGTTGATCCCTCGGGCGGTTCGAGGGGGGCAGGATCTGTGGAGCACGGACGATCCGCTCGGGAGTAGCCGGTGGCTGTGTCTGTGGCGCCCCTTCAGCTCCTTGACGGTCGAGCTTACCGGCCTCCTCTTCCGCTCGTAATCTTGCGGCTCTTGCCCGTAAACGCTCCTCCGCGTGTTGTTGCGTGATGGCCGCAATTATACGCCTGAGTTCATCTTCCGGCACCGTAATGGTATTACGCCGGGCTACTGCTTGCAGTCGATGGCCCCGATCTTTAGCGCGCTGGCGTTTAATATCAGTATTTCGGCGTACCTTCGGTCTAGATCATCCAGTCTTTGGCGGACCTCGTTAAGCGGGATTCTCACCGGCTCCTCTCGGGGCTTGGCCCCAGTCTGTTGAGATTCTCCATGTCTTCGAGGGGTGCGTCCTCTGGCATGTCGGCGGTCCAGGTCTTCCAGCGTATGTTGGACCTCGTCAAGGGGAACTCTGACCAGCTCTTGACGGGGCTGATGAGTGTTCTGATATGCCAGGGAGCTTGGAATAATCGAGTGAGGCGGTCCTGACCTTCCTCCAGCTCCGTTTCGAGTGCGTCGGCGATCGAGCTCTTCCAGCATGCGGCGGATTTCATCGATCGGAACTCTAACCGGCTCTTCGCGGGGCATCGTATAAGTGGTCGTAAATATGTGCACTGAAGTGGGAAGGAGAGGGGCAAAACAAACATTGCTATGCTTGGTATGAAAAGGGGCTGGACGCGACGGATTAAGTGTCCGCAAACGAAGCAAGGAACTAGGAGGCGGCAAAACAGACACAAGGGTGAGCAAAACCTTACTATAAGCGGCAACTTCGCGCCGAGACTCGCAGAGCTATTTTTAAGATGAAGAGGCTGGTTCGAGATCAGGGCTCCTAATAGTGCAGACCATTTACACTATTAGTGCAGACTACAATCCAAGATCAATAATCAATCCACGACGGGCGTTCGTGGATTGACGACTAGGATGATGCGCCCCTTGAAACGAGCCTTGTTGATCCGGATCGCACCAGTGAATTGATCAGAAATATCCAAAACAAAGTGGTTGGCACAGCAACAATCATGGGTACCCTGGTTTTGTAACACCATGCCAACAACCTAGCGTACTTAGCGTCCACACCGGGCGTCCGTATTCCCTGCCCTGATCTGCAGTCTGCACTAATAGTCTAAATGGTCTGCACTATTAGGAGCCCTGATCTATGCCTCCATTGACGCTTACTCACGGTTTATTACGTGGTTCTACGTGGGCATATCCTCTAGTACGTCACGAAGCGTTGTTGCACAGTATCTCGATGTTCTCTCGCAGCGGAAAACCATGCCAAATATCATCCGTTCCGACCGCGGCCAAGAGACAATCCTTATGGCTGGAGCACATTATTACCTTTCGAAGACCCGCGTACGCGCACGGGAAGGTATCCCACAAGATGTGCGCTTTCGAGACTGCTGGATCTATGGCAAAAGCACGCATAACGAAAAGATTGAGAGCTGGTGGCTTCGATTGAGTAGGGGTAGGGCTAAATTCTGGCGGGTATGTAGTATTATCACTCCGTTCGACCCTATGCTAACCTGAATCTAGGAGTATTTTGGTGAAATTACCGCACTTGGCCATTTCTCGAACGACTCCCTACCCGACCGTATTGCAATGCTCTATCTCTTCATGCCGATCCTGCGGGCTGAGTTTGCCGACTTCGTACTTACGTGGAATTCGCACTACATTCGCAAACAACGCAATAGGCCGCATGTGGTTCCTGGGCAGCCATGGACCCTCTACTTTCAGCCTACCGCACGGCAGGTTGAGAGCTTTGCAGAGGTTATCCCTCAAGATCGATTACAAACGCTCCAAGATATCTTCGACGGGGACCGTATTGATCTTGATGCCTACTTGCCAGAAGATACAATAGCTATCTGTGATCGCATTCTTAGAGGCCAGGAAGATCTGCCAAGAGATCCGCCACAGCAACCTAAGCTTTCAGCGTATCTATTCCTACGAGATCGTTTACGGCAGTACATTAGGAGTAAGCAGCAGCCAGAGCTGGCATTATTGGAGACGCCTACGGGTGGCCTAGACCGCGTACGTGATCATTTGGCCACTCACGATATCGATACTGCTTCGCTTTTGGAACGCATTGAGGAGGAAGAGATTGACTGGGGTGAGGGAGACCAACTATACGACTAGATGCATAACCAATTGTAGCAATTGAACTGAAACTAATCCCTATTCTTATTCTTTCCCCTACCAATCCGGACAGGAAGCCTCTTCTGAGGTGAGAGAGCCTGGGCCTCCGAGTGTTCATCGATATCACTCGCGAATGGATCGTCAAGGACGGCCTCAAAAGTAGCCGAATCCGCGTCATCTTCACCCGAAAGCTCAACCTGAATTTCAGCCTGAATATCATCCTTGCCCTCCAACTCCAAGGGGGTCTCAGCTTCCTCTTTTACCGGTATACGAGATAGCTTTCGTGGCTTTGATTCCTTCTTAATTGGGGATACGCGCTCTGACTTTACCGTACGTGAGGCTTTGCGTTTGCTAGAGCTCCTCGCCGAGGCTTCTGACTCTAGATCAGAGGGTATGCGATCAATCGCTCGCTTGTGACCACGTACGGCTCTTGACGGCATTGGTGACTCAATATCAGGCCGAGGCTTTACATTGAAGTACCAAAAGGTCAAATGGACCGTATCGCGCTTTGGGGCAAGCGAGATATTGCCCACACGAAAGAGGTCCGCAAACGAGGTCGTTTCGTACGCGGCATCAGAGAACTCAACGGGTCCAAAGGTAGCAGTTTGAGTCACTACGGAATGAACGACCTTCCATTCCTTAACTGCAAGCCTCTTGTCACACTGCTTGACAATGAACTCTATCATTGCGGCATGAGAAGGGAACTTTGCCCCGAGAACGATCTCAACATTTCCTGTACGCTTTCCAACGAGGTTTGCCGTCTTGTCGTATACTGGGGTTTCAACACCGTCAAGGACATTGTCATAATACCCATCGCACGACCAAAACGAAGCGTGCGATTCGATGACAATCTTAGCCGTATGGCTTGTAGCTGCGATGCTCCTTGACCGGCTTTCAATAGCTAGGTTCGTAGCGTTCTGATAGGTATCAGGTCTCGGTCGGGATCGTTGGGAAGGAATCGTCATCGCATTGCCTCGTTGGACTGTTGATTGGGAAGTAGGTGAATCGACTGTGAGGTCGATAGAAATAGGGGTAATAGGGCCAAATGATGATGAAGCCGTAGGGAGCCGTTGAGCGCAATGCGGGCAATAAAGGGCCCCAGGGAACTTCGTACGTATATCCACATGACGGCTGCGGTCTTTGGGACAATACTCTGTCGAAGTGGATGAAGGTGTATCCATTGTGTAAGAGAAGGATGATGAATGAACTTCGTTCCCAAATGGCCGCGTTTGTGGCCGAACGTAATATTTGCCTCAAGCAACCCTAACTAAATTAGGGTCACGCAATGGGCTCTCCCTGTTGAGGGATATTTTATCTTTACAGTGATATGCGTCCCCTATATGTGATTAAACAGAAGGATAATGGCACATTGGGGTTGCCCTAGTAAGAAAAAAATGAAAAGTTGAATTTTGGAACTCTGCCCCTTGTGGCCTTCCGTACCTGGCCTGTCTGCGCGGATTCACAATGGCGAGGTGCCTTGGTTGGTAATTTCTGCCTAGGTGTCCGCCATACCTTGCTAGTACACAGCGTGTTAATTACTCGCCCAGTCTTTTGTGCGGTAAACAACAAGTTTATTTTCTTCTTTTTTGTCCCTTATCTTCCTGTCTGTTACCCTCACTTAGCAAGACTTTCTAAGCTCGCCTTGTCACGACCCCCCCAAGCCCCTAACGATGGCCACTGTATCACTTGATAATTATCTTGGAGATATTGTTCACCCCGTTGGTGCAGTCCAGCTTTCTGCGTTCTTATCAAAACAACACGTCGCCAACTTCCTCAACATACCTTATGCCGATGTCCCGACCAGATTTAGACGGGCGACGCCTGTCTGTCTTTACAAGCTGCCTTCGCCATATGACGCAACACGGTACGGCCCACGGTGCCCCCAAGAAGCTGGCACACTGCACCTTGCCATGAGCCACCTGTTTGAGAGGGTTTCGGAGGTGCAGCAGTTCTCAGACGAGACCAAGTGTCTCAACCTCAATATCTACACGCCGCCCTCGGCACTTGGGACAGGTGCTAGGCCACCTTTACCCGTGTTTGTATGGATTCATGGTGGCGCCTTCAATGCAGGCGACAACACGGTGCAGTTTGGTAAGTCGATCCGATCAATGCCGCAATCCGATGCCAGCCGAAGCATTCATACTGAGCTCATCTCAGATGGGAACCACCTGGTGAAGAGATCTGTGGAGATCAACCAGCCAATCGTAGTCGTCGTCGTCAACTATCGTCTTAATCTCATCGGAGCGCTCTCGTCGCGCGAGTTGAACGAGGAAGCAAAGGCTCTTGGCGAGACGCCCATCCCGAATCAAGGTCTTCACGACCAGAGAACCGCCCTGCAATGGGTCCAGTCGTACATTCACCATTTTGGAGGCGACCCGGCTCGAGTTACACTGTGCGGAGAGTCGGCTGGTGCATATTCCGTTCTCTGCCACTTGAAAGGAGGCGTTCCCCTCTTCCAACAGGCCTTAATCCAGTCGCCCCCCCTGCCACCTTTGAGAACACCAGAAGAAGCGCAAGCAGCGTTCGACAAGCTGGTCATCTCAGCCGGGAGCAGTCTCGACGCGTCAAGCACCGACAAACTAGCCGCTATCCGCTCCTTGTCTGTTCAGCAACTGGTGCATCTGTTCGATGGGTCCTTTTCGACCCCCATCGAAGACCCGAACTGGTTCGCAGGCTACGACAGGAACAGCGCCGACATTTCAGCTTACTGGGCTGATGTGCCATCTTGGTGTTCCCGAGTAATCCTGGGCAATACTCAAGACGAAACAGCTCTCATGCTAGCACCTATTGCCAACCTAACAGCCGAGGAGACAATCGCATTCACCAAAAGAGTTACTCCACAAGTCTGCGTGCCAGCGAGCTTGACGACGAGTCCACATACTAAGCGTGAGCTGATTGGATGGTCATCGGATCAAGCGTTTATCAGCCTACTTATGAACCTCGCTTCAGCTGCTACTGCTCAGTCGCCGGCAACTAGGTTTTATGTATATCGCATCAGCTGTCCAGATCCTTTCCCAGGCCCTCTGCGAGGCTATGCTTGGCACTCCTACGGTATTCCCTTCACCTTTAATCAGCCCGCCTGTCGAACCTATCCAGAGCTCGCCACAGTGCAGGATGAGATAACCTCGGCTTTCCTAAAATTTGCACATGGTTGCGAACCCTGGAAGGCTTTTGACGACGCACGGGAGGTAATGCGCTGGTCTGAGAAGGGAGGGGAGATGGTCGGCAGTGAATTACTAGTAAGATAAGTAAATAACTATCTATATTCTCAAGCCGAAGATCCAAACAGCGCCGTTCGCCAAGTCCACTACCCTTCAGTCAACCCTTCCGGAGCCAATTATAAACGCTTCATGAGCCCTGAAACGCCCGATTTCACCCCTGGATATGGCTGTGTTTTCAGTATTGAGTTAGATAACCTTAACACGACCAGGGTCTTTTACGACAACCTCAATATACACAAGAGCGTGCACCTGGGTGCACCTTTCACCTTGGCATTTGCCTACACGATGTGTGCTTATCAAAAGAGACTGGATTGGGCGGCGCAGTTTGGCTTAAAGCCAACGCAGATCAGGATCTCGGTTGGGCTCGAAGATACGGACACGCTGGTTGAGGACTTTAGACTCGCAGTTGAGGCGGCCGATAAGGCAAAGAAAACAGGTGCAGAATAGAGATACGAGCGCAATGCTTCCTTTGCTATCCAGCTTTTCTTGATAATCATTGGTTAGCATTTCTACTCTAGCATCACGAAGAACACTATAACTTCAAACCACCACAACATTATGAGTTCTTCATCAATCTGTGATTGAGATGGCACATCTTATAGTCTGGAACCAGAGCAATCTGCAAAGCAAAAATGGATCAACCCTCGCACCGGAAAGCCCAACTTTTCGCGTTATAATAATGCGAACCTTGAACCTCGTACTGTTGCTGCAGCAGACCTTTTCCGAGAGGGGTTTTATCGTTCCATCGCCGAGGCATCGCGAGAACTGAAGGTCAAGTACGAGAGACTCCGGTCTCGTATTAATGGAGCGAAGCCTGTCACCCAAAATGGCGGCAACAACACTCTTTTGACCGACACGCAGGAGCAAGCAATAGGTACTACGTAGTGGTCAAGCTGCGACGAGGTGTTGAATGTTGAAAACCTGTTGGATCCGATACGGTCAATTCGATCAGGGTGATAGGGATCAATACGATGTGGAGCCCAAAGATGATGATATTGATGTTCTTGTTGGATCTAGGATCTTTCCAGCCCCCTGTTTCCGGTGAGGGGTTTTTGGGTCAATCTCACGCCCTATGACTAAGATGTTGGATACGCGGTGTGTCTTTAGTGAAGATTCAGGATAGCCAGATAAAATGTAGATCAATTCTTGATGATATGTTTGGTTGTTCTTGATGTTCTTGTTCTCGTTGACTCTCGTCTCCACTTCCTCTGAAGCGGGGTTTTATCATCATCTTCAGTCATAGATGCAGATATCCCAGTATTCTGATACCTGAATAACCTCCTTGATGCATTGCACAGCCACAATCTAACATAAGATCAGGATATTGATGTATCAGAGGAATGTGACTATCCGGGCCCTAGTCCACCACCCGAGGGTCAATCCAACAAAAACTGGTTTCACGAAGTGTATTTGTGTCACGATGTGTATTTGGGTAGCTGGGCGTGTACATGGCGTGTGACTGCTATAGCTATATCCTTGTAGCTGGTTTCAGTATAAGGATGTACAGGGACTCAGAGCGGGGATCATATGCAACTCAGAATATACACACATCCAATCAGATGCCTCACAGAATCAGAGCTCGTGACAATTTGTGTCACGATGTGTATTTGGGTAGCTGGGCGTGTACATGGCGTGTGACTGCTATAGCTATATCCTTCTAGCTGGTTTCAGTATAAGGATGTACAGGGACTCAGAGCGGGGATCATATGCAACTCAGAATATACACACACCCAATCAGACACTTCAGACAATCTGGGCTCGTGACAGTTATGAGCCCGGTTCGCGATAATTCCACTGAAAAGACAGCAACAACACGATCCACATCGATCCAGACCCTCGAAGGGCCGATATTAATCGTTGTTCAGATAGAATACGTCGTGACGCGGTCCAAATCGATCGATTAAGCCCATTCCGGCCGATCCGAATATGACGTCAAAAGACCACAAAGTGATGTTGACTGGAAAGGAAAATTGGGATGCGTGGATTCAATCCATGTCAGCCAAGATTCCAAGGAAGATATGGTCCTACATGCATCCTGATCACCCTATTGGGGAACTCTTACAAGAACCAAGAGAGCCTCAGTATAGTGACTTCAACGCTACTGCCACAGACTATACCCAGCTATCACAGCCGCAGCAGCGGTCGTTTGATGCTGTGTTTAGGCAGTGGGAAGTCAGGAAGCGGGACTTTGGAAAGCAGGAGACAGAGATCAATACGGTATACGATACCATCCTGGAGACAGTTTCGGCCAAGTACAGGCAACCGCTCGATAGAAAAGACACACTACGAGAGTGGATGCAGCTGCTCAAGAGCTCTGCTGCTCCATCCGAAGGCTTCATGATGGCTAAGGTGAAAGATGAATATATTGTCGTGATGAAAGGCTTCAAGAATCAGAAAGCCTTCCCACAATGGCTTGAGTCGTGGGAATTAATGATGATCAAGACAAAGAAGTATCACCTAGCAGAGACTGAGACCGGTCAATGGCTTCGAGAGTTCGCTGACCTAATTGAACCAATCCATCAAAGCTATGCAACAGCTTTTACGGAGGGGGCCAAGACTCTAGATGCCAAAGCAGTTCTTCAGAGAAGACGCCTACAAGACGCGCTTGCCTACCAGACTGCCCATGCAGAAGCAGCTGAGCAACGAAGACTCCAGGCAAGCAGTGGGAGTGAAACAATAGAACAAGATTCCCAATCTGGCACAGCAGGTATTGACCTTATTGCACCAGGTGTACAGCGACCTGCTCCCAATGGCTCAAAGGTTTGGACACCTCAAGAGGTTGCCTCTACAATGCGTGAATGGGCATCCCGCAAAAGGCCCACGAGTGGTAACACCGTGAGGGGCGGGACGTTTCACACAGAGGGAGGCAACGAGGAGAGTGACCACAGTGAGGAGATGTTGAACGTAGCCCACAGCCGCGGGTCCCGCGGTTGTGGCCTCAGGCAGCCAGGGCCCTTACGGCCCGGAATAGCGTCGCCTAGCTAGCCTAGTCAACTCAACCCAATACATATCGTTGACCTCACAACAGGAGACATCCACGCCAAAGGGTGGGAAGAGGACGAAGTCTGGCTCCGGAGGACGCTCTGGAAAGAGGCCAGCACTTACGTGCCCAGCCTGCGGTATGAGAGGGCATGACCTACCTGACTGTTGGTGTGTGTTCGAAGATAAGAGACCGGAGGGCATGCCTCGCAACGATCGTCGTATGCGAAAGGCTAAGAAGGCGCTGGAGGACGACCACGAGCTGCAGAGAAGGGTTGATGCTATACAAGAACAGAAAGGGAACTGACAATCACAGAAGAGAAAGGTCAGGGTAAAGATCATAGGAGCGGCGAACACAGCGCACCTGCGATCAGCCTTTACCTCGACAACTACTGTGTACCCGCTATGTTTATCAACGATCTTGGATTCTGGTACAACCTTGCATATTTTTAACGATCTGACTAGGTTTAAGACCTTCCGCAAGGCAGCAGATGGAGAGGCAGTTATTGCAGGAGCATCAGAAGTTCCAATCCTAGGTTTTGGAAGAGTTGACTTGGAGGTCACACTTCCAGGAGGAGAAGTCGGAATGCTACGCCTACGGAACGCAACCTATTGTACCGATTTCAGCACGAACCTAGTATCCTTTCAATTGCTTCGAAGAAACGGAATCTTCTGGGACACCATCAACAACCTCCTGATCCGAAGGGACGGCTCAACTATATGCATCGTTCACCAGATGCATAATCAATTCGTACTGCAGTACCAAGAGATTACGCGCGACTCTGAGAATGCTATCTTTAGCACGCAATACAGGCGAAGAACATCGCGAAACCCAAGAGCACCAGCGGTAGCGAATGGATCCTTATGGCATCTTCGAATGGGACATCCAAGTCCGTTAGTATTGCATCACTTAGGAAAGAATTCCCTAGGGATAAGACTCCGCGGACCGAAGACAACACAGTGTCCAGCCTGCAGCCAAGGGAAGATACATCGGCAGATATCTCGACGGCCACCAGACCGAGAAAAGGACAAGCCATGTCATGAGATTTGGATTGACTGGACCGACGTTGAAGAAGATGCGAAGGGCTTTGTTCGAGCTATGTTTATCACAGACGCATGGTCTGGTATGGTCTTTCCATATTATACCAAGACATATGACAGACGAGAAAGTGGTAAGATAGTGAGACACTTCTATCACTGGATGAAGAACCACTATGGCTATCTGGTTAAAGTGGTTCGCTCAGACAACGAGCTCTTCACCAAGAAGATCAAATACTGGATGATGTGGAGAGGCATCATTGGCAAACCATCAGCGCCAAATACGCAAGCTCAGAACGGAGGAGCTGAGCGCTCAGGGGGTGCGATAATTCAGAAGAGCCGAGTGATGAGAATCACAGCCAACCTACCGCATGATCTTTGGAGAGAGATAATCAGCGCAGCCGTGTACCTGAAAAATAGAACTCCAAGAGAGTCAAATGGCTGGAAGACGCCCTTACGAGTTGTTCTACTCAAAGCAGCCGTATCTATCACATTTGAAGGCATATGGCTGCAGGGCCTACGCCATGACTTCACGAGCGCAACTCAAACGAAAGAAGCTCCGCAAGCTTGACCCGAGAGCGCACATCGGCTATCTTGTCGGCTACAACTCGACAAATATATTTCGTGTCTGGGTTCCGCACAAAGGAAAAGTCATATCAACTCGTGACGTTATCTTTGACGAAGACACATTCTTTGATGGCAAATGTACGGAAAAGGAACTCACTGATAGCGTTGACGACCTGGTCGAAAAGGTCGCTATTCCGCTGAGCCAGCTGAACAATCAAGCAATTCTTGAAGAGGATGAGCCAGTCTTCGAATCTGGTATCTATGGCGAAGATCAGAATGGCGATGAAGGAAAAATGGTTCCAGATGATGATCGGGAAGAAGACCAGGACGACCAAAGGGACAAAGAAGACTACGAACTAGCAAGAGCTTTAGAAGAAGCATTCCGTACACCTCCACCAACTGAACCAGACCAAGAGCAAGACGCAGCTCTTTCAGTCTTCTTACCAGTCGCCGGAGCTGAGGGGGTGAGAGCAGATAACCCACCAATCGCAATCGTGGAGAGCTGCTTGGACGACTTTATTCCCGTTCCAATCGAGACTGCTTACCATGGGAGTTTTGTCGCTGGAATGAAGTTCAAGCCGAAGAAGATACGTAAGCGAAACCTACCAGACGAACCGAAGACTCTCAAGGATCTCGACAGCCACCCGTTCAAGGAACAATTCCGCAAAGCACAAGAAGACCATATGTCATCTCACCACCAGATGAAGTCGTTCATTGAGGTGCCGTGGAGTCGGGCAAGGGGACAACAAGTGCTAAGCTGTATGTGGGTGTTTACCTATAAAACAGACAAGCATGGATATTTTGTCAAGTGCAAAGCCCGACTTGTGGTGTGTGGCAATCAACAGGCCAAGGGAGACCTGCCTACTCGAGCGACAACGCTTGCGAGTATGTCATTCAGAGCGCTCATGGCAATAGCAGCAGAATACGATCTGGAGCTCGTGCAGATGGATGCTGTAAATGCTTTCGTACACTGCGAGCTAGATGAGCTGGTATTTATGAGAATGCCACCGGGATTCCAAAAATACGGCAGAGTTCTAAAGCTCCGGAAGGCGCTCTACGGACTACGAAGGTCTCCGTTCTTGTGGCAACAAGATCTGACACGAACCCTCCAAGATCTCGGCTTCAGGACTGTTCCTGACGAACCCTGTGTGATGCTTAAAGATGGAGTGATTGTCTTCTTCTTTGTTGACGATCTTGTCTGGGCATACCGGAAGGAGAAGGCAGACAGGGCAAAGAAGGCTATGGAAGGCCTACAGCAGACATACAACATGACAGTGCTGGGAGAACTGAAGTGGTTTCTTGGAATTCACATCATACGAAACAGAGCTAAGCGATCTATCTGGTTGACTCAAGATGCATATATTGATAAGATTGCTTACCAGTATGATGTTGATCTAGAGACAAAGGCTCCTGAGACTCCGATGACAGGGGAAGAGCTGTTACCAGCAACCTGCCAAGCCGACCGTCGTTCGATCGAGAAATATTTGAAGACAGTTGGATCGATATTGTTCACAGCGATCTCAACAAGACCCGATGTTGCGTTTGCAGCTGCAAGGCTTGCTAGGTTCAATAAGAATCCGGATCAGACACATCATAATGCCGCAGACCGAGTCTTGCAGTATTTGTATGGAACACGTTCACTGGGAATCAGGCTGGGAGGAACAAGATTCCTCAAGAGTTTCCTATGTGCAAGTGATGTTTCCTATGCAGACAATACAATAGATAGGAAGAGCTCGCAAGGCTATGTGATGATGTTGTTTGGAGGACCAATTGCCTGGAAAGCAACGAAACAATCCACTGTCACTACGTCGAGCACTGAAGCTGAATTGCTCGCTTTGTCTCAGACAGCCAAGGAAGCCATCTTTGCAAGCAGAATCCTCAAGGAACTTGATGCTAAGATTGATGGGCCATTGCATATTGAATGCGATAATACCCAGACAATCAGGCTCCTGACTGAAGAATCAGCCAAGTTGACTACGAAGCTTCGGCATGTGGATATTCATCGACACTGGTTGCGACAGGAATACAGGGAGAAGAGAGTTGAGTTCGGCTGGGTTCCAACATCGAAGATGATTGCAGACGGAATGACAAAGGCCTTACCCAAACAACGGCATGCAACATTCATTAAGATGCTTCAAATGGAGGACATTTCAGACCAGATTGTCCTGGAACAGCGAATGGAAGCAATGAAGGACCAGATTGTGAAAGCACGCAACCAGAAGGAAGGCAACAGCCCTGGCAAGGAGGCAAGACTCGGATATCGAGGAGGGCAGCGCAAAGACCCAAAAGACAAGTTATAGGGTAGCCAAGTCCTCAGGAGTGGCCTCGGCTAAGGGGGTGTGTCACGGTGTGTATTTTGGATAACTGGGCGTGTAATTGTTATAGCAATATCCTTCTAGCTACTTAGCATAAAGGATGTACAGGGACTCAGAGCGGGGACTTGACGAAATCAAGAACATAAATACACCCAATCAGATGCCTCACAGAATCAGAGCTCGTAACAGTCGGCGAAATGCTTCATTGGGCCTAGGAGAGTGCCGTCGATCGTGGAGAAAGGGTGACTGTCCGCCACCAATCGGAACGTAGAATCCTCCATGGTCATGTTCCAGAACGACGCTCGGCGCTTCTGTTGGGGGCTGACAATCAGCTCAAGCTAAGTGAGTGGGCATAGTACACGGGACCCAGTTGGCTGGGCCCATCACCACTGCGGGTCTCTTGAGGCTCAGGGAAGCACCAAGGTGGTCTGTCCCTTTCAATCCCAACGTCGAGCCAGGTCCAGAACTCCAGCCCTTCCTGGTCCGCAGTACTTGCTGTAGTACTTGAGCCTAGGTACCCCAATTGGTCAGGTGGGCGGGGACGCCTCCGTTAAAATGGTGGGGCTTGGGCTGCATAAAAACTGACAGTTTTGTAAAACTGACAGATAGTTTTGTAATACTGGCCCCTATTGACCTCCATACTTACCCCGTGATCGGAAGCGGGGTGCGTAGAACCCGGTTGCCGAAGCGAAAAAGCTCGGGAGAAGAAAAGGTATTTCGAATCGCCATCTTGTCTTGCTCTGATATGCCTTGCCGAGATCTATGATCGCATAATCTTGAGTCAGTCAAATAGCAGGTAGATCACTTCGTTTTCGGCCAAGTTAGGTATGGTTTGATTAGTTTTAACCTGCACAACGTCCCGGCTGCCGTGTCGAGAAGGAGATGAAGTCCCCAACGAGCGGAAACAGGCAAATCAGAATCATCGGCTCGGCTGGACTCGGGCAACTGATCGGGACGGCCTTAAGATGGGCTGTGTCGGCAGAATGATTTTGTTCGGGAATCGGTGACTAAAACGGCATCCTCGATCCGACAACAGGTTGATTGGTGCAAGTTTTAGCTTTCTCCTGAAAGATACTCGGTCATGGGATTTTATTCCTCATTATGCAGTCGATAGAAGTATACTTGAGTTTATCATTCATTGCCAGCGGCTCTAATGAGAGAAGTGGCCTTAACATTTTATGCCTATTATATAGAGTATTAGAAAGCATAAAAGGCTTCCGGGGTAATTATTCACCTACGAATCGCATTAGACTATATAAAGGGGTATAGATTAATCTCGCTCGGAGTTACGAGGGATGCATACTTTGCAAGTCGTGATTTCACATCGCTATCGCAATTTTCTCCGGTAGGTTCGGGCTTATGTTTATTCACATGACATATTCACATGACATCAGCGGTGGTGGTTTTGATGCTCCACTGATTCATGTTCTCCAACCTCTTCCGGGCCTCCCTTCTCTTGATTCTTGGCTCCGTTCCTCTCGTCCTCCATCACCTTCAACGAACCTCACCTATTACAGATCCTTTGGTTAGATCCATTGAAACGAGGGCATGCATAAGGATGATGAGGAGTTACTGGAAAAGCCCGATCCGGCCTCGGCCCCGATACCTCTTTGGCCTCGATAATATCGTCGCATCTTCTGCCTGCCCATTGACCCCCGCCGTGCCTGCTACCATGAGGCTCGCAAATACCGAACAAAATCCTCAAGGAACGACCGAAACTTCCGGTATAGAAGCAAAAGTGGACTCAGAGGGACGCAAAAGGCGTGAGAGGGTTGTCGTCCTGGGCTCCGGGTGGGCTGGCTATGCCCTTGCCCGCGATCTCGACCCGGCCAAATACGAGCGCATCATCATCTCGCCGCGTTCCTACTTTGTCTTCACCCCGTTGTTGGCATCAACTTCGGTCGGCACCCTCGAATTCCGCTCCGTCCTCGAGCCTATCCGCCGTTTGCAGCCAGACCGCTTCCACCAAGGCTGGGCCGACGATATTGACTTTGCCAACAAGTCTATCCGTGTTGAGACAAATCCAGACACTGACGAGACCAGCTCTCGCACCCTACCGCCCATCACTCAACCCTCACCAGAAAGCCTACAAAGAGGCAGTGACCCCTCAGCCGTGACTTTTGTCGAGACCTCCTGTTCCCCCGCGGCCAAGGAAACTCTCCCCAAGTACAAGGGTGAGATGATCACGATCCCCTACGACAAGCTCATCCTCGCTGTTGGCGCCTACTCCCAGACCTTTGGTGTTCCCGGCGTCCGTGAGCACGCCAACTTCCTTCGCGACGTCGGTGACGCTCGCTCCATCCGACTTCGTGTCCTGCAGTGTTTCGAGCGTGCGGAACGCCCCTCCACCACGGACGAGCAACGCCGCAAGCTGCTCCATTTCGCTGTCGTTGGCGGCGGACCTACGGGCATAGAATTTGCCGCTGAGCTCCACGACCTCATCCACGATGACCTCGCTCGGCTCTACCCTGACCTCACGCCATTCATCGGCATCACTGTCTACGACATTGCGCCTGGTATTCTGCCCATGTTCGATAAGAGGCTATCCTCCTACGCTGTCGACACCTTCCGACGCCAGGGTATCCGCGTCAGGACTGAGCATCACCTCCAGAGTATCCGTCCGGACGTGGACGGCAGTTGTGGTCTCAAGCTCAAGATCCTGGAGCATGGTGATGACGAGGTTGGCGCCGGCATTGTCGTTTGGAGTACGGGCCTCATGCAAAATCCCCTGGTTGCTAAGCTTGTTGCAAAGGAGATTCGCTCCCTCGGTACGCCAGAGGAGCAGCAACAGCAGGAGCAGCAGGCCTGGCATTTTGTCAAGGCCAAGGGGGATGGGGGCATCATTACTGATGACCATCTCCGCGTCCGTATTTCTGCTGGGTGTGCCGGAGATGGCGACACCAAGCACGGCGACAACGCCTGCCCCCACATCCTCCCCAACGTCTATGCCATAGGTGACTGCGCCGTCATGGAGCGTGACGCTCTCCCCGCAACTGCACAGGTCGCCTCACAGCAGGCCAAGTACTTGGCCAAGGCTCTTAACACATATGGCTCCTGTGAGGCCTTTGGCAATAATGCACAGCCCTTTCGCTTCCGCAATCTCGGCACCCTTGCCTATATTGGCAGCTGGCGTGCCATCGCCCAAAGTTCATCCGAGGGCCTGACGGGGAGATTGGCCTGGATCCTGTGGAGAGGGGCTTACATCACCAGGACCATGAGTCTACGAAATAAGATCATGGTTCTAGTCCACTGGTTCATGACCTGGCTTTTTGGTCGTGATATTTCGAGATTCTGAAGGGATTCTCGATTTATTACTCCTAGGCTCCAACAGTAGCGCCTAGGCTTCCATAGTAGGCGCCTCGTGCAAACGCGGCACGAGCGACTTATGCTATCCTATTGTCGACTTCTCCTATCAGACAAAATCTTCGGGAGCTCTTTACCACGCAGCGGAATCGCCTGCCAACATCTGTCTCACTTCCATGTAATCCCTCGATTAAGATATACTATTTGTATCATACTAACAGGTGTGTATGTACACGAGTCGCACTGTTAGACCTTTCCCGGGCCGAACACGGCTTTTCTTATGATGTAGTGGCACAAGTAATGGCGAACTACCTAGTAATAACTTCCCTTAATCTCATGCCTAAACTTGCTCCTATGGTGAGCACAACAGGTGATGACCCTCCGCGCACCGCAACTCCTTACAATATGAAACTGCTATACGGGTTTTCAGCGACATCAACAAAGACAAAGCTCAAGAGCTCTTCGTGTGCCTCTGTAAATCATGCCCTATCGGTCGAGACCACCAGGCATGTTTGACTAAGTATACGAGTTTTAACTACTGGACTATTGCTGATTGGAACATGTGCAACCGAGGAACCGATTGCGAAGCGTGTTGCCAACAGTGTTAACCCAACGGCCTGTTTACATACTCTTAGTTCACATGGGTAATAGATTTGTAGAGCATGAAATATGCGACATGAGAGCACCTCCACCTCCAAATTCCTCAAAGGCGGTTGATCGCTTCACAAACCGTCCGTTTCAGGTAAAAGAGGATTGCAGGAGTCAGTAGCTATTGAGGACGCGCTAAACTCCTCTTTCAATGAAAGTGGGAGATAGCATGAGGATGTAGGCAGGTTGCGTGACAGGTCGCCCGTAGCTGGAAATTCCCTCGGCCATGAACGGATCAACGCACATGGTTCAGCAGCACGCGCGTTCCCAAGTAACCAGTAGGCTCGCTGAGACGACTAGGTAGAGGGATCCAGTCCATGCTTCGTTCTGCGCCTCGTTCTCGTTCTCGTTCTCGTTCTCGTTCAGGGCTCCGGCCGTTTGATGGGCAGCAATCCCAGGGCGTTTTACCCTAATTGTCAAGTACTTCCAAAGCCAAGGGGAAAAAGCCACGGGCTTCTTGGCGGGTTGAAATTCGTGCTAAACTCGTTGGAGAACAGCGCCTTGGAACTTTTGATAAGCCCCCGTAGCTCCCGAAGCAAAGCTCCCGCTCCCGAAGCAACGCTCCCGCTCCCGAAGCAACGCTCCCGCTCCCGAAGCAACGCTCCCGCTCCCGAAGCAACGCTCCCGAAGACACGCTCCCGAAGAACCTAAAAAGCAATCTCCGCTTTTGGTCCGAAATCTCTGTCGATTGATTATGTAGCAGGTATTGGTCATCATCACCTAACTATTATTTAATCAAGACTTAGTTGAGCGGAAATAAATAACGCAGGCTGCTCGATGACGCAGTCGTCTGTTGCAGCTCATTCTTCTCCTTGCCTAAGAAACATAACCATCAACGGTGGCTAATTCAACCATGTTGACCAGTGATCTAGAAACGACTCGAGGTTGGAGGGTCTTCAAACCGGGCCAAAAAGACGGATGGGAGTCCCTGCAATGGGATGCAAATCTGCCCTTGCCTGAGTTAGGACCCTCTGATGTTCTAGTCAAATTCCGGGCTGCTGCCATGAACTTCCGCGATCTAGTAAGTGAGTAATTCACCTCATGCACCGGAACTGCAGGGAACAGGGTCTGATTCAATGCAGTTGTTCGAGGGTTTTATCCTCGACCTTCCATCTTCAGCCCCGATACTGCGAGCCGTTTTTCCCAACTGATATGTCATTACAATCCTTGTTCTTTTATAAGGTGAATTGTTTGGACCAAAAGTCATCTTGGGCAGAGTTGATTGAGTTCTTTGAGATATTGTATCGAAGGCTATTTTGGATGTGTCGTTGAGGTCCGGGGCTTGGGAACTCCTCGCAACTTTTGTGACCCACTCTAACTCGGCCCGATAGATTCTCTTGGCTTGAAACTGACACGTTATACCCATCTCGTGTATTGATTAATAATTAGATTTTGATTTCAAATCACAATAAAATTAGAATGCTCACAGCATGTCCATTATCGAGTTTTTACTTATATACGCACTGTTAGTCCCTGAAAACTGAGTTATCAATGCACATTCAGCCTGATACTTCCTTCAAGCCTTGAACAAAATGGCCATATGCAAGATTTTGGTTATTGGTGCCTCTGGCTATATGTAAGTCCGGCCCACAGCATTTTGGCTTCTTTTGTACTTACGAAGTACAGTGGGGGTTCTGTGCTCACCACTTTGATGAACTCCTCCCACCCACGCATTAGGGAATGCGAATTCACTGCCCTAGTCCGCCATGAGCCGCATGCCGATGCCCTCCGTCGTAAAGGCATTAACGTGGTGATGTTCTCTGGTTTGGATGATTTGGATCTTGTGCGAGAGGTTGCAGCCCGCCACGATATTGTTATAAATACTGCAAGCACATTCCACACTCCTGTGGCAAAATCTATCATTGATGGGCTTGGAGACCGCAAAACGGCGGCAGAAAAGCAAACCCACCTCATCCAAGTTCGTTAAACTTCAACTTTCGTCGGGCGGCACTAATTGCGCAGACATCTGGAACAGGTAGCCTAGCCGACCGTCCCGTCGGCAAGCGCTTCATCGAGACGAAAGTGTTCTCCGATAAAGACAACATTTACGACTATGAGAAGTATCGCGAGAGCATCGAGCCATTTCCCCAGAGGACGACTGATGTCACAGTGATGGAGCATGGTGAAAACACAGGCGTTAAAACGTACATTGTTATGTCGCCTACCATTTACGGCCTGGGCAGCGGGGTGGTCAATCAGAAATCTATGCAGATTGAAGCCTTGATTCGCGCTGCCCGCGACGATAAGTACGTCAGTGTGGTAGGTTCTGGCGAATCAGAGTGGAGTCATGTCCACATTGAGGACCTAGGTCTGCTATACGAACTACTCGTCACAAGAATCCTGGAGGGGTTGGAACTGCCATCAAACAAACGGGGCATATACTTCAGTGAGACGGGTTACGAATCCTGGAGAGCTGTATCCGAACACATCGCAAGGACGGGAAACGAGCTAGGCATTTTGCCAAGTCACGAAATCCGCCAAATCACGCTCGAGGAAGGATCAGAAAAGCTGATACAATCAAAGGGACCCGATATTATTGAGCTTGGATGGGCATCTCGGTCAAGAACTAAAGCCGATCTGTCCCGCGAAATAGGTTGGAAGCCGACTAAGAGTTTTAGTGATTTTCTGGACAGTTTTACGACACTTTGGGCGGAAATTATGAAAGAGTAGTGCAAATGAAGATCAGTCCCTCGATGAGAGAACCTAATGTGTGACATCTGTTTTTTTTTTTGAACATAATTGATGGTTCAGACCTTGTTGATTCAAGATTGATTAATGTCTGCAAAGCAGCACATGGATTAGCTATGTAGAAGGAGTGATGAAGGTGAAGATTAAATGCGTATGATATTAGGAAAGTATTTCAATTATTAGACCCTTTGCTGCTAGGTAAATTCCCTAGTTAGGTATTACTATTTTATGCAACCTACTGTGCTCTTAATAACAATTGATCGTTGCATCGGTTAGGAAAGGTGCATTGAGATGTGAATAGAAGCTCTAGATTTCTAGCTAACTGAGGGCCGTAAGGACCGTGGTTATAGAAGAAAGATACGATAATTAGTCGATGCCGAAAGCGTCGCGGACTAACAGTTCAGCTAGATGTTAACAGCATCATAGCTGAAATACCTGAACTTGGAAAAAGCAAGTAACTCCATATCGCAACGACGACTCCGTCTTCTAGCGGCGATTGCTGTAGATGGATGTGACATGATCTTTTCGACTAAAACATAGCAAGAGAGAAAAGTTTCCACTGCAAGGCAAATCTACTGATGATAATTAAGCTTTTCTCATGATTGGCCGGGCTTTGAACGACCGACTGTATCACGACCCGACGCAGCAAGTCCATATACACGGCTACACCAAGCACGTCTCTATCGTTCATCGTTGCAGAAAGTAGCATCGAAGTACTCCACCACAGGTGGAGGCATCTCTCGATACGCTCCGATCTTCCCTCTGACTATCAAGTCCTCAAGACTAACTTTTGCGTAGCCTGGAACTTCCCAAATATCGGTTCCCGTCATCGTCTCCAGCTGTCCAGCCCCCCAGATCTTGCGGCAGTACCAGGCGAGCGAAAACGGGATGCTATTCGATATTGCGTATTCAAATTCATCTTCAACCTTTTTAGAGCTGTGCTTGAAAATCTCAGGCTTATTCCCATGCTTGAGTTCAAAAGAAGCTGTTATATCGTTACCAGTCGCCTTCAACTCTGAAAGACCGATTACTCCGGTTTTCAGGTCCGAGATTGGTGTGCTAGAAAAAATTGATGCGTAGGCAGCTCCGACATAGTTCCTTGTGCTGAAGTTGGGTGAGGAAAAGAAAGTTAGTAACTTGGCTTCTGAATTTACGGTCGACTGATAATAAAGAAAAGAACGGATCATGTATGCGAAGAGATACAAGACGTCTCACATACCATAAGTTCAAGCTCTCCTCACCACTATTTGCACTGAAGATGATTCTATTTTTCACAAGGTCCACACCCATGGCCCTAGAATTGGAGTAAAATCATTAGTTTGATCAGATATGTTTAACTGTATAAGTAAATCACTCACAGAGTATTCAATGCGAACTCAGCAAAGTTTCCCGTTAACACGACCGTGATAGGGATTCCAGCTTCCTTTGCGGCGACTTCAACCTCCAGCTTGCTCTTATTCACAGGAACACGATTCCCCTGTTCATCATAACGCGCCGCAAGATCGGAAGGCGAGAAAAGCTGGACCTTAGTGTGAGGGATTGCTTTTACGAACGCATGCTGCCTCGACACTCCCTCATGTCCGACCAGAGAACTAGGTAAGAGTCAATCTCGGTGTATCTTGAGATGGTGATGATATCGAAACGTACATAACAATGTCGATGGTTTGTAAAGCTGCTACGAGTGCCGCCTGATCTTCCACATCCACCTCCTCTTTCGAAACATGAGGTGGAAGACCCGAGACATCGGAACCTGGGCGATACAGGACCTTAATTGGGGCTTTGGAAGCGGCAAGAGCCTCGAGTATCTTGGAGCTTGCCCAGCCACGATGGCCATACACAGCAATTCGGTTGTATTGTGGCTCCATGGCGTGAATGATGTGAACAGGGTGAGTACGGTGGTTGGATCGGCTTAGATATTCTTAGCAGGATGTTCCGTTCGTCTTCAAAGCACAGGTAAAGATCGGTTTATTTATGGAGTACACAACGAACCGCTCGCAGCAAGACACGTCACATCAATGGAATCCAATCAAGAGTTTGACAAATCATTTACTACCAGAAAGGCAAGGAGTGGGGGCATAGCTCTGCTCTAGCGAGCATATACCCAGCTCCCGAAATGCCCCCGGAAGGGGCGCGTGCTGTCAATGGTCCCATTAATTTAGTCGCACTAGCCATCCTAGCATGGCTCCGAGTTTTCGCCGATATTGTTCCCAACCTTGTTCCATTGGCTGAAGAAGACCATCAGCTCGTGGAAAGTACTTTAATGTGCCCACATGTACACAGAATCCACAACTGGACCTACGGAGGTTGACGCTTGAAATAATGTTAGCTTCGACCCACTGGTCAGGGGTGTGATTTTTGGTAGCATTTTCAGCGTGAGACACAACTAGTACAACGCTTTAGAAGAAATGAATGCTCAATAAATAGCTAGAAATTTCGAATAAATGCTAAAAGTATACAAAAGTATCCAAAAAAAATACCGTAAAATACTTATATTCTATTAACATTTATAAAACCTCGCCTACTATTTCACTGGATTTTATATTTACTAAATGATCTGGTATATAGGGTAGTTTTCCCCTCCTCACCACGTAGAGATGTGCCTGTGGTGACCAAAATGACCCCCCTGCTTGTGTGGGTCGAAGCTAACATTACTTCAAGTGTCAACCTCCGTACAGCCTCCAACAGAGCGTAAGAGAGGAGAACAATTTCACCCATAAGTGAAGATATGCTGGATATTCAAGCGCAAAAAGTCCTGCTTTGAAGAAGAGAGCGGTCGCGCGCTCCAGCGAAAATACAGCCGAAGAAGAATGACGGATGGATGCCTAGATGCCCGGATTGCCGAATAAAATCCCGGTATTTCCGGAAAATCTCAAATCCGAAACTGAGGACACTAATCCAAATATGTTTCTCCGAGCTTATGCCGATAGTCCTACCCAAGAGTAAACCGGTTTTCTCGCCAGAAGTTGTCTCCGTTTTGCCCTTCGATTAAATCGGACCTCGCGATCCACACGTCTTCACCAGGATCACTCATTGCAATGCTAGTCTGTCAGGATCACGACTGGAGACCTTAGTAATTTCCTGCGGGGATTATCATTCGTGACCCTGGTCAGCAGGATCACGACATGTGATCCATGTGTAATTGCCGAGGATACAGGCCGAATCGTTCGGTAGGGAGTACCTTGTTCCTGCGTAAGGCATAGGGCCATATCCAATGACACAATGTGGAGCAGAGCAAAAAGCGAAGCAGAGCAGACGGGAGTGGGTGTGTCCGCACCGCATTGCCTCATACTCTTCTTGCACATGCGGCCCCAAAATTGGGACAGGTGTCCCAGTTTCAGTCCTGAAGAAAGTGATCCACCGAGGTTAGCCCGGCGGGCATAGAGCCAAGCTCTGAGGCAGAGGTGGGGCTACTGAACCGTTCGGTAGTGGTAGTGGCAGTGGTCACAGGCGAGAGGAGAGTAACAAGGTCACGAATTGGCACGTAATTAGCAAGGCAATCAGGGCAATACGCCTGATTCGGGATTCTGTGGAGACCACCTGGCTTAGAGCCGCCTCAGGGGTTTCCAAGGCAAGGTTTTTGATAGCAACAACTTGACAAGGGCCAAATTTTGTTTCCTGTGATGAGCCTGTTCATAGGAACAACTAGGGGTTCTGATTCTGCTTTCCGAGGCACCAGTGTTCATAGGAACAATTTGTCAAGGATCCAAGTCTGTTCATAGGATCAGCCTGGCGGAGGTCTAAGCCTCAAGAATAGGGTGTCGGAAGACGTTCCGTATTCGCCATTGGGCAACACAGCTCGGGCCAACCCTCCAGACAAGACACATCTTCAACTACACAAGCCGCGAACTGCGCCACGAGCAGCCGTAGCTGGTGTCCCTCGGTCATGCGATTGCCATATACAGAGCGAACGAGCCCTCCAAACACAGGAACAAACATTTACGTAGAGATGGTCCAGTACGCCAGCTCCTGAACTAGCTGTCTACAAGCCGAGTCCATGAGGGAGGCAAGAGCGTATCTATGCGCAAAGGCCCAGATTCTTGCATGGCCGATAAGGCCCAAATAGGATTTTGACCTTTTGACTTAACAAATGTAGTTAGGCTTCTATTACTAAAGAAAGCTCTGGCCTCCGTAATAATGGTAGTGCCAGTACCTCCTAACTTTGCAAGTTGGAATCTATCAGCTCAAGAAACTGCTTGGTCAGAATCTGCATGTCAAGGCTATTGACATGGCAGGCGATGTCGGCGGCACTTGGTACTGGAATTGCTACCCGGGGGTATTGTCCGAGTAAGTGAGCCTCTTCGGCGAGAACCATTGCATTGCCACGTGGAAAAGTTTTTGACTTATTCAAACAGCACCCAGTCATTCCTCAACCGATACTCGTGGGACCTGGAGGATCTCAAGTCGTACCCGTGGAAAAACCACTACCTTAAAGGCCCCGAAATCCTGGCATATCTCAATCATGTGGTCGAAAAGTACGACCTTCGGAAACACTTCCAGTTCAATACCGAGCTCCTATCCGCAAAATGGAGAGAGGAGGAACGGAGATGGGTTGTTATTTTATCGACGGACAAGGCACTCAAAGTCAAATACCTCATCACGGGACTTGGTCTTCTCTCAAAGCCCAACTTCCCCAAGATCCCCAACATGCAAAGCTTCCAGGGCGAGCTGTACCACACAGCTAGGTGGCCGGATGGCGTAGACCTCAAGGGAAAGCGAGTCGGGATCATTGGGAACGGCTCCACTGGAGTGCAGCTCATCATGGCAGTCGCAAAAGCCGATGAGGTCAGACAACTGCTCTCGTTCCAACGCAACCCCCAGTACAGCGTCACTGCTGGAAATGGACCAGTCTCGGCCGAGAGCCGCAAACATCTTAACGACTTGTATGAGGAAGTCTGGGACCAGGCCAAGAACAGCTCGCTTGCGTACGGGTTCCAAGAGAGCACTCGGCCCACCTTCAGCGTCACCCCAGAGCAGCGTGAGCAGATCTTTGAAGACGCTTTGCAGAAGGGCAACGGCTTCCGCTTCATGTTCTGGACCTTTGGCGACATCACTGCCAACGAAGAGGCAAACGAGGCTGTCGCCGAGTTCATCGGGAAGAAGATCCGCCAGACAGTCAAGGACCCAGAGAAAGCTCACAAGCTTTGTCCTAGAGAATTCTACGCCCAGAGGCCGCTGTGTGACACTGGGTACTGCGAGCAGTTCAACCGCGACAACATTGATGCCGTTGATATCAAGACGAACCCCATCACCGAATTCACACCAAACGGCATCAAGACTACCGAAGGCAAGATCTACGAGCTCGATGTCGTTATCTGCGCCACCGGATTCGACGCTGTCGACGGTAGCTACACACGCATCGCGATCCAGGGATAAAGCGGCGAGACGCTGAAAGCCCACTGGTCAAAGAACGGGCTGACATCATATGCGTACCAAACTTTCCCAACCTCTTCATGATCTGCGGCCCAAATGGTCCATTCTCAAACCTTCCACCGGCAATCGAGACACACGTTGAGATCATCTCCGATCTGATTGCCGTAGCAGAGACGGATCCGGCACGTCTGGTGAGGGCGGCCAATACCGCCAGCGAAGACATCGGCATCAACGGCGGCGGACACAGGAACGGCCACGCAAGCGGTCGAGCACCTAGCCGTGGCATAATCGAAGCCGAAGCTGAAGCGGAAGAGGAGTGGACTGGTTTGTGCGACCAATGAGCTCCAAGAGCTTGTTCCGCAGGATCGAAACCTCCTGGATCTTCGGTGCGAACGTGCCAGGCAAGAAGGCGGTTCCGATGTTCTGGTTTGGTGGGTGAGGCCCGTACAGAAGGACAGTGCAAGAGATATACGACGATGATCTGAGGGGTTTCAAGAAGTTTGATGCGCAGCCCGAGCGCACCGTTTTGTGACACATGAGGATGCTATGATGAGTTGTCGGTTACTGCCGTTTCCACGTAGTTTCTTTATGCACTGATCCCGAGGAATTCTCGAAATAACCATTTTCGGCACCTTCGCTTGTGTGGCGCGATTACTCACCGGGTCGACCGTGGAGTGGAGACCATGTGTCTGGTTCATTCCTACATTGGTTAATTTATGGGGAAAGAGCCATCATTGAGACGTCTGTCACATGGAGAGCGGTTTCGCCCTATCTGATGGGCACACGAGATAGACAGCTGTATGGCGCTGGGTCAAAATGCCACTCTTGCGTAAATGCTGTGTTGTGCTTCTGGCTAGACCACACCAACAACAATGCAATACAATGCATAGTCACGTTCCTGAAACCCATCCAAAAAGGCTTTGTCATCTAAACCAGCTCATGCGTCAATGTCAAGCACCTGCAGCCCTTCCAAGACAAGCCCCAGGCCTCCACCCAAAGCCAGATGAGCAGGATCCGACTTTGCATAGTAGTCGCGATGTTCAGCGGTTTCGAACACGGTGACGATCATATGGGTGAAGCCGTTCTGTGGATTTTCAGTGCGTCAGCCCAATCCGGAAAAAATCGCATTAGCCCGCTGCACGTACTTGCAATCCCTCGATGGAATTGTCCGCTCCAGCGGTGATGGACTTGATGTATCGCTCTTGGGTGTCGGGAAGGACACACTTATCCTTGAGCGATTTCAGATCAGCAATCACCTGGTTAACGTCAGTGATAGTGTCCCTTATCACGATGATAGAGAGAAAAAAAGACATGGTCAATCTTGTCCTTGTCGACATCTAGCTTGAATCGAAGCTGCACAACGTGGATAATTCCTCCCATTATGAACAAGGCGCAGACAGTATGAAGCTACTTCAGAGAGTTGTCCTGGTAGGTACGTATTATCACAGCGGAAGTGGTGGTATCAGCCGACTCGACATCAAGCTCTTATAGCAGCATTCCCAGCGCTCAGATCCGGCCAGCTGCATTAGTCAGTGGCGGCGCCTGGTTTAACGTTATCCGACGATCTTCGGGCCGACTAACTGGATTTGTTAGCGACCGATTATTCACTTACTAACTTTGTCATCCTCCTCGTCGGCTGCAGGATATTTCCCGAACGCAAAGCGGATACCGGGCGTGGTAGAACACGTCACACTCGCGTCGTGACACGAAGAAAACGTTCTATTCAATCATTGCTTCAGCCTTCAGAACCTAGGTAAGGTACCCTTGGTCAATTACTTGACATGGTTGTTACGTCATGCGCCGTCTGAAAGCTCCTGGTCCTAGGTAGGAGGTACTTGATGGCGAGCCCCGACGGCCAGATCACCGATCACGGTAGTAACCAACCCTCGTCCTTTCCGACATCATGCTCTGCATGTCTGCTGCAAGTGCGAGTGTGGGCAATGGGTCGATCAAGGTAAACACAGGCTCATCTCCGCATTTGTCAGCGTGGCCCCGAGTTCGGCAACTTGGTCTATCCCCGCCGCCGAAGCGGAAGAGGGAGCAGTACGGTAATCGCCAGCAATGTTATGATGTCGCATCATACCTTAATCAGCACTACGCTTAGCATGCCTACCACATCTGTTAGTTAGTTGCTCTATAAATGTGTGCCTGACGCGCCCGCCATCCTGCAATCACGGCCAACCCCATCGCACATCTTCCAGCAGTTTGACCATCCCAGTATCTTTACATCAGACATGGCGACCAAAGGCTCCGTTTTCCTCATTGGCCCCGGCTTCATCGGGCTCCAGATCCTGGGAGAGCTCCTGGCCGAAGGGTACCCGGTAACCACATTGGTACGAAGGGAGGAGGCCAAGGCGGGCCTCGCGAAACTCGGGTCCAAAACCATCCTCGGGTCGCTGGACGACAGCGACGTCATCCGCACAGCCGCTGCTGCTGCCGACATCGTGATCCACACCGCCACGGCTGACCATCTACCATCCGCTGCCTCGGTCTTGGATGGCATTGCAGAGCGCGCCAAAGCTGGGAAGAGCACCATCTACATCCACACCAGCGGCTGCAGCGCAATCACCGACGGGTCAAATGGCGACCACGTAAGCGACACGGTATATCAAGACGACAGGCCAGAAACAATTGACAGCATCGCCGACGACGCCCCGCATCGCGCCATCGACCTTGCTATCCTGAAGTCTCGTAGCGAACTCGGCGCCAAGGCAAAGATATCGATTGTGTTCCCGCCCGTCATCTACGGGCTGGGCAAGGGAAACCGCCTCTCCATCCAGGTCCCGACCATGGCTCGGTTTGCCGTCAAGCATGGCTACGCCGGTTATGCTGGAGGCGGGAAGGCAGTCTGGGGCCATATCCACGTCGCGGATCTGGCACGAGGATACTTGACCATACTGCACTACATGGAGTCCACATCTGGAGACAAGGTTCTTGAAAGCTCATACTTCTTCATCGAGAATGGAGAGGAATATTCGTGGGAGAGGTGCGCCGAGGAGGTTGGCAAGGCGCTTCAAAAGGCAGGGAAAATCCAGGATCCGACCCCTCGACAGATTCCGAGCGACCTCTACAATGACCTCTTTGGGGAATGGTCTCTGGCGGTCATTGGTCAGAACGCCAGGAATCGTGCCAACAGATTGCGCGCTCTTGGCTGGAAACCCCAGGAGAAGTCAACTTTTGATTCCTTGCTGACGGATGAATTGCCCATCATCCTCACGGAAAAGTCTGACTTCCAGGGCTACAGCGCGCCAGTGGCTTCCTAGGCCCTCATACACTGATAGCAATTAAGAAACGTTGTACCTTGCCTACTTTTTGATCATTGACATGTTATCCCTCTGACCTCGTACCATCGCCGTCGTTCGCGTATTTGTGATTGAGGCCTCTTTCGCCTTGTCAGGGCGACTGATAAATGGGCGCCCGGGCTCGCTGGGAGCTTAGGCTCCCCTGCCCTCTGTGGGGCTTGGGGTGACAGGTACCAAATGTTCTGAAATGTGAACTAGATTGTGTCAAGGCCCTATGGGGACCTCCCTCCGGGCGAAATAAACCGTACTCCCCCCTTCCCTTGGAGAGGGGATGACATATTGCCCGTATCTGCGTCGCATGCATATCCAACGTTTCCAACTTTGCTATAAGCCAACATCGTCAATTCAAGCCCAACAAGGCCCAAATTTGGAACACACATCCTCCCACACCCAATTACAATATGACCGAAGCTTCAGCTAAATCCCATGCTGCTATGGCTGCTGCTGCCTGTGCCTATCTCTTGGGTTATGGCCCCTCGGAACTACGCTGGCTCTAGTGGAGGCTCTTCTGGAACAACGCTGATAGTAGGGTACTCACTCCTCGGGAAGGATTGAAAGAGTCCCGACTCTCATTTGCGTTCGCTCGGTGGTTCGGGCAACTTCGATGCTACTGTACACCCGCACTGACCAGCCCGTGAGATGGCATAGCCAGCATAGAATGGAAAGAATGTGACACGCCACATCCGTTCTCGTCGGGCGTTACACGGTGCAAGGGCTCCGAGGCGTAGTGGTCTATAGGAATAAGATATCCATTTCGTTACACTTTACGAACTGGTGATGAGCATATTGACGGGACAACGAATTCTTTCCTTTAGCAGCAGTGTCCCAAATTAACTCATAAATCATACGTGATATTCTTAGTCCGTACCCATTCCTCCATCCCTGCATTGAATCTCCCGAAGCCGCTGGACTTGGCACCTCTATGCGGTAGGGCTGATTCATCATGAACAGTCATGCGGTTAATATGTACAGCTCCTGTCTCTATCCTCTTAGCAAGCCTCAAAGCTCTTCGCAGATCGCGAGAGAAGATGGCTGAAGAGAGGCCGTAGTCAGTATCGTTTGCAATGGCTAGGGCGTCCTCCTCGGTCTCAAACTCAATGATGGAGACTGTTGGGCCGAAAGACTCGGTTATATAGACTTCTATGTCGGGCTTGACGTTGCTAATGATTATGGGCCGCAGCTGTGTCTTGGTTGATTCGATAGCATCCACATCACCACACACCAGTGATGCGCCCTGGGCCAAGGCGTCCCGGACCAGACGTTGATTCTTGGCCACCGCTCGGTCTGCGATCAGGACAGGGCTGTCGCTCTGCGAAGCAAAAAGATTGTACGTCCATTCCCTCAGCTTCTCTTCCAGATCCGGGCGGATCGACTTGTGGACTAGGATACGCTCGGTGCTCATACAGATCTGTCCCGCATACATGAATGCTCCCAGCGCACATTGCTTAGCTGCGACGTCAAGGTCAGCGTCTTCGCATACGATAGCCGGTGCTTTACCACCCAGTTCGAGGAGAAGGGGTTTCAGGTTTGCGCCGGCCCATTCGGCGACAATGCGACCCACGGCTGTGCTGCCGGTGAAGTTGATCTTCTTGATGATTGGGTTGCTGATCAGGGTCTTGGTAACTTCTGGGGCATTCTGCGGGTTGCAGGTGATGAAATTGATAGCGCCATTGGGGAGCCCCGCTTCTTGAAGCACTGAAGCAACAGCCCAGAGCGAGCGAGGGCTCAGCTCCGAGCCCTTGAAGACAACAGTGTTACCCGCAGCAATCGCCCACACGACGGCTCTGAAGCCTAGCGCATAGGGGGCGTTCCTATTCATTCATTGTCAGCTATACTGTTGCCATGAGGAATGTCGGCGGCTAGCTTGACTCACCAGGGTGCCATGGCCAGAACAACGCCGTAGGGCTCCTTCACAACGAGCGCGCCCGTGGTCGGGTCGCTTGGACTCGGTATCCTCCCTTCGATTGCAGTAATCCTACTTGCACAGTCAAGGAGACACTCCTTGGCAAGGTACATATTGAACTCTACCCATCCCTCGTCACTGCCGGTCTCCTGCATCATGTACTCCTTCAACTCTGACGAACGCTTCTCGACAATATTGGCGGCCGCTAGGAAGATGTTTCGACGCCGAGCAGGTGTCGTCTGGCTCCAAGACTCAAAAGCCCTTTCTGCAGCATGGGCAGCCGCTTGCGCGTGGGACACATGGGCATTCGAGCTCTTGTGTATGACAGCCCCCGTACCTGGGTTGACCACGTCGAAGGTGTCGTCGGACAAGACTTCATTGCCGTCGATAACGAGAGGCACATCATCCCCGTGGACCGGAGCCCCGCCACCCTCGGCTGCGACAGAAATAGGCATGGTAAAGCAGTGTCGAGGCTGAACGAGTCTAGTCCTTAGTCTGCAAGAGGCACAATGCTCACCGTCGGTGCGGAGAGACTCACGCCGTGAATGATAAGATGTCCTTGACGGTGACTGAGTGGGTGGTCTGTCGTGTTCCTGAATGAGGACTATTGGCGGGATAAGAAACGAATTCTTATGAGACGACCCAGTACGACAATCCTTGCCAATTGGAGGTATCTCCATTCTGGTCGGAAGCCGGGTATGTGTGGGGGGAGGGGAACCGGAAGCTGGGGAAGCGAGCCCTGACCCATGCAGCAGCCATATAACCTTATGACAAAAGCTTACTGAGCAGGACGAGCGAGCATTCTAGATCTGGGCAGACTAGGACTAGGACTAGGACCAGGATTAGGATCAAAACTCCTGGATTCGCTGGCAAATCCCATGCTCTCATCGGAACCGAACAGGATTCGGGGCAGGCTGCCTTAGTGGGGACAAGAAAACATGGGGATGGCTCCAGTGGGCGGGTGATGACCAATATTCGGTCGGAGCCATTCCCAGGGCGGGCTACAAGGCTTATTCTGCGTGACCGGAAGACGGCCAATCAAAACAGGATCCGATCGGAATCATTGGCTCGCAATACGCCTCAAGCTCCCCCTAGCTTGCTCTCTGGGAGGAAGGAGCATTAGACATTGGCGATTGCCACATGGCGGCTGATCCCCGCTGGCATCATCAGGATGAAGTCCTGTGGAGGAACGTTAGGGATCAAGGTAGCGACTGACCCATAACGGCCGAATGCTCCCTAGTTGCGAGGTCGTAGAAGCACCAATGCGTTTGAATACTGCGGATTGCAGCGAGACAGAGTTAAGATCCGTCTGTTAGCATCAGATCTACGCAGCTCACTTCCGACAATTGGTGTTGGGTAGGAAAGAGGATAGTATATTCAGGCGCGTTTTCAATCAGACTCTAACCTGGTCCTGCAATAGCCGCTGAGGTATTGGGAGCAAATACCTATACGGCACTGCCGGAAGGTTCTCAAGTCGTGGCGAACAGCAGGCTCCCTCCTGCAGCGTTCGTCGAATGCTGCAAAGGCAGAGCAGTTTGTAGTCTCGCCATAGACAGTCTGCTTGCTGCTGGGCAGCGACGGGAATCGGAGCCAAAGCCCTGCCATCACCCAACATGCTCAGCTTTAGAGCCGACCATCTCCTTCTCTGCCCCTACCAGACCCAGATCCTTCTCCGCCTTGTCCAATGCCGCAGCCGCCTGTTGAGCCTGTTCACCGTCGAACAGAAGAGCGACTTGCTCAAGCGTATACCCTTTGGTCTCGGGATAGAAGAAGTAGACAACGACGTTCATCGCGATGAGGATGGCAACGAAAACGATGTAGTACTTCCACCCAAGAGCCTCCAGGGCAATTGGGTTGACAAAAATGTTGAAAGTCAACGAGAGCATAGAGAACCAGACAGCACTAGTCAATCCGCGAGACCGAATGGCATAGGGCCAGATCTCGCAGGGATAAGAGTAGAGCAGCGGCGTCCTGTTGTGCAGAAGCACCTATCAATACGTGATATTGGGGGGATAAGGAGGTGGGCTAGGAGGGGCTCAACTTACAGCGCAATATCATAACCGGCGTAGTAGATGAACAAGAACGGAATCACGGCCAATCCAGTCGCGCTGCTTCCAGTTTGCGCAAAGGAACCCGAAAGCGCTGTCACAATCACATAGGCAACCAGCATGATCGCTCCTGAGGCCAGGAATAGCGTTCTGCGCCCCAACTTGTCGACGGAAAACGCAGCTCCAGAAGCGAAGATCAAATTCCAAATCTGCAAGCATGCCGAGATCAAGGTCTGGTGGGTGACAGAAGTAATGCCCACCGTCTGCAACACTATCGCGAGGTAGTAGCTGACGACGCCGCCACCAGTCCACTGCGCAAAGAAGCCTAGGGTGACAGAAATTAGCAAGCGGTGACGGTTGCCCTTGCCTCTAAACAGTTGGAGGTAGCTCGTCGACTTGTGGGCGGCCAACTCCTCTTCTATAGCTGTTTGGATCTCGATCGCTTCCAGCTCGACAAGAGGCGATGACAGATCGCCGCCGGCGTGGGCGCTGGCAAGTACAGCGCGGGCATCGGACTGGCGGTGGACGGATACAAGCCAACGGGGGCTCTCAGGGCAGAGGATGAAGCCGGGCAGCGCTATAATGGGCAGCAGAGTCTGCAAAACCGAAGGAATACGCCAGGACCAGCTGGTAGGGTCGTTGCGGGTGCCGAAGGTTACCCAGGCTGCGACGACCGCCCCAGCGTACCAACCGCAGTTGTAGAGAGAGCTGGCAATTCCCTAGAAGCGTCAAGATAGCTGATTAGCTTGGGCCTCGAGCGGCGTCGGGCGTCGGGTAGCAACTCACGCGATGAGGAGGATATGCAACCTCAGTGATGAGAAGAGGCGTTGCAGTCGCATACCATCCAGTGTTGACTCCCAGGAAAAAGCGCCCCAGGATGAATGTGGGTGCGTTCTGGGCCCCTGCCTGCAGGCCTACGCCTAGAGATAGGAAACCAAAGCCAATCCAGATGCCCATTTTGCGCCCGTATCTGTTGGCGACTAAAGGGCAGACGGGCAATGTGACGAGAATGCCAATGATGTAGATGCAGTTGATGAAGCCGAGCCATGCTCCCGTTGGGTACTCCATGAACGCGTTCCAGGTAGGAAGTGCGAGCAGGCCGTTAGTCATCGAACTATCGTAGCCTATTGCACTGGACAACAGGACAAGAGACACCACGGAGAAGTTGAGCTTGAGCAGGTGCGGTTGCTTGTACCACGGCACCGGGGATGTTGTTGAGAGGAGGAGCGCCGTATGGCGGGCAGCCTCGTCGTTTGAGGGGCCGGTCATGGTAGCTAGAGCGATTTCGATTTCTATGGCTGTCCCTGTGGTTGGTGAAGGGTGGCCTGCCGCAGCTGCAGAGCAGAGGCAGGATGTCTCACTCCTTAAATCTGAGAAGTATCAGTATTGCTTCTTGTTGTTCTCGGGTGTGGCAACGAAAAATTGACAGCTCTTCCGAGTCAAAAGCTGGGGCCCGGCTGCCGACGCTGAAGCCGCAAGCTGCTGTTATCGGCCCGTTTCCATGAGGGGAACAACGCTGCGTGGCTGCTTCCCCCACGCAGAAGTGCCCTTGTGAGCATCTGGACCAGTGTCGGGACCAGGAAAAACGCCCGCATCGCAATCCTGGGGTTCCGAATATCCCCAAGGAGCAAGGTCACGAGCTTGATCGTCAACGAATAGAATCGACGGCTGCTCGGAGCAACGGTTAGGGTGATCGATTCAATCGGCTTACGCGAATCAAAGTTGTAAATCAGAATTGCGTTTGTTTCCTATGTATAAGAGGGCATAAATGGGTCGGCTCAAGCCACGAGTATCAGGCCATACGCATGCCAAGATGAAGATCCAACGCCTTCTTGCCTTTCAATCCTTTTACACCATTGTCTCACTTGGTTCTCCAACTCCCCCTGCTTGCGAAACCATGGGCCATCTTGTCAAAGGGACCCACGAGCCGTGCTTCAGCGGCCTCCGCGACTTGCTGAGCAAACACATCTCTGAGGGGGATGAGGTCGGCGCCTCAATCGTCGTCAATATAGATGGCCAGAATGTAGTCGACATCTGGGGAGGTTACTTCGACGAAAGTGGCACCCGCAGCTTGGAGAGAGACACTATCGTCAACGTCTTCTCTACCACCAAGACCATCACCAGCCTTGCTGCACTCATCCTCATCGATAGAGGTATCATCAGCCCCTACGAGAAAGTGGCCACCTATTGGCCTGAGTTTGCTGCGAATGGGAAGCAAGACATTGAGATTAGGCACATCATCTCTCACACGTCTGGTGTTCCAGGATGGGAGCAGCCAGTCACGCTGGCTGACGTCTGCAACTTCGACAAGGCAGTCTCCCTGCTCGCCGCCCAGGCGCCCTGGTGGACTCCAGGAACTGCATCTGGTTACCATTCCTTCACCCACGGGTTGTTGATCGGTCAAGTCATTCGCAAGGTCACAGGAAAGACCCTCAAAGATTTCATTCGAGATGAAATAGCCGGACCGCTGGGTGCTGATTTCCAGCTTGGGGTTGTCGAGTCCGACTTGCACCGCGTCTCTGACCTCATTCCCTGGATCGCAACCCCAAGCAACGATTCTGCTTCCGATCCCGACTCCATCGCTACACGGGTGAACAGGTACCCCGAGTTCACACCCGACATGGCCAACACCGCCTTGTGGCGAAATGCTGAACTGGGGGCCGCAAATGGCCATGGCAATGCACGGTCTATTGCAAAGATTCTCTCGGCGGTTTCTCTTGGGGGTTGGGTCGACGGGAAACGCCTCAAGCCGGAAACCATCGACTTGATTTTTCAGCAGATGTCGAATAGAACAGACCTGGTGACCAACATGCCGGTGCGATTTGGAATTGGATACGGGATAAGGGGCGAAGGGGTGATCCCTACTTAGCTGCCTGAGGGAAGGATATGCTTCTGGGGCGGGTTGGGGGGATCGGTCGCCATCATGGATTTGGACAGGAAGATGACAATTGTATATGCCATGAATAAGCTGTACCCCGTCGGACTAGGATCTAACCTGACGATTGAGTACGTGAAGGAGATTTACAGGGCGGTGGGAGTGTCCGGACTTTAGTAAATCAAAGGCAGCACGCTTCAAACTACAAGCGAGCTGCTCTACTTGACGGCCAACTAAGGAGAATTGTGTGGCAGAAGGCCAGCGTTGTAGACTTGATAGCCATCTTCGTTGCATGGAGCCCTTGCCAAGAACACGGGATCAATTTTTTCAACTCCGAATGCTCGGTATCGATGTAATCACTTAGCTATCCAACGCTCCGGCTCACTTGAAGCTCAGTTAGCCTCAGCCTCCTCCCCACCTGTTCGTCCTGTTAAGGTACATGGCTCCTGGGGATTACAGTCGGATAACGGTTCACCACGAAGTCGGATAACGGTTCACTGTGACGTCGGAAAGCGGGCGGTACGGAGGATGAATGCCCCTTTGGGCTAGTTCTGTTACTTGAGCCAGCCCCGAGTTTGCTGCGTCCGGAGGCTAGGTTTGGGGCGTGAGGGAAGGGAGAGGGGCCTGTAGAACGCCCGCAGCAACCCCATGTCTGTGCGTGCGGGGTTCAGTGTTCCGAAGTAGGTATAAATTCAGAGTAGACAATCCCAAGTAATAACTCAAGTGCTCTGACCCTTGGCGTGGCAATTGAAGATTCAGAATGTCGAGAACAACAAGTGCCATCGTGGTGCGTGAGCCGAACGGGGCGGTGGCTCTGGAACCCATCATCCTCGGCGAGCTCAGGCCGGATGAAGCGCTTGTTGAGATCCACGCAACTGGAATTTGCCATACCGACTTATTGTGTATGAAGGGCAAGCTGCCCGCCCCAACGCCCATCGTGCTTGGCCATGAAGGTAGACACACAACCCCGTCGCCGATGCCTGCCTTCGATCTGAGAATACTAAGCCTTTCTTGCAGGCGCTGGGGTCGTTGTCGCCAAAGGAGCAGATCTCAAGGGCATCGAGCCGGGTGACAAAGTCATCTTGAGCTACTGCTACTGTGGAACCTGCGACGAGTGTGCCCATAACCATGAGCCGTACTGCCATTCTCTGCTCCAGCTCAACTTCGGAGGTGCGCGAGCTGACGGCACGTCCGCGCTGAAGCTGCCCAGCCATGGCACCAGCGGTCTCCATGGCCACTTCTTCGGGCAGAGCTCCTTCTCACGGCACGCCATCGTCAGCGCCGCCAGCTTGGTCAAGGTGCCGCCAGATACACCGTTGGATCTCTTCGCTCCCCTTGGCTGTGGCCTCCAGACAGGCGCCGGCGCTGTCTTGAACACACTAAATGTCCAGCCCGGTACCTCCCTGGCCGTCTTCGGCGTCGGTTCGGTGGGCATGAGTGCCATCATGGCCTCCAGATTGCGCAGTGCTAGGCAAATAATCGCTGTAGATATAGTGCCTGCTCGCCTCGAGCTAGCCAAGAAGCTTGGCGCAACCGACACTATCCTGGCATCGGAGAAGGATGTCGTCGACCGCATCAAGGCCCTATGCCCACCAAACGGTGTCAAGTACGCCCTTGACTGCTCTGGCAACCCGCAAGCCGTGGCGTCCATGATTGACGCCCTCGGCACACGCGGTCGCGCCTGTAGCGTAGGTGCTCCGGCCCCGGATGTTCGCACTAGTGTTAATATCTTCGCTCATCTCATCAATGGCCGTGAGTACGTGGGTTGTCACCAAGGCGAGAGTCTCGCTAAAGAGGTTTGTTTCTCTATACTCCACAGTCCTGCAGCTTTTAAGTCTTACCAGTTGTCTAGATGATTCCATTTCTGATCCGGCAGCACGCTGATGGAAAGTACCCCTTGGAGGAGCTTATTACATACTACAATGTTGAGGATTTTAAGACAGCTTTTTCAGATACTGAGAAGGGCTTAACAATTAAAGCTGTGTTAAAATGGGTGTAACTTAGTTGCTTGTTGCATCTAATGAGAATGGGGTATTGGATGTGAATAGAAGCTTTTGATTTCTAACTAATTGACGGTCTGCTAGTTTGTTGGTGGTTGATGCACTCGGTGCGACACACACCCAGGAGTCAGAACTCCGGTATATGTTACGGCCTGGTCCTCCGGATAGCGATAGGCTTAAAAGAGCAGCTAGTGTACCCAGTAATTGCCGCAATAGCGATTATTGGCCAATCTTTTGCCCTATGGTACAGCGGTCTAGCACAACCGTTACAATGTGGATACAGGCGATATCTCAGGGGCAGAGAGAATTCGAGAGAAGTCAGGAACAAGGACATCAGAGAATAAACTGACCTGACATCAATGGACTGAAGACCCGTACGGTCTGACAACAGCCTGAATTAATATATATTAACTGTAACGCGGGTGGACCGGACCAACCCTGGGTGCGCCTACCCAGCCTACTAACGCTCCCTGAGGGTCACGCTAGCTAAGCGTTAGGGTTTCGCTACGCACACACTATAGATAGAGTATCACAGAGATGACTGAAGCCTTTAAGCTTCAGTCTTAATACAACGCCTGTGGCACCTTTTGTACTTACCTGGCTGCGTACCTATCCGTGTACAACCTCTTTACATTAACGTACTTGATAAGCGAGTGACCCAGACAAGCGAGCGACTCACTTAATTCTCCACCTTAAATCGTGATTTTTAAAAAATCATAACTCTGCCAAACTAAGACTAGTTAAAATAAATGCAATTTTGAACTTAGATCTATTATTATATAATATAACTAATAAAAACCTATACGAAATCCCACTCTTTAGGAAGTATAAAAAACATAACGTGCATGATAAGCGTGCGGACAAAACAAGCATGCGGTCAATTCCCCACCCGAATTCTCTTTTCCTTACTTCAACCCATATTCCTCAACCACAAAACATGTCACAGTCAAATTACGAAGCTAATGTTATTTTTGCCCTTCAGGGGCTTCAAAATGACCCCCAATTGAAGGTGTATCGCGCTGCTACGATCTATGGAGTCTCAAACACTACCTTGCGTCGTCGACGCGACCACGTCCCTGCAAGACGTGACTACACGCCCAAATCTCGAAAATTAACGGATCTGGAGGAACAGACAATTGTTCAATACGTTCTCGACCTAGATTCGCGATCGTTTCCTCCCCGCCTTCGCGACGTGGAAGATATGGCCAATAAACTGCTCGCCGACCGCGACGCGCCTCCCGTCGGCAAGCGCTGGGCTTCCAACTTTGTCAAACGACAACCAGAGCTAAAAACGCGTTCTTTTCGGAGATATGACTACCAAAGAGCCAAATGCGAAGATCCACAGGTCATTCTTGGCTGGTTTACACTTGTGCAGAACATTATCACCAAATATGGTATCGTGGAGTCGGATATCTACAACTTCGACGAGACTGGCTTTATGATGGGAATTATCTCGACAGGCATGGTCGTCACAAGCGCTGAAAGACGTTCTAACGCGAAATTGGCTCAGCCTGGAAACCGGGAATGGATTACGGTGGTTCAGGGCATCAATTCCCAAGGATGGTGGCTGCCGCCGTTCATCATTGTTGCGGGTCAATATCACCTCTCGACATGGTACGAAGATAGCCCTCTACCGCAAGACTGGGTCATCGCCACGACCGAAAATGGTTGGACAACGAACGAGAGAGGCCTAGAATGGGTTCAGCATTTCGATAAGCACACCAAGCCGCGCACGACTGGCAAATATCGCCTCCTTATCCTAGATGGCCACGAAAGTCACCTCTCGGTCGGCTTTGAGCTCTACTGCAAGGAAAACAAGATCGTCACACTTTGTATGCCTTCTCATTCATCCCACATCCTTCAGCCTCTCGATGTCGGGTGTTTTGGCCCGCTCAAGCAGGCATACGGACGACAAATCGAGAGGAAGATGCGGGCTGGTACAACGCACATCACCAAGGAGGATTTCTTTCCTGCATTTTCCGCCGCATTCCAAGAGTCCATGACAGAAAAAAACATCCGAGGGGGTTTTCGAGGAGCAGGCCTTGTACCTTTGAACTCAGAAAGTGTGATTTCTGGGCTGGATGTGAAGCTACGTACGCCAACACCGGTCGAAGGGGTCGACGAGTTACCGGCACCTTGGGTTTCCCAGACGCCACACAACCCGACAGAGGCGAGCTCACAATCTGAATTCATCAAGAACCGAATCTCTCTACACCAAGGAAGCTCTCCGACATCGATTCTGCATGCTGTCGACCAGTTTGCAAAGGGGACCCAAGGAATCATGCATCAGATCGCGTTGCTGAGGTCGGAAAACCAGATCCTTCGACAAGAGAATGAGATACTTAGTCGACGTCGACGGGCGAAAAAGAAACGTTTGAGAGACGGAGGAAGTCTAACTCTAGCTGAAGGGCAAGATTTGCAAGATCAGAAGGAGGTAAATGTGCAGTTAGAAGAAGAAAGCCGTCGAAATGGTGGTCGGAAGCGGAGGCCAGAAACGAAGGCACGGCGATGTGGCGTCTGCGGCAAGATAGGCCATAACGCGCGAAGATGTCAAATAGAAGTAGCAATGTCTCAAGAACAGAGTCCCAATTGATTTGAGCCGATTTAGAGTGTTGTGGTTGATTTTGCAGGGGTAGAGAATTGCGAGGTTGTGGAAAATTGACCGCACGCTTGTTTTGACCGCACGCTTGTTTTGACCGCACGCTTGTTTTGACCGCACGCTTCTTTTGACCGCACGCTTATCATGCACGTTAAAGTAAGTCTGTTTTAAACCTGCTTTTCCAATCTAACATACCTAAAGAGTGGGATTTCTTATAGTTTTTTTGATAGTGGTAACGTATATGATAAGCGAGTGCCACAGACAAGCGAATGCCACACTTAACTATACCTTAACTAACAAATATTTAAATAAAACAACTGCTTATTATTACAGCTTGGAATTATCCAATATATAACCTAACAATTTTTTAAAAATCACGATTTAAGGTGGAGAATTAAGTGAGTCGCTCGCTTGTCTGAGTCGCTCGCTTATCAACTACGTTACATCATAGGAAAAATCGCAATATTAAGGGGGCTAAAGAGGGTATTGCAATTAATAATAGAAACAGCGTTATTTCGGCTGTTACAACTGCTATAATAATATTCATAAAGATGACTTCATCAGCGAGGGGTTTCCTCATTATCCGACAACCCCGACCCCCTCATTTCTTAGTCATCCGGTCCGAGTGGCTCCCACCGTCTGACACCATGATTACCCCAGTGGAGAGTCGGTGAGGGCAGCGCGAGAGCGAGAACGAGAACGAGAACGAAACATTTCTTGATGGGTCTCACGGCTGCCCCCACCACCTGTTTCATCCGAGTGCAACAGACCCATGCTGATATCAAAGTTTAGTTACATTTTGCGAGAACGAGCGTTAGATTAAGCTTAACAGTATACGTCGGCATACACATGCCGGAGCATTGCGATCCCCTAGCTAGCATGGCAACTGCCGGCGTTAAGGAATGGAAAAGTTAGCAAGCGCGGGGCATGACGCAGATCGCTCTCCTCGCCATTCTCAAGCCACACCAGATCTATCCCAATCTTGGACCCTCATTACTTTAGCAAGATCACCATTAGTCGCGGCCCTTGCTCCATCGATATGAGAGGCAGGGGCAAGCATGATGTAGCTCCTGGCTTCCGTGGCAGGGTTCGTTAGGGACACAGAGTATGTAACAGGCCTGCGGCCAGTGACTATAAGTCTGCCCGTATGCCGTTGACTCTGGGCAGGAGCTCAAGCTTCCTCAGTAACTCAACCCATATCTACTGAATGATACGATGAAGATTTCCAACTCTTTCGTGCTTGTGCTTGCCCCCTGTGTGGCGGCATTCCCTCATTATGCGGCGATCGCGGATGCTTCGGCCTCAACCGTGAAGGCCAAAAACTGTTACAAAGGCACTCTGTCTCCCAAGCATTTCACGTGGAAGGCTCCTGGGGAAGTTGACCGTGAGTAATCTGAACCAATTGAAGGCCAATTTAACCAATTTCCAGTCCGCGCCCCTTGCCCTGTCATGAACACACTCGCTAACCACGGCTTCGTTCCCCATGATGGTCGAAACATCACTCGCCAACCGTTCATCAAAGCATGTGGAGAAGCACTCAACATATCTCCTGAATTCGCAGAAGGGATCTTCAAGACCGGCGTGCCATCCAACCCGATCCCTAACGCCACGGTACGCACCAATCAGAGCGCCGAAAATGCAGAAGAGGGCTGACATGAAGTGTATTAAAATAGTTCTTCGACCTGGACATGCTCCATAAGACGCACGGCTTTATCGAACATGACGGAAGCTTGTCCCGCAAGGACATCTTCTTCGACCCCTCCAACCGGTTTGACCCCGACACGTTTGACAACCTCATGAGTTACTTCGGTGATTCCGACAAAATCGATATTCCTTCTCTTGCAAATGCCCGTGCAAGGCAAGCATTCGACATGAGCTTGATTAATCCCGAGTTCGTGATCACCCAGGAATCTATCCCCGTTATCGTTGGAGAAAATGCTATGCTGCTTGAAATCTTCGGCAACCCTCCCGAGAACCCGGTTGCTAGGCGTGATTAGTTTGAGTTTTTCTTCCGTAAGTCTTACTGCATTGCAGAAAACACCCACAATACTTCATATCGAAGGAATTTGGAAATTAATTTCAAATTTGCCAGGTAACGAACGGTTCCCCGTTGCAATTGGGTGGGCTCCTCCCTCAGTTGCTATAGGACCTTCTGTCGGTGCTGTAGTCGAAGCTATTATTGCTCAAAGCCCATCTGATGTACCCCTGACATTCAGCCCCAAGTCTACATAAGGATACCCCTGATGTATCTTATTCTATTCTTAGTTGCACTTTTAGAAACTGTTGTTAAGACTATTATACAATCTATGTAACTAAATATAGAATTACAGTATAATATGCACTTACTTACCTTACACTTATTCTTTTTTTACATAAATAATATTTATTTCTATAACTCTGCTATAACGTACATGATAAGCGAGCGACTCAGACAAGCGAGCGACTCACCAAACCACACCCTCGCCAGTAAATATCATAATAAAACAACCACAACACCCAAAATCAATTAAAATCAATAATCATCCTCTTCTCCAGACGCATCTACATCAATTTCACAAGTACGCGCATTATGCCCGGGTTTTCTGCATCTTCCACATCGCCGTTCCCTTGTCTCTGTCCGCCTCTCCCGACCACCACTTTGCCGCGTTTCCTGCTGTATCTGATCAGCAATTTCCCTTTGATCTTGTAACTCCTGTCCCTCAGCTACTGTCATGCTCCCAGAAAGTCGTAGACGTGTTTTTTTCGCCCTGCGCCGCCGGCTAAGTGTTGCATTTGCCTCCCGAAGCTCGCTGACCTCTGCCTTCAATAAGGCCATCTGGTGCATTATTCCTCGCGCCCCCTTCGCAAATTGATCCATGGCAGCTAAAATAGATGTCGGAGAGCTTCCCTGATGACGGCTGATTCGAGTTTTAATAAAATCAGTTTGTGAAGTAGCTTCAATCGGGTTGTTTGGGGTCTTTGGAACCCAGAGGTTGGGCAGCTCGAGATCCCCCTCTGCAGGCGATGGAGTCCGCAACTTTACATCCAAGCGAGAAAGCACACTTTCTGGATCATAGGGAACAAGTCCTGTACCTCGAAAACCTCCCTGGATGTTTTTTTTCCGATATTGCGCTTTGGAATGCAGCTTGAAATGCAGGAAAGAAGTCAACTTTGGTAATATGGGTGATTCGGGTCTTCATCATATCCTCGATTTGCCGACCGTAGGCCTGCTTAAGCGGCCCAAAGCAACCAACATCAAGTGGCTGGAGGATGTGAGATGAATGCGGTGGCATACAGAGAGTAATAATCTTATTCTCCTTGCAGAACAGTTCGAATTCGGTCGAATGATGGCTCTCATGCCCATCTAACACAAGAAGGCGATAAGAGCTAGAGGAACGCGCCTTTGAATGCTTGTCAAAGTGCTGGATCCATTCTAGGCCTCTCTCGTTTGTTGTCCAGCCGTTATCCGCGGTTGTGATAACCCAGTCTTGTGGTAGAGTTCTTTCATCATACCAGGCTGCAAGGTGATATTGACCTGCAACAATGATGAACGGCGGGATCGCCCACCCTTGGGAATTAACACCCTGGATTACAGTAACACATTCCCTATTTCCTGGCTGGGCCATTCTCGGCCTTCCACGTCGTTCAGCGCTCGTAACGACCATTCCAGTTGAGATAATGCCCATCATAAACCCAGTCTCATCAAAATTGTAGATATCTGACTCCACGATACCATATTTCGCCATTGTATTCCGCACAAGCTGAAACCAGCCCCAAATGATATTGGGATCTTCGCATTGGGCCCTCTGATAGTCATGTTTACGCGTAAAACGCGTCTTGAGCTCTGGTTGTCGCTTGACGAAGTTTGAAGCCCAGCGCGCGCCAACTGGAGGCGCGTCGCGGTCAGCGAGCAGTCGATTAGCCATATCTTCCACATCGCAAAGCCGGGGAGGAAATGATCGCGCATCTAGGTCGAGGATATGTTGAATAATCGTTGATTCCTCTGAATCTGTGAGCTTTCGCAAATTGGGCATACTGTCGCGTCGAGAAGTCCGACCGTGTCGTCGGTGAGCGAGGGTGCTGTGGTTGACTGAGTAGATCTTTGCAGCAGCTCGGATACTTAGTGCTGTATCTTTTTCCATAGCTTGGAGGGCTAGGATTAACTGATTTTCATCGCTTTTCCTGCGCATTGCTGGTGGTAGAGAAATTCACAATTAGAGGTAAAATGTTGTAGGAGTATGGTTGAGTGTGGCGTTCGTTTGTCTGTCGCGCTCGTTATACATGTACGTTAATAGCAATAACTCTATTTTTTTTTAAAATTAACTCTATTGCTATTATTTAAAAAGAGATTATATTTAAAAATTGCTAAGGTAATTTATTAATTTATATTTAACTATCAATAATACTCTAACTAATTTCAGATTCCAGGACAGTAATTATTCTAGCCTTAACTTCTATAATTTAAATTCTTTCTCATTCTAGTTAGCTTCCCCCACCCCCCCTATATTGGTACTATACCTTAAGTATAGTTAACGGTGCCCCCCGGTACTTGGCCTATCCAGAGCATAGGTTTCAAACTGGTTCTCCGAGTCCGAGCTTCTGATAGGTTGTCTCTTTTCGTTTTTGATGATGCGAGAAGGATGAAAAACGTTGAAAGCGATGGAAACAACAAGCATCAAAGTCGCGTCGAACAAGTAGATAAAGACTTCCTTGGACATAAGCACTCCGTCCTCGCCCATGACGTACTCGATAACTCGAAAGAGTGACCGGATCATGATTAGTCCACTTGTCCCATACAGCACCACGAGAAGCTTGTTCCATGGGGACACCATCTTCAGGCTTGCATTTGTAGGCTCGCGGTAGATGCGACGATGGAAGATAATGGTGACTACCATGAAAAGTCCAAAGAAGATGATTTGAATCGCAAGACCAATAATAATGATCATCTGCCCTCTGTCTCGGGACGCTTTGCTGTCGGCACCTGCGAGCATACCACCACCTTAAAACAAGTTAGACTTCTGCTCCACTAGCTCAATGCTTTACACCAGATTGATTGATATTCTCACTTACCCATTCCCTGGCCAAGGATTGAAGCGACATCGCCAAGTAGGAAAAACTTTGTTAACCACTTTGTCCTGATGATGGAATAATGTTCCGCTCCCAAAAGTCTCATGAGCCGTCCAAGAATCATGTAAATGGATACAGCGTAGAATGGAGGTCCGAGAAGCAGCAGGAGAGCCTGGATGATATACGGACCCTGGGTCCATTCCCCGGAGGGTTCAGTTGCGTTGACTGCTCTTGCGCCATATCCAATTATTTCAACTGTACGCCATATTTTGTTAGTTGCATGCTTGTACCTGTGGTTTTAAACAGGATGGGCAATGGAAGATGACTTACCAACACAACCGATGAAGAACGGAATGAAGTAGTATGACTTCAACTTGAAGATTTGAAAGGCATGGTATAATCCCGAGATCGTGAAGCCTACTACGAAAATAACCGCAGCTGCAACCGATGGGTCGTACTTGTAGTGGTCGTTCTTTTCTGCCATTTTCGTCGGGGCTGGGTGTATTCCACGAAGATTGGGTCAGTTTGAATTGAAAGAGTAGGTTGGTCAAGCGAGGTATGAGTTTCTCTAATTTGGTTATTCCGTTAATCGAGAGCGGGGATAGTGAAGATTAAATAGTTATCTGTTGGCTCTTAGGTAGCCGCCCAATTGGTTAAAGTGAACCCGAAAACGAGCATCACAAGTCTAACCCCCCTAAATGGGCAATGCTTGGGGCAATGCACTAGCCGATTCACCAAGGCTCTGGGGGCCAGTTAGATAGTGATCCTTACTCAGCAAATAAGCTTATATGCTTATGCGCACTCAAGTCACAAATTGCACCCATGTCTTGTCTACCGGTGTTAGCCTGCTCGTATCCCTCGCTCTATGATTGGCTGAATGGAATCTCGATATGCTGTGCATCTGCTTCACCTTTTAAGGTTGGACCCAAACACATTACGCAATGTTGATGAGGCTCAGACAATGGCCACTGTGTCGCGCTAAGTTCCATGAGGCGAAGGGGGTTTTATTGGATTGTGGAGTGGGAAAGACATTACCTTTCGTGTCTCATTTGTCTCTGGTTTCGTCATTAACCTTGGTACTTTGAGGGAGCTGGTAGCGGGTAGTGTCCAGGGTAGCCTTATTTTTATTCATGGTTTATTTTCTCTTTTACTTCTCAAAGGCCGTCAGCTAAATGGTCATGGAGGTGTAGTCAATGAATTTCCTTCAAGGAGCACGGAATACTCAGAATCAGAATGATTAAGTCCCTAGATGCAATAAAAATAATTACAACCTGCAATTTATTGTTGAAGCCCAGTGGCTCCTTCCAATCCAAAAACAATCGCCAGAGTACTCTTATTAGATCATACCCATACCAAAACCTTTAAAATCTTTCAATAATTGAAGTGGTATGATGCGCACTCCAACCAAAAGGGGACATTAAAAATCGACCCCGATGATTTAAGTTTTGACACTGAACTGCGCTTCGATAGCGTCTCGGTAGTGATACACAAGAGGTGACGATTATATGGGAATCTCCGAGATAAGGCATTCCGCCAAGAAAATGTCGCCCTGTCAGAGAGGCTGTGCAAGCAGCTAGCAGATTCTAATTATGGAGTACGTCATAAAGTTAATTACGAGCTCGTTCTTGCATTGAGGCATGATTGGCTAAAACAGCGCTGGATGCTTGGCGCACAGTCCGGTCAGATCAAACCCCGATTTTGCCCAATAAGCGCATGTGGTAGAGAGATTGAGAGAGCCTTGTTTTTCTGCAAAGGGAACCGTGGCGGTTTAGTACGCTGAAGCGGAGCCCCTATTGCGGGCCTGCTATAACCAATCATATCTTAGCTCCTTGTAACAGCAGAGCCAATCTCTCCACGCGCCCCATGCGTGACCGCGTCATGATTTATGGCTTGTCGTTGCGAACCAGAAGCCATCGATTCGAAAGGCTCTCCGTCAAGACGTATAAACGAAGCACGGCAGTTTTGAAGTACCGGAGCCCACAAATCCTCTCGTTTTCTCGTTGCTCGAACACGTTACATACGCCTTCGTCATACTCCCGACAACCCGAGATGAAGCGCCTCGGGTACACTAAGTCACGTAACGGCTGCTCGCGATGCAAGCAGAGACGGGTAAAAGTAAAGTCATCCTCCCCTCAGCCCGCCACTACCTCCGCCCCCCAAGCAACTCTCCTCTGATGCTCAGCTGCTGGCACAGTGCGATGAACACGCCCCATGCCGGGCATGCGTAACACATGGCGTGCGGTGTAGTCTTCAGTCAACCAGCTCGAAGCCCCGCCTAGATCCAACATCCCCACGATTGACTGAGAAGGCTAGAAAGCCACTTGTTAGAAGAGTAAAGGTGAGTAGTCTTGCCGACGGCCAGTTCTGCCTTGTACTAATTGCTTCTCGCCTCAGCGGCAGACTGCGTCAGCTTCAGCTTCACGAACAGCATATCCAACACAAACACCATCTGGCACACACCGTGTGCCCTCTCTTCTTTCCACTCAAGTCGAATCGTCTCTTGGGCAGACCCTGAGACAAAGATCCGCAGCGTCAGCGCCGCGCCCGTTTACTTACTTCTCAAAGTTTTTATGTGACATGAACTCGGGTGCCCGCACTGGCTGGATCTTAGACCTCGAGCTTATGCATCACTACACTCGCGTCGCACATTGCACAATCTTCTCGTCTTGCCCCCACGTGTACAAAGTGCTTCAGCATGATGTAACACGAGAGGCTTTCTCCTTCCCATTTCTTCTTCAACAATTGCTCGCATTCTCAGGCTTTCACATGGCATTCCTGCACCCGGATCGCCGTGATCACTACATATTTCAGGCTTCACAGCACCAGAGTTTGGCAATCGCTGGCATGAGTTCGATCCTCACGGCAGATTTGATTCCAAGCAACTGTCATGCTCTGTATGCAAGCTCTGTGTTTGTCATCATCAGCGCTTTCGGCACGTACCCAAGCTGCGACAAATATAACGACTCCTTTCAGCCAATCGACAGCTTAGTCGATATTTTTATCCTCATCCGCGGTATGAGTATGATTATCCATTCTTCAGATCTCCAACTTAGGAACGGGCCTTTGAAGGGGCTTTTTGGTTCGTGCTTGAGTCCCGAGGTGGGCTTGGTGAATCACCTTCAACCAATAGCCGACCAACTGCACAAAGTCAGGTTATACCTAACAGAGCAAAACCACAGTCTCAATGACAATGAAAGAGACGCCTTGCTAGAAGCTGTCACTTCATTCACTGGTCTCATCACTGAGGTTACCAGCAGCCATAAGATGGCCGCAACGCCCGAGCTGAGGGTCATTTTTGCTTGGCCCATGAGAATCTCAACTACCTACCTCGACCTAATGCGGTGTTACCATCCCTTAGCACTTGTCGTTCTTTCATATTACTGTGTTCTGTTGCACTCAAGGGAAGCCAGCTATTGGTTCCTCGAAGGCTGGGCTAATGCATTAATTAAGCGCATTAAGAAGCAACTTGTCGATTCACCGTGGGTGGAATTGATCAGGGATGGACATCGAACGAACGGGAATCGAATCGATAGATTCATTCGATGCCAAGTCTTACGAATGTCGAATCGAATTTCTTGGCATTCGATTCGATGTCGAATCTGCGGCGTGCCCATTCGATTCGCATCGAATCGAATGTGACATGTCCTGTTCGATGTTCGAATACATCGATTCGAATGTGGGGCATCCTATTCGACATTCGAACCGTACAGGTCACCATATGATTCGACATCGAATCGATCGCCCCCACCCGTTCGATCGAAAATCGATCGATTCGGTCGAACAGAGAGACGCGATGTGCGAATCATGACCAAGGGGTGGATTCAGCGCGATTCGCAGACGCGTTAAGAGGCCCCTGGCACTCTCCTCGACGCGAGAAGTGCAACGCGATCAACACTGACAACAATTCATCTTAATGCTAAGATGTGTTAGCAAGTACATAACATGACCCTAAAAGCCCATAGCATACTAGGTACCCTGCAACTACAGCAATCATCCCTGTCACGACCCTGTCTAACCGCCCCCCAGCCCGGAACGGATTAACGCGCCGGCCACCGCGAATTGCCAACAGGTTTACCAGTTGGGAATGACTCCCATGGTCACAATCCCGACAAACAACCCACCAGCAGGTGCTTTACAGGAATGTAACGGACAACCCAATTTAATCTTGCAATAAAACACTGAGTCGGTTTCTATGAGGAATATATATTTGTCGCGTGGGGGGTTGAAGTATGAGTTATTGTTGCTGTAAAATACAACCTCCCAAGTTAGGAGGTACCAAGGTCGTCATATAAAGTAGGTGGGGCTTACAGTAGTTTTTAACGCAGGAGTATAGGGTATGTTTGTCCCAGTAACAGGCCGCTATACAGAGAGGGGGATCACCAAAAACACGCCGCTTTTTCTGCAGAATAATAGGAAGGAAGCAAAAAGAAAAGAAAAGGAAACCAAAAAAAAACTGTCTCCGTATTTCTCTCTACTAAAAAGTTTTTACTGATGCCAGCTTTGGCATGATCAGATGAATATGTCCGGCTCGAAGTTTTCACGCATTGGCGAGTATGGGATTCATGATCTTCCTGCCCCCCTCTTTAACTTTTTGGTTGTCTCGGGGACCTGCGCCTAAAGCCAGCTTTGCCTGTGAACCGATGTACCAGCGACTTCACAGGTGCATCCACTTAGAGCCTCAACTTCAAGTCCCCACCGTTCCGCCCCCTCACGTGAACGGTTTACGAAAATCTCAAGAATCCATTCTGAGTTGACGCCAGATTGGAATGAGCACAAATGCAAAGCCGGTATGGGGACTTGGCTGAGGAACGGGATGGCTTTTTTTCAAGGTTGGCCCGTAGTGATGCGTCTGTGCTTGTGGCATGAGCCAATAGGAGCCTCTGACGCAAGTGGAACAGGGAATATATGGAATCTTACCCCGCCGTCTGTGGACCTAATCAACGAGACCCCGATTTGGCTGGTTGCCAAGTACTGAGAGCTTGGTGGAGCGGCACTTGGGAGAATCTCCGTACACCAATGGTCGGAACAAAGTTTGGCTTCTTACATACAATGGCGGCTTCACGCGCGACTCTCTCGCCTTGGGCGCGCCAGGTCGTCGTTCGCGCTGCTCGCGAATGCATCATTAATCGCACAAGACTTTGCATGTTTAGCGGCAGTGGAGATGTCGCGAATTTCGCGTTGACGACAAAATGGGCGTGATATACGCGTGTTATTGGCCTCAATGCCTGTCCAGTCAGTGATGGATGGATGGATTTAAGTTGAGCCTCAGTGCAGTCTCAATGGCTTCCAACAACCTCGACCCACGCGACCCATCTGTCCGACTAGCTAAACTAACTGCATCATGATGTCCTCCGAACCATTCTCTTTGAGCCCTTCGTCCTGGAATCAACCAGGTGTGATGGAGCGCGATGAATTCTCTTCTTCGCCAGCCGCCCCGTCTCCAGGAACCTCGTTACCAACGACGCCATCGCTCCGTCCTCGCGGGACTGCCGCCGATTTTATTCAGGTCGATTGGACACTCTGGGGCCGCCAAGAGTGGGCCAAATGGCCCGGATTCGAGCGTTATACTGGCGGCCAAGACACGAGGGCATGGTGGCAACAATATGGGTATCGCGTTAAGGACCGTTCCACCTCGCGGCAGGGAAATAAGCTGAAGTGGATCTGCGCCGACTGCTTTGCCCGAGGTTTCAAGAAGAAGTCGGACTTCTGTTTCGTCTGCTCGACAGGAGTCGCCATCAGGAAACACCTACTCAAAGCCCACGGGATTCTTGTAAGTGTGTGCCTCTCATCTACGGTTTGATAACGTGCTGATTTGGCAGGCCCCGAACAAAGTTGCCAGCCCCGTGGGGGGCTCATTTCTAAATGACAGGACCATCACCGACTTCATCGATGCCGACTTCAATAATCCCCACGACCAGTTTCTTCTCAGCAAGCTGCGTGGAAGATTCAGCAGCAAAGGCCTCCGAGTACTCCTCCTCGACTGGATTACCTACCATAACCTGCCGTTCAACATTGTCAATACCGAGCGGTTCCAGCGGATCCTTCTCTACGGCAATCCCCTCCTTGATGTGACCCACATTCCCTCTGCGAAGACGCTGCTTCGCATGCTCGAATCCGAGTATAGGGGTGCCGTTGGGCCGGTAACCGAAGTATTGCGCAGCGCTCGATCCCAGATTCATTTCTCCTTCGACGGTTGGACATCCAAGTCGTACACTTCGTTTCTTGGGATCAACGCTCAATTCATTGATAACCACTTTGTCCAACACCGAATCCTCCTTGGGCTTCGACCTCTCTCGGGCAGACACAACGGTGCTTCACTTGCCGATGAGGTCGCTGATACGCTCGCATTCTGGCAAATCAACGACCCGGACAAGGTTGGCTACTTCACGCTGGACAATGCTGCCAACAATGACACCTGCATGGACGATCTTGCCTTTGAACACGGCTTCTCAGCTGAAGAGCGACGGATCCGCTGCGCTGCGCATATCTTCAACCTTTGCGTGCGGGCAATGCTATACGGTTCGAAGCGAGAGAACTTCGCGGCAATCATCGCTGCCGATGGTGACGATCAAGATGACGATGAGGAGCTAGTTGATCAAGCTATCGACGAGGCCCTGGATGTAGAAATGGAAGACGGCACGGATGAAGACTTTGAAGCGAACACTGCCGTTGGTATCCCAGAAGAGGACTTCCTATCATCCCACCCAGCCCCGGAGGAGATCAATGGAGCCACTTTCAGGGAGTACAGCCAGAACGGCGCCCCAGGAATGCTTCACAACATCGGGATTCAGCTGCGAGCGACTACACAGCTGTACGAGCAGTTTCTTCAGTCTCAGCGCAAGGAATCCGGCCATGAATCAACACTTCACTGGGTCTTCAACAATGCCACCAGATGGAACTCGGATATGCGGATGATGGAGAGGGCCCTTCGTCTCCGCCCGGCTCTCAATACGTTCTTCAATGACGTTCAGAACCGTTGGGAAACTGAGGGTCTTTGTGACAAACCGAAACCGGCAGTTCTGCAATACCGCTTAAGTGCGTACGACTGGAAGGTTATCGAGGTGCTTGTCAAGCTTCTGAAGCCTTTTGAAATCGCCACCAAGCAACTTCAGGGCGACGGTATTCCCGACGCGAGGTCGACTTGCGGTAGTTTCGATGAATACTTCCCTGTCTTCGAGATCCTACTTGACCACCTCGAAGGAGCTATCGAAGGCACAATCTTTGAAGAAGTTGAGGATCCAGTGAGCAAGGAGAAGAAGGACGTCGAAGTCGCCATCTACGACGGGCTCGATAGCAGAACCCGTAGATTGCTCAAGGTCTTTATCAAGCTCGGATGGAAGAAGCTGCACAAGTACTACAACTGTCTGACTAGCGCAGCTTATGTCGGCGCTGTTGTCTTCAACCCGGCGAAGAAGTGGCGCCTTCTCGATCAACTGTGGTCTCGAGTGCCTTCTCGTAAGGCCAAGGGTTGGCGATTAGAGTACGAATCCCAGCTCTTGGAGATCTGGGAGAGTTACAGGGAACGCGAAGTTGACTACGAAGTCTTCGCTACATCTGACGAGGCCTCAATGGATTACATTGAGCGGAGACTTGCCAGGAGTGTAGCTGGGTCGCCATGCGCCCAGGGTTCGTCCTTGGCAGTGTCCAGTGCCCGCAAGAGCACCCGAAAGACGAAACACACGACAGCAGGAGCGACTGCTGATGACGAATATGCTCGGTACTGTGCTGAGGATGTTGTCAACAGTCACCACTACAGAAGCAGGCCGATTGACTGGTGGAAAATCAACAGGAATCGGTACCCGCGACTGTCTCTGATGGCGGTTGATATGCTCACCATCCCATCGTCGTCTGCGGAGAGCGAGAGGACATTTAGCAGTGCAGGACGTATGACGGCACCGTTGAGAAGTCGGCTGAGGAGGGAGATAGTGGCGATGGCTCAGTGCATTCGATCATGGAGTAAAGCTGGGATCTACACGCCTTCACTGCCGCTGGTTAGCCTCAGTGATGATCAATGGGTTGACGCACTTGCGTCGCTGAGGGGGACGAGTGACATTTAATCTGCCTAGTACCTGCCTTTGCACAATTGACGATGTTCTGCGATGTCTTATCTGAAGCCGTGATACCTTCTAAACCCGCTCTGCACCTCTCACCACTCTTCTGTCGGGGTATGACGGCATGACGGCCTGGTGATGATGACGACGGTCCATTTGGTTCTAGGTCCTATTGGTGTTTCGGTCTCCGCCGGGATTAGTTCTACGTTCGATCGAGTTCGAATCGAATTCGATCGAATCTTGGCATTCGATAGATATCGAATCTACGGAAGACATGTTCGATTCGAGTCGAATCTACGGCACAAGAATTGTGGCGCGTTCGATTCGATACGAATCTGCGGGAGATGTGTTCGATTCGAGTCGAATCTACAGGACAAGAATTGTGGCACGTTCGATTCGATACGAATCTGTGGGAGATGCGTCCGATTCGATTCGAATCTACGGGGTCACATTCGATTCGAACGCCAAGGCTTGGCGTTCGATTCGATAGATTCGTAAGATGTCCATCCCTGCCTATGATCATTTCCATCCACTAGATGCAACAGAATTGCTCCGGCTCACGATGCCTCTCAATATGCGATTTTGCATCCTCGAGCCTCCCAAGTAGGAATTCGAACGCCTCCAGCACATCAGTCATAGAGCCAAAGGTTTCTCTAACTCCAGACGATCGATATCGCGACTGTCCGTCTCCCTGAAGTACTTGCACAACTACGTGGAAATCGGAGAGGATCTCATCAAACGTCCTCAGCACCGCCCAATCGCTCTCGTTGATGAAGCTCGACTCCTCGAGGCAGGGAGGAAACTTCTGTCTTCCCTCACCTTTCCCAGCGTCTCGGAATAGTCTCTTGGCTTTGGCGATGAATTCTTCGTAGAAGGGCTGCAATCGAAGCATTCGTTTTATCATGTAGTATTGGGATAACCATCTAGTATCGTTGTCAAGGACAACGTCAACTGGCCGTTGCTTTCCACCTTCAGGATCGCCAGAAGCTGTAAATGAGTCTTGTTGCAGCTGACGAAGCAACTGAGTCAGTAAGTCGGACCGATGGACCCAAACGACGAAGTTATGCGCTTTCCCAATAGGGCCCTTCCGCATCCAATCGTCATGGGTTGCTCTCGCCAAAGGCTCCCCCTTGACGAGAGATTTCTCAAACGCATCAACACCCTTTCCAAAGAGAAGGGATTTAACAACAAGGTTAAGGATGTGTCCTATGCATCGAACGCGTCGTTGAATCGGGTCGAACTTCAGCTCTTCTGCAATCTCTGACATTGCCGTTTCATTATTTGCTGCGTTATCGAGAGTGAAGTAACCGACCTTGTCCTCGATGCCAAACGACCTGATGATCTCGAGGATCTCGGCGGCAATGTTCTCGCCAGTATGTCGCTCTACCAGCTCCGGAATGCCGAGCACAACTTTTTGGAGCTGATTCTCGTGGTCTCTGAAGACAGCCGTCACGCCATATAACGCGTGACGATTCCTAGTCCTTGCGCCGTCAAAGGCAATGTGGATCTGACCCGGCGACCTCTTCAAGGCCTGTCGGACTGTGCTATGATATCGCTCGAATTGTTGCACCGCCAGTCTGTGCACAGTCTTCGCCGTAATGTGCGCACTCGTAACCTTGACCGCCGGATTGAGGTATTCGAAAATCTGTTGCAATCTAGGGTGTTCAACCTGCTTGAACGATTGCTGGCTTTCGACTATCCAGTTGACAATGAGCTTCTGGAACTCTCCTCGATCGAAGCGTTTGATCAAGCTATTGGCTAGCGCTTGATCCTTTGGATCAGAACGGTTGAGGCTCATGAAGTCCGAAATAGAAGCAAGCACCCTCTTGCCTCCTTTCTTCTCTGACGGTGTTGATCGTCGTCCTGATGGATCCCAGTAGCCGTGAGCTTTCCAGAGGTGGAGTTCAGCGTTTTGGGTGCCTTTGGATTCGTATGACTGCGGCGTGAGGGTCTTCTGGCGCACACATGGCATACAGATCCATCGTCGGGATGTTTTGGATTGAATCTCGACTCCGTAATTCCATACCCATGATAGGGTATCTTTGCTGCGCTCGGCCAGCGTGAATCCCTTCCAGACGCGGAAGATCCTCCGCTCCTCATCACTTGTTGGTGCCCAAGTAGAAGGCTGGCGGACTTGGGGTCTGGATCCAGAGCAGGCCGAGGGACCTCGGCATGCCCCTCGTTGTTGGTCGGTAGCTTAGGGTCAAAAGGGAAGTCCGCCATCTCGAGATTGAAGGTTCACCGACCGTATGAATCGAGTAAATGAGGAGACATTTTGGGCTCAGGCGTTATAACGCGTTACAATGCGTCAGAACGCGTCCGAGGTATTGCTTGATTAGATCCGTTAGTGGTTGCGCAGAGATACGTAGCAAATATTAACGAAATATATCAGGGCACCCATACCCATGACTAGCGTCCACGTCAATCCACATCTCAATCCACGAGCCCCCAACGGTGGATGGATTGATTACATAACAACAGGTCTCGTGGATTGACGTTGACGTGGATTGAAGTCAACATATTGATCAATACCGTGGAAGTCGTGGATTGATTCCCCACCCTGATGATCATCATCAGTTCGCAGAGTGTAATGTAATGGATATCCTATTCCTATAGACCACTACGCCTCGGAGCCTTGCAGAGTGTGACGCCCGACGAGAACGGATGTGGCCTGTCACGTTCTTTGCATTCTATGCTGGCTATGCCGTGTCGCGGGCTGGTCAGTTCGGGTGTACAGTAGCATCGAACTCGCCCGAACCACCGAGCGAACGCAAATGAGAGTCGGGCTTCTTTCAATCCTTCGCGGGGAGTGAGTACACTGCTACCAGCGTTGTTCCAGAAGAGCCTCCGCCAGGCTGGCGATCAATTCAATTCCATCAACTTCGCCTTCGCGTGGCGTTGCGTTGACAGCTTACTCAGCATTTGGCCCGTGGAGTTGATCCACCGCATCTCCAAATTGAATTGATGGCGTTGAATTGAAGTGGTTGAACCGCATACGCGTGTCGAGATCCCCAACTCGTACTGTGACCCCAGAGGTCCCAACAAGCAGTCAGTTATCAATCAGTACTGATTACTGATTGATACTGATACGTTATCAGTATCAGTAAGCCCCTAATCAATCAATCAGTAATCAGTAACGCACGTGACCAGGGTATCGTGCGACGCGTTTGGTGACATTTGACATGGTGCTAAGATATGTTAGCAGGTACATCCAGATCCTGCGATTAGTTATGGAAAATCAGGTACCACAGAAACACAACCCATCGCCCGGGTCAGAGCCCAGAATTACGTAAATTTACCTTCTACATATTCAACGGCAACCCAATTTTTTTTGGGCTTTGAATCGATATCTGGCTGGGTTCCAAACCGAATATTCGTGACATGAGGGACGGTGAAGCGCCTGTTATCTTTCCAGAGAAATCAGACCAGGGAGTTAATAGGTACCAACCCCGCCATAACAAATAGGTGACATAGGCGTTTGTTTGTTTGTATATTTTTCGTCCGAGGGCCGTGAGGCCCGAAAAGTCCCCTATTGGGGCACAGGACGTGCTGAGCTAGAGTCTCTAATGCTAAAATCTACGCAATTCTTTCGTACAATACAGAAAAGACCACTATCCAGCATATCATCGGCTCAGAGGCGCATTTCTGTCGAGCCTGTTATCCGTCAGCGGAATGGCCAGGCGCGGCTGCGGTAGCCGCTACATGGGTCAGTCTTTAGGGAGACTGGCGAGAGAGCATTGGCATGACTGCACGAGGCGGTCAAGCCCGTATAATTAAAGAAAAGGAATAAAAGAGAAGATAGGAGAGAAGAGAGAATACAATAAAAGGAGAGGAAGAGACGCGGGTGCGTCTCAGGTCTGCCTCGTCTAGTAACGAGGACAAATCTTTTCAAAGAAGCTGCTTGATTTGGCCACCTTGGTGTACTTGTCGAAATTTCTTCCTATCGCGAGGTTGACTGTTACGGTCGGCGATGGGACAAGCCTCATTCGACACCGTCGCGGTACCTTTCTGCAGTAGAAGATATGATCAGGTGCTTTGCGTCGCCCGCACGAGCAGGTCATTCGCGCGTCTTGGTGGTTGAACCGTTCGTGGTATGCAGCGAAATCCCCATGGAGGGACCTTGCTGCGAGTAAATGGTGCAGAGCAGCCCGAAGGAGCAAGAGCTCCGGCGGGCAGCGTGTAGTTGCCTTGAGATTGAATCTCTTATATTGCTCGGGGGCGGAGGTTGCCCACCATGCTTCAAAGGCTTCCTTCAGTTTCTGCCTCGCCATCTTTCGTAGATATGCCAGCGTCGGCTGAGCACCCTCTGGCTCCGGCAGCGAGAAAGCCGCTTTTGCCAGCTTATCCGCTTGTTCGTTGCCGGGGATGTCTGTGTGGCCAGGTATCTAGCGCACTTGTGTGGCACCATGAGATATAGCCAGCGCCTGGAACTTGAGGAAGACGTTATGTGAGGAATCGGACGGTGTGCCCCGTAGGCATGTTGCGGCTGCCAGGTTGTCTAGGCAGACCATAATGTTTCGTGTCGCTGATCCTGGGAGGTTCAGAGCGGCCTTGAGGCCCTCCAGTGCTCCTGTAGCTTCAGCATCAAACACCTCGGCAGGTCCAAGACGGCCCGAGCCGTCGTAGATGGAAAGGTCCTTCTGGTGAATGGCAAACCCATAGCTGGCTGCTCCTTCCGAGGACAAGGAGCCGTCTGAGTATACGATCAGAGTGGTTGGGCCTACTGTCTCAGCCCACCGGAGGAAGGCCTCGGCCGATTCCTCTTTTGCTGCCGTCTGTAGGGGTGTGTCCTGTTCCTTGTCGAAGCGTTTTTGCATGAGAGCCGGGCGTGGACAGGGTGCGAGGAGCTCATTAGTCCGTCGGAGACGGGTCTTGAAGCTGCTCTCTGATAGAGTTTGGTACTTCTGCTTGATAAGCGGGTGGTAGGTGGGTTGTCTGGGTGGAAGCGTGCGCTTCGCGAGGGGATGTGCCTCATCAAGGGATTTGAGTCGGGTGGAGAAGCGGTATCGACATGCTTCGAGAAGTTGGGCGATAGGAGGTATCCCACTTTCCCGATGGAGGATGGCGATGGGGGTCGTCCTCCAGACGGGGAGTATGGCTCGCATGGAATGTACGATGGCGTCGGTCATTCTCCGCAGGAGATGCCGGATACCTGATAGTCGGTCTTTGAACGGCTGGTTCCACCGCGGCTGGGTTGCGCCTGGGTACCATACTTCAGTGCCGTAGAGCAGAACCGGTTCAACGCATGCTCTGACGGCGCTTCGCACGGCACTAGGTAGTGGGCCGTGTATCGTGTTGGTGAGTCCTCGTAGATGGTAGGCCACAGCCTGGGCTTTAGCCGTCTATTTCTCTACGTGGACTCGGAACGACAGGTTGCTGTCCAGCCAGATGCCTAGCCAGCGTATTGCTGCCTCGGGGTGTTTTTCGACATCGCCGTGGCGTATGGACGGTGTGGTCTCGAGTTTGCTCCGGGAGAAGTGCATGACTTCCGTCTTCTTAGGGTCGAAAGATATTCCGTTCGCCGCGCCCCAGCGGACCATTTCTTCGACAGATCTTAACGCTGCAGCCGCTGTTTCCTCTACCGTGTCGCCCGTGCACAGGATTGCTGTGTCGTCTGCGTAGCCGAACCGGCCTTGAGGGTTGCTTAGTCTGTAGATGGGCTCCGTATATAGCAAAAATAGGATTGGCGATACCGGCGACCCCTGAGGGAGGCCGCATTGGAGAGGAGAGAGCGGAGTGGTAGTATCCTGGTATCTGACGCAGGCAGATCGGTCGTCCATAAACAAACCGGCCCATCGTGCAAGATGTTCCGGCCAGCCTTGTTCGCGGAGTCGCAGAATTAGTCTGTTGCGCAAGACAGTGTCGAAAGCGCCTTGGATGTCCATCGTGACCAGCGTGGCCACCTTCTTGAGGGCAAATACTTCTTCAATGTCGTGGACTAGGGCGGCCACAAGGTCTGTCGCAGACCTCTTCGGGAGCGCCCCGGCTTGTTGTGGGTGGAGGACTCCATAGTGGATACATGCCCACGCAAGACGGCGCGCGACCAACCGTTCTAGCCCCTTGCCGAGGCAAGAGAGCAGAAAGATAGGCCGCCATGCCCGCGGCTCTGTCAGGTCTCTACGTCCAGATTTGGCGATCATCACCACCTCGGCCGCTCTGAAAGGCTTCGGGTGGTGGCCTATGGCCAGATACCCCTCGAAGAGGCGGCGAACGTGTGTTCCGATGATGTGCTATACTGCCGTGAGAAGTTTGACTGTGATGTTGTCGGCTCCTGGAGATGTATTTCCAGTCCGAAGAGTCGCGTCCTGCGCTTCCTTAAGGGAGATTTCCTGTGGGAAAGGGATCATTCTGTGAGGATTGACCTGGATCCAGGGATCCTGGATGTTATCCTCCGCCGTTCTGCGCTCTAGAGTAGCTCGTCGGAGCGCGTTAGCCTTGTCCAGCTGGGTTTCGTAGACCACGTCGTCCACTTGCAGTGGAGGAGGTTGGAAGGCTCCTGGCGATCTCAGCCATCGGACGGCCTTAAAAACGGAGCTGCTGTCTGAGAAGCTGTTGATCAGGTTCCGCCAGTAGAGCCTCTTGGCTCGGCGGACCACGCGGCGGAACTCCCGTTTGGCTAGCTGGACCTCTTGGTTGAATCCAAGGGGGTACAGTCGTCTGATCGCGCGATATCCGGCTGCGGCAAGGGCGCACTCCTCAGTCCACCATGGGGCGTTGCGTGCTCCCTTCCTCGCAGGTCGGCCTGCCGCCTTCGCTGCTGACTGCAGCAGGTTCACAAGTGTGGATGCAAGCTCATCTAGTTCTGGTGCACTCGAGGCAGTGGCAGGGATCCCAGCCGATCCAAGTTCTACAATTTCTACAAACCGCTTGAGTTCGTCGTCTGTTGTCACCCGGATCTTGCCTGGCTGTATTGGTGCTGGCGCGATGTTTGGTAGCGTTGTGCTAAGAGTGAAGTGATCCGAGCTAGTTGTTAAACGATATTCCGCCCCAGCCGAGGAGGCGTCCCGACCCACATGGGCACCGTTGTTGTGTATATAACTGGGACCTTCGTCCTCTTGACTTGGGCAGTGATTAAGGCCAATTTGACTCTCTACAACCCTCACATGCATGACATCTTCCCATTTATATGTGACACTGGTGGCGAGGTGGTCCTCGATGTTGGCTTCCGCGAGAGGTACATTCGTAAAGGTGAGGTCGATAGTATTTCCGTGTGGGTTTGTGGGGACGTCTAAGGTGTTCAGTAGGCTGAGGTCGTTTTCGGATGCCCAATGGGCAATCTCGTGGCCGCGGTTCGTGGTCGGGCCTGTCTGCCAAGTGTGATGTCGAGCATTGAAGTCGCCTGCCACAAGGCAGCGATCGGGGATCGGCCATTGCAGCAGAGTGTCCAGCGCATCTCTTTCGTCGTTCTGGCGATAGAAGTTGACGATTATTGTATCGTTGACCGTAAGCCACAGAATATCACGGCTTATGTAGGGTCGGTTTTGGTCTGCTACGAGTTGGGAATCTCGGCGGATATATGTCATGACCCTGGGTCGGGTGCTGTTGTTGTTCCAGGCTTCAACTGGAGAGTATGTGTTATATGCAGGGTGAGTCTTCGTGAGGCAACGGGAGTTTGCTATCGTTGTCCATGGTTCTTGGAGGAGAACGATATCGTATCGTTCCGAGTCTGCCAGTGCGAGGGCACAGTCGTGGACTGGCGGGACCTTGCCGACGTTGGCTTGAAAGACTCGGAGAGTCTTTCTGTCACGTCTTCGTGTCCGTGGGCGTCTACTCGTCCCCTTGGTCGTGGGTGCGCGTGATCAACACGATGCGGCGCTTCCTTGGAGAGCCAGGTCTTGGGTGCTCGGGTTCCTCCTCCGCCTCCGGGGTTGTGGCCACCATTATGCATGAGGGCGCTCTCGACGCGGCCGGGCTGGGGGCCCGTGGGCTCGATCGTTCTTGCGACCCGGTGCTGTCTTGCTGAGGGCCGTTTTGCTGTATGTCTTGCTGTAGGTCAGGTGCGTGCTGTTGCGATCCTGCGTTGCGCTGGCGATATGTTTCCGCGCCTACAGCTCGGACATGGTCCCTTTGTACTTTGGTCAACCGGCGGAACACGCCGTGTACCTTCTTCGGGCGGGCTGGGCATTCGGCGAAGTTGGCGCTGTGCGGGCCGAGGCAGTTGGCGCATTGCTCGGGGGCGGTACAGTCCCCGGACTCGTGGCCGTCGGCTTTGCCGCAGCGTTTGCACAGGGGGAGCCGATGGCAGGTACGTGACGGGTGGTAGTCCAAGCATATATTGCACTGCCTTGGCCGGTCGGTCTTCTTGATGCGCCTTGCTGGTCGGCTGTTGAAGAGGCGCCCAATGTTTATTGACGGGTTCAAGAAAAGACACAAGCAGAGATTTTGTCAGGGGGCTGTCCGATTGTTGCCGTGCGGGGCGTATGTTGACAGGCTTTAGACCAGTCTGAATTTCAATTTCTTCATTCATGGCAGCATCGCTGTCGACCTCATTACCGTAGAGGTCGACCAGCTTGCAGGGGTAGTCTGGGACTAGGTAGGTAAACCACTCCTGCCGGGTCTCTATGGCAGTGGCACCCAGATCGGCTGCCCATTCGGTCTGTCTCTGTACGAGGAGGTCGCGGGTGGTTATGTCGGCGGCAAGTACGGCCCATCCGGACCTGACTTGGAGCACCCGGGGGATCTTGCGTGGGTCCACTCCGAGTTTCCGGGATATATGGGACCGGATTGCGTAGTCGTTGTGGGTCCTGGCCGGAGCTTCCGCGTCCAGCCGGATGAAGACGCGGAGGTCCTCTCGGGGTGGGGCACCTGCGGTCGGTTGTCCCTGGCGATGAGGGGGTTGTTGTTGTTGGCGATGTTATTGATAGTGTCGGGGTTGGTGGGCGAGGGCATTGTTTGCGGCCGGGGGCGAGGCCGCGACCGTGCTATATGTCGGTACCGGAACAGATTTAGCGTCGTTAAGTGCTTGATTCCAGGCGTCTAAGAAGCTGTCGGCAAACTTTTGAGCGAATTCCCGTTCGGGTCCAGTGGTGAATTGTTTTGCTGCTTCTTCAAATTTAGCGCAGAAGGCCTGAAACACCTTCAACTTGGCATTGTACTCCTCCACACGGTCGCGCGCGAGCTTAGTGGCTGCTTCAAAAATAGAGACTGGTTGCTGTTCATTAGTCGGGGTAGGGTCAGGGGAGGGTTCAGGGTGGGCGAGCTGGGCTCCTTCCGTGGCCGCAGCAGTAGAGATGGCATTAAGTGGTGAAGACGGCGTTTGGGCCGTCCTCCCGAAGGCGGGCGGGACACCAACAGGTCCATTCACGACAGCGGGGCTGTTTTGCAGGAGGGCAGTGCGGGCTCTTCGATTGAGATTGGCGGGGGTATGAATTCCCAGGTCGAAAGGATCTGAGACATCAGGCGGGCGGGTGGTGGCAGATGCCATCGCCGCCGCTATGGGCTGCGCGAAGCGCAGGTTTGTGGCTGTTGTGGTGCACTTGTTAAGAAAATTGGTGTAATTGGGGCTACTTTCTTAACATCTGCATGCCAAGAAAGTAAGATGACAAAGGAAGGTGGTGGGATATGTGTATGTATGTATGTATGTGTATTTTTCGTCCGACGGGCCATGAGGCCCGTGAAAGTCCCCTATTGGGGCACAGGACGTGCTGGGCTAAACTATCTACAAATGCTGCCGCACTGGGTCCCACTCATACTATCTGCAAGGCCTCTTGGATCGGAGCCGCATACGTGCTCAGTACCTCCAAAAAGGCACTTTTCTACTTATAGCCTGCTCTATAGTAGTTTGCGCTAAAGCACGTCCCGTAGGACATCAATACAGGTAATCCAAGATAGGTTCCCATGCAACAGCCACTCCATCTAGCTCATCCAGCATATTATCGGCTTAAAGGCGCATTCTTTCAAGAGGGCATCCCGTCAGCGGGAACAGATCCCTCTCCAGCCGAGAATTCTCTTGCACAGATAGATCAAGTAGCTTTCCACACCCTAGAGCAGGAAGTCCATGTCCTCTAAGATCGCCAGTAGCTGCGACCAAAGCTGTGCATCCTCGGGGAAAACCCTCGCGGGAGAAAACCCCAAGGCGGCCAGAACGCTGTTTTGTGGAGGAGACAATCGCCTCGTTCCACGGTCTCCAGGTAGGCTCTGTACCATTTTGACCCAGCGGTTTGTGTCTGGTGGCCTCACTCAGTGAGACAAATCGTCGGGGCCCGGTTGTATTCCAGGCAGCAGCCGAAGCTGCAGAAGAAAGAGGTTCTCTGGGCAGTGCGGAACTGCAGAGGTCGGTCATGTAGCTTCAAGCTACAAAAGGCAGGGAGGCATTGAGGCCTCGTACAGAGAGGTCCCAAGAGGTCCCAAGAGGTCCCAAGAGGTCGAGCAGCTGGTGGCTGCTTGTGTTGTCTGGGCAGCCGAAGCTGCAGAGGTCGGTCAATGCAGTGTGACACTGCAAGTGAGGGCGGGGGCACGACGGCCCATAAAATCGAGCAGCCGAGGCTGCAGAAGGATGTCGTCGAGGCGCGATGGCTCGAAGAAGGTCGGGGGGCAACAAGGCCCGAAGTGTCAAGCAGCAGGATGCTGCGAGTTGTCGTCTGGGCAGCCAAAGCTGCAGAGGTCGGTCGGACGGGAAGTTGAGGGCGCGAAGCCCAGAATGTCGGGGGCTCGCGAAGCCAGGAAGTCAAGGCTCAAAGGAGCCGGAGGCAACACACATAAGAAAAGGGCCCGAAGGCATGTCAAGAGCTCGCGAAGCTCAGTGTCGTCGGGGCAGCGTGACGCTGCATAGGGAGTCGAGGGCGCGAAGCCCAGAATGTCGGGGGCTCGCGAGGCCAGAAAGTCGAGGCTCAAAAGAGCCGGAAGCACCACAGAGGAGAAAAACAAGGCGATGTCAAGAGCTCGCGAAGCTTATTAATTTCATAGGGGCAAGCATCGCAAAGAACGGTCAACTCTCTGAATCCCTTTCTTGCGGCAGCTGTTAGAGTCCCGTTAGCTCCACAGCTGCACTTGCCGCCATTTTTGGCCTGCAGAAAATTTTCCGCTAGCAAAACGCTAACAGCGGGTGCCAAGGCAAAAATTTTTACAGGAGAGAGTTGTGGTGGGATATGTGGTAGCCCTTATCCTCTTCATATAGGGTAGGTTGGCGAGCGTAACAAGGCAGTCGAGTTCCCAGTCAACGCGTTGGCCTCTAACGGAGACACACGTTCATACAAGTTAAATGTATGATGGATGACTTTCTCATTTTTGGCTGCGAACTCCTGCTTGGTATCGATTTTATCTTGATTAGGGAGATATGTCCCAGTTGTCATGTCGTGGTCGAGAAAGCTATCCGCCCAACTCTGCACGCTAACCCCACCGTCACCAAAAATGGAGTGAGTAGCTCAGCCCAAGATACGCCGCTCGACAGTGCTACCAACTTCGCAGATTCCTCATGACTGCATATTGAGGCTCAACCTCGGAAGGTCCCACCGCTCAGCTTCCGTACGTACGTGATAAATGCGCTCAAGACTCAGTTCTCATCAGACGCCGAAATGGCGCGAGAAGTGCGCGAAGCTGACTTGGACAAGGGTGGGACTGTTTCCAGTGTTTGGCTCAATGGCCTTAACGCCTGGTCGATCTGTGAGGCGTCAGGGGTCCAACGCTATTTGAAGTAGATGGTCTCCTGCGCACAACTCCAAAGGTTTCATTAGGATGCACTAATAACACGTGAAGACACGCGTCAACATGCCTCCCGAGTCGTCTCTATTTGTAGGGGACGTTGAATACGACGAATTAAGCTCACCGGCGCCAGAATCAAGCATCTCCGCAGCCGAGCAACCCCGTTCACAACGGCCAATTTTCTCTGCGCCCTCTTCCTCCGCGTCATCCGCGTCTACGCATCAATCGCAGCCGAAGAAGCGTAAACTACGCGCGCCTGAAACGTGGAAGCACTTTCGTGTAGCTCAAGGAGACGAAGAGACACATCAGAACAACCAGAGACTCTGGTATTGTCATCAATGTCACAACCCGCCATGGCGAACAGTCTCGACCACAAGCGCCAAACGACATATGCGAAATGACCACGGCATTATCATTGATGACGAAGAAAGGCCAGCCAAGAAGGCACTTCAACAGTCTCTTGAAGTAGCTTTCACACGTGCAGAAGAGAAAAATCGAGCGATACTCTCCCGGGACGAAGAATCGATCCTACGGAATACGATCAAGCTTGACGCATTCTATGAAGCTCAAATCCAGCTGATCACGCGCCGCCGTCTCCCGCTCAACTGTGTCTCTTGGCCGGAATACCAAGCGCTTCTTTGCGCAGTTAACCCGAAGGCTGAGGAGGTCCTTATCCAGTCAGGTAATACGGTATTGGCTCATATTGAGCAGCCATACATCATGCATCGCGAGAACATCAACGCTCAATTACAGGCGGCAAAGTCACAAGTCCACTTCAGCATCGATCTATGGTCATCACCGCATCGCAAAGCCTTGCTCGGAATATGTGGGCAATGGGTTGATGAACACTACGAGCTCCGTGAGGCCCTGTTGGGTCTGCCGAACGTACAGTACAGTCACTCCGGAGAGACGATGTCGCGGCACTTGCTTGACACCATACGGTATTTCGATATCGCTGGCAACATTGGCTACTTTACATCAGACAACGCTACCGCCAATGACACTTGCCTGCGTGCTTAATCGACGGCATTGGCGAACGAGTTTGGCATTGGAATGGACCCCACCGAGCGCCGTGTTCGATGCGGAGGCCATATTATCAACCTCTGCCTCCAGGCGTTTCTCTTCGCCTCCAGCAAAGAGGCACTCAACGCGGCAATTGACGAGGCAGATCGTAACGCGGACACCACGGTTGTTGAGTCTTTACTGACGCAATTGCGGCAAAAGAACAACAAGGGTAAACACCAGAAGGTTCCAGAGGATCAAGCCGGATGGCGATCGATGGGCACCCTTGGTAAACTTCACAATATCGCCGTGTTCATCCGGAGTTCCACAGTGCACAGTGATGCTTGGCAACGTCTGGCAGGTCGTGCACTCGGCATTGACAATGCAACGAGATGGAATTCGTGGTACATTCTACTTCGGACCGCCCTCGAGAAGAAAGACAAACTTATGGTGTTTCAGCAAGAGCATCATAAGGCCCTGGGTGAAGACTGTCTCACACAGGATGACTGGGATGTCCTTAGGCTAACGGCGGACTTCCTCCAACCCTTCTGGCAGGCTACACTGGCGCAGCAGAGGAAGTGGTCATCGTTAGATCAGTTACTTTACCACATGGACATCTTGCTCAAGCATTTCGAAGATGCCAAGGTAAATTATTCATTCGACCTTGTTTGGCGTGATGCTTGACGGTGCTAACTGTGTTATAGAAGATGCACAGCAATAATCAGCGTCTCATCCACTCTATCCATATGGGCTGGTTTGTGCTTGATAAGTACTACTTTAAGACCGATGAGACGCCTGTGTACTCCGCGGCATTACTTCTCCACCCGTCAAAGCGACTGAAATACCTCCGCCAGAACTGGCACGACGATTGGCATGATGGTGCGATCAATAAGGCCAGGCAGATCTGGAGTCACTACAAAGATATTCCTGTTGCCAGTGCTCCAGAGGAGGCACCAGAAATTCAGATGACAGCGTATGATAAGCTGGCGCAGTCGCTCGATGTGACAGAGACGCATGACTATGAGGATGAGCTGGAGAAGTTTATTAACGGTTCTCCCTGCAAGATCGCAGTTAGTCCCCTTGCGTGGTGGACCAGAGAGGAGCAACGGATGGAATACCCGCGGCTACATAAGATGTCCATTGACATATTTTCGATTGCGCCAATGTCGGACAAGGCCGAACGTGTCTTCTCAGGTGCTCGCCGTACTGTTTCGTATGATCGTGCACGCCTTGGGGCAGAGACAATTGAGATGACAGAGTGCCTTGGGAGCTGGAACAAGAACGACCTTATTCGAAAGGTGCATGTACCGCGAGCTGATGCTAATTAGACTGAGGATTAGGTATAGAAGCGGTGAATACATTCGGGCTGAAAGCACCCCTATGTCATGTCTTGGCATTTACTGATAAGCTAATCAATCAGTATCAGTAGCATGGTAATCAATCAATCAGTATCAGTATAGGCCTTATCAATCAGTACTGCTTGTTGAGAAGTCTGACTGTAACCCATTCTCGATTGCCAGGCTGCACTGCTTTTGCTCTTCCACGTCGTTCGGAGCCGGTAACCACCATTGCTGATGAGATAATGCCCATCATAAACCCAGTCTCGTCGAAGTTGTAGAAATCCGCATCCAAGATGCCATACTTGGCCTTCATGTTCCGCACAAGTTTGAACCACGCGTCAATTATAACCGGATCTTCGCATAAGGCTCTCCGGTAGTCGTAGGCGCGATTAAAACGCGTCAGGAGCTCTGGTTGTCGCTTGACGAAGTGTGCGGCCCAGTGCTGTCCGACGCGTCCTCCGACGCGTTCCGAGAGGAGGAGGTTGGCCATTTCTTCAACACCACTGAGCCGAGGGGGAAATCCTCGCGAATCTAGGTCAAGAATAAACTTGACTAGAGTCTCTTCTTCAGGCTGGGTCAATCTCATAGAGTTGGCGCGGGTATCGCGTCGAGCGCATCGTCCGTTCATTCTGTTCCGTAATGTATTGCGATTAACATCATAGATCGTAGCAGCTTTGAGAAGGCTTAGTTTGGGGTTTTGTTTGATAGCCTTAATAGCAAGGAGTAGATTGGACTCTTTAGTTTTAGGATCCATATTGTGTGGTTGAAGAAAGGGAAGTTGGAATATAGAGGGTAGGGGTTTTATAGTGGAGGTGCCAACTCGCTTGTATTCGCAACTCGCTTGTCAACCACGTTAAATAGAATTAAGATAATAATAATAAAAGCTCTTAATTTCTAGCTAAGGGATATACCTAGAGTCTATCTTTTATATATATTAAAGATAGCTACTGTCAAAGGCGGCAGTCCGTCGCCGCTGCACAGAGGCCGGGGCCTTGTAGGTCCCGGGGACCGGGATCGTAGTTACAGAGCCGGCGATGTAGTCTGAGATAAGAGGAGAAAGAAATGAAAGTCGCGTTATCTAGGAAAGCCGGAAATGAGATTATTGTGCGTCTCAGGATGACCCCGAAATGTGACATTTAGTCAAAGCCGCCGCCGCAAACAGGATCCTTTACGTAGTCAGTCCGACTACCCAGCGACACCAGCTTGGCCTGACAACAGAAGCCTTCGATAGCATCGAGCTTATTCATGGAAGAGATCGCCACGGCTAAGCCACACGAGGACCAGGTTCTATTTCAGTAGGTGAGGGCGGTGACTTCCTTCATCCAAGACCTCCGTTTCTTCTTGGTCTCAACTAACCGGACCAAAATTTAGATCTATGTATCAACCAATGAAACTGAGAACAAAGCTCTCTTTCAGCGAATCGAGCAAACAGGAGCAAAAGCTCTGGTTCTCACTGTCGACTCTGCAGGAGATCGCACACCACATCGGGTGGTACGCTACGTTCCAGACATCAACATAACCCGTGGAGACGAATTTCATTACATGACGTGGGACTTTTTCCAGGAGATCCAGAGCCTTACTAGACTTCCCATTATACCCAAGGGTATTCAGTCTGTCGAGGATGCAAAGATGGCGGCCAAGATTGGCGTCCGAGCCATATTCTTGTCGAACCACGGCGGCCGGGCCCTTGACGGCTCACCGTCGGCATTTGACGTCACTCTGGAGATTCGACAGAAAGCTCCAGAGATTTTCGACCAAATGGAAGTCTACGCGGATGGGGGAATCCGATACGGAACAGATGTCTTGAAATTACTTGCGCTGGGCGTCCGCGCTGTTGGCCTTGGACGACCTTTCATGTTTGCAAACATGTACGGGGCAGCCGGCGTTTCAAAAGCCTTGAATCTCCTGCGACAGGAGACCATCAGCGCTGCAGCCAATGTCGGGGTGGCTGACATTCAGAGGGTTACACCCGAATATGTGGACTTTTGAAGCCGCAGTTGTGGCACGACGCCGGTATTGCTTTAATGATTTGTATGGCGCTTTCCTGTGTACGACTCACCAAGCTCATAGATAGTGTATTTGCGGAAGGCAATTACTAGGCCGACATGACTCTTACACAGGCATGACTTCTATAGCCTCTAATTCGCTCTTTTTCCCCCTTTGACCCGCAGGTACATCCGTGTAAAGGCGGTGAAGCTAACTCCCCTAACAAGGCCAGGTCTTAGGCGTATATCGGAACAAAAGTTGGGTTCAATACAGGATAAGGCCAATTCCAGTACGCTCTAGAGCTACATCTCTATCCTCTAACTACTATACAAGGGAGAACCTCTTCGTCGCTATCAAGCAGCTCCCACTGACTCCTTCGTCTGCGAATGCTAGGTTGCGTCTTCCGACCGCAGGCACGTGCTCCTGTAGTTCTTTCAGCTCCAAGAACAGCTGACTGGCTGCGCGTCTGGCGCTGGGATGAGGTACTGGCCTGACTACTAGCCTGTATGCTGGCCTGTTGGCTCGCTTCCAGTGCAAGCCTAGGTAGTGTTGACTTGTAGAGGTGTCCTGGTGGTCGACCTCACTGCCCTGGTGCCTGGCTTGCTGGTTTTCTGGCTGGCTGGCTGACTACTGGGTTGGCTGTTTGCCTCGATGGCTAGTCGCGCTGGAATAGCCTGTGTGATGTTCTTAGCTCTGCCGCGGAGAGCAGTGGCGATCCTAGGATCGAGAATTCGTTGGTATGGATCTCGAGAGGGTGGCTCTCGTAGGTGTCACCGCGGATGGACCTCCCACTTGGTGAAAGGCGTGCCACTCCCCAGCTTTGAGTAAATCTTATGGCAGCAGGGAATACCAACCTCGGTCGAAACAGAGCAGTCCTCACTGCAATCCATAAGAGGGTCAGGGAATGGGTTCTTTCTCGTCGACAATGCTTTCTTTACCAGCCGACATTGTTTCGTAATCAGCCCAAGACCCTTCGAAGAGAGTACTGTCCGGAGTTCGCCTAGATACTCCGAGCTGGACCCTATATACTCTCGTGAGGTAAGTACCTCGTCCGCCGCGCAAGCATCATTGAAATCTCGCTCCTGGTCCTTCATCATGTCCTGTATAGCCTCGATAAGCCGATATAGATGGTCTATGCCATTCAGAAGATAGGTCTTGATATTGTTGCTCGCTTGTGTCCCAGATGTGACGCGGATGCTGAAGTTGCGATACTTCCGTATGAAACAGCGAGCCCACTGGGCCTTGCTGGCCATGTAGGTCCCGTGGAGGTACCGCAGGGATAGCTCGCTGGTCGTCAAACTCCTTACACAAGGTTGCCAATGCCTTCTCGTGAGCCTCCTCGGTCTCGGTGAACAAGGAGGAGAAAGTCTGGCTGTTTTTGGAGTTGGTGCAGTCGGCTTAGCCAGCATTATGGCTGCGAAGATACGAGGAGCGAGCCCGCTCATCGCAGTGGACATTGAACAGAAGCGTTTAGACCTTGCAGTAAGGGGTAACACACACAATCCTCAACTCAGATCAAACCGTGGATCCAGTACGGGAGATCCAGCGAATTTGTCCTGGAAACGGCGTTTTTCTTGCCGTCGATTGTTCTGGAGTCTCCACTGTTATTGAGCAGATGATACGGTCACTGGGATCTAGGGGGGAAGCAGCGACAGTCGGAGCACCAGCTCCAGGTAAATGCGTGAGCCTGGCTGTGCTCACGCACATCATTAAAGGAACGCAATACATTGGTAGCTGCGAGGGTGACTCGATTACTTCAGAAGTGAGTCACAACCCCACAGGTTGCTATCAGCCTGCGACTCGTAGCCTGCGACTAATAAGAACACCTAGATGATCCCCTATCTCATTGAACAGCACTCTCAGGAACTATTCCGCTTGAAACGCTAGTCAAATTCTACAAAATTGAGGATTATGACGAAGCGTTCCAAGACATGCGGAAGGTTAGAGTAGTGATACCTGTTCTGCTGTTCAAGTAAGCTCATGATGCCTTTCTTTGGTGTATAAGTTCTGTGGAATACTAGACCATGTATGGCTCAGCCCTTTCACCTTTAGAGAAACTAGAGGCATGCTATTTGCGTCCTGTTCAGATTTATTCCTCATGTGAAACCAGGCTGCAGTTGGCATCGAGAGCGTTCACATGGACCAGAGTCGTGGGATCAAGCTCTGTCGCTAACCTTTTTTGGTATCCCAGACCGTTAACAGCATTGTAGCAAATGGATAGGGGTACCAGCCCGCCGCCACAGAAAACGTGACATTGAAATTGAATGTATTCTCTCTCTTAACCTCAACCGTGCCGGTTGGGACTTTACTGTTATGCAGGCCGCTCAGGCCGACCACTATTCTCTAGATCTCAAAAGTCGAGCATTAAAACGTTAGACTTTGCGAGCGTATGTTCTGAACCAACTTACAGCAGCGCTCGCAATAGTCCAGACTGCGGATCAGGGCAGGGAATACGGACGCCCGGTGTGGGCGCTAAGTGCGCTAGGTTGTTGGCATGGTGTTACAAAACCAGGGTACCCATGATTGTTGCTGTGCCAACCATTTTGTTTTGGATATTTCTGATCAATTTACTGGTGCGACCCAGATCAACACGGCCCGTTTCAAGGGACGCATCATCCTAGTCGTCAATCCACGAACGCCCGTCGTGGATTGATTATTGATCTTGAATTGCAGTCCGGACTAATGGTCCAAATGGTCTGGACTATTGCGAGCGCTGACTTACAGTATGAGAGGGTCTAGAAAATAAGAGTAATTACTTGCATCTGTGGCTCCTAGCAAACCTCTTGCGGAGACACATGCCAGAAGTCGATCGCCCTACATCGTAGTTGATGGGTCGAATAGCTAGATTATACGCGGCTCCTGCAATACTAACAAGATCATTTTGTATTCGCGGTCTTGCTTCATACATAAGTGCTATCTAGATTCTGCCACTCATGAAAGCCCTAAATATACACGTCTCCTAATGCTACTGATGATGATATCTTCTAGGTCAGGACTTGAACTAGGAGGCAGAAAGTTTCAACGTCCATCTTGCCACTCAACCGATATCACGCATATGCACCATTAAGTATCCGTGTGATTGCAACTCCCGCTACATCGCTGGCTGCGTTGGTTTTGGGACCAACTCCCGTGTCCATCGACGTGACCGCCGCGTCGATGCTCCAAGTCGTTCAGGTTGGCACTTAACCTTTATTATGGGGGTCGCTAGCGTCGTCGACGTGGGTGGCGATTCCAGATGTTGTGATCTTGTCTGCGATATCGCCTTCTTTTGGGACCGGTGCGTTCTCTCCTTCGAAGACTCGCGCCATCTCCTCGAGACTATGACCTCGCGTCTCGGGGAATGTGAAATAGATCACAATACCGCCAGTGGCGAGAATGAACACATATAGTAGGTAGTATTTCCATGAAATCGCCTCGAGCGCGATAGGATTGATGAAGATGTTGAAGAAGACGGCTGTAGCGGTCGACACCCACATTGTAGAAAGGCCACGGGCGCGCAGATTGTATGGCCAGATCTCGACGGGGTACGCCACCACTAGGGGTGTGAAAGCCAGAGAGAAGCACCCATACATAAGGAAGAGGAACGGGACAACAGCTGTACCGACCTCTGCTGATCCTCCCTTCGCAAAGGTGGCCGAAAGCGCGGTGATCAGGATGTAAGAGATGAGCATGCCAGTGGTGGCCGCCAGGAAGAGAAAACGACGCCCAACACGGTCGACGTTGAATGCGCCGATCAGGGAGCACAGGAGATTCCAGATCTGCAGGAACCCATTGATGAGAGTCTGCTGCGTGACGGTGGTGATGCCAATAGTAGTAAGCACTGGAGCCAGGTAGTAACCTGCAACGTTTTGGCCGGCCCATTGGTCAAAGACTCCCAGGAAGATGGTGATAAACGTTCTTTTCCGGTTGGGAGCGGTGGCAACCATTTCTCGATACGAGCTGCTTTTCTGGAACTCACGCTCCATTTGGATGCTTCGGGTTATTTCCGCAAGCTCGAACGCTGCTAAGAGGGACGTCTCGTCATCTTCTGCATGGTACTTGACGAGGAACGCGCGAGCCTCTTGGTATCGTTCTTTGGAGGCCAAGAAACGCGGAGATTCCGGCGTCATTATTAGTCCAGGAAGTACAAGTATTGGAAGTAGTAGTTGGAAGATGGATGGGATACGCCAGGACCAAGAATTGTCGTAGTTGCGGGTGCCGTACGTGGACCATGCGGCGAGGAAAGAGCCTGCAACTTTCTCAGCATTCACGGTTTCTTACATGCATTTTCTGGGATAAACACTTACCAACGTACCACCCACACATGTAAAGGCTGGTGAGAATGCCGCGGTGAGTAGGATAAGCCGTTTCGGTCATCAATAGAGGCACGCAACCGCCAAAAAAAGCACTCGCAATGCCAACAATGACGCGTGATATGACAAACATGGGTACGTTCGTAGCTCCGGTCTGCAGACCCACGCCGACGCATAGAAACATGTAGCCCATAAGGATGGTTGGTTTGCGACCGAAGCGATTAGAGGACCATGCGACGACGGGGAAGAAGAAGATGGAGCCGAGGTTTTGGGCGCCGCTAATGAATCCGAGCCACGCGCCCTTGGGATGTTTCATGAACGACTGCCAGTGTGGGAGGGCGAGTAAGCCATTCAGCATTGACCCATCGTAACCGTTACCTGAAGAGAGGAGGAAAAGGCTCATGAGGCAGAAGTTGAGGAAGATTTGGTTTCGCTTCTTATACCATGGCCTGTCATTCGGAGGTAGAACCGCGGCAAGTTCCGGTCCCACAGACTTGAAAGTGTTGGCAGCCATGTTGATGCGGCGAAAGGGGGTGCTTAGGAGAGACAAAATGAAGGCATTGGTTCGCCGTGTCGTTGCCCTTCCCAGTCCCGGAAACGTTGAGATCGAAGGGATGGCAACTATGTTTTTATAGTGAATTGCGGGCTCGTGGAGCCCTGACAACCGCGAAACCACCCGAGTCATGCAGAACGGTCAGGATTCCCCGCGGGCCCCGGATTCAAAACACGGGAAACTGCTCTAAACGAGCGGGCTGATGCCGCAAATGCCAGCGACCAGGTCTTGGGCCAATTGGAAAGCTCCTGAGGTCGACCGAGTATTTACTCTAGTCAAGCTTGCGGGGAGTTTCGGCATAAGTCGAGCGCCCTGAGCGCTAATTGAAATCTGCAGCTAGGTCCGGAAGGGGCAAGTCCGACGTTCCCCGCTTCCCGTCGTAATCGGGATGCATCTGAACGAGATCGGCGGTGCCGATGGAACTCTACATGCCTGGCGGGCGACCCTTCATCCGTGCTTTAAGGCGGGGAACCCTGCTAATCCCCAGACTCCTTTGAAGGTGCCATGCTGATCGGGACAATATCCGACCCGACCCGACACTATACTTGTTAGATTGGATCATGTACAGAGCATCGGATCGGGTGGTCACGTGCTGACAGCCGGGGTCCGGCCGAGGGGTCACCAACCCTTTGCCGGGCACAGCCTGAATAGGAAGGCGGTCAGGGAAGCCTATAACCCCTGACCAGCGCCGAGATAGCCCAGGGAGGAGGACAGAATATACACAGTGATTAGGGACGAAGTGATCGAGGTGCCACGCGAGCTTTCCGACAAATATTCCTTTCCTTGCAGAACTGCTCGAACTCGGCGGATTGGTGACTCTCGTGGCCGTCTACCACTAACATTCGATATTTGCCTTTTGTGCGACCGGCAGTATGTTTATCGAAATGCTGTATCCATTCAAAGCCAGTTGTATTATCAGTCCATCCATTCTCAGTAGGCTTAATAACCCAAGAGGGCAGGAGGTTGCCTTCTGTGTACCAATTGCCGAGATGGTAAGACCCCTTGACGACGATGAACGGCGGGAGCGCCCAACCTTCAGCATTGGTCCCTTGGATCACTGTAACCCATTCCCGATTGCCTTGCTGCACTGCTTTTGCCTTTCCACGTCGTTCTGCGCTGGTAACTACCATTGCAGACGCAATCATGCCCATCATAAAGCCAGTCTCGTCAAAGTTGTAGAAATCTGCATCGAGGATGCCATACTTAGCCTTCATATTCGCCACAAGCCGAAACCACGCGTCAATAATGGTTGGATCTTCGCAGAGAGCTCTCTGGTAGTTGTATGGGCGATTAAAACGCGTCTTGAGCTCTGGTTGTCGCGCAACGAAGTGTGAAGCCCAGTGCTGCCCGACGCGTCCTGCATCGCGCTCTGCCAGGAGGAGATTGGCCATTTCTTCAACACCACTGAGCCGGGGCGGGAATCCTCGCGAATCTAGGTCAAGAATGAACTTAATTAGAGTCTCCTCTTCAATTGGAGTCATTCTCATCGAATTGGCGGGAAGGTCTTGTCGAGCGCGTCGTCCCTTCATTCTGGCGTATAGTGTGGTATAGCTGACAGTATAGACTCTAGCAGCCTCTCGTATGCTTAGTTTCGGGTTTTGTTTGATAGCAGTAATAGCAAGAGTGAGATTGGCTTCTTTAGAATTTGAAGACATCATTTGTAGTTGGAGAAAAGGTGGTTGGGAAGAAGAAGGTGAGAAATCTAAGTGGAGTGATCCGTTCGCTTGTCTGATCCGTTCGCTTGTTGTTGCAAGGTAGCTAGATATGATTGGTTAAGGACCAACGGGAGCAGACCCACAATAGGGGCTCCGCTCCCACGTACTAAACGGCGCTGTATGCGCGATTCCCTATGTAGAAAACAAGGCTCATTCATTATCTCTATTGATGGATCCGTTACGGTCAATTCGATCAGATGGATAGGGATCAATACAGTGATGATGATGTTGATGATTACTTGTGCCGGTCATCCGGATCGGCCGAAAGAGGGGTTTTCATACCCCCCTTCTGACTAAGGTCAGGATATCAATCTATCCGAGGTTTCGTCATACAGGGTCATCATCCAACAGGAATGGCTAGCTAACGTATTGGCTGCTGGGAATCTAGGCATGCGAAGCTGTTGCGGGAGTCGCTACACCTCACTTTTACCCGCATCGAGGCCGTCAAGACACAGCATGACAAGCTGGATAGCAACAACAAGCTCATGGAAAATTATATTGAGGATTTGGTGAGTGCGAGCAAGGCCGTGGCTTCGGGAAGCCGCGAGAAGAACTGAATATTTCGTGGCTCGCTCGGCTCCCTTTCCTCATCCCCGTCGTCGCAGCATAAGAACGCACCCACCATAAGCACGGGAAAGATGTTTCCGTTGGTATTGAAAGTTGATTCTCATTTTCACGCTTCATGCAAGAGACGCATTTATCATGCCCAGTATATGTTGGATCTTCTTGCCAGTGTCTACTATATTTAGACTCTGGTTCATTCAGTAGTTACATGTTGGAGGTGACTGATTCTTGCCCCCCTGTGAGGGAACGATCATGTGACTTTCATACTTTATGAATAGTCTCACTTTATGAATATTGTGTAAATAGCTTTAAGTTAGAGCTTTCCTTAGGAATCTCTTTCTCTCCTTGTAAACAATCATTTTACCCCAAGTTGCACTCGACCTCGTTCATGCTCTTGTCCCGTCACAGTTTGCCTTTCAAGAAGGGAGACCGCGCCAAAACCGTTGGAGTGAGTCTGATTGAGTGGAACTCAGAGGGCAAGATTGTCAGAGTGACTATTACTGCTAGAGCCATAAATAGTGGAGGGAAGGATATTGAAAATCTAAAGAGAGTGGTCGTTGAGACTGAAGGATGCCCTGAGCAGTGATATTGTCGCCTTGTTGTTGTTGTTGTTGTTGTTGTTTAATTACCGTCGTGAGGGCATCTAGATGCCCACAGAATCCCCTATGGGGCAAGACGACGTGCTAGGCTGGTGTCGTTGTTGTTGTTGTTGTTGTTGTTGTTGTTGTATTATTACCGTCGTGAAGACATCTAGATGTCCACAGAATCCCTTATGGGCAAGACGACGTGCTAGGCTAGAATCTTCAGCTAAAGAAACCTAGGTCTAGGGTAGCTAGCTTCGGCCGGAGCCGTCAGCTTGCTGAGACTAACCCGGGGCCGGGGCCACGGGCCCAGCGGGCCCGTGGCTCGGACCCGCAGTCCGTATCACGCGCAAGACTAATATCCTTCCACGCGAGTCGAGATTGCGATCCTTCTTCCTCCTCCATCTAGCAATTAAGCGGCCCTATTTGACCTATTATTTCGAGCCCGGCATCCGTCAGCGGATATCCAGGGCCAGCCCGACGACTGCAATAGCATCCGATTTTTGAGGGAACCAGGGGAAAACCGCGTTCGAGGCTGCTGTACAGCGCGGCGCGTCTTCAAGCCCGGGCTTGCGACCGAACCTTCCGACTGCCGAGGAATAAGAAAGACAAAAAAAAAAAAAAAAAAAGGGAAAAGGAATGTGTTTTTGGGATCTGGGGCCGAAGCGGCTGTAGCTGCAGTTTCTGGGGGTTTCTAGGCGAGGGTTCCTAGCGGTGATGGGGGCAGATATCTTGAAAGAAATGCACTGCCTCTATCATCGCGACGAACTCGCCGTAATCTTGTCCTATTACGCGGTTGATCGTCAGCTTCGGAAAAAGCCCCAACTTTATCCGATGGCGACGATCAACCTTACGGCAATAGAAGGGATGGTCGGGTGATTTCCGCCGTCCGCACGAGCACTCAAGCTGTGCGTCGTCATGGGCAAATCTCTCGTGGTATGCAGCAAAGTCTCCGTGGCCGGAGCGGGCTGCTAAGAGTTGTCGGAGCTGCTTCCGGGGGAGCTGCAATTCAGCTGGACTAGTGGTCGCGGCCTCTAGCTGATAGGATTGATAAGAGTCTGGGGCGTGGTCTTGCCACCAGCTCTTAAAGAGGGTTCGGGGGAGGGCCTTGGCCTTCCGCTTATTGAAAGCAAGGGACGGAGTCAGTCCGGGTGGTTCCGGAAGCTCCGTACCTGCTTTAGCCAGCTTGTCGGCTTGCTCGTTTCCGGGGATGCCTTTATGGCCAGGGCTCCATCGTACTGATGTGGCCCCGTGGGCTCGTGCGATCGAGTGGAACTCCAGGAACTGGGCCTGAGAGGATTCCGAGGGCTGGCCTAGCAGCCCGGCTGCTGCAGACGTATTGTAGAGACAGATGTAAATCCGTGAGCCTGGCTCTGACGAAGTCAGGCTCGTTGCGTGCCGTAGGCCCGCGAGGGCACCAGCGACTTCTGCGTCGAAGGCCTCGGCGGGGCCTAGCCGGCCTAGACCCTCGCCAATTTTGTGATTATTGCGATGAATGACGTACCCGTAGCCCGCAGCCCCTCCGGACGATCGGGACCCATCTGAATAGACGATGAGATCTATTACAGACAGGGTCTCGGTCCAGGCGAGGAAAGCGGGGACGGCGACGTCTTTCGGTTGTATGTGTAGTTGGGCGGGGCTGTATTTCCGCTGCAAGAGGTCCGGCCGCGGCGAGGGCGGAAGAAGCAGGGCCGTTCGTTGTAGTCGGGTCTTGTAGATCGGCTTCTGGCCTGGCCTAGGGGTCGGAATTACAGTCCTAGCTGTGAGGGGGTGCCTTGGATCCAGGGACTGGAGCCGGGTTGCGTGACGTAGGCGTATAGCTTCTAGCAGCTGGTCAACTGGCGGAATACCACTTTCGCGATAGAGGGCAGCCACAGGGGTCGTCTTCCAGGTTGGAAGGATGCTGCGGATACTGATGTGTAGGACCTTTTTGAGTCGTTCGAGAAGATGTTCAAGCCTTGTGGAGACCTCGGGCCTTCCGGCTTGTAGTGACGGTGCTATCTTTCCGGGGTACCAGGCCTCGGCCCCGTAGAATAGAACAGGCAGGACGCACGCCTTGACAGCGAGGCGGACCTTCTCTGGCGGCGGGCCGCGGGCTGTATTGGCGAGACCTCGTAGGAGGTTGGCTGTGGCTCGGGCCTTGATAACCCATTGTTCGATATGGGTCGTAAAGGATAGCTTCCTATCCAGCCAGACACCCAGCCAGCGGAGGGCTTCCTTCGGGGCCTTGGTCTGTCCCTTATGGTTGATTGACGGGCTGGGGCCGCTATGTCTGCGAGAGAAATGCATTATCTCGGTCTTTCCTGGGTCAAAGCTGACCTCGTTACTAAATCCCCAGCGTTCTATCTCTTCTATATTGATCCCCGCTTCTTCTGTCGTATCACGAAGGGTCTTTCCAATATGGATAGAGGCGATGTCGTCGGCGTAGCCGTATCGTATGGTTGTAATCGGGCGGAATCCGGGGCACGGCAGTGCCTTGATCTGGATCTTGTAGATCGGCTCTGTGTAGAGGAGGAAGAGGATCGGCGAGACGGGCGAGCCCTGGGGCAGGACGCATTTTAGTGCGGAAGACGGCGTGGCTGCATCTTGGAAATGGACTCGGGCTGTGCGGTCGGTCATAAAAGAGGCCACCCACCGGACTAGCAATTCGGGCCAGCCTTGCTGGCGGAGGCGCCGCAGAAGACGGTTCCGGAGAACCGTATCAAAGGCACCTTGGATGTCCATCGTCACGAGGGTCACAACGAGACCTCGCGCGAGGGCGGATTCAATGTCGTGGATTAGGGCGGCGACGAGGTCTACAGCGGACCTCTTCGTCAGGGCTCCGGCCTGGTTCTTATGCAGGACCTTCCGATCAATCGCAATAAAGGCCAGACGTCTGGCGATCAATCTCTCTAGCCCCTTGCCGAGGCAGGAAAGCAGGGAAATTGGTCTCCAGGCACGAGGGGAGGAAAGATCCCGCCTTCCGGGCTTGGGGATCATAATGACCTCCGCGCCCTTGAAGGCTTTCGGATGGTGCCCTAAGCAGAGACATCTCTCGTAGAGCCACCGAATATAGTCTCCGATAACCGGCCAGCAGGCCCGGATAATCGCTGTAGTCACGTTATCTGCGCCGGGAGATGTGTTTCCCGTCTTGGTCGTTACATCCTCAGCTTCTTCAGCCGAGATCTGTGTGGAAAAGGGAAGCTCTGGAGCCTCTATCGCTAGAGGGGTCCAGGGTCCTCGATATCGTCTCCAGCGTCTAGACGCTCAAGCGTGGCTTTACGGAGGGCATTGGCTTTTTCCTCCTGAGTCTCAAAGACCTCCTCATCGACCTGAAGGGGCGGGGGCTGGAAGGCGCCTTGGGCTCGGACCCATCCAGCGATACGGAAGATATCGGCGTTGGTCGTTGCGTTATTGATGATATCTCGCCAGAAGTCGATTTTTACCTTCTTGGCGATCTTGCGGAATTCGTCCCTGGCTAGAATAGCAGGTCCCAGCTCTTCTGGGTCCCGTCTCTTAGCAGCTAGATATTGGGCGTGGGCTTTAGCGCAGTCTTTGGTCCACCACGGCGCAGAGCGTCCGTTCTGTTGAGGGCATCGGCCGACGATTCGTATCGCATCTTGTAGTAGGTCTAGCAGCTGGGCTGCTGCGATGTCTAGTTCCTCGGCGGTTGTTGCAGTTGTTGTTAGGAAGTCTCGCCCGAGCGAGACGACCTCTGCGAGACGGGCCAGGTCCTTGGGGTCCGAGACCTTAATCCGGCTGGATTGCGGAGGGGTTGGTCGTGCGATCGGAAGGATTATACTAAGAGTATAGTGGTCAGAGCTAGTAGCGAGGTGGTCTTCGACTCTAGCTTGTGCAGTAGGGATGTTCGAGATCGCGAGATCAAGGATATTATTATGCTTGTTTGTGGGCTGGTTCGGCTGGTTCAAAACAGCTAAATCGTTATCGTCAATCCACGAGGCGATCCGGGCCCCTTATATTGTCGCCTTTACACGGAAAAGGTGTGTTAGCATCAGTGAAGACATTTGCCAAACACTCCATGCCATTCATTACATGCACTGTGGATAATTCACTTGGACAGAAACCGCGGAAGAGGGTATAGTTTAAATCAGAGGACAGCGATTCTCTGTACATTTTAAGCAACCTTCACGCCACCTTTGGACCTTAAGTAGGCTTAATCTTCCATACCTATTTTAGTATCGACATCTATAGCCATCAATTCTCACTATAATTTGGCGTTTCTAACCGTCTTCCTAGCAACACGCGCTATCGCTGTTATGACTCAACCATGGGTGAAACTCTAGAGTCTCTCCAAAGCTTGTGCATGATGCGAATTTGGCCCCGTCTCTCGAAGACGATGTTAAGGCCTACGCTAACGCTATCAAGTGACTATACCTCCTGTGATTCGTCGTTGGTCATCAAATGCCTCTTTGCATTCATATACGAGAAACCCACTTCAGTCAACTCTTAGAATGAAGATTGAGATGGCGCGCTCGTGAGTTCAACAGCGTATACAGTTCGTAGCTAGGGCTAAAATGGCGGTAGAAAACAACAAGAGACCGGGCTGGACGTCTAACTACCCCACGAACGAATACTCTGGCCTCCACATTGTTGCTCTCAGTTGGTTCATCCGTAGGAGGGTCGGTCACAGTAGCAAAATACACAATTCTGGCCTCCATATTTTGAACCCTCTTCCAATCCGACTCAATAGATTGACTGATCGCCATCAAACCCGCTTCATAGGGACGAGGTTAACCATCAACGGTCCTTTGTCCCAGAGAATGTATATCTTCTGTCGTTCAAGCCAGTCGTGACTTTCCTCAGCGAGACGGAGATCAAAGTTCCAAATGACCTGAGCCAAGATAACTCTCATCTCAACGTAGGCGAGGCTGTAGTCATCTCGTCAGCGATCTTTGATCAGAACAGAATGCCAGGGGCTGGAACTCACTTCCTACCAAGGCAGTTTCGAGGCCCGAGGTGGAACGGTTGAAGTGAGTCCCGACGATCTTTCTGATAAGCTACGCTGTCTATGAATCGTTCAGGTCGAAACTCCATGGGGTCTGACCAGTGGTTCTCGTTGTGATACATTGCCCATTGATGGATAGCAACGATAGTCTAAGGTAGCACTAAATTAGCCAACCTAGTGGGCGATGACGGAGAGATCTGGCAATAGGTTAAACACAAAAAGAACAACTCACGTTCTCCGGGATGAACCGGCCGGACACTGTAGCGCCGCCCTCGGGGCAGACTCTGGAGAGACCGCCCGCGATAGGTGGATACATTCGCAAAGCCTCGTCTAGACATGCTAACATATAGCTCAGCTTATTCACTGAAGTAAGATCAATCTCTTCCTCAGACTGAAACGTGGTTCGAACTTCTTCGGTCAGCTTGCTCAGGGCCTTGGAATTCTTCAATAGCAGGTAAGTCACTCCAGAGAGGACTGTGGCAGTTGTTTCCGACCCTGCAATGATGAGTACGCCAGCGTTTTTCACCACTTGGTCCATAGTCATACCCTTTCAGTCCGCCTTGTCAGCTGTGCAATCGGGTGCGGTGTCCTAAGAAATAGTTCGAAAGGAAGTGCGGATGTCGATGATTCTTACAAGTTCGTCTTTTTTCCTGAGCAAATTGTCGATGAGGTCAGGTCTTCCTCCAGCTTTTCCAAGCTCCATGCGTCGGAGCAGCTTCTCCTTGGTCATGGTTGCGTGCTGTAGTTTCCTCGCCCTAATCTTTTTCGTTGACAAAACCCTGATGATAAGACTTCGCAACAAAGGGAAGTAACTGGCCGTTTGGAAGACGGTTCCTAGTCTTGCCATCTGGAAGATCGTCTTTACCCAAGGATGGTAGTCCGAGTTGTTGAGACAGCCGAAAGGTTCTCCGAAAGCAAGATCGCCGATAAGGTCAAAGGTCGTGTAGTTGTACCAAGACATGATGTCCACTGTCTTGTCGCAATTTTGGTGCAGTCTCTGTGTCAGCAGGTCGACATACTTCATGATTAACGGCTCTTGCTCTTTTAGACTGCGAGAGCTGAAGCCGTGAGACATGAGGCGCCTGAGCGTGGCGTGCTCATCCCCGCCGGAGTTGACGATATCGCTAGGGCCACCCATGGGTCGATAGAATGCAGTAGATTTCTCAAACTCGGGGCCCTTTTTGGCCCCTACCCGATGACCCATGATTTCATTCCACGCGTTTGGATCTCCAAAGGCCAGCTCATTAGGGGCGATACGGACAACTGTGCCATATTTCTTGTGTATGTCCAGCATCTCGAAGGGGAGGTTGCCCCCCATGAGCTTGTAGCAATACGTCATGCGCGTCGCTCGCATCCAAAAGGGCCCAGGGAAGTTTCGTAGAGGGTGGAATAAAATGTTATAGCACACGGAACTGATGGTGTAGAGAATTATCTGAGCCGTTAGCGCAGCTGGCATCTGTCGTTCTTTGCAAAAAACCACTTACCAATCCGAGGCCGCAGCCTCCGAGGAACAGCAGGTTTTCCAAAGCCATGATTGCCGATGCAGCTCGTGTCTTTGTTGAACATTGATGGTGGTTGGTCCAAACTGGAATAATGTTTTGAAGATGATAGCGGTAAATTGCCTTTTATCAACAATACTAAATTCCATGGAGTGGACTCCTGAGTATCTGCCGAACGGCTGTGTAATACCCGATCGCACAAGCACTGCCAATCTGCACTGCCACTCAACTCCTTGCTTACGCCAGATTCACCCCAGCATGTCTCGAAATAGATGTGGACAAATTACGCGCTCCTTGATTAGCGTAGATTGCGAATCATTTACGGTTGTCCCGTAAAGAAGAAACTGGACTTAGCGTGTCGATCCTCCCAACATCCCCCAGTATTGGATCGACAAAGAGTCACGGTCAGACAGGAGTCTGTCTCAGGACAATGACGCAAGAAATATAAAAGCTCAGACTGGCCGACGTTTCATGCATTCGGGAGAGTTTTATTGCTGTCGATTCCTATATGAAGTCGGCGGCAGGGGTAGCAAAGAAGCAGAACCCGATAACGAGAACGATAACAATAACGGTAACGGTAACGGTAACGGTAACGGTAACGATAACGATAACGGTAACGGTAACGAAGCCAAACCTCGTGCTCCATAGGTACTGTTTCAGGGGCTACTGCGCCGAGTTCAACTAATTGCATCTGGTAAAAGACAGTCAAGTGATCCAAGCAAGCTAATTGGCCTTGACGCCACCCGATTACTTGCCTAGGCTGCCGACTGTGATGATGCTCAATTTCCTTGCCATAGATCAGCATGCACTACCTAGTGTGGCCGAAATATGGCCTGTGTTGTAGTTGAAAATCTCCCTTATACTGACTACAGATGCAGAGGATAATTATCCATGGGATGTCTGGCAATGAAAGGTCTCTAGACGCATCAACAGGGCAAACCAGTTTGTTTTTATTGTTCTATGGGCATAAGGCCACGGCCAGCAGAGACAGAGCTCTGACTAAGAACTCGTTGCGTAGTTAGAATTGCGCAACTGCTTGAGTCTTAGGAAAACTGAAGGTATATATCGGAGTGCAACTGCTTCTATCAGGTGTCTTCCAGCATCGAATGTGGGCACCTGACCCTCGTTTCTTACACTGGTTCTCAATCTTTCACCTGAGGTTGGTCTTGGTTTATGTCAGGTGCTTGTTCTCGCGAGGATGCATTCCACAGCTCTCCTATCTCTCTATAATTCTAGATGCACAATAGCTGTTTTCCACTACTAGGTAGAAAGAAGAAGCGCTGTCTAGCTCTCTAATTTAAGGTAAAAGACTTAATTACCTCCAAGATTAGGCTACAGTACAAAGACTCACTTGTTTTCTCTTGCTTTTCTGTAAGTTAGTCTTACTTCAATAGCCCTTTCATTGATAACTCTAGAAACCTAGCTAGTCAGTAGTGGTATGCATGCCTGACTGGTGTTACGGGCCTAAAGCTCTCCCGCAGTCCCATGCCTACTGCCTCTACTTTCTCCGTTAACTACCTACAAAACCTAACTAGACCAAGACACTTTGCCCTTAACAATCCTTAATGTCCCTGTGAAACCTCACTCACTTTGTACTCGACAACAAGAGGTTTGCCTTTCTCAACAATAAATCTCCCAGCCCCGACGTATACTTTGTTCTCGATTTCCTTAAACAGTCTATCTCCGACCTCGAACTTGACATGTGTGACTATACGCCCAGATTAGAATAAGAGTCCTAGTAAAGAGCCTAGAATTGTACTGACATGAATCACCGAACAGGGTTGTAGCAGCATCTGGACTGCCGCTAAGAACCTTGCCTGCCGGACCCGCAAGGTTCACGATGCCCGTGTACTCGTAACATATGGTGGCCCCAGTCGCTTTATCTTGCAAGATGCTCGATACATTCAAACGGCCATGGGCTCCATCTGGGTCGGTGCGGGTATAATCGGCACCATGGACAAACACCGCGTCCAGTTTCAGAGGGTATTCGGGCTCAGAGACAAGCGAGCCTGCATTTGGAACGAAACCGCAATGGACAAGACTGGTACCCCTGGCGGAACAACCTTGGGGGATTGAGTCCGCAATAGGTATCTAGACCGCATTTTAATTCACTCAGCCACCACAGGGTACACACTTAGGTACCTGCGCCTGGCACTCACTATGATGATGGCCTTCGGCAGCACACCTTGCACACACCCGATTCTTGCTGCACGAGAATGCCTTATGGCCGAGCTCCTGGCAGTTATAGCATTGCATTGGTCCGGTTCTGCGCTCGAAGGCGCTGGTGTATGCCGATTCGCCGGCTGCATGGAAGTAGCGTTCCTGTAGAAGTCTCATAGCATCCCTATTTTTAGTGAGATATACTACCATGGATCCATACGCCTTTGCGCTGTCCTTTCGGCTCAACCAGGCTATCTTTGCAATTTGGATTTCGTTCTCCTGGCCCAAAGCTTCTGTTGTTCCAGGGAGGACCTTGGCGTAATCCTTGCTAACGCGTCGACGCGTCGGCAACCTATTTCCCTTCGTCAACTATCACAACTTCGATCAATTAAACTGCTTTTTCGTGTTTTAGACTTCCAGAGAGCCAGTATGCCTCGTTACACTACGGCCGGTATAGACAACGCCATCCAAGATATCCTCCATGGCGAAACCATCCGAACGTCAGCCAAGATCCATGGCATACCTACCCAGACACTTCGTCACCGGCTTCTTGGCCGACAACCACACTCTGTGGCCCACCAAAACCAACAGCGGCTTTCTATAGTTCAAGAAGAAGACCTTGTTAGGTGGATTCTACTGCAAGAAGGCCTTGGTTACGCGCCTTTGCATGCCCAAGTTCGCGCTGTGGCTTCGGCGATCTTACGAGCCCAAGGGGACCACCAACCACTTGGAAAGAAGTGGACTAGTACCTTCGTCAAACGCCATCCAACTATCAACACCAAGATAGGTCGCAGGACTGCCTGGGATCGAGTTAACGCAACCAGCCCAGCCAATATCAACAAGTTATTCGAGCTCTACGATATTGTCAGTTGGATTCCCCCCCAACGGCGATACAATGCGGACGAGGGAGGAATTATGGAAGGTATGGGGGTTAACGGCTTGGTTATTGGCAGTTCAGAGAGGTCTCCTGGCCAGGCACCTGTCAAAGAGAGCTGCAATCGCACTTGGACCTCGTTTATCGAGTGTATATCGGCTACCGGCAAAGCCCTTGAGCCTCTTATTATCTTCAAGGGGGCTTCTATTCAAGATCAGTGGTTTGGCGACCAATTACTCGAGAAATATCCTACCTGGTATACCACCTACTCTGCCAACGGCTAGACAAGTAACGATATTGCGCTTGAGTGGCTAGAGAAGTAGAGATGGTCTTTTTACCGCAAACAACCCCTGAGGACCCTTCAGCAGCAAGACTACTTATTGTCGACGGCCATGGTTCGCATACTACCGAGGATTTTATGACGATGTGCTTCCTGAATAATATTTATATCTTATTCTTGCCAGCCCATACTTCGCACGTTACACAGCCCTTGGATCTTGGCTGTTTTTCCAGCTTGAAGACGGAGTATAGGAAGCTTATCACCAATTGGACGGCTCTTACGGACTCAGACCGCATTGGCAAGGTCAAATTTCTTGATTTCTATGCGGAAGCTCGAGAAAAAGGATTGCGGAAGGCTAATATCGAGGCTGGCTGGCGGGCAACAGGTCTATTCCCCAGGAACCCACATAAAACGCTGTCTTCTCGCTGGGTAATATACCCACACAGCCAGACACCTACTCCCCCGTCCCCCAGCCATATCTCCACTCCAAAGAAGAGCCAGGACGTCATCAAACTACTAGGTAGTAAGGCAAGAACCCCAGGCTCGCGACTAGTAGTTCGCAAGATTGCCCAGTCGTTTGACAAGCGTACTGCGCAGCTTGCCGTGAAAGACAGGGAGATAGCCTGCTTACTTACGCAGTTGGAACAGGCTAATCCACGAAAACGTCGAAAAGTCCAGCCAAATCCAAACGAGTCCTTCATCAGCCTTGCTCAGGTAGCTGCACAACGCAACCGGGAGCCAGCTCAACGCACTATTGAGGCTAGGGCCCAAGAGGATACGATTGTGGTTCATGGTGAAGAGGTAGATGGTAGTACTGATGAGGAGCCATCTCCAATACAACCTGGAAGGTCAATTAGGCTCGCAAGGCGATATAGAACTCCCTCTGTCGAAGAGAGCGATTGAGCAATTCAAATGGTATTTTTCTTGTATTTTTAGCCTTTAAATTGAAGTAGTTGTGGTTCTATATGTAGTTGGGTTGGTGACTTGATGGGGTGAACCGGAACCAGGGGTGAACCATAACCCCCCCTAGGGACTTAGATGAAGATAATGAATAGCCTATATCTTGCGCCCTTGGTGCTCCATAAAGTAGTGAAATCCCAAGGCTTTGTGTCAACCGTCTCGATGGAGTCCTGAATTTGCTTCACTGTAGCAACAACGATAGGATCGTCTAGACGCTCGCTCGAGGTGTGATACTTAGCAATCACTCCCATAGCCTTATCGATCTTGCCGTTATAGACCAGTTATCGAGGAGATTCTAGTGTCAGAGGGTAGATAAGAGCGGCGAGGATGGCCGGAGGGCCTAGCTGGAAGACCATGGGCATTCGCCAGCTCCAGTCTCCGGGTATATGGGGGGCGCCAAGAAGCACAGAGGCGATGACAATAGCACCGACGCTATAGAGCGAATAGTAAAGCCCTACAGCCAGGCCTCGATATGCAGACAGAGCGACCTCGCTCATCCAGACTTGCTTTGTATTTGGTTAATTGGTCCTGCATCAAGAGGAGGCAATGAGTATCCTCCTGCCCACGGAACCTCTGGTGATGCAACCGTTGACGATACTCAATTGTGTCACCGAGTATAGGAGAAAATATTCCAAAAATCCAGTGCCAGAGGCAACAAGCGGAGGCCCCATGGACCTCATCTGTAAGTCGTCAAGTGAGACAAGTTCGAGGATCTCCCAGATCAACTCGGGCAAAGGCGCTACTCGTCCATTAATAACGTGAGAGTGAAGAAGAAGGAAACCAGCCTCACCGTACACCTGGCAGCAGGAATCCAGAATGGAAAGAACTGAGTTGAAAGACAAGCGAGATGGCTATCGAGACTGTATAGAAGCCAGAAGACCCTTCTGCGTTCCTCACGGTGTTCGATTGCCACAAGTGTCAGCTCCTCGTCGCCGACAATCTGGCAGGGGCAAACATGGTCCGGGTGAAGCTGACAGAGTCTTGAACAGGCTTCATGCTCGCGATTTAGCCCCAGGAGCAAAGCAAGTCTAGTTGAGTCTTTTATATACCTAGCTTATTGGGATCGTCATGAGAGCCCTGTTACTGTCAAACCCCTATTTCAGCTACCTTGATAGACCACCTTGAAGGCCTACCTTGATGGTCATAATAGCTAAGATAAAAGACCTACTTAGAACCCTCTTTCAGATAGAAATCAAGAGCTCCAACGCACCTCAATTTATCCCGGAATTTAATAATAGGTTATAAAGAGCTTTACCGAAACCAAGGCATAATCGAGGAAGTACGAAGTGTGTATTTCAGCAGAACGGCCTCTGGGCAAGGCGTGCTGGGCATAATTGACTCGTCTGTATATAGCTAAACGCTCCTTAACTAACAATCCTGGCTTATCTCGAGTCTAATGTCTCAACTTAACATCAATTCAGCTATTCCATGCCGTTGATGTTATTTGCAGCTATCATAATTAGTACTTAACTCGGTGCAATGTTTTGATGCAACTTACGAAAGAGGGTTCGATATCTTTTATATCAGCCAAGCCAAGGTTTGCTCCAGCGCTGGTGACTTCCTTAGTGAGGAGAGAGATGGCTCGAGATACCCCTGCAGTGCCATAGAGGTTTGCGTACATGAAGGGACGTCCTAACCCAGCAGCTTTAACACCAAGACTCATGAGTTTCAGCAAGTCTGTGCCGTATCGGACGCCACCGTCAGCATACACTTCAATTTCTTCAAAAACACTGGGGTCTCGCTGATAGATCTCCCAGGCAATCTCTAGTGGCGAAGGAGAGCCGTCAAGAGCGCGACCGCCATGGTTTGAGAGGAATATAGCCGGCGCACCAACTTCAATGGCCTTTCGAGCGTCCTCAGCAGTTTGAATTCCTTTGGGGATAATGGGAAGGGATGTCATGGCCTGGAGCTCCTGGTAATAATCCCACGTCATGAAAGTGTACCGGGGATCTCGGCCGATGCTGGTATCTTCCAATCTTCTCCGTGAACGATAGGCCGTTCGGTCTCCAGATGAATCAACAGTGAGTACAATGGCTTGCATACCATCTCTTTCGATTTGCTTGAATAAATCTTGAGGTGGCTCTTTGTCAAGATTCGAGATCGAGACCTGTTATACAATTAGAAAGCTATACCAACTGCCGCTTATGTTAGTCTAACCTGTTGCCATATGACCTGTTTGTCACTTTTCAATGCTCCTATTTCCTCCATGGACAGAGTTGAACTTTGGGATGCCTGTCGTCATGTGAGTCACTATGTTTGTCGCACGGGGATAGGTTTTCGACTGTTCATACAATATACAAAACACCAAGATTCGCCGCTGCCTCCACAAGCCCTTTTTCTCTGCCGGGTTTGCAAGGCCAGCTGAGGCAAAGGGGCTGATGAAAAATGGTACAGCGAACTCATGTCCTAGAATCGATGTGCTTGGTTGGCGGTCAGAGATGGGTTCATAGGGATCGACTCTTCGACATACTTGAGACTGGCGTCAATGTTGGTGATGTCCACCATCACACGAGGCCGGAAGCGAAATCTATTATACGCCTCCAGGTTGTTTCTGTAAGATGATTCGCTACCAGCGCCGTGACAAACGTATGCGTAGGCTGCCGGATCCATCACGTTTCTCGCAACGTAGTCAAAGTCCGGAAGCCCAAGCACTCTGTCCAAAGGCGGGAGCGATCCATTGACAATTTTAAGAGCACTTTCGATTCTAAAATTCATGATGAGCTTTCGTCTGCGTCTAGGAGCTTAGAATTAACTATTCAGCACCTACCCAGTGTCAGGTTCGTTGAGGAATGGTCGAGCCGCCAGGCCCAAGGAGACGAAAACAGCCAAAAATACGAAAGAACGCATGTTTTCTTGAATTCAATGCTGAAAGGTTGTTGTTCAGATTGATGTATGTGTGGTGTGAAAGGAATTTGGAGATGAGAAGGGGCTGTTGGCCTTTATATAACACTGGTTCCATTACCGAGCAAGAGCTAGGCCATCGCGTTTTCTCCACTGTTGCTGTCCGTTTCACGGTAATAATGGATGTTACGCAATTCTACCCAGGCCTGAGGTTTATTTTAGATACACTCTAAGGTTCGTTTTCGTTATTTAGTGCAAGGGTTTCGAAGAAACACCCGACCTTGCTTCGCCCAGTCTAAATATCCGCTTTTAGGGGAGATTGGCGACCACGGACCCTCTGGAACGCTGCGGCTCGTGGAGCCGCGTCATCATAGTGAGATGAGCCTCGTTATCGTTTCCGCATGGAGAGTAAAAAAGTATTCTGTGGATTCCATTCACAAGCTAGGTAATGGAGAGTACGCAATGGGCGTGGAACCCAGAGCCGGTTTATGAAATCTTGATTATGAGCCGCAACTCCCAAAAGACGAGTCACATTTGGTGATATATTCACATTACAGAGAGTCCTTGAATTTTATAATTCTCGGAGGGATCTAAACACGGCCTTAGACACTCATAAGACGGCTAATATAATGGGTGCGGAAATAGGGGGGTTGAGTGAGTTGGGGAATTCGGAGCCCTTCTATCTCTGGGGAATGGGACCCCTATTGTTATGGCAAATCTGACTCTTTGGATTTTGGCAATACGGGTTTGTGAAATCAACGTTTGGTCTATTTAAGCACTGTTCTAAACCTCCGGCTTCTGAATATTTTCAACTGACCATTGAATCAATTCCAGGGATGGACATCTTACGAATCTATCGAATCGAACGCCAAGCCTTGGCGTTCGAATCGAATGTGACCCCGTAGATTCGAATCGAATCGGACGCATCTCCCACAGATTCGTATCGAATCGAACGTGCCACAATTCTTGTCCTGTAGATTCGACTCGAATCGAACACATCTCCCGCAGATTCGTATCGAATCGAACGCGCCACAATTCTTGTGCCGTAGATTCGACTCGAATCGAACATGTCTTCCGTAGATTCGATATCTATCGAATGCCAAGATTCGATCGAATTCGATTCGAACTCGATCGAACGTAGAACTAATCCCGGCGGAGACCGAAACACCAATAGGACCTAGAACCAAATGGACCGTCGTCATCATCACCAGGCCGTCATGCCGTCATACCCCGACAGAAGAGTGGTGAGAGGTGCAGAGCGGGTTTAGAAGGTATCACGGCTTCAGATAAGACATCGCAGAACATCGTCAATTGTGCAAAGGCAGGTACTAGGCAGATTAAATGTCACTCGTCCCCCTCAGCGACGCAAGTGCGTCAACCCATTGATCATCACTGAGGCTAACCAGCGGCAGTGAAGGCGTGTAGATCCCAGCTTTACTCCATGATCGAATGCACTGAGCCATCGCCACTATCTCCCTCCTCAGCCGACTTCTCAACGGTGCCGTCATACGTCCTGCACTGCTAAATGTCCTCTCGCTCTCCGCAGACGACGATGGGATGGTGAGCATATCAACCGCCATCAGAGACAGTCGCGGGTACCGATTCCTGTTGATTTTCCACCAGTCAATCGGCCTGCTTCTGTAGTGGTGACTGTTGACAACATCCTCAGCACAGTACCGAGCATATTCGTCATCAGCAGTCGCTCCTGCTGTCGTGTGTTTCGTCTTTCGGGTGCTCTTGCGGGCACTGGACACTGCCAAGGACGAACCCTGGGCGCATGGCGACCCAGCTACACTCCTGGCAAGTCTCCGCTCAATGTAATCCATTGAGGCCTCGTCAGATGTAGCGAAGACTTCGTAGTCAACTTCGCGTTCCCTGTAACTCTCCCAGATCTCCAAGAGCTGGGATTCGTACTCTAATCGCCAACCCTTGGCCTTACGAGAAGGCACTCGAGACCACAGTTGATCGAGAAGGCGCCACTTCTTCGCCGGGTTGAAGACAACAGCGCCGACATAAGCTGCGCTAGTCAGACAGTTGTAGTACTTGTGCAGCTTCTTCCATCCGAGCTTGATAAAGACCTTGAGCAATCTACGGGTTCTGCTATCGAGCCCGTCGTAGATGGCGACTTCGACGTCCTTCTTCTCCTTGCTCACTGGATCCTCAACTTCTTCAAAGATTGTGCCTTCGATAGCTCCTTCGAGGTGGTCAAGTAGGATCTCGAAGACAGGGAAGTATTCATCGAAACTACCGCAAGTCGACCTCGCGTCGGGAATACCGTCGCCCTGAAGTTGCTTGGTGGCGATTTCAAAAGGCTTCAGAAGCTTGACAAGCACCTCGATAACCTTCCAGTCGTACGCACTTAAGCGGTATTGCAGAACTGCCGGTTTCGGTTTGTCACAAAGACCCTCAGTTTCCCAACGGTTCTGAACGTCATTGAAGAACGTATTGAGAGCCGGGCGGAGACGAAGGGCCCTCTCCATCATCCGCATATCCGAGTTCCATCTGGTGGCATTGTTGAAGACCCAGTGAAGTGTTGATTCATGGCCGGATTCCTTGCGCTGAGACTGAAGAAACTGCTCGTACAGCTGTGTAGTCGCTCGCAGCTGAATCCCGATGTTGTGAAGCATTCCTGGGGCGCCGTTCTGGCTGTACTCCCTGAAAGTGGCTCCATTGATCTCCTCCGGGGCTGGGTGGGATGATAGGAAGTCCTCTTCTGGGATACCAACGGCAGTGTTCGCTTCAAAGTCTTCATCCGTGCCGTCTTCCATTTCTACATCCAGGGCCTCGTCGATAGCTTGATCAACTAGCTCCTCATCGTCATCTTGATCGTCACCATCGGCAGCGATGATTGCCGCGAAGTTCTCTCGCTTCGAACCGTATAGCATTGCCCGCACGCAAAGGTTGAAGATATGCGCAGCGCAGCGGATCCGTCGCTCTTCAGCTGAGAAGCCGTGTTCAAAGGCAAGATCGTCCATGCAGGTGTCATTGTTGGCAGCATTGTCCAGCGTGAAGTAGCCAACCTTGTCCGGGTCGTTGATTTGCCAGAATGCGAGCGTATCAGCGACCTCATCGGCAAGTGAAGCACCGTTGTGTCTGCCCGAGAGAGGTCGAAGCCCAAGGAGGATTCGGTGTTGGACAAAGTGGTTATCAATGAATTGAGCGTTGATCCCAAGAAACGAAGTGTACGACTTGGATGTCCAACCGTCGAAGGAGAAATGAATCTGGGATCGAGCGCTGCGCAATACTTCGGTTACCGGCCCAACGGCACCCCTATACTCGGATTCGAGCATGCGAAGCAGCGTCTTCGCAGAGGGAATGTGGGTCACATCAAGGAGGGGATTGCCGTAGAGAAGGATCCGCTGGAACCGCTCGGTATTGACAATGTTGAACGGCAGGTTATGGTAGGTAATCCAGTCGAGGAGGAGTACTCGGAGGCCTTTGCTGCTGAATCTTCCACGCAGCTTGCTGAGAAGAAACTGGTCGTGGGGATTATTGAAGTCGGCATCGATGAAGTCGGTGATGGTCCTGTCATTTAGAAATGAGCCCCCCACGGGGCTGGCAACTTTGTTCGGGGCCTGCCAAATCAGCACGTTATCAAACCGTAGATGAGAGGCACACACTTACAAGAATCCCGTGGGCTTTGAGTAGGTGTTTCCTGATGGCGACTCCTGTCGAGCAGACGAAACAGAAGTCCGACTTCTTCTTGAAACCTCGGGCAAAGCAGTCGGCGCAGATCCACTTCAGCTTATTTCCCTGCCGCGAGGTGGAACGGTCCTTAACGCGATACCCATATTGTTGCCACCATGCCCTCGTGTCTTGGCCGCCAGTATAACGCTCGAATCCGGGCCATTTGGCCCACTCTTGGCGGCCCCAGAGTGTCCAATCGACCTGAATAAAATCGGCGGCAGTCCCGCGAGGACGGAGCGATGGCGTCGTTGGTAACGAGGTTCCTGGAGACGGGGCGGCTGGCGAAGAAGAGAATTCATCGCGCTCCATCACACCTGGTTGATTCCAGGACGAAGGGCTCAAAGAGAATGGTTCGGAGGACATCATGATGCAGTTAGTTTAGCTAGTCGGACAGATGGGTCGCGTGGGTCGAGGTTGTTGGAAGCCATTGAGACTGCACTGAGGCTCAACTTAAATCCATCCATCCATCACTGACTGGACAGGCATTGAGGCCAATAACACGCGTATATCACGCCCATTTTGTCGTCAACGCGAAATTCGCGACATCTCCACTGCCGCTAAACATGCAAAGTCTTGTGCGATTAATGATGCATTCGCGAGCAGCGCGAACGACGACCTGGCGCGCCCAAGGCGAGAGAGTCGCGCGTGAAGCCGCCATTGTATGTAAGAAGCCAAACTTTGTTCCGACCATTGGTGTACGGAGATTCTCCCAAGTGCCGCTCCACCAAGCTCTCAGTACTTGGCAACCAGCCAAATCGGGGTCTCGTTGATTAGGTCCACAGACGGCGGGGTAAGATTCCATATATTCCCTGTTCCACTTGCGTCAGAGGCTCCTATTGGCTCATGCCACAAGCACAGACGCATCACTACGGGCCAACCTTGAAAAAAAGCCATCCCGTTCCTCAGCCAAGTCCCCATACCGGCTTTGCATTTGTGCTCATTCCAATCTGGCGTCAACTCAGAATGGATTCTTGAGATTTTCGTAAACCGTTCACGTGAGGGGGCGGAACGGTGGGGACTTGAAGTTGAGGCTCTAAGTGGATGCACCTGTGAAGTCGCTGGTACATCGGTTCACAGGCAAAGCTGGCTTTAGGCGCAGGTCCCCGAGACAACCAAAAAGTTAAAGAGGGGGGCAGGAAGATCATGAATCCCATACTCGCCAATGCGTGAAAACTTCGAGCCGGACATATTCATCTGATCATGCCAAAGCTGGCATCAGTAAAAACTTTTTAGTAGAGAGAAATACGGAGACAGTTTTTTTTTGGTTTCCTTTTCTTTTCTTTTTGCTTCCTTCCTATTATTCTGCAGAAAAAGCGGCGTGTTTTTGGTGATCCCCCTCTCTGTATAGCGGCCTGTTACTGGGACAAACATACCCTATACTCCTGCGTTAAAAACTACTGTAAGCCCCACCTACTTTATATGACGACCTTGGTACCTCCTAACTTGGGAGGTTGTATTTTACAGCAACAATAACTCATACTTCAACCCCCCACGCGACAAATATATATTCCTCATAGAAACCGACTCAGTGTTTTATTACAAGATTAAATTGGGTTGTCCGTTACATTCCTGTAAAGCACCTGCTGGTGGGTTGTTTGTCGGGATTGTGACCATGGGAGTCATTCCCAACTGGTAAACCTGTTGGCAATTCGCGGTGGCCGGCGCGTTAATCCGTTCCGGGCTGGGGGGCGGTTAGACAGGGTCGTGACAGGGATGATTGCTGTAGTTGCAGGGTACCTAGTATGCTATGGGCTTTTAGGGTCATGTTATGTACTTGCTAACACATCTTAGCATTAAGATGAATTGTTGTCAGTGTTGATCGCGTTGCACTTCTCGCGTCGAGGAGAGTGCCAGGGGCCTCTTAACGCGTCTGCGAATCGCGCTGAATCCACCCCTTGGTCATGATTCGCACATCGCGTCTCTCTGTTCGACCGAATCGATCGATTTTCGATCGAACGGGTGGGGGCGATCGATTCGATGTCGAATCATATGGTGACCTGTACGGTTCGAATGTCGAATAGGATGCCCCACATTCGAATCGATGTATTCGAACATCGAACAGGACATGTCACATTCGATTCGATGCGAATCGAATGGGCACGCCGCAGATTCGACATCGAATCGAATGCCAAGAAATTCGATTCGACATTCGTAAGACTTGGCATCGAATGAATCTATCGATTCGATTCCCGTTCGTTCGATGTCCATCCCTGCCCTCGTCAATCTGGTCGGCTAGCTCGACGGAGGATGCATTTGTTGGCTCTCTCGACTGAGGCTGTAGTTTCCCAAGCCCCAAGGTATGTAGAATTACAGAGAGTGTTTCGTCGTTGCCCGGTTGCATGGGCGGTGGTTCGAGGCCATTTTCGATGATGAATTTGGAGAGCTGGTTCATCCTCGTTGAGAGCAATTCGATCGCGACACGGGGAGAGAGTCTGGACGAAAACAGCTTGTTATCATTCAGCTCTTTAAACTGGACATATGGCACCACTTACTTTCTTCGATCTGCCCTGGCCTCATATCGGCATTCTTTTCCTTTTCGCAGACAACTCCCACAAATGGGCGTTGCTCCATCGCACTTCCGACTGTCATTATCATCCATGTCCTTCAAGATTCTGTGTTGCATACTTTGACTTTACTCTCGCGACACTGCGCACAAGCAGTTGTGACATGCTTTCGAAACTTCCTCTTCGATGCAGATTGTGATATCGATGGTGTCATGGCTGGTGTGAACAAAGCCCAGCTGTCTTTATCGGAGCATGGGGTCCCCCCACTAACCTTATTTCAGTACGGGATTGAAATCCCGCGTTACGCCTGAGTTTACCAGGTGGCGTTTGCGGAGGGGTTAAATCCGACACGTGATTGACGAATCCACTTGCTTCGGGCCGTCTGACTCGCCTCCGACTGATACCAAATACCGGCTCGGGAAACGGATCCCGCTTGTCCGTGAGGCCGTCGCCAACTGCGAATAGTCGTTAGCATTGGCGACACTGTGAGGGTTAACGTTCGGCGTCTTAGTCGGAAGATCTCCACAGCTGGAAGAGGCAGCATTCGGCCCCCATACGTAGCTCAAAGTGACATATCCGCTACCGGGCCGGACTTCTGACCATGGGACAATTCTGCGGCTGTAGCAGTCAATGACCTGGAAACGGGGAGTTTGAAAATGTACCTCTGGCCTGCATGACTTGTCATGGTATAAGTTGCAGAATGTGAGCCACTCGTTCATAACCAGGAAGTCTACCCTGTCTTGAATCGTACGGCCAGATATACAGCCAGCGCTTTGCAGTGACTGCATGATATATGGGAGAGCTCGCAATTCATTTCGGCATTTTATTGTTCCCGTTTTCGCTGGCAGAACAGCAAGCAACGCGGTATCCTCCACCGCATTTCTCGGTAGACTGAAAGTTCGAACTGCTGAGAAGGCATACAGAGAGTAATCGTTCGGATTTCCGGGCTTGCTGTCAACTTTGAGTTCTCGGAAGAACTGACAAAGACGACACTCTATTGTCCTGCTCGATGTAATGCCGTCCAACGAACACACCCTGCGGCCGCAGCCCTTATCGTGATCTCTGATGTCCATCTTGAAAATTTTGATGAAGTCAATAGCACTGGCTCTAGTTGGGGTGACTGTGAGCGGGTGTCTCTCACAGCAGGGCTCTCACGCGAGGGCAGTGCTCCTAATAGTGCGCACTATTAACTGGACTATTAGTTCACACTGCAGTGCAGACTATTAGTGCATGGACTACTAGTTCAGTTTACGTCTCTCGCTCTACACTGATGGTTCAGTGCAGGACTCTCACACTACACTGGTAGTTCAGTGTGACTCGATCAGACGGACCAGTAGTTCAGTGCTGGAGTCGCAGACTACCAGTCTCACTATTAGTGCGAGATGATTGTGCGCACGGGTCAGCGGTCATTGAGGCGAGCCTAATTGGGAAATTGAAGTGGGGGTCTAGATTTTGGCGCGTTTTCACGTCCATATAGGCTCACCAACTGTGCTGTTGCTCCACTGAAAACGCTGGATGACAGGCGGTCCAAGCGGTCCAGGCAGCCTAGCCCATTTGAACCGCCAATTCGGAGCACTGAGAGTATATACGGGGAACGGCCTCAAGTAGTCTTTGAATTTTACACTAATAGTGCAGACCATGATTTGCACTATGGTTTAGTGTGAAAGTGACAGACGAACTAACAGTGCAGTGTGGGCCTTGCAGGCACACTGGTAGTTTAGTGTGGTCGTTTCAACGCACTGGTGGTTTAGTGTCGCCCAGTCACACGCACTAAAGGAGCAGTTTGGGGTGTCCACACGCACTATTTACACTATTAGGAGCACTGCGCGAGGGAGACGAATACCGAATTTCCCATGTGTTGGTCCCCTGCCTATAGAGTCAGACTCATGCTGTCCCGTCCTTGGAACATAACGTTACCATTTGGTGTAGAGAGGCTTGGTTGGCATCGTCAACGAAGTCGATCCTAGTAGGTAATAAGACTTTGGACAAGACCCAGTATCTGCCACAAAAGCAGGTGTTAGAGCAATCAAGCCATCATTAGAGCCTTCCAGTTGTCGAGCTCTTCGAAATCCGGCATCTTTCGTTGTCGGAGTTGTCATTCGAGGCTTTGACATCAGATGAGACTGAGTCGTCTCCGGTTTGTATTGCAGGCAAAGTTATTCTTATGGAAAATGTCGGTAAAAGCCTGGCTGCTGAGTGCTGCCTAAGTGAATTGGCAAGGCCTTTTTCAGGTGGTTAGCCTGCCTGAATCGTGTAACAGACTCATGGGCATCACCAGATCCTGATTTGTTCGGTTCCGACTTCGGGAGTCAATAGAACCTTTTGCTGCGTAGCCCAGTGGTTGACATCGGGCGTGTGTGGCTGAAACACTCATCGAATTGCGAATTAGCGTACGAAGACGTCCCACCAGAGTCGATCGTCCCGTAGCCCAAAATCGGTATGCAAAGTCCTGGAGAACCAGGCTCGAAACGGTAATTGGAATGTCGGCCAATCCTACGAAACAGTTACTCCTAGGGGATGCAACGCCTTGCAGCAGAGGTGATGGTATGCAGTATCTGGGATCAAGCATATGGCTCGGATCACCGAGCCATCGGAACCAAGTTCGATTCACTGGTCACAAGGGTGGGGCCCGAACCAAGGCTTGTGTTCAAACACGCGAACTGGGAGGGAATCAGGAGAACAGTCCAAGACGGGACTAAGTGGCTCCTACCTCCCAGCAACATTGAAGAATTCCATAACGCCCTCATCTCCTTGGTGGATGGGGCTGTACGCACCCACACACCACTTGCAGAGCCTTCGCCGTACGTGAAACAGTGGTAGACGCAGGAACTCGCAGAGTTAAGAGAGGATTACACCTGTTGGAGGAACGCTGCGAGGACCGCTCAGAAGAGTAGGCCAATGCGACCCGGACCTGGAAAGGAAGGCTAAACATGCGAAAAAGGTGTTATTCGACACTTGCCACGGACAAAAGAAGAAGCACTGGACGGAATTCCTCTCTGACCACGGTAAAAAGCACTTGGTCTAAGCGTTGGACATTCCCGTTATGATCTCAAATCTGAAGAGTCAAGATCATCATCCTTCGTACTTCCCCCCCCCCCGGGGCGCTGGCCCTCCTCTACACGACCACCACAGGCCTGTCACTGACTCGATCTCAAGCCTTAATCTTCTCCTGACCCACCTTCGCGGCATACTCTAAACCATCGACAACCTCCTGGGCCTGCGACAAGAACGGTGAGTGGCTGGCCTTGGAGTGAAAGCTGGCAGCATTCGGCCCGAGCAAAGCTGCCATTCCCTGCTGCACCGGCAGCGGCAGAGCCTGGTCGGCGTCACAGAAGAAGAACATGCTGTCGATGTCATGCCAGGGCTCATATGTGACGGCGTCAGTGAAAACCGGGGCCGACTGGTGCTTCAGCGCGACAATGGCCTTTTTCTGAGCCTCCGGTTCCAAGTCGTGATAGAACACGACCTCAGGCGTGTCGGCGTGGACGTAATTACCCTTGAGAGTCACGAGTCAGCGGCAAACTCTTGTTCCAATTTCAAATGTGACCTATAACCCCCCGGGGGGGATGGTTTCATTAGGGTGAGAGGGACCCTTACATCAAACTTCATCCACGGCAAAAACTGCCCACCCAGCATGTCCTTGATGCTCTTGCCCAGCGGCGTCACGAAAGCTGCCAGATAGACAAACATGATGACGCCACCACTCTGGCCCTGCTTCGCCCGCTGCTTGTAGCCCAAACCCTCGACAGCATTGGCGCCAACCAGCCCACCGTACGAATGCACGACGAGCACGATCGTCGTCCCCTCATCGGCGAGGCGCTGAAGCGCCGCCCGCACCGCCGCGGCGTCGTCGGCGAGGCCCTTGGTAGGCGGCTCGGCCGCGACGGAGGGGTAGCTGCAGACTTCTCAACAAGCAGTCAGTTATCAAGCAGTACTGATTACTGATTGATACTGATATGATATCAGTATCAGTAAGCTCCTAATCAATCAATCAGTAATCAGTAACGCACGTGACCAGGTTATATCTGGCTTCCAAATTATGTGGCCTGGCTGCCTGCTGCAGAGTCCGAATTCAAGTACTACGCACTCGACGCTCCGACGCGTGGTGTGCAATTAGTGAATCTTCCGATGTTCTGCTAAGATATGTTAGCGGGTACAGCCGTAGCACTGTGTTCATCTATAGTAAACGAGGTATCTTACAACCGAAACCATCGTCCTGACAAAAGTCCAGAATTGCATTCTTTCTCTATGTTCAACGGCAGCCTAATTTTATAACTTTGAATGGACTATCTGGCTGGTTTCCAAGAAGAGTATTTGTAACGTGAGAGACGGCGAAGTGCATATTATCTGGGTGGTGAAACCCAAGGCCATTGAGTTAAGAGATACCCACTCCACCATTATAAATACGCGGGATGCGCGGTAGCCCCTATCTGGCGCATATAGGGTAAGTTGGCTCACGTAACATACTCTCGAGCAAAACAATCGAGATGCCAATAAACAAACTGGTCTCTTCCTGAGAATCACATTCGTACAAGTTAAAGTATAGTCACGGAATTTCTCTTGCTGAGACCTTCCGTATGGTATCAATTCCCATCATGGTTAAAGATATATTTCCAAGTTGTCGTTTTGTAGTCGAGAAAGCCATGGGTATGACGCAGCATACTGACCCCGTTGTCACCATCAGATATGTCCCGACCCAAAGCACAGGTTAAGTCAAGTAGGGTTCCGTTTTTGACCGTCAAAAACTGTTTTTGACCGTCAAATTCCTAAAGGGGGTTTTTGGCGGTAATTTACGTCAAAAACCCTCCCATTTTAGGCTTAGTGCGTAGCCATATTAGGATTAGTTGGTGTACGGAATAGGTTTAGTGCGTTAAATAACCGATGCAGCGCACAAATTATCACCAAATTCCCTTCTGCGTTCTGTTCCTTCAGAGCGTTCCTTTAGTGCTACGAACTACCTTCATTGTAAGCTTCGGAATCGGCTTAGTCCACTTAGCACTGATAAGGTCACTTTCATCTATATGAACAGTCGGGTGCTAAAGAGGCTCAAGACAGTCAAAGATAATCCGGCAGAACCGATGACTGTCAAAAACTGGGAGACAGTTGATGTTGCTCGGCTGATAAAGATAGAAAACGCCTTCCAAGACTCTATTGTTGTCGATGGTTGGGGTTGGGAAGAGACCGATTTGGAAAATAGTGGAGATGAAATAGACATTGGCCAATGAGAGGTTTTTGACATGTAAAATACCTCGAGGTTTCTGACGTCAAAAACCTTGGTCAGATAGGTAAATTACCGTTCGGTAAATTACCTCGACGGAACCCTAAAGTCAAGTCCAGTTCGCTTGAAAGCTGTTTGTCTCTCAAGTATTTTCTCTACTCTCACCATCCCAATTCATATCGCTTTATTTATTGACGAAGACGAAGACAAAGAGTCCAAGCGGTCGGTATCAGGGACCTGCGCCCAAACCAAAATACACGCCTGGACGGATGTACTAGCGACTTTGCAGGTCCCCTGCAGACCTTGACGTGGAGGCTCAACGTCCATGGCCCACCATTCACCCTTACGAGTACGTACGCAAGCTCAGTAACGAGCTCAATATCAATTCTAATCAAACGCCAGAATGGCGCGAGAAGAACGCGAAGCTGACGCGGGTGGGACAGGGCAGCTGCGAGACGAAGGTTTTTCGAGTTTGACTCAAGGAGATGATGCCCTTCAGCGCCCGATCATTGGCCAGCGGGCCGTTAGGAGGGCCAAACGGTGACGTTGAAGGCGGGGTCCAAGTCATGGACGCGGTGGTGGTGTGCTGATTGAAATAGATTGTCTCTTTGCACACAACTTGAAGGACTTCAATAGCTTGCACTTGTAACGCATGAATAAACACCAAGCGTCAATATGCCTACCGGGTCGTCTCTATTTGTAGGGGACGTTGAATACGAAGAATTAAGCTCGCCAGCTCCAGAATCAAGCATCTCCGCAGCCGTGCGGCCTCATTCACAGCAATCATTTTTCTCCACGTCCTCCTCCGCTTCTTCCGTGTCTAAGCCTCAATCTCAGTCGAAGAAACGTAAACTCCGCGCGCCAGAAACCTGGAAGCACTTCCGCGTGCCCCAAGGAGACGAAGAGACACACCAGAATAACCAGAGACTCTGGTATTGTCAACACTGTCACAATCCGCCATGGCGTACAGTCTCCACTACAAGCGCCAAACGGCATATGCGAAGTGGCCACTGTATTATCATTGACGATGAAGAAAGGCCACCAAGAAGGCACTTCAACAGTCTCTTGAAGTAGCATTTACACGTGTCGAAGAGAAGAACCGAAACCTAGTATCCCGTGACGAACAATCGATACTACGGAATGCGATCCAACTTGACGCATTCTACGAGGCTCAGATCCAACTTATCACAAGCCGGCGGCTCCCATTCAGCTGTGTCTCTTGGCCGGAATACCAAGCACTTCTCTGCGCAGTTAACCCAAGAGCTGAAGAGTTCCTTATTCAGTCAGGCAATACAGTAGTGGCTCATATTGAGCTGTCATACGTCATACATCGCGAGAATATCAAAGCTCAATTACAGGCGGCAAAGTCACAAGTCCACTTCAGCATCGATCTATGGTCATCACCGCATCGCAAGGGATTTCTCGGAATATGTGGGCAATGGGTTGATGAGCACTATGAACTCCGTGAGGCCTTATTAGGTCTACCGAACGTACAGCACAGTCACTCCGGAGAGACAATGTCACGGCACTTGCTGGACACCATACGGTATTTCAATATCGCAGGCAACATTGGCTACTTTACGTCAGATAACGCTAGCTCCAATGACACTTGCATGCGAGCTTTGTCAACGGCATTGGCGAACGAATATGGCATTGGATTCGACCCCATTGATCGCCGCGTTCGATGTGGAGGCCATATTATCAATCTGTGCCTCCAGGCGTTTCTCTTCGCCTCCAGCAAAGAGGCACTCAATGCTGCCATTGAAGAGGCAGATAGCAACGTAAATACCACAGTTGTTGAGTCTCTACAGGCGAAATTGCAGCAGAAGAGTAGCAAGGGCAAGCAGCGAAATGTGCCGGAGGATCGATCCGGATGGCGCTCGATGGGCCCCCTTGGCAAACTACACAATATCGCCGTGTTTATACAAAGTTCTACAATACACAGCGATGCTTGGGAGCGCCTGGCAGGCCGTGTACTCGGCATTGACAATGCAACCAGGTGGAATTCATGGTACATGTTGCTTCGTACTGCACTCGAGAAGAAAGACAAACTTATGGTCTTTCAACAAGATCATCATAAAGCCTTGGGCGACGATAGTCTCACACAGGATAACTGGGATGTCCTCAGATTGACGGCGGACTTCCTCCAACCGTTCTGGCAGGCTACGCAGGCTCAGCAGAAGAAGTGGTCGTCGTTAGATCAGCTACTTTACCACATGGATATCCTGCTCAAGCATTTCGAAGATGCTAAGGTATATACTAGTTGCGACCTTATTTAGCCTTATGGTACTAACTATTTATAGAAGACGTACGCCGATCATCAACGCCTTATCCACTCTATCCACATGGGCTGGTTTGTGCTTGATAAGTACTACTTTAAGACCGATGAGACGCCTGTATATTCCGCGGCATTGCTTCTCCACCCATCAAAGCGATTGAAGTACCTCCGCCAGAACTGGCACGTTGATTGGCATGACAGTGCAATCAATAAGGCTAGGCAGATCTGGAGTCAGTACAAAGATCTCCCTGTTACCACTTCTCCGGAGGAGGCTTCGGAGATCCAGATGACAGCGTACGATAAACTGGCGCAGTCGCTCGATGTGACGGAGGCATATGACGACGAGGATGAGCTGGAGAAGTTTATTAATGGTTCTCCATGCAAGATCGCAGTTACTCCGCTTGCCTGGTGGAGCAGAGAAGAGCAACGGATCGAATACCCCCGGCTACATAAGATGGCTATTAACGTACTTTCGATTCCGCCTATGTCGGATAAGGCGGAACGTGTCTTTTCAGGGGCTCGGCGTACTGTTTCGTATGACCGTGCACGCCTCGGGGCGGAGAACATTGAGATGACAGAGTGTATTGGGAACTGGAACAAGAATGACCTCATTCGGAAGGTGCACGTACTACCAAATGATGACAATTAGGCTGAAGATCGTTGCAACAGCAGCATGTCTTGCCACTTACTGATAAGCTAATCAATCAGTATCAGTAAACATAGTAATCAATCAATCAGTATCAGTATAGGCCTTATCAATCAGTACTGCTTGTTGAGAAGTCTGGGTAGCTGACGGCCTCCGTGGACCAACCGCGGGCGTGGAGGGCGTCGCGGACGACGTCAAAGCAATCGGGCGTATGCCAGGCGCCCGGCGCGAAGACGATGGTTGGCTTGCTGGTGGTGACCATGGTGAGGGGGTGGCGTTGCGACGAATGTGACGAGTCTCGAGCTGAAAAGTGAGTATCCTGGGGATCGACAATAAGAGAGAACATGTTTAGGAATATATATGGGGAATGAAGATGGGTGGCTGTAACGGCAGCCGTTAAAGCCCCACATGTTCCCGAGTCATGGCCTGCGACAAATCAAAAACTGGACGATCTGTCCTGCTTCTGTAGGTCCCCCGCAACTTGCGGCGCAGAAGTCTGCATGCCGGGCTCGAGTATCCAAACAGATCGGCCATAGTAGTGATCCGGGTTCGGGAGATGAGCTCCCCCTGAATGGTGGAATCAGGGATAAGAACAACCTGGACATGGAGATCCAATGGCAGGGTCAGACATCGAACGAATGGGAATCGAATCGATAGATTCATTCGATGCCAAGTCTTACGAATGTCGAATCGAATTTCTTGGCGTTCGATCAAAAATCGATCGATTCGGTCGAACAGGGCTACGCGATGTACGGAAACATGGCAGGGGGCAGGTTTAGCGTGATTGATTGACGCGTTAAGAGGCCACTGGCGCGATCCTCCGACGCGACGAGCGCAATTCGTTCATCGCCGGCCACGGTCCGGTGCTAGTGCTAAGATATGTTAGCTAGTACACCCACGCCCCCCGACTTGCCTATAGCATGGCAGGTACCCCACAACTACATCCATCATCCCGACAACAACCCACGATCAGGTGCTTTATAGAAATCCGACGGTAACCCATTTTGTAGCTTGGAATGAGACATCGATTCGATTTCCATGAGGAGTAAATGTTGTGTGGGAGACGTTGAAGTACGAGTTATCTGCGTAAAATCCAACTTCCGAAGTTAGGGGAGTACTAGGGCCCTCATATAAAGTAGGGGAGTACTAGGGCCCTCATATAAAGTAGGTGAGACACGTGGTAGCCTCTAACGCAGAGGTATAGGGTAGGCCCATCCCAGTAGCATGCTGCCATAGGCGAGACTAACGCATCCAAAAGATGCCGATTTTCAGCGGAGTCAAAAGGAATGCAAATACAAAAATAGCGCCTCTATATTTCTCTCACCGACAACTTTCTATTAGTCAATTTTGATATGATTAGATGAATCTTTTCCAATTTAGAGCTTTCTTATATTGACAAAAATGGGACTCATACCAGCAATCGTCGGGTACATGGCAGACGCCCTCTCTCGAGACATCTATCCGCATGCGCGAGAAGCCGCCGCTGCATCAGCCAGAACTCGCACTGATCTCTCCCCAGTACGTGGGATGTCGCGCATCGCATCGCTGTCGAGTCATATCTTCATCAAATCCCCGATTCAACACGTGCATCATTCATGTATGGACGCATCCATGCACGCCATATCCCCGTCAATTGTCAAGTTGGATGAGGACAGGGAAATCGCCGGACGCCAGACTGAGCACATTAAGTACATTTTGGCCCGGCACCTTCATTGTTTGCCCGCCGCTTGTTTGCCTGCCTGTTTGTTAGTGTGTGCTTGTTGGTAGCATTTTGTATGCTTGGCAGTGAGGGGCGGGAGCTGATCCTCTCCGTGATGGACGAAGCCCGGTTATGGGACTCTGGATTCTCTAGCCCTAGATGGATCGCGTATTTCGGCTACAGACGATAGCCTCGAGCTGCTGGCTGTGCGCGGCACGTAGCAAATTCTGCAAACTGGACAAGTGTCACGGCGTGATCCCGTCATCTAATGATCGTTCCAGCTGCTTCCAGAGAAGTTGAAGCCATTCAGCGTGATTGACTGGATGGCGGGTGCGAGTGCAAGCATGGGTTTGGTATGGGGGCGGCTGCGGTTGCGGTCACAGCCGTCCCGTTTGCAGTGAAGTGCCACGTTAGGGCATACTGGATCAAGAAAACCTCCACTGACGGGCCCTAGAAGGCATTTCTGCGTGCAGTACTTCCGGTCTTGTTCGCCGCCTCCGCGTGGCCGTTGGGCCAGAATCCGCTGACTGCGTCGAGCGCCCTGCCCTCCGCCATGTGATCGCCGTTCCGCCGGGCTGGGAGTATCCGGTGGATTGGGCGCCGACTCGTCATCGGATGATTCCGATGGATCCTTTAACGTTTCCTTTTCGACTTGATCAGCTCGATCAGGTCGGCGTCTCTTCCCGCGGAGGAGGTACGGTGATCGGTCGACGCCCTCGTAAGTGGTGGGTTTGTAAGCGGGTGAGCTGTCTGATGCCCGTCTTTCGCTTTCTGGAATTGACCGATGTGTCGTTTCAAAGTCTTCTGCCCACTTGCTCAAGTCAAGGGTAGCCTGTCGACGCTCCTCCTGCCCGTGCATCCGCCGTTCTCCTGGTGGGCCGAGGGCCATGAGGCTGAAAGCTAGATACTGACCCACGGCCGTACAGACGTGGAAGTGATTTGGATGGGCGGACACCTCGGGGCCGGGTTCTGCTAGGTGGTAATACAACGTTTCCGGTTCCTCCCAGTCGACCCTGAGAAACACGATCGCTTCGCCAGTGGTCAGAAGACCATACACAAGGCCGCCCTCAATCATATATTGATAGGTCTGCGTGCTGGAAATCGTCGTTCTCATCTCGGCCACCTTCAAGAGATACGCCGGATGGTATTTCTGAAGTCTTTTGTTTGCGAGCTTGGGCCTGATCGTCACCATAATCGGCTGCTCGACAAAATAAGTTCGCTCAAGGTGCCGTGACCATTGCCGGCTGGTGGGCCTTCATCGTTGGTCAATCGCTCGTCCTTTGGTCGCGCCTTCATCTTGTCCTCCAGAGTCGGCTTGTCCTTCGCAGTGTTCTCGCAATGATTATTGTCGACGCCATCGTCATACTTATTCCCCTTTTTCTTGGCACGACTTGGGACATGACTTTTGAAAGAGCCCTCCGTACATTCAGTGGAATCTTCGATACCCCACTTAGCCAATCCCCCCTAGCCCCGACAAGACATCTCTGGGCTATTATGTGGCCTTCCATGAGGACCAGGAAAGGCAACTTGAACTGTATTTGTTCCATTCAGTTCGTATACTCCCGTCACTCGTTGGGCATGAAACGGCAGCACTACTGCCGACATCAGTGAAACCCCCATTGCGATTCCCAAACCATTCCAACCACCGGCTGGGGCTGTGGCCCTGAGCTACCAAAAACACCCTGGTCGCATCTGGACAGGGAGGGCACATTTGAAATAGATTGGCTTGGCGCCGGGAGTGGTTCTTTTTGGAACGGCTCTAATACCATATCAAACAAATCATCTCCGACTTCCGACGACCTTGAGCCTTGCTGAAAAGGGTCGGTCCATGTTGGCGGGGCACTTTCCATCTCAGGCGTTTGGATGCTCAAGGAATCTGTTCCACTTGTTCTGCTGCCGCTTGAGCCCCTGTGGTGTGGAGGTGTGAGTCCGCCAGAGAGTTGAAAGGCCGAAGAGCAAGATAAGAGGCCATCGACGGACTTTCTCGCTTCGTTTGCAATGTATTTCTGCATGAGAACGCAGTTGCGTTCGAGGATGCGCCGTCGTCGGGGGTCCCTAGGAAGATCCTCGTCGTCATTGCTCTCCCCCTTTTGCTTTCGACGTGCCTTTGCAGGCTCTTTAGGTTCGACTTTGGGTTTCCGGCCTCGTTTTCTTGGTTTCGGTACATCCGAAACGAGTGCGGAGGCACCGGTTTCTGACAGGCTTGTACTTTCTTGCGATTTCCGTCGGTTTCGGGGTCGTTGATAGGCCATGTGGCTTCGAGATGCGGGGGAAGATGTGCTGATGCGAAAAGGTGGAGGGGTCATCAGGCAACCCGCCACAATTCAGGCACCAACCAACCCCCTCCCTCAGCTGGTTAGGCCATTATTGGCCAGTACATCGTCCCATGATACGGACTCTAGGAACTTCCGAGCAGCGAAAGGCATATTTGCCACTTCCACCATGACGCGTGACGTCAAACCAGTCTCAGCAGTCTATTCACTTCTATTAGCAATCGTGAAGCCGCCTCCAATGTTTTGTAGACGCCAAAACGCTGTCTGGCTATCGGGTTAGGGGCAGGTTAGGCATCGCTCAGAAAACAGACACATCATGGCCGTAGCCTGCGCTCAATGGCACATGAAAAATTCGAAGGCCATTATATCCTGGCACAATAGTTGGTCCAAACTCAAGAAAACGTCATGTGAGTAGTGCCCCCGAGGAGGACCAATAACATGCCGTTCAGGAGGCATGAGGCGGCGAAGGTACACTGCCCAGCCCCTCCACATTCCCGCCAAATTGATCAAGAGCAATGCCGTCTTCCATAACCTCTTGAACTGGTCGGTTCCCAGCTTGCGCATGTGAATGTGGCATTCTAACTGTCAGGGTTGATTCCTCGCACCAATGAACTGATCTGAAGCAGAGTCTGGTCCGTATTTTAAAGTTTTCTTGGCTGCACGCACAGTCAATTATACCAATTAAATTGTGAAAGTCAAAGGACACTTGCTCACACTTACGTATTCAACTGGTCATCTTCCAATAATCTTGTGACTTTTTTTTAGCGGATATGAACCTTCCACCACCAGGCATTTACAGTCTACGTAAACGTAGAATCATGTGAAAATACATTGGCTGTTATTTCTTGAGAATACCCATCTCAAACTCGTTGAAAATAATTTCAAAACCAGTTTCTCAGCTTCGCACTCGATTGCCCCGAAGAGTCACAGATGGCGGACTATGAAAATCCTGTTACAACCTCAAAAGCCAACCTTAACGGCACAGCTTTACAAAGGGTCGTTTCCCCAAGTCCCATATCCACGCTCCAAGTGTTTCGCTAACATTGCTAGACAGCACCTCCGCTTCTTCTCCCGCTCTACCACCCAAACTGATCTCATCTACCCCTGGGAAATATACGCCTCCTTCCGAGCCCTTGGTTTCAACACTCTCATTTCCCTTGTCTCTGTTCTCGATTTTACAGTACATGTAGGATATCCTACAAGCGAGGATTTAGTCCCGATAGGCTGGGTAGTGAAGGGGTGCCCGGTAAACGCGAAGAATATTGCGAGAGCAAAGCATGGCAGTGATACAGGAAGTTATGATCGTAACGGCGAGTTCGATGAGGCATCTTTCGAAAGGATTTGGAAGTTTGATATGTGAGTCATTTACTTTTCATGAAGGTGTAATCGCTTATATACCTTTTCTCTGAGCTTTATTTTACTAACGTCAAATCCGCCGACGATCTTAAAATCTAATAACTAATGTCTTCTCCGGATCTATAGGGACAAGAAAGGTGGCCTGTTCTTCTCCGAAATAATCAAGATGTGCGTTGCAAACAGAAACGTTTTTGATGTTGCAGGCTTTTTGTTCCAGCTCTTCCTCTGGGGCTCTTTATGGCTGTTGGCGGCTGATGAGGAAGGGGTTTTGAGGATGGAGGATGTGAGACGCCAATACGATGGAAGTCTTTTCTATGAGATCGAGGAGAGGAGGCGGAAAGGGGAGAGGCTGCCATTGTGGAGGGGAGGAGCTTTATGGTGAACCAGTTTTGAGTATGCCTTAGGCTCCAAAGCCCCGGGTGATTGACGGTGATGGCAGACGACCATGGTGATGATCCACGGGAGGATCCCCACCTCATTCATCTTTCTATTTGTCAGAGAGCCATCACAAGTGTTCTACTTTTTTCATCATCCAAGTTGATAAATGACAAGCAAAACGATTCTCCTCACGGCGATCAATAGGGGGACGGGTACCCGTCCTTCTAAAATTGGACGGGCCCGTCCCAGTTACTGTATTCGGCATCGCCCCCTCCGTTGTCGGACTGTCCATCGCGTCGTGTTCAAAGTATGACTCGACTCGATATCCAGTTTGCATGTCTGCAAATTCAACTAGAGCCGTCCCAAAATTATGAAGCTTTAGGCGCCTTGAACTAAATTGTGCTCTCATGGATTCGACACAAAATCGAAAACCGGTTTCGTTCGCCGACGACTGCCTCCCACCTGAAGGCGAATATGAGTCACGGGACGCCCTATTCCAAGCGATCAACGCTTGGGCAGCGACAAGGGGCTACGCATTCATAACTGGAAGGTCAACCAAGGAGAAAACCGGCAGGCAAACGATAACATATATGTGTGATCGTCGCCGCAACCATCCCGTTGTTCAAAAAGAGCGTCGACGGAAAACAACGACTCGAACAACTGGTTGCGAATTCTCGGTATTAGGGAAAGAGTCTCGAGACAAGAGTACCTGGATTCTACGGCATCGTTCTGACTGTCAAACGAATTCCGCCCCAGCCGAGGAGGCGTCCCGACCAACTTGGGCACCATTGTTGTGTATATAACTGGGACCTTCGTCCTCTTGACTTGAGCAGTGAGTAAGGCCAAAAATTGACTCTCAATAACCCTCACATGCATGGCATCTTCCTACTCACTTTGACAGTCGCCACGGTACTAAACGTCCCAACAATTGCCTGTGCTCCCGCTTTCTGAACCCTGTTGATCGGTCCTTTGAGTCTGTCTTTGACCCGATGCATCCACACTTCTTGATGGTATCTTGGGGTTCAGAATGAGCAGTGGATGTACCATCGGGTGCCCAAATATCCAAAGCAGGGTGCCCATGTATCAGTCGCCGTCGGGACCCGCGAGTTCTTAAGTCACGGGGCCCCGCGAACCTAGGCGCCGCCCAGGAGAAGGGAATGCGGCAGTAAACTTTGCTAAAGGCGAAAAGACAGCTATTAAGGAAAGCCAGAATTGACCCCTCCATCTTAATCACACACGCAAGCCATCCTTCGTCTGGATCTGACTCTTCAGGACGTTTGCCGTATGAAACTTAAAATAACTCGAGGTTTCGGCCACGTGTCCTCCCATATTTGCAGGCGTATCGCGGCTGGCAGCTGGGAAAACTTGAGAAAGGTTTGATCGAGCACGTACCCCCCTACCCCTACCGAGGCTCGCCGCCAACCGATGGACGGGCCACAGGTGCCAGATGATTGATGGGAATGGCGATGGGAATTTTTGGAATGGGACGCAGTTCGGTCGCGCTCGTCTGAGGCGGCGTACAAAGAAAGGAAGCTCAAGATGGCAGACACGATCAGATCGCGGCGTGAAGATGAGGAATGCGACTGAAGTAACCGTGAAGAATGGGAGGCAATAAGTCATCCCTGGTGGACGGATCAAGACCAGCAGGGACCCAGACGCTTCCAAGGACTCAAAGTCAAGCGCGACCACAGATGAACCATGATCTGCTCTCGCACCTCGACGTTGTCGGTGTTGGCAGGTCAGGGAATTCGTCTACTGCAGCAAGGGCTGAGCCACTCCCTCCCCAGATATCAGATATCAAGGCCAGCGACAAAGGAGCCGTCGCAGGCGGGAGAGACAATCGGCCGCATCAAGGGCCGCGGCATCCCACACAAGATCTGCCAATGGCCGGCTCAGCAGGAACGCCACCAATAGCAGGCTTGTTTTTATGTGTGCCGCGCAATGGCGAGCTTAAACGTTGCCCCCAACTCGCATGACGTGGTCACAATCTTAGGGTAGAGAGATCGCGAGAAATTTATAAATAAGGGTCTAGATCTAGTGAGATAGGGCAATGAAGAACATGATTTCATTAATCTTGCATTCATTCTCATGACGTAGCAGGCACTGCGAAAGCTCGTCCAACAGTTGACCCAACACACGACTTCGCGACGTCGGCGGAGCCCCTTCACCTGCGCTCGACATGCCGCTTGTCAACTTGGCTGCAGCACGATTACGACGGTATCGGCTCGCGAGGTCTGGAAGAAGACAATCCGCGCTTGTCCACATCAATCATTTACTTCTTATCTGCCATCTGCTTCTACCTTAGCGGTCTTTCGTCATCGTCGTCCTTCCTTGCCGATCCGTTCTCGTCGAAGCTATCTGCAACACTACATGTGCTTTCCCCATGATTGCTTGTCGCAGCGTCGACGTCGATGCGATTGTCTTCCGTGGTATAAATAGCCACCCCCACTTGCAAGCTTGAAGATGAAGATTCGCCAAGAAACCCCGTGTCCCTCTTCGTCTTTGACCGGCCATTGAACGCAGCTGGTCCTTCCTGCAACTCGATAGATACTACATCAACTCCGCGAACAGTACGAATTCCATCCGTGGAGACTCTTGTCCTGCTATACGTGGACATGAGGTTTTTACTTGGAACGCTTCCCTGTCGCGCTGTCTCAAGGTTGCCAAAAGTGTTGTTGGAGGTGACACCACATTGTCGTTGTCTGGCAATTTTCCCTATCAAGTCTGCCATTGACATCTCGATCTTGAGCTTGACTATGTAGGCGAAGGGATGAAATTGCATGTAACTGAAATCATAGTTAGGAGTGTCTCCCATTATCTATTCCGCTTTTCCTCGTGAAAAGTTTGTCGGTTCATGCGATGTAGGGTAATATAATGGAGTTGACTTACACGAACGTGTTATGCAAGCTCATCATAGATATAATAAGGACATCCATGCTGAGGGAGAATCCGACGATGCACATATTGAACTTGACCAGACTCTTATACTTGATTAGGCCATTTGCCACCAGGTTCCGTTGAACAACGCGAATGAAATAGAAATTGAGTGCTCCGTCGACAAGTAGGTAGATCCCCTTCTCGATACGGTCCCACCACTCGTTTATCCAGATATATTTCTCTGAGATCTGGAGACGGGCGGGGATCCAAATATTATAGACCGAGATATTAACGGCGGTGATTAAGACCGCAACACCGACCTTAAGACGGTATGCCGTTTTCCGATCTGCGAGTAGGATAGAGCAACGATTAATGATAATTTGGAGAAGAAATTGAACCTAACATGGTTAGAATCATTGATAAACTTCGGAAGGGTAAGTGGAGCATACTTACTTGAAGTGCCCATGTAGTAACTACAGAGGTTATTATCGTTCTCTTGGCGACTTAAGGTGCTTATAGACTGCTTACGAATGCAAAAGTAGAACGCGAAACTAGATGATTCAATCTTTAGTACCTCCTTCAAACACATCACCAAGAGATCCCTCCTCGCACTCTCAACTGCCCTTACCAGCAGGTGTCGATTGCCATGTCGCCATGTTCGATTACCAGCAGGGTCAGCATTTCCAGCATTACCTTGACTATCCAGATATGTTCGACCTATTGCACCAATAGGAAACGTGGGCTGTGCGAGGAGGAATCATCTAACACACAGGGGATCAACGCTTACCTCGGGGGGATTATGCCTTTCAAGTGCAACCAACAGATAATGCTGAAGATGAGGCATACAAGAATCTCGAGCCAGATCATCCAGATATAGGCACTGCGGAATACGAGAAGGCCGCGTCTCTCGTAAATACGTTTTGTTTGCTTCATGGCTGTCCAGGTGGTGAGCCATCCAAAGCCAATCGTGAAGCCCCAGGCCAGCGAAGCAAGAGCAAGGTCATCTTCGGTGACCTCTTGGGGGACAAAATGGGGAGAGAGAAGTGTGATCATTATGAACCAAGTATGGGTTGACATCAACTGAGAATGACCATAAGTTAGCCAGATTCTAGTTCCATTCAGAAGAGGCGTCACAATTTAAATGAAGGACGATAATGATTAAGATAGGTATCCTTGCCTATGGTATTGGTGTATGATCAGCCGCCAGTCAATAGCTTAAGCCACAGGAGCTAAAGTCCAGCCCTCGTACGGATCTAGTGACAAAGCACTGACTTGAGTACGCCGTGACGCCCGCAAGCATCCCCGGCCTCTGCACAGATTGGCTGGAATTCAAGCCTTCCTCCCCCCTGCCTGAATATCGCCCACCATTAACAGCACAGGGGGCTTCGGTACCTGAAGGCGACTCCGGTTAGAAAGCTTCTCGAGCTTCATCGAGCTTCACCAAGCTTCCAGAGAACACGGCCTTGCCGAAGGTCTGGATGCGGCACCGACGTTGCTTGTGGAGTGGCGTAGCGTTTGGCGCCACGCTAAAGCCAACTTGTATTTCTGGGAAACTCCGGGAGGGAAGTGTGGCGTAACCCGGGCTAAGTGATCAACATAGAATGCTGAATGACTTTCAGGTTGAAGCATCACGATAGGACTAGCGCTCTAGGGTTAGAGGCTGGAGTGGTTGAGTGTCGCGAGATTGGATGCGATTCCTAGTAGATCTGACGATACCTTCAAGTTAGCATAACATCTCGTCGGGTCCTTCCTCTGTACATTTCAGCACCTAATGTGCAATCTCCAGCCTGGTAGCCCCCGTCGTCGAGAAGAAAATTAAGAATGAGCAAACCGCCGACCATTGCTATGGAGAGAGCGATGAGCGCCAGGCTGTCGGTGTAGTTCCTGATTTCCGCGGCGCGAAAGAATCAATGTCTTAGACAGGCGTTGCGAGAAGTCATTTGCTAGAATAGCTACTCCACGAATCAATCCTAACGCGCCGCGAGCCGCTGATATCCAGACGTCATGCAAGCGTGACATCTTCTGCTCTTAGCGCTTGAGAGACGAAAACCTTGTGGGTGGGTCATGAGTCGTAATATCGTGAGTCACGGTCGCTTCATAGGAATGAAGCATTCAGAGGACAAAAGTTGAAAGGGGCGAGCCAGGTGGCGCTGTTCCGTTCGCATTCCAGGAGGGCGCAGTGCGGGGAAGCGGGTACTGGGGCTGCTACACTGTGATCGACGCTCTCCTTCCATGATGCCTTTTGGATGCCACTTTGTGGCTTGCGGAAGGCCGGTACATCGCCCCGGCGGAGCTTCCCGTGCAGGGGAGTGAAGTTTGTGTTTGCGCTACTGTCCGTTCCACCGCATTCTGCTGTTGGGCCGCTGGGTGTCGGGTATGGTCCTGAGTTAGTGACGAACTGTGGCGAGAAGACAGTGTTTCTAGCACTGATGAGAATCCTCGTCCATCAACTTTCGTTATGTTACGTGGAGATCAAGCCGTTGCCGTTGTCTCTATGTCATAGTACGCAGCTCGAATTTCCGCGCAGAAAGGCCGAGGCCATTTCTACCGCCGAATTCTTCCGCTGATTGGAAGCCCCTTTGCAAGAGGGTACCTTTCTGTCATGTTCATCCGTGCTATAAATGGGCATGTTTCTCCGTCAACCCATATCATTCTTGGTTGTCCGGGCTACGCGGGGCTGACACTCGGTGGCGTCAGCTGGCTTTTGGGGTAGGCGATCTCACTCTTCAGCAACTGACAGAAGTTCGGGCTGGAGCCATCCACCTATTCTGCGGTATTTCCCGGCAGGAAAACAAACGCGCTCCCGCACTTGGTCTCAGTCGGCAACTTGTGTCCCAATGTGCCTTGTGACTCTCACTTTCATCGGGGGTCCTGGGTGCACGGATCAGCCGGAGGAGTCTGACGAAAAGGGGAATACGGGCAACGGCAAACATCATGATCGACAGCATCTATCCAGCCAGGATAGCACTAAAATCGCTTTTGTCGAGGGGATTAACTTAAAATCCAGTAATGCTCCGGCGCACAGACAAGCCACGCTACGGACTTGGCCCAATACTTCAGCAGACTAGACACTTGGTCGAACAATGGTGCACCACGGAGACCGTCATTGGTTCCGCGATCCCGCCATAATGCGGGGTGTGCCAGCTGACGTGTGAGTGATTACGGCATTCGGCACTTTGCCAGGGGATGATCCGCAGGCAGAGGGTGAATAGATGGAGCTTGGTAGGAGAGTGAGAATTAGAGTGAGAATTAGAGTGAGAATGAGAGGAAGAAGGAGAGGCAACGTAAAGTAAGTGGTTGACGGTTCAGTTGTGCAGCTGGCTCTGCCCCTAGGGGCAGCGGTCCGTGCGCACGTCAAGGTCAGGTCAGCTGAGAAAGAGTGAGGGAGAGGTAAGGGAAGTAAGGGTGGTAAGGTGAGTGCATGTAACAGGAGACGCAAACCGGAGCGGTTTGCCCAAAAGGGCCTTGAGGAACGAAGTCAAGGACGAAATTTGTCTAGACCGAAGTCAGGATGAAGATTCCATTCGTTGATATGACCAGCTGGTGATGGAAGTTTGGACCATCGGTGCCAGGGGTGAGACTTTAAATCCACGGGTACCCGTGAACCTATTGGCTCCCCTTTTCCCCTTTCCTTTTATCCGTAATGCTAGCCTATTACTAGGTCGAACGTAAGGCTTGATTAGTCCTGAATGAGCCAGGGAGCCGTTCTGGAAGACTTCCCAGCCTTAAAAATTGCCTCCGATAGCTCTTTCGATCCTCGAGCCAGGCCAGGGTGGACGAGACGAAGCCGTTCTGATTCGCAGCGGCGTTGGTCGCCGACACGCCCACCGGGCTGACTACCTCAATGACGGCCTTAGTGGCGAGGGTATACAGCCATAACCCTGAGGCTTGCTTGACCTCGATGGCACGGTCTTGGTAGTTCCCGGTGTCGACGCATGCCTGGCCGTATTCGGAGAATCAACTGTATAGTCCGGCACTGTAGATGAAGATGTCCGATGAACCGATGATCGGACAGCCCAGGACATGGCGCATCTCTTGGACGAGGGGGCGCAATCTTCGAACGTCGGGTCGCTGGGGAAGCCGCCCGGGACGAAGGGCGCCGGAGCCGGGCACCGGCTGGAAGTACGGGGTCTCGGTCTGGATCATACTCAGGAAGACCTCTTTGGCGTTGGAGAACTGATATTGGTAGAGGACATTATGCTCTGATGCCGCGCCCCAGAGCCCAAGTCGGTCTTTGACTCTCCACTAGGATACCGCGACTGACGTAGATGTTAGCCCATGCCTATCGGCCAATCTCATCAGATACCTTCTCACCTTTCCTGGCCGCTTCCACTGCCAGCGGGATTGTTAACCATGAAAAATCGCAACATCAACCATCCTGTTCTGCCGCCGGTTTGGTACGGGTTCAGCCCTGATTACATTCCACATCTTGTCGAATAACAGGGCCAGGCTGATCAACGGACTCGGTTACCATCCTTGTCGTGCTTGTCGTAGATGGCTGTGTATCCGCGCGCGGGGCCTTGGCAATCTTGACCAACTTTCCGAGGATAGCGAACTCCAACTTCAGCTTAATACTGTAAACCATCGGCTTGATTGTGACTTGGACTGCGTAGTAACCCGCATATTGAATGCCGATGACGGATGCGTCCAGGACGACTATGATGACGTTGATGATGAGGAGTTGCCGTAAGATGATCTGGGACTGACGGCCGGGGCGAAAATTTTAACGGTTTCCCAAATGTATATCGTTGATAATATTATCTCCTGCACGCAGAATACGATCAGCTGTATTCGCTCCATGGTATCATATCCTTTGACAAAGGGCGCAGGGGGGTTTGGCGAATTCGTGCAGAACTGGAGGACCGAAGTAGGGATATGAAGGACGATGGCGTCGATCATAATCATCCACAGAGCAGCCCGTAGGATCTTTTCGCTGTGGGCGACCAGGTGAAGCCGCGACCATAGAACCATAGATTGACCTGTAACCATTCCAACCCAGCTCACATCCACTATGGCGATATTGAGAAAGCCGATCCGAGAGAGGTGGAACAATTTCAAGAGAAAAGCAAGGGCGTGTAGAATAATACTGAAAGAGGCGACAAGTAAACACCAGAAATAACGCCCTCTGTATCTTTTGAATGTTGCAAAAATAAGCACGAGAAGTTCCAGAGAGTTGTAGAACGCGACCGCGATGAAGGCGGCAAACATGCACAGCTGCGCAATACTACCGCCTGTATACGCTCCCGTAAGGCCTCCGGAATCGGCAGAGGGCGACATGGTGATGGATGCAGTGAATGAGAACTAAGAAGACAGAAGGAAGGTCATCCCTATCTTATTTCTAAGACGAATTCGGGGCTCTCGAAGGGAACAGCACACTCGAGAAGATGTGGCTGGCTTATGGCAAGGTTTGGGCAATTGCTGCGTAACACACCGCCAGTCGAATCAACTCAAAACGGTGGCGCGCGTTGGTACGGAGTAGTGGAGGGGTGACGGAAATGCCGCCGAATTGCCAAGCGTGGCGTTAAGCATCATTGGTGCCCGCCATGCCTAGAGAGGACCTACGACAGCCCAGTCAAATGCAAGAAGTTGCAAACCGCAAGCGGTGCGCCCAAAAATACAGAGCCAGCCCGATAACGGCACAATCGGCCACGGTTCGGCAGTTATGCATAGCACGCTGAACCGTTCCTCAGTCCGGGGCAGCGGTCCCTCGACAAACGTCCGGTCCGGCCCGTCGACATCGTTCTAAGAGGCAGGGAGGCAGCTAGTCGAGTCGTTCACGCTCAACAAGAGGCAGAGCATCGCCCTCCGATTTATATACCGCCAATTCGACCGGGTACGTCGCGACCAGCAAAGGACACCTCAGCTCTACTAATTCGTCGGCGGCGAGGGCAGCACCGGGAAATTACGGGTCTAAGGATGCGACGGCGCGCGGAGTCCGGCGCGCCGTTATCGACGGGATCGTAGCGTCCGCCTCGACGGGCCTCCGAATCGAAGGGCAGACCACGGCAGAGTGGCAAGAGACATAGCTGCTGATCTTCGACGAGGTCAGCCTATTGGGCGTACGCACGCGATATGCCGTGCAGCCGTGGACGAATAGCTCCGCTGGCTTCGTGAGTCCCTTCGGCGGCATCGAGGCGGCCCTTTTCTGCGGGGACTTCCATTAGTTTCGACCGGTGCAGGAGAGGTCGATCCTCCTCCCGAGCTCGATTATTCCGTAGGAGGGAGACGATCGCTTCGGCCCGGAGCAGAGGCGGCAACACGACAAGGCTCACACCCTCTGGAAGAAACTCACGACGGTGGTCATACTAAACGAATAAGTTCGAAAGATCCACGACTGAAGGGGCTGCTGACTCGGATCCGACGAGGAATACAAGACCAGTCCGACGTCGACATGCTGAACAGCACGTGCTACCGGGAAGGCAGGCGGATCCCGTGGGAGTCGGGCATCACGGTGGTGACGCCGCTGAACAGGAACCGCTGGAACCTGAACATTGAGGCGACACTCGCCTCCAGAGGCAATGGCAGGCCCCACTCCGTATCTTCGATTCCGAGCACAAGAGGAAAGACGGCCAACCGACGGAGGAGGAAGCCCTCATGATGTTAGGCCAGGGCGACGACAGCGCCATCCTGGTGCCAGACGTCTTCATATTCGTTCCCGGCATGCCCGTCATCGTGAACCACAACACCCACCAAGGTCTAAAGCTGGTCAACGGTGCCAGCTATACGGCAGTGGAAGTCGTTCTCGACAAGGCGCACCCGGGCCATCCGATCGACGCCGATATCGTGCTCCACTTCGGCCCGCCGGCGGGGATCGCGCTGGCATCGGAGACGACGAGAGACTTCCGCTTCGTCGGTATGCCTCCCGGTACGATCCTCCTGACGCCCATGAGTATCAAAATAGAGCGCCAGAGAAAGCGGCCATGGCAGCAACACGACGTCTCCCGCAGGGGGCTGCCATGCGCACCGGCGTTTGCGTGTACAGACTACAAGGTGCAGAGCAAGACATTAGACTGAGTGGCACTCGAACTTCGGGGAACGAGGACGACGACCATCGACGGCGAGGCGGTTCTTACGCAATGCGACCCATACAGCCTGTACGTGCAGCTGTCGCGGTGCAGGACGCTCGACGGCATCATGCTCCTGTCCAAGGCGCGAGAGCGTGACTTGGTGGGGAACACGGTGCCGGCGGAGATGGCCCAGGCTGAGCAGATGCTGGAGCAGTTGAGCGAAGAGACGATTAGGGAAGCGGAATCATGGGCCTGGTCGGAAGAAATTTGAATTGACCTTTCCGAACTCAAGAGTACGCATTTCTTCCTGGATCCACCTGGGAGCCCAACATACATAAGCCCGAGCTCCTCTTTAAGCACGGCATCCACGTACTTGCGATGTTCGGAAGAATTTGCGAAGCTGCTTGTGTTGCGAAGCACCGGAGTTTGTTGGAGGGAAGATGCTAGCGCTGGGGGTGGCGGGGTGGATTCGGTGACTGCGTTGCAGTGGTCCCAGATAAGCGCATCGTCTGGATCTCCGGCGAGGGAGAGCGTTCCCTTCGTGCGCCGAAAGAATCGCGGTCCTCCTCGATCTGATTGAGCTGTGATCCTCGAGACAAGTCTCCCGCTATCTGTGGCACAGCAGGGGCTGGTCCATCGGGGGTAGGAGGGATTCGACTCGTACATGAGACCATCGATTTGGGCCGTCCTAATGAAAAAGCTTGTTCGACGTCAGTTCTCAGACCCAGGCCGGCTGGATTTTGTTCGAGTGAATCACATGGTTCTGACCCCGAGTCTTGAGACATGGAACGGAAGTAATTTGACCGGCCCTGGACGATCAGGGGACTCTCCACCGTCAACGGCGGTAGCCTGCTGAATCTGTTACCCTCCTTGGTGCTCTCTTGCAACTGTTTCGCGAGGATGCGGCTCTGCAGGACAAATGCGTCCAGCGGGGAAAATTCAGGGAGTACCTCTCCGGCGACATGCAGGCAGGGCGACCGCAAAGGCCGTGGCGAAGTCGAGCCGGTCGAGTTCTGTGAATTGGACCACAGGTCCAACAAATTTGGGGGCATCGCCATAGTTCCTTTGTTTTTGTAGCGCTAAGCGTCGTAGCCGATTGATCCCATTCAGATAGTGGCGATGGATGAGGTTTCCAGAAAACCAGGTTCTCACAAGGTCTCGATTGAGCTCGAATTTGACATTGGCTCGAAGGTGTCTCGGTCGGGTGTGTTGTCACCCCCTTTGTTGGCTGTTGCCAGGAGCTCAGGAAGTCGATAAGCGAATGGGGCGACAATTTCCTGCGAGTGTTGCGATGGTGAGGTGTGCCGCGCATAAAGCGATGAGGTCAGGTCGGACCCATCTAAACACAGTGGCTAGATAGAGCAACCACTAATGTGAGAATGGTTCGAGATGGTCAGTTAAGAGTGATGTTGCCGTGATGGTCGTCCAAGAGTTGGCACGCGCTGGCAAACGAGGCGCAGATTGGGAGCGAGGATCGGCAACAGTAGCGGGCGTGGGTTGTTGGGCACATTTGTTGCGCCCCAACGTTTGTGGCGGCGTCAACTCCCCGAATTCGAAAGGAAGCCATTGAGAGCATGCAGGAGGTCATTGCTGCAGGGCATCGCATTGAAGCAAAAATATCCTCACTCTATCCGTCGCGACCCGCTCACCTCCTTCAGGCGCATCCTCCCCGCATCGGCCAGGGCAAACGCTGACCCTGTACAGACGTACGGATGGCGCTTTCAAAAGTTGTTGCTCAAGAAAAAGCAACGATTTTAAGGCAGCCAATCAGAAGAAAGCTGGGTACATGGAGTACTTCATTTATTTTAAAGCTCGTGCAAGCTCATGAGTTTTAGCGGACGAGAGAAGGCTGCCTGGCCAACGATGTATCTCAAGTAACCGATGGAGGCGTGCCAGATGTCGAGACGGCGTCAGAGGCAGTCTTCCGCAGATGTACCGAAGGCGACAATCCACTCTTGAAGGAGGGGAGGAGCGGATGACCAGCAGGAGCAAAAGAGGGCAACGTGCTGACTTGGTTTGGCACAAGTAATCCCGAAGTTTGAAGCGTTCGCAGGCGGCCGCATTTCGACCCCGGCACATCGACGAAGCTGTTGGCGCAGCCATAGACACCTCTGCAAAGTTCCACAGGCAAGCGCAGTATGGATATCGGCTTCGTCAACAGCGACATCATATACAAGCCTGAGTCTGAGGAGGGTTCCAGATATCGTGTGTGTTCCAGGACCGGTGTGCCCGCCTCGTGTATTCATCAATCGAACTATTGAGCTCCAACTGACCGGGCGTAAATCCAACCTCATTCCTTCCAGGCTATACCTTGTTCTTTTCTGTATGAACTTCGTCCCCGTTCCACGGGTGTCCTCCTTTTCCGGCGAGCGTAAAAGGACTGTCTATCGACTCCTCGTTGTCTCTCCCGCCCATCAGTCTCAAGTAAGCTGCCTCGGCATCTTCGCTACACGGATAGGTCATCTCGCATCCAAACCAATAGTCATAAAATGCGTCGTAATCGCAATCTTCCGTACCAACTTCTTGATCTCTCTCTTCATTGTTGCACTCGCCCATCAATCTCTGGTAAGCTACCTCGCCATCTTCACTATATGGAAGTGAGATATCGTCTTCAAATTGATCATAAAATTCCTCCACTTCGCGGTCACGCTCCTCCAATGTCCAGTAAGTAAGCTCCTCCTCGATTTCGTGCCAGTATCCAGTAACTGGCTGACGCGAACAAGGGTGTCAATTCTGGCATCAGGGTGCGTTTCGAGACATCGTGTTCCCCCCCCCTCCCCTCTTGTCCTGAACAGCCTGTATTCGACACCCTCTTTTCAAGCAAAGGTTTAATTTTCGTGCATTGCAGGGGTTGTTCCAAGCTGGGTAAGCTCTTCCGCGAGAACTTTGCCAAGTACGACAGCGAGGCTACCGAGGACGTCATCGCCGCACCGCTAGTGTGATGATGTTCGACGTACCGTATAAACTCGGTTAACTCTCCCAAGTAGCACCTCCACTTTATCTCCACATTTCCACTGTTAACCGCAAAAATGTGCAGAAGTGTCCATGAGTAACTAATTTCATTGGTTGCCCATTGTTTTTATGGGGCCGCTACTTGGGCGAGATAACTGAGTTTCTACGGTAGTTGATGCTCGCCGTCGGTCTCGGTTGCATGGAAAGTATCAGCGGTGTTGATCCGAAAATAAATCAACAGTCAGCGCTCGTCCTCATGACAGTCAGAATGAATTCGCATTGCTGTCTACTTTAGCAGCCCCTGCTTTTCCTTCTCTCCGGTATCAGTGTACCGTGGCCAAAAGTCATCGTCCTAAATGATTCGTCCTAGAATACTCTAAATTGTCGTTGGTTGACGGAGCTACTGATCTCGTGAACCCTGAAGCCTGTTGTTCCGTCTCGCTAGTTTTCTGCTTCTTCAGGCGCCCTAGGCGGCCGTGGTCTTGTCGCCGGATGGGCATTTCCATGCAACAACTAGGGCACGAACTCCAGGAGGACAACCAACTCACCAGCTCTTCACCATCACAATCTTCGTTTCCTCTGTCTTCTTCGCCCTTCCTCCCTAGGAAACCCCTCACCCGCACCATGACCATCATCGTCATCACAATCACTGCCCGGGCTCGTCCCTCTCTCCACTACTTCCTAGACGCCAGGGTCAGCCTCCGCGCCAGATCAGCTCTCTCCTCCCTCGCCTGACGACAAACACCACACTCGCCCTGAACCACGTCACCCGTCACCCCTCGACACAAACTTTCCGCACATGGCCCCGCACGGCGTCCACCCCACGGACTATTCACCCACGCGCCGCCCGCATACCTAGCAGATGAGCGTGCCCAGGTTGGTGAAGCACATGCTGGTCCTTTTGTGTGTGTATGTGTGTGTATGTGTGCGTGTTCTCGGCGTAAGAAAGAAACAAAGGCGGTCACTGAAGGTGCGGCCGAGTGGGTTGGGGTGTCGAACACGTCCGCTCAGGTAATGTCTCGCTCCAGGGATCAGAGTCCAGACAGCAAGTCCCAGAGGGCTGCTTGCCCAGATAGCGGGTTGAATAGACACAACCCCCAAGATATCTCGCCGGATAAGATGGTTGTATAGAGGAATATCGACAACATCGTACTGGAAAATGACGGGGCATGCTCAAGTAAGATGCAATCTGCCGTGGACATTCTTCAGGTGGAAGAGGAATGTCGCCACTACCATATCACAAAGTGAAATAACTGTTCTCGGCATTCATTTTGTCAGGTGAAACACATAGTCTCCAGGCCCACATCTCATTCGGTATAGCGCACGGGACACGGAAAGGCGGACGGTTGGAGATGGACAGAGAACCCGTTCTAGACTCGGCCATTGTTAGGATCACCCCATTCTTGGTTTCAGAGTGGCGTGATTCTCACGTTCACTTTCCTTGGGCACTCGAATTCGAGCTTGGAAGGGCAGGTCACTGTTCACGTTTCCAACCAATCAGGGTGGTTGAAGGAGAAAAGAGAACACTTCCCAACCTCCTTTGCGCCTCAATATCCAGCAATGTCCCAAATTGGTTTAAGATCAGCCCCATTTTCGTTCCATAGTGGCGACTTGGTTGGCTCCCGGGTCCGCCCCGATTCGCCCCCTTGGATCGTGTGTGCCGGACTAAGCAGGGTAGCAAGATTTTTACCTGAGGCAACTTCCAGCGTAGCTAACACAGGGATTTTGACAGGAGACTTCAGCTGCCCCAATAGCCTTCCGTACCGTCTCCCCAAGCGATGTCGACAACGCTAAAGCGGCGAAATTTTTTTCGGTTTTTGGTTTTTGGGCATTTCTCCTTGGTTTTTCTGGGGAACTGACTCGAGCACCACCCCGCGTTCCCCAGAACGGGGCCCCAGCCGGGTGTTGCGGAGCGATGGAGGCCATGTGGACCGACTAATTTATTCTCACGTCACAGATGCCCCTAGCACGAGATGGTAAGTGATCCTCTGCGTGCTGTCGACCCACTGTAAAATGCATGAGAATTCCACCTTGCTCGAAACGCTCGGTTTTTTTCGGTTGCGCATGTCTCATCACAGTCCAGTGCGGTGACAATGAGACTATCGAGCACCTCCAAGTGCAGCTTTGCCCGGAGGGCTCAAAGCACCTATGACGCCGAGTCCGTCATGGTCATTGTATGGTTTCCATACGTTTGAGTTATGATGGTTGCGCTGACACAGCTATCGCAGGCCTGCTCGACTTTATCTTTATACAATGCGCTCGAACTCCTTGGCCTCATCATGATGACCTTTAAACGACGCAAGGGACTCTACTTTTGGAGTATTTCCCTGGCGGCCTTTGGAATTATTCCGTATTGCATTGGCTTGCTCATTATTCACTTTAATCTGACCTCTGACTGGGTCGGCATGGTTATTGACTCGCCTGGCTGGGTGCTTTTAGTATCCGGACAATCAGTAGTTCTCTATTCGAGACTGCACTTGGTCCTCAACAACCAAAGGATACTCCGCGCCGTCCTTTGGATGATTATCGTCAACGGTGTCGTTTGGCATACCTCGATAACGGTTGTCTTTTTCGGGTCGAGTTACAGTCCCGCGCAAAACCGACGCGGCTTCAACTCCGTATACAACGTGCTCGAGAAGGTCCAGATGACGTGTTTCTGTCTCCAGGAATTCATCATCTCTGGCCTCTATATTTGGAAGACCTTGGAATTCTTCAAGACAGCTTTCGGGAGAAAACGGCGATTCATGTGGCAGCTTTTCGCCATCAATATCTTCATTGTGGTTATGGACACCGGACTTCTCGCTATCGAATACAAAAGTCTATATCTCTGGGAGCAAGGAGTTAAAGCCGTCACATACTCGATTAAGCTCAAGCTCGAATTTGCGGTTCTAGGAGAGCTTATCGAATTTGTCCAACATCGGGGAGACAATAGTTCCGGGGATCCGTACCATAACACGGCCGCATTTGTGGAGCTTTCTGGTAGTCGGACACAAACGGGTGATAGGAAAGGGCGGTCGGTAAGCAGGCTTGAAGCAATATACATGGAAGACGTGAAGCCCGGCGTTGCGGTTACTACAACGGCGAGAAGGGCATCATTGCATCCAACTAAGGCGCAAGACGGGATTCGGGTCACCACGAGGATAGATGTGGAGAACTGCGGATTGGATCGGGGAGATGATGAGAGTACAGACCAGCTTTATGATAGTGCCATCCAAGAGATAGCGAGGAGGTAGCGTAACTGTTCATATTCTTAAACATATTTCTATGTACTTAAATAACTTAAACATATATTAATGCAGCCATGATAAACATGTTAGCACATTATGATAGTCTGTCGATCGCAGTAATTATCCTGCGTGGGTGACAGGCTGGCCGGGTGAGATTTCCTCTGTGGTTTGTTCAATTGTGCGGCAACCTGCTATGTCACTTTGCGCCATCTCCCCTTGAGTACCACATGAATTGGAAATATTGAAGGTCGCTGGATGCAGTGTAGCGTTGCTCCCAGTGTGTAGGTATTTTGATGCCAAAACTGGTCGCTAAGGTTGGTTCTGCGCCTTCAGCCATATCCGCCCCGCCCGTAAGACTCGACCCCTACGACCGGCCTATTGTGGCTGCAGCCGGTCAAACAAGCCGATGATAGGGTCTTCGACAGGGGTTTCCATTAAAACCAAAACGGCATCGACGCAGTTTTCTCTTTCCCCGGAGAGGAGATAATGTAGATCATCCCATCAAGGTCCATGGTCCCCGAGCTTTTGAAGCTGGCTAAAGGGCACTTAGCGATGGTACGAATGCGAGGGCAATGACCTCCAAACCAAGGCCGTTTCTGACTTTTGTCTTTGAGTCGAAACAAGATGCGTGTAGGCCGGGTTTAATTTGATCATCTCCCTGTATCGTCATCATCCGGTAATTTCTCTTCCATTTTAAAATCGAGCCGATCAAGTAGCTCATGCCACCTGTTGCAATGACCCGTAAAGATAAATCGAGACGTTGGCAGGCCCTGCAGGAGACAGTAAGTCTCTTTCAACTTTAAAGTAAAAGCGAGCTTAGGTCGTCAAAAGATGTACAGATATCCCTCCTTCAGTGGTTGTTCGATGCATTGAGATCAAGAAATTCAAGTTACAATAGGCTGAACACATTGGGAGCAAGTCGGATAAAGAAGAATATAATATGGCCCAAAATATCTTAGTTTGGTCTCGACTCTACAGGACGCCAGCTGCACACAAGCTTCCTTTTCAGGGCTATTGACCGCCTTGGTTTCGATGGTGACGGTGATAGGCTTTGTTTGAAGTTCAGGCGTGATTGATTGATTGATTGGATTGCTAGTTCAGGACGACTCCCCAGTCGTTGCTGCAATGTACGCGCCCGCCCATGTTTGTTTACTGCAACCAGAGAGGATGATACTGTAGTCAATCTTTCGTGATGGCCTTGTCAAGCCAGAGAGTGCTGTGGAAGCCATTGGGTGTCAATCTTATCGGACATCCTATGAGGTGCATAAAATGCAACCGCAAGAGGAGGAAATGAACTGCGTTGTTCTATCCAATCTCGGCTAGTGTTCATCTTCGCACTGCTTCGACGACTCGTTGATTGCCCGGACGCAAGAAAGTTCATACTACACACTGCCAGTGTCTCGTTGGTATTGATTGTCGAACATGAAAGGTTCTGGCGTTCGGTCGCTCAGATCTGTCTGGAAGCCCTTGTCGCTAACTATCCCAAAGCTGCTTTGGGATTGTTTCATGCCGAATGTCATATCGAATAACTCCCAATGGAGCTGCTGACCAAGTTCTTCACACCGCGAGGAGAATTCAACCGGACAGCCAAGTCGATGAGGCGATGACCCAGTGAAGGCCTGGTGCAAACGGTCGCTGAATCGTCAAAAATAGGCCATGGAGGACGCAGACTGACGCGTCAGGTATATTTCGTCTTGGTAAAGCACGCCCTGGTGCTGAGCTTGATGACCGGCCGTCTCCCCATCGTGCTGTGCTCAGACTGCAATAGTTCAAGGAGGGTGATTAAGGCGTTGTCATCCTTGTCCAGCGATTGGCGTGGAGCTCTCTGAGTTTTCCTGGTTGAAGTCGTAGGCTGTTTGTTATCCAGAGCATCCTCCGACTTGAACATCTTGGTCCATGTGATCAGCACATGGATGGACTGCAGATGAACCTCATGGAGGGGCTGCATCCGTGGATGCTCATTGAAATATAAACAAACTTCATGTGATAACCACGGTGCCTCTTTCGCTTGTTAATTGACGCTGGTTCTTTTCGTCACTACTAGAGCTGTGATCCAGTTGCGCGAGTCAGAAGGGCAGTAAACCAGGGCTCAAATGTGTCCTTGGTCCAGTCGGCAAGCACGAACATGGCAGCTTGCAACTGGTAAATGCCAAAAATGCTGTCGGTATCACCTATCCGAAAGTTCCCCATCCAGCACGCGCTATTTTCCATTGTTAGATACTCAAGTTGAGATGAGTGCGAAGTAACTTACAATTTCCGCGCCTGCATCCATGACAAATAGGAGGGTCCAGACACGACCGACTACCTGAATGACGGGGATCGTGATGATCTTGTCTATTCCTCCCCCGAGCGCAATGATACTGCGCATACGCTCATGCCACGCAGCGACCCAGACACCAAGCTGAACATTGGCAGTGTCCATGTTGCCGGGTGAGGTCTTGGTCTCGATGAAGATAGAAGCTGGCCGGATGCGTAGAGGCTCATATATAGTTTGGTTGATGGTAGCCATTGTGTACGGCTGCTTGTCCAAAAAAGTGTCAATGAGATTCTGAAGCTCCTTTTCGGCACGAAGCACGACGGCAAAGTCAACCATCTTATGGACTGACCATGCAACAGCACTCGGCCGAGTCTGTGGCGTTCTCAAATCCTGCTCAGACGCACTGCTTGCGCTGGATACCCTGGTGTTGGACGGTTGGGATGGGGTCTGATCACCAGTCTTTGACAAAGGACGAAACGCTGGCATGATCTGGGCTGAGGCAATGGGCTCGACTTCAATAAAAGCAAAACGAGAGGTTGCACGCCGTAGAAGTGGTGTGTGGACGAGGCGGTTCCAAGCGGCTTCGCATCGATGGAGATCGGATGAAGCAATGGAATCGTTATCAATTCCTCGGTGTGCATGATTGTCAAACAGTGCTGCCTCGTTGTCCGCATTAGATTCATCAGAGGCTTGTGTGGATTTACACATGAAGCCGCGAATTCTTGTATCCCGAAAATCCGAATGCCCTCAAAGAATCGCTGGCAGAATCTCCTCTTTTGCCTCGACCGCAGGGAGAGCCTTGAAAATCTTTTGAGCATCGTCCGGAAGAACACTTCCAAGATCACGCTCTTTTGTGAAACGAACGGGTCGCACCAGGTTTAACAGGCCGACCGTCTTTTGGAATCGCTTCGTGGGAGATGTACTGCGCGATCGCGTCGTGGAATGTGAGGTGTCTGTCGGGGCTTGTTGAGCCGTTATGGGAGCTGAAAAAGTTGCTCTGCTTGCCAGAACTGCAGTGAAAGAGGATGTTGAGCGTGTTGAAGTGGCTGTTTGGGTGGCTGGATCGTCAAAGACGGCTCCGTCAATGTCATGTCGCAATAACTGAGGTCGGGGACGTGTTGGAGTCTCGTCCTTTGATAGCAAGAAGGTAAGAAGAACAATAACAACCTTTTGCCAAGTGCACTCAGCATCCCTGCGCGATCCAACAACAGATTAAGTGTGATTATACTTTCTAAGATTCTCCTGACCAGAGTTAACTTCTTCAAGGCTCTTATCACGAGGAAAATACTGCTTCCTATTGCTATTTCAATCGACAAACATCTGAATTGACTGCCATATACTGCATTCAATGCCCCAAAGCCATCTCATAACTTCATGAATTCCGTCTGAGGACTTCCACCATCTCCGGAGACCGAGCCTTGGCCTCGATGTCAGGGTTGATGATTGCTCCATGTTGCAGTAGAAGCTTAGCAACCGTGACAAAGTTCTTTGAGACGGCGAAATAGAGAGGTGGCTGGTACAAAGGGCCAACAAGGTGTGGACTGGCACCATGTTCCAAAAGAGTTTGAACGCAGCCGGCGTTGTCGCACATGACTGCAGTCATTAAAGCTGTGCAGCCTTCTCCATCCTCTAAAGGGATATTGCGACTGTCAATCTTGGAAAGGCATGCATCCCGGATGCTTTTGGAAATAAAAGCTCTTTCAGTCTTGTCCAACAAAACCCTCATAATGCCGACTCCGTCGGCGTCGCTTTGTGTGGAAATCTCCGCAAGGATGTGTAGAGCATTGTTTCCCTGTCGATCTTGCTCTAGAGGATGAGCTCCGTTCTGAATAAGAAATGAAATTGCACAAATCTTCGTTCCTAGAAATTGATCCGAGGGAGTACGCAAAAGAAAATGTAGGGTCCGATCCCCCATCTGCCACGGCATTACTCGATTGAGCTTAGACATTGGGTTCATAGAAAGAGCGCGCATCATTTCAAGGCCTTGAAGACACGCTTGATAGATTACCCAAGAGTCGGCAGCCGGTATTGAGAAGTTCCGCATCGAAAGATGCTGAACCCGAGCAACGTTTCCCGCCAGCACAGCGTGGATGAGATCGTCTGTTGGGCCACGCACGTTGGAGGAATCATTGTACCAGACAATAGGAATGGCTGTATCATCAACCAGGGTATTCCCTGAAGAAGAGCTGCCGGTAGTGTTGTGCATATTGGTTGATGTGTAAAATTGCCAAGTTATAGTCGGCAAGGTCGTGGAAAGCAGTCAACAACCTGTGCATGACCTAACCTAGACTAGGCGGTCAGACCCGGCAGAATAGTGACTCAGCACGGCACTACGGAAATATTCTGGCCGATAAGAATGAATGAATGAATGAATGAATTAAATTTATTCCGCCCGGGGAGGACTAACCTCATAGGGCCAAGTACGCTAGGCTATTTACAGTTCTAGGTATAAGCAGTCGCGGAGTAGCCAAGGCCCCAGTTACCTCAGCGAGCTTCAGACCATTTGTGGGTCTGCGGACCGGAATATGCCTAATCGGCAAGTCATATGCGGTCCTCGACTAAAAGGTCTGAGGATTCTGTCAACATTTTTGGGCCTGTGCAGAGAGATTTCGTACGAAATAGAAGGTCGTCTTTAAAGCCATTTTCATCCACAACCACGCCCTGTACAGCTGATTGAGTAGAATCATTCGATTCGTCTACTGTTATTCCATAGCTGAGTGAATTTTGGACTATGTTGGCCCAAAACCAGCGTCGTCAAAGCGCTCGTGTTATCCCATTCACATTTGCACCTCACTTAGTTCACAGCGCATCGCTGCTCCAACGCAGCCAAAGCACGTCGTCAAAGAGTTAGAGGCCGCCATAACACGACAGACACGTGAATCCCGATACAGGAGAGGTTCGTACGATATCTGAAGGCATTTCACTAGTCTTAGATAATATTTTTCCTAGGCTCATTTAGCTTTGATGGTGGAAAAGGTGGATGGATGACGATTCTGTGCCATCTCGCTCACGACATATCAGAGTTTTCTACAAGACGTGTTGAATAGTGGCAAGGAAGCCCCTTGAAGGAGCTGGAGAGGCTGACAGGAATATCGCCACTAAAGATGACAGTTGCCACTTATTGCCACATAGCAAGCAGCTTCTAGTTGATTCTACATGGCACAGAAAAGGCATATTGTGAACGGCCTCTAGTAGCTGGATTCCAGCTATCTAGTCCAGGATGCTATTTACATCAAAGATGAAGAAGAAAGAAAGAAGTTCCCAAGTGCCCCTGAGCTGTGGAACGATTTCTCATCCCTGGCGCGCACGAGCCTAGTACGTCTTGCGGCACAGCCGCAAGGATATGGGCCCTGGCCCGTGACACTCACAAAGTCGGCACTACCTCTCTCAGAAACTCACGATATCGTAACGCCTAAGCGTGGCAGCGACGTTGTAAAGCTTTTCTCTGCCAAAAGCAGCTCTCCTTCTTCACGGCTCTCAATTCGGAAAGCGGCTGCGGCGTTAGACAAGGTTGCAATCGAGCTCGCGAAGCGGTTACGTGTGCAGCTTGAAGCGGCGCAACCGAAGAAAAAACTAAAATCAGGCAGGATCCGAATGAATGCTTTATAAGCCTCGCACAAATACTTGCAGAGACCAATCGCGAGCCTGATCAACCCGTTATTCAGTCGCAGAAAGGCGATCTTGATTGTATCGTGGTGGATGGGAAGAGTAGCTCTGAGTCGGAGGAAGATCCGGCCCCCGTACGCCGGTCAGCCCGCGTCAGGCGGCCTACACAAAGGTATTTTGAACAGGATTTGAGTAGCGAAGAGAGCGATTGAGAGACTTTTAAATACTTTTTTCTCTGCATTTTTAGCTATTTATTTGATGAAGTTGTGTTGAAATATAATAATTAGATTGTTGGATTATCTGAATCTTACAGATGAGTCGGTTAACGAGGGGGGGTCGGTTACATGGGTGGTTGACTTACTACTACTACTCTTCCTCGTCTCCATCACTCGCAACGCTAGCTCTTCTGCCTCCTTCCATCGGCCTTGGCTCCAAAATGTCGACGCCAGGTTGGCCATACTGCTCAGCGTGTGGGAATGCTCCTCTCCCAGCACCCTCTTCATCGTCTCTCCCAGGGCATCAGGGTATCGAAGGAAATGAAAAGGCCGATCAGTTAGCAAAGGCAGGAGCCGCACTTCCGGAAGATAAGTGGGCGCCGCCTACAATAGCCGGAGTCAGCGGCTTGAGAAAGGCAAAGATCAGAACCCAATTCTCAGACTGGTGGGTGGCAACAGCCCCTACCTGCCGAGGATATCGAGACCTAGGTCTCGCAGCCTCCCTAGCCTGCCCAAAGGAACTAGACCTCCCTCGCCCAGTCCTACACTACCTGCTAGCCGCAAGGTCAGGCCACGGAGACTTCGACTGGTATCATCGCCGGTTCAAACATAAAGACAACCAACGCTGCTCATGCGGAGGGCTTCGGGCCCCAGAGCATCTCATCCACTGTCGGAAGACCAAGCAGCTGCAGCAACTGTGGCCGGTCTTCAAGCCCAATCCAAAGACCCCAAGGGACTATTGGCTACGCCTAATAGCTAGCCCTACGGACTTTGCTGACTTCCTGGAGACCACTCGGTTCTTCGAGACAATCTGCCCGCCCTCTCTCAAGAGATAGGCCAGCAGATACCTTCCCTTTCCCTGCTAGCAGCCCTAGCAGCCCCTTGAGAGACTCTCTCAACGACCTAAGACCTTGACTTCAAAACCCCTTTAGCCAGCCACAGACCGAACACGAGCTCGAATGAAGGAGCCCACGGGTGCGGATTGAAACTTTCCTAGCTACTAGGCCAGATGTGCAGGATATCCTATAGCTGCTGTTAGCTTAGCTGTTAGCTGTCAGATGTTAGATAGTCTTCTGCACGCCACATGCCCCCAGGGAGGCAGGAGCGCCTCGCGCTCCCCTGGCGTTAAATACAACTCTCTCTCTCTCTCTCTCTCTCTTCATCGTCTCACTGGTGATGTATTTCCCAGAGTTGAATGTATGGCTGCCTCCTTGCGTGTTGTACATCTGGGCGGTAGCACCTTCCGCGACTGTCTGACTTGCGTGAATCGCCCCCTGGGTGTCGATCTCGGAGTCTTCCAAGGACCGTTCCACCTTAGACAGCTCTTCGATGGCCTTTTTGATGCCCTCCAGATCCTCCTGCATCGCCAGCTTGAACACCTCGTTCCATGCCAGCTTCTCCACGCCCTTCAAGATGTCTTCCATGAGGCTCTCAACACGGTGTGCCTTGATGCCGCGCAGAGCCTCGCGGTACCACACGCGGACCCTAGCCCAGTTCTCTGCACCTTGGTCTTCTTTGCATTTCGTCTCGAGCTCATCGAAGATCCTCTTTAATTCCTTGGCCTTGTCATCGCAGGGTTTGGCGATGGCCAAGATGGCCTTGCGTTGGTCGTCGGTGGGTTCCGAGTTGTTGAGCCTCTCCTGGGCACGCTCGAGAATCTTTCGCACGAGAGGCAGGTCTTTCTGGACTTGGTCGAAAGCTTTCGGCAGACCAGTGATCTTATCGATGGTTTCATAGGTCTTCGTCGTGGCGCCAACAATTCCGATAACGGAAGCAACGATGCTGAGGGGGTCCATGTCTGCGATGTTCGGCTGGGCTGTGAGCGTGTACTGCGGACCGGATTTCGAGTGTCGGATCAGTGGCTTCGAGGCTATAGACCAGGCTACAGACCCTCAGACAGTGTGCTAGTCTCGTCAAACACAGTATAGGAAACAGCAGGAGAATAGTGAGACGGGCATGGCAATCTTAGGTGGGGAAGCTCGGAGTACTTGTACCTGCCGAAGACCCCGTTCGCCTTGGCATTTCCCCCCTCCTCCTTTCCATTGCAACGAAGTACTCCAATTTGTGGCTTGTGCGTGAGCCGCGTAGAAGCAACTACCGAAACTGAACTGGCCAATAGCAGTGTCCTGCTGCTAGTTTATGGCCAGGCAGACAGATACGTTTCCCGCCAACGAGTGGTACAGGCTATTACTGGTCCCCTCTTGATGCACATTGCAGAACCAGTGTCTGTGCACGGAGTGCCTCACCACCATGTCGTTCAGCTCCGCCACCACATAACACCTCTCCGTCGTGGATTCATGCTATTGGATCTCCTTGTAATTTCCATTTGAGCGCTGGAGTGGACGAATTCCATCCTGCTTGCTATCGAACGGCCACTTGAGGGCACGAAGTCCGAAACGGCGCATCGCCCTTCGGGCCTTGCCCGGATCTAGCAACTGGACCAGCTCTGATGTGTAGCCATCAACAGAGTCGACCAGTTTTCGCGACGTCGCGAGCGCTTGATTATTCCGGTTATCAAGAAGATGCTGAACACCCTGGAGGGTTGTGCCTAGGTCGTCCAACCGGCTTTGGAGGCGTGTGATATCGGCCCTAGCGTTCCCGACAGCGGTGGAGTACTGGAGGCAGAGGACGGCGACTTGGCGGACGGGCGATGATTGCGGTGACGCTTGCAGCGAGGCCCACAGCCTCGGCCATGGTACGCGATAACGCACTGATGGTCAGCGAAGTAGTTTCGAGGAGTATCGCTTGCGCTTTAACAACCCGAGATGAGGGAGGGGTTCTGGCAACGGTACTGAGGTGAGTGCTCAGCAAGGCTGTACCGTGGCTGAGTTGCGGCTTAGACTTCCGCCGAGACAGAAGCGATTTCGTGCATTTCGCACTGATTGGCCCGACACAGTACATCGCTATTTTGGGAAAGAGGCAACGGCTGATAGTGAAAATGAGCACAAGAATCTGTTGTATGGAGGCGCTTGCTCCCGTCGATGTCCGCGATCAGCGGTCTCCTAGCGCTGCTAGAGGGCATAGCGCGTCGTGGACGCGTTGGGTCGCTCACTGCTCCGTGGGCGACTGGAGTGTGTGGCACACGAAGGGCGATCGTCAAGACCTGACCCGGATTAGTGGGCACGGGACGGGTCGCTCGGCCCTGGACTCGTCCTGGCTACCAATCAGCACGAAGTGTTCGGCATCGCAAGGGTGTGCCGACAAGATGACCAGCTGAAATCCAAGAATAGCCATAATAGCGGTATTTGCAGATCTCGACAAAGGATGGTCATGATAATTGTATCTACCACCATAACCGCTACATAGCAGCCCGGAGTTCAAGCTATCCTAGAACAGAGAGCACAAGGTGTCTGTTTTTGAAACGCATGCGTCAGATCGAACACCAGGCATCCCTTTGGACGAAGCAGCATACATGAACAACTAGCTTCTGGTCTGTTTTTGCATACCTGAAGTCCACTATTGTCCTGGTCGATGTACCTGCCCCCGCAGACCAAAGCTTGAACCTTTACTGGCACCCAAGGACATCCGTCCCGTAAGACGCGACGCGGTTCTGCCACGACCTCAGCCACGTGGCTGAAATTCCACTCAGAACTAGGCGTTGGCTGGTCTCTCAGGTTCCCCTCCCACTCACTGTCTCAGGCCAACAGACAGGGGGTCAGGCCCACGTGCGGCTGACACCGTGTTGCCTCAGCGGCAGTTCTTAGCCCATGTGTCACATATCAGCCCTGCCCCACTACAGCAGCTGCCTACCAGGCAGCTGCTACTGCCTAAACAGGCAATGTTTTCATTTGTGCATAAAGAGCTGAACGACTCAGTGCATCTTGTCATTGAGTTCTTGCTCCTTAGATAATTCTCATCAATTGACTGGTGCCATCAATGATCCCTGTGGAGCCAATTGTCTGACAGTTATGAGCCCGGAAGCACTTCGCGCATGCCCGACATGGCTCCAGGGGGGTCGTGAGTTCGATTCCAGCTTCTCTAAGGAATAAAAATATGCAGAGACCAGCCACGTGGCCTGCCAGTCAGGGGGCCCAACCACACAATGCCTCGCTATCAGCTAGGACGCCACAGCAGCTACTAGTGCTACAGCAGGTATTCCAGAAGAACTCTCTTATACCTGGGGGGTGTGTCGCATAACATATAGGGTACTATTATTCCACACAAGGTGTGGGCCTACACTTTTGCTCGTGGCGTAACGGTTATCTGTCACGATGTGTATTTGGGTAGCTGGGCGTGTATATGGCGTGTGACTGCTATAGCTGTTGGATCCTTCTAGCTGGTTTCAGTATAAGGATGTACAGGGACTCAGAGCGGGGATCATATGCAACTCAGAATAAACACACATCCAATGAGACGCCTTACAGAATCATGGCTCGTGACATTATCTGACAATGAGCTTGCCCCTGAGTTGACCGCGAAATCCTGATTAGGCTAGTGCGTGACCGCGAAAATCAAATGAAGTTAGTGCGTGATAGCTAAATTCTGGTTGGCTATAGATTTGAGCGCTAAATCCCAAATAGGCTAGTGCAATGGCCGCGAAACTCAAAAGGGTAATTTCAACTGACCCGATGGCTTCGTATACAAGGCATATTACGGGGTGTAGAATGAGAAACCGGCCCCATTCCCAAATGATCCCTATCAATTTGGGAAATGAGATGGATTTCGGGAATGGGCCCCGTTCCTGACGAGGATGGTTGTGGATGGGTGATTGGCGCAGAAGCGAGAACGGCCCCGTTTCCGAAGGAAATACTTGTTAGGTCCAACAGCAGGGCGAAGTGGGGCGTCGCGGTTCATCCTCGGCGCTTCGGCTGTCAGCATACCCCGTTAACCGGGCATTGCTGCGGAATAAAGAGCGGCCACATCCGAATAGGAATTTAAGTCAAGTCAAGTCAAGTGTGCTTGCTTCATGCATTCTTCGCCTGTTCTAATACAAGATTTCGCTCCTTTCAGCGCCGTGACACCTCAAGATGGCGCACTATGATTCCGAGAGTGAAGACCGACCACGGAAGATTATTGATGTTCTGGGGGACTTCACTCTTACGAACTGCGAGCCACCAGTGACACTTAAGCTTCATCAACTAGCCGATGTGCAGCGCCAGCTCGGACCCGGCAGTCTTTTGGCCCCTCGGCCCGTGCCAGATTCACAGTCTGTCGTTCGTGCCAAATGCGTCATGGGCGGCGGAGAGTAAGCGCTTTTTGCCCTCGACAGAGGCAATACATATCCACTCAGGTACTCACCATGGCTAGCGCCGGCGTTTGGACGGGAACCATCTTCGAAGCCCCAGCGGAGACGTCCCCCGAATTCATGTTTCCGGCCCGCCTCATCAACAACCTCAGCAACATAAGGACCGAACGCTTTATTATCCGACGCAGGTTTGCCCCCGCGGTTACGGATCTGAAGACAATGGCCGTCTACACGGACGGCGCGTGCGCTTCCAATGGTCTCGCTACGCCGCGGGGTGGCTTTGCCTTTGTGTTCAACGAGAACTCAAATGGCACGCATGCACGGGCCCTCGAGAACAAGGGCCCAACCGGCGAGGTGCAAACTCATACGAACAACAGGGCAGAGCTACGTGCCGTCATTGCCTTTCTCAAATACCGCGTGTGGTGGGGGGAAGGTTGGAAGCGTATCGTGGTCATCACTGATTCTGAGTATGTGGGCAAGGGGGCCACGACCTGGCTGCGGAATTGGGCCTGCAATAACTGGCGGACTGCGGCTGGTAGACCAACTGCTAATCGCGATCTCTGGGAGGCGCTGTCTGAGGTCATTGGGGCCTTTGCGGAAGGCGGCTGCGAGATTTCCTTCTGGGTGGTCCCACGCAGATGGAATACTCGGGCGGACGCTGCTGCGAAAGTTTCTTGCAGACAAGAGAGTCGTGAGGATTATACTAATGAACTGGGTGTTCTGGTCTAAGGGAATGGCATTGCCTGGAGGTATAACGGCCGCTCGTTACGTAAGTACGGCAATGAATGATGGCTTAACTCGGGTAGGCCTTGAACATTTGCGCTAGCCGAGGGTGGTAGACCCCGTTGCAAAGAGGCATCCATGTTCTGGGACGTGAAGGCATGGCGGAGTCGTCACGATGGATAGTTACTCGAGATTTAAGTCAAAAGGAGATTATTTGAGCCCCGCAAATCCAGAGAAACATTAGTGGGGTGGCATCAATGATCAAGAGTCGTGCTATTTGCACAACCCCCTTTTACTAAACGTACAACTGTTAGACGGAGGGATCCGGTCCGGCTAGCGTGACTAAGGAAGCGGGGGTCTTGGAGACCGTAGATGAGGGAAATCCCTCGCCGGTCAAGATGATCGACAACACAGTCAATCCATCAGTCATAACGACGTTATTAAGGTCGTAATTATCATCAATTCAATCAGGCTATTTTGGCCTCATCTGATCGTACATTTCGCTGTGCCAAAGGCCACCAACTCAGACCGTCAGACCCCACTTACGGGATCACGAGATCTGACATTACCGAATGTCACGTGAAAAGTTATATCACTAGCAATAAGGGGTTATTGAAATAGCACGACTCATATGGATTGCCACGCTGAGCCACCACAATCGTCTGGAGATATGTCGCAAGTTTGTTCAGGTTGCTGTGGGAAGTGGCATTGAAGCCTTAGATGTCCTCTACGGCATTGGGGTGGGACGTTATGGAGAGGAGGATTGGCGTATCTTGGAAGCCAACCTGAAGCGCTCAATGTTGAAGCTGACAGAGTGGATTGTGGCTGTCGCCCCTCATTTAGCCGCCGATATTCGGGACCACACACGCCTGTTCTCCGAGGTTGACGCCGATTCCATAGAGAATGCTGTTAGCAAACAAACAACTACTTTAACAGTCTTTGCGGGAGAGTTTGTCATAGTTGTGCCGGGTTTAGGATGCACCCCGCTACAGAAGGCGGGAACCGGAAGCTGCTAAACTTCCTCGTAAGCGCTGAGGAGGGACCGGTTTACAGAAAAAGTGAAGCTGGGTAAAGCTCCCCATGTTCTGGACACCCCCTCCATTTTCAGCGTCCGGGAACAGGTTCTAGTCCCAGGAAACAGCTCCAGATAACAGGCTTCAGGGCGCGTCGCCCCGATGCACAATCCATTCCATTCTTTAGGATTTATTCAGCAGTCGGCAGAAGTAGATATTGCCTCACGTCTGCGTGTTCTCGCCATGCATTTCACGCAATGGAGAAGGTGCCGCCGTTCTATCAATATGTCTGAAGTAGATCATTGGCTGCTTGAGACAACGAACTGAACAAAATCTTCGACCACATGGACGTTGATAGCGAGCTCCGGATTTGGTGTCGCATGGCTTTGGCTCAGTGTTGCATTGCACGGGGCCTCAGGGACTTGGTGCTGTAGAGTGCTCAGAAAGGTGGGCGCGGGTAGGGTGCTCTGGAGGGTGGTGCTGTAGAGTGCCCTGGCGAGTGGTTGCGGAAGGGAACGCAGTAGTGGAACCCAATGTGTGTAAGCTCTAAAATCGTGGCATCTGGGACTGGCATCTCAGTGTGAAGTAGGACCACGGTCTGGCGCATCGCAGGACGCGAAACTGCTTCCCGCGACACAGAACATCACAGCCACATGCAAGCTAAGTACCACCAATAAGCTTCCAGGCGCCGCCAGATGGTCAGGGAAAAGCGCCCACAGTAGGATGGAACGCAGGGGTAGAACGGTCAGAAGCGACCTATCGAGGAGAGGTAATATCACCCGTTGCAAGCTCTTCGAGTCAAATGCGTTCCGCAAACGCACGGACAACGGCACGGCCATCTCACTCACAAAGTGTGGCCAAAGTCTCCTCATCCATGTCATAGACTGAGTAGAAGCAAGCCTGTCCTAGAATAGAATGTATCGAGGAAAGGAGTCAAGGTGTTTCCGTAGTTTGTTTGACCCCAAAGGTGTCAATGGTCGATAATAGGAGGTGAAGTAGTTCATGGCAGAGGCCGTTGAATTTTGCCAGCCCGTTCTAAAATGGCCATTCTCTCTTTGAGCCAACAGGCTGGACACTGGAACGAGAACCTGGATGTCCACGTCGATACTCTGTTGTCCCAAATCTCCCACGCGCCTATCCCCGGCTTCACGAGGGTGTATCTCTCGCCATCTTTTTTCCAGTAACTCTTCTTGGTAGGCCGGTACCATAAACAATCGCAACAGAGCGCTGATGTTCGCTTCGGCCGCCCGCGCGCATTTAAAGGGGCCAGCCTTCTCAGCAACGAGAGCATTCTATGGCGGAGCGGCGGGGGGAGATATTTGTGCTTCGCCACGGAGGGAATCTTCACGACTAGGAATGAGAAATCTGGAGGAGACGTCTGCAGGTGAGTGCCAAGCAGAGTTGATCTACGGGATCGGTGACGTGGGAGAAGAGGTTGAGGAGCAACTCGGATGGAAGACGAACGAGAGGCGAAGAGATTCTGGGTACTGCGTTTAAAAGCTGTTCATCCATTCGTTATATGAGCCGATCTGAGTATGGGAAGCGTGTGCTTACCTCTTGTGGAATGATGAAGGGGACCGGGTCATGCGAAGTCATCACCGGCTCATCGCGGTCGGCAAGTTGCGCAGTCAGTCCCTTATGGGTCTGCACTCCAGACCATGGTACTGAGAGTGAAAATGACGGCGATGGTCTTTACGGAAGAAATAATCGTCACCGACGCGATTGACTTGCTTGTCTTTGGATGGAGCTGCGTAGTTCTTACGTACCTCGCATCGGCGTTGGCTGAGATGTTTGATGGGGTTGCTCGCTCAGATGCCAGCGATGGCAGATTCTTTGGAAGCGGCCTCAGGCAGCAACATCTTTGCGGGATTTCGGTGCGGGGAGGCCTCAGCAGCTAAAATGGATCCCTGTAGCTATGCGCAGCTTGTGCGGCCAATAGGATGACCTAGGGAGGGCAAAATGCGGGGTGGTGCGTGATTGGTGGAGACCTGTTCGATCTTTAGCACAACGTTGAACTGGTGGACGTCCTGCCCTCTGATGGTAATGCCCTCCAGATAGAACATATATTGCATCCAAACCTAGAATCAAATGACTCGTTATCGTGCTGTATTGTATGGTGACATTTCTAGCATGACGTGAAAGGGGGCCTCAACATCCGACACTGTTGTCGACAGGTCAAGTCGAACTTGATGCACCAAGCGTTGCCACCAAGGATCCAAACCAGTCAACGCAAGTCAATATATTGAATGGATTGATCATCAACGTCAATTCAACTCAATCAATACCAGGCCACGATTATGTAATACGTCAATCCATTTTGATGTTCAGTTGATTGAATGGGTTGAACAGGTTGATTTAGGGTAGGAGATTTTGCTGTCTGAACTTTGGCATTATGGCATAAGGAGCATTTCGTCGATACAAGCCAGAGGGCCCCCTGCACCTCAGCCTTCCGCCCCGCACCAAACCCGGGGTAGTTAAGCAACCCACTGAAAACTAACGCGACGCGACTTCTGAGCCCGTTTTTTTTCCCCGAGCGCGTCCGACCGGATCGCGACTCCAAGTTGCCGCATCACCAACAGTCACCAACAGCCATGGCCAAGTTCGACATATCAGACGAAACGGAATCTGCCACGTCTTCCACGGACGATGAAATCGAGACGCTCTCCCACAAGACGCCTGTAGCAGCTCTCCTAGCGAAGCCTGCTCCCAGCGCGCGATCAGAAACACCCCATCAAGAACCAGAATATCAATACGTCTGGCACTGTTTCCCCGACTATGTGTGGTCATAACGCGCTCGTGATACATCATCTTGAGTATGGAATTTTGGGTACGATGTTTAGAATTCCAATGGCAGCCGCCGATGGATCTTCAAACGCTGCATCCAGAACAAGAGTCCAAGACCTAGAAGCTTTGCAGAGAAGGGCATTCAGAACGCGAATGCCCATTTGTTCAGGGACCATAGAATATGCGCTCCCGCAGACAAGACGAAATCAGCGGCCGAGAAGAAAGCAGAGAAGTTGAAGACCAAAGATCAAAGGTCCATTGCCGATGTGATGAAGCTAGATGTAATGGTCCCACGAGAACGAGACATTGCGAATAGCCTTGTCAAGAGCTTCGACCGCAAGCACTTTCAGCGACTTCTACTCGAATGGATCGTCGAAGAGAACCACTCGTTTAGCGTCTGCGAGCAGGGAAGACTACGCCGAATATTTGAATGAGTTTTGCTATCCGAGCTGTGTCCATCCAAGCTGTCATCGTCCGGTGCGATGTTGAGAGGAAAAGATTCCTGCCTTGGTCCGCTCGCCATGGGATAACGTGCGTCTGCCATATCATGGAGCCCTCGTCCATCTCGACCTGACATTGTAAAAGCTGCTTGCGGACTGTCTGGTGCAGAAGTTATCTCATCCGCCCGAGACGTTGCGATTACCTGTCACCACGCTACCAATGGTCATCGCCCATCGGATTATAGTAGTAATCGTAATCTTCCAAGTCGTCATATTCTCCGAGCGAAGGCATGCCGCATTGTGGGCAGTCATTGAGGGTGTCGGAACAATTTTCGCATAGATCCAGCTTAGCGCCGCACTCTTCGTTGTTGCACTCGTCAACGAGGCGACAGTTTGAACAGATAGGCTCGTGGCAACCTTCACAGAACAAATCTCCAGCTTGATCTTTGTGTGCTGCACAGTAGCTAAATAACTCTTCGCAGATGCACTGAACACGATGGAGCTTGACGATGGGGTGCTTGATCACTGAAATTCTTATTCATTAGTCTCAACTGCAGAAGTGTAAAGGAATCAGGGAGACTGTACCAGGAGAGTCAACTGCCGTGGCCGTATCATCTGTCGGCCTGGAGGCTTCATCCAACGGGTCATCATTCTCGTCACGTGAGGATTCTCCTAAGCGCTCTGGCTCAGCTGGTGTCGGAAGGCAGCGTTTGCACGAGCTGGGAGCTTTGCACTTGGCACAAGCTTGGTGGCGGATTGTTGGACACAGTGGCAGATCGCAAGACGGGCATTTTGGCAGTGTTCGTTCAGCGCACTTGCCACGCTCACACCACCACTCGCTCGGATGGTCTTCGCAACGTCTGCCGTAGAGTTGGGCGCACCCGTCGCATACGTATGCTTTGGGGGAAGTACTAGCTTGCCGAGCCGGACAAGCGTCGCCGATGCAGATGAACATTAGAGGATCACCCTCTTCCTCTGCCTCCTGTTGGCAGAAGAGGCAGCAGATGACGCGAATGTCGTGAGCGGGAGTGTCCTCGTCTTCTTTACCGTCGCAAAAGAGCAGCTGTTCCGCGCATAAGACTTCGTTGCACGCAGAACAGGCTGCGAGAAGAGGTTTGAGCGGGTCGACAACGCGCTGTTGTTCGCGGCATGGGCCGCAGAAGATCTCGTGGTCGTGATCGAGACATCGTAAGAGCAGATCCACCCCCTGTCCACTGCAGCCTGCCTGGGGACAAGATAACCGTTCGCACTTCTTGCAAGCCGCTAATGGTGCCGCGCAGTCTGGGCACGCTCCGGATACGGACGTCACTGAAGGCTTGACCTCTAATTTGGCCTTCTTGGCTGGCGCAGGCTGAGACGCTTTAAAATCGGCTAGGCGATGCTCGTAGGCCTCGATGGCAGCGGCGCGCACTCGCTGCCGCTCTAGCTCTGCTAACCGCTGTCTCTCTTGTGCCTCACGCTGAGCTCTCTCCTCGTTGCGACGAGCTTCTTCCTTCCGCTCAGGGATCCGCTCGACCCATTCTTGAATACGATCGAGTAGAGGGATACAATCCGCAGGTATCGACGCATAGCCTTGCTGACCTTTCTTGATCTTGACTCGCCGCCGCATGATGTCAACCGTGTACGCGGCCGACTGCGAGGGGTGGTCAGGCTCGCCCTCGACACAATTCAGGATGAGGGCTTCAGGCGAGCCGTCTGCTCTGGCAATATAGGACAAGCGGGCGACATGCCACCAGTGATCAAGTTGACCGACCTCGATCCCACCCACCTCGCGCCAGACAGCTTTGGCAACATCTGCTGCCGCATGCTGCAGGCCGAGCGGTAGCGCAGTGGTTAGACCGATCCAGCTGGAGCTGCCCGGCATCTTTACCGAAACAACAGATTGTAGAGATTCTAGGGCAAGATGGTTGGTAAAGCTGCAAAGATCTGATGGCTCTTGGCGCATACAATTCATCTCCGAAAAAATTCTCGAGGCTTCCACGTTGAAGAGTACGTCAGGCTGATCACCTGATCCCATCGCGAAACATTGCCTTACCTCAGGCACTCAGACCCACTCACTAAGCGAACAGACGCGCGGATCACGTGGTTCTGCAATTGGGTGAGATGATGCTTCGCTCCCATACAATTTTGCGGTAACCATAATGTTTCGCAGGGTCGGCTCCCAACCCTACCAATTACATCACGTCATAAAGCCTCAATTTCAACACAAATCAATAAGATAACTATATTAGGAGGATCCCACAAGCCCCAAATATCCATTGATCCAGCTTTTGTTCCCTTGCGACGTGTTGTTGTGGAGTTGTAGCCGTCTAGGGCAGTCGCGTCGCGAAATCTCCAGCATCAGCAAGCGACCACGACCCGTTGGTACCTCAATTTCCTCATCCGCGTTGGTTTAATTGACATCAATGCTGACTGCACAAAAAGACGCCAAGTCTGCTGACAACGAGCCTATGCGTTTAATTCTTCCTTCCAACCTTGTTCGAGTCGACTCACGTATTGATGGTGCTGGACATCTTGTGGATCGCAGGATGTTGGATCGCGGCGTCGTTCAGGGGAGTTGATGCTTTCAACTGGCGGCGTGGCACGTTCTCAATAATACGCAGCTTTGTAGGTGTAGTCACGGTGACGAAGCATTATTCCACACAAATTTAAAGTTTTGGGCTCAGGCCCTCTGGGAGCATTACCCCTTTAGGGAAGGCGTCGCGCTATTAAGCGCGCCCAGTGGGCCTGAGTGCCTGAGGTAAACATTGCCAAGTTCGAGTGGCCCTCCTGGTCCGTGCGTATCCTCGTCGCACTCTACCGGGCCCGCCCCCAAATGGGCATCCACCATTGTACACCAGTGTGATTGTGGACAAGCGAGAGAGACGGTTGAACACTTCCTCTTCCGATGCCGAAAGTGGACGGCATACCGTACAGAGATGCTTCAATGCACTAGCACCCAGAGGAGCAATGTCTCTTTTTATCTTGGAGGAAAGTCACCATCTGATGACCAAAAATGGACGCCAAACATGAAGGCCGTTCAAGCGACAATCCGATTTGCATTGGCCACAGGCCGCCTCGATGCAAGCTAACTAGAGAGACAGGCCTCTCTCTATCAACCCCCTTACACCCCTACTCTTTCAACTTCACCCCACCCTCACCCCGTGCCAAAATAGCGAACACCGCTTCAGCCGCCGTGGATAGAACACTGAACACTTGAAGAATAGGCTTCAAGCTAGTTCGCCGTTAACACTACTAACCCATGGGAACCCGCAGAGCAGAAGGAATACACAACAGGCAAGGAAGTATAGGCAACAAGAGGACTCAATAGGGGCTGAAGGAGACCATGACACAATTTGGGCAATGTACGTGTATATTAGTTATTAGTGCCCTTTCGGCTCTAGTGCCGCCGGGCGTAATAAATTGTATTGTATTGGTCCATATTGCCAATATCGTATTGTTTATATTATTAGCAACACTGGATAGAGGTTCGATGAGGTCGTCACTTACATCTGTGTGACGTCACCACCATCATTATCACATTCTCTCCGGTATCCCCGTCCGCCCATCAGCTTGGCCGTTGCGGCTTAGCCAACCCCTTTCGATCCCAACGTCGAGCCAGGTCCAGAACTCCAGCCCTTCCTGGGCCATATGATGAGGTGGTTGAGGTGGAAGACTCCGCCACACCCAGTCAGTCCAGCAAGTCAGCTTATGCGTGACAGACCAAAACCAGTATCATCTGCCAGTATTGGGCAGGCGCAACTCCTTCCCAACGCAGTGGCAGTCCCCAACGGAGTGACTACAAATTCACGGGCTGGCCTATGTCCCTCCAAATGGTCAAGCGGTTCTCCCTATCCTCAGTTCATGCCCATTGCATCAGCGGCCAGTCAGGCCATTCAGAACGCTAAGAGCAACAACAGAAAGCCCATGAGGCGGCGTACTGGCTACCAATGGGTCCACATCAGTCTCCTGCTCGTGAGCTTGGAGACCAGGTACTTGTGGCGGTGAAGGCGTGAGGAAATGACCGACCCCCCCGCACGGAGACTGAAGAAGCAGACAAGGCATCATCAAGAATTCAATCAATAAGATCATCAATTTTTGCTCCACAATCTATTGAATCCACCCCATCGTGCGTTCTAGATACCTACCGCGTATCCAACAAAAATGGCTTCCCCCTGCACTTTTGAACTCAAAGGGTGCAACTGTGGCAAGATGGCGAACGTGATTGGCAGGGAGTGTACCACGCTAAATATGATCGTCCGGGGAGATACTGGGGTGGCATCCGAAAGCGTTTGCACACCAACCAAAGCCATTGGTCACCAATTGCCGGAGGCGAAGGTAGAGATCGAGGGAAATGCTATCGGTAGATGAAATGCCGGCTGGCCTATGAGCCGTAGGGGGCCTAAGCGCCGAGCTGGGCATGGTCATCTGGGCTTGCTGAGTCGAGTGGTTATGTCGGGATCGATGGCTTTGCTGAACCTGGTGAAGGATCCGGCGCATTTCTACGGACGTACTTAGAGGGCTGTGTCACATATTCCCTGGTAACCCCACCTTAAACACAAACGCTGCTCGCGCCGCCACTGTGCCAAAGGTCTGGCTTTAATATTTTAACAGATTCGCAGCCCCGTGGGCGGGGCGTTTTTTCGGCCCGAATGATGTACACTGGTTCGACAGCCCAAGCGCCCTTGACGGTCAAACTGCAACCATGCACCTAATGCAGGCGAAAGGTACACCCTACCTGCACCACTCCTTGAAATAGACTATGCCTTACCGGGAGATCTCGTGTCAATAGTTCTCTTTCAACACACTTCAAGGTTTGGGGCCGTACATCAAGCGCACTGACCTTTGATGCAGTACGATGAACGATACGAAGCTCACATTGTGCGCGGCTCGCTCCGGACCCAAGCAGATGCCATAGCTGTTATAGGATCGACACACCCGAGTGGAGGCGCGGCCCGGACGGCGCCAAGACGCTTTGTAATGCTTGTGGCTTGCGATGCGCAAAGCTGGAGAAAAGACGACAGTGTGAGGCGAGGTTGATTCGCCCGAAATCCGAAGGACTCAGGCCATGAAGTCCGCAACCTCGGTTTGTACGGCACCGTCATGAAGTCAGTAATATTCACCATCATTTTCAGCAAACACGACTGCCAGTTGCTTTTCGTCATACGATGTGTCTCACCCACCACCAATCCGATGGCTTCCCCTCAGACAGCTTAATCGCTGTAGCCTGTGCTCTGACCTCCTTGTACCTCGAAGGGGGGAATACCTGGTAAGGTGCTATCCCTGTTCGATGGTCTGACCTAAATGTTAATCACGGAGACTCACCGAATTGCACAGGCAGCACATCTTCTACCGCTGCGGCGTTCGGGTTGCCCGAGCCGGAGCCAGATTCCTTTCCTCTCCTCATAGAAACGCACAGGATCTTGACTGTCGAGGGCGCGGTGGCCGTCTCTCGTGGACCGGAACATTCCGAGACTGCCGCCTCACTGTGAGGAATGCGACTCTTAACGACCAATCACTTGGCAGAACGGGCGCGTGCCAAGCTGTCGGCAAGGCCGGAAGGTGTGACCATCAAAATGCAGGAACGAACCTTTTAAGCACTGGAACAAAAGTTCCTTATGGCTCTATTGTAACTTTTACGCCGAAGCTTCGCCCCTTGCCGTCGAACTTCTGACGAGCATAATGTCTCTGTGACAGAATGCTTCGGAACGCAACGTCTCTCTCTCTCTGCAGCTGAGGTATTTAAAACCTGATCACAAAGCGTTTTTTTTACGCTTGAGAGGTGCCGTTCACGCATTCCTTCTCACATCCTTAGGTGCTTCAGCTGTCCGAACTGGGCATCTGTATGATCACTGGGCTCGATCGCCAAGGCTGTGGTAGATGTCAGTTGGCAGGCAGAGTCGACCTTGAATTCCCTGTTAGTTATCCATATGAGGAAAGCTTCTCAATATCGCCTAATTTGGATGTCAACCCGATCTAGTGTATTGAGACATGGCAAGACTTCGCATGCCCGGGATGACCAGCGGGGAGCCCGACAACGACCGGGTAGCGAGCCTGGATTCCCGAACCGGGCATTATTCAGAGAACTTGGCACTGAAGGCCGAGATATCCCGATTACAGGCGGAACTGTTCAACCTTAAAAACATCCTTCTGGCGCACAGAGAGTGCTGTGGCTCTTCACGAGTCTGTCCACACTCGAAAACTCCGCCCTGCGACGGAAGAGAACACGACAGCAAGCAACTAAAAGCACACCTAGGGTCGTTGCCCTGGTTGGCATCGCATTCGTATCGAACCATCCGTTAAATGCCATACAAGCTCTCGCTCGTCGGTCGACTGAACATTGTGCCGTTTTTGAGCTTAGCGGTTGAAACTAAGCACTGCCGTTCCGCTACAGGGGATGGGGTTGACCCAGATAGAAGAGGAACATAATACTTAAGCGCTGGCATTGCTCTCGCCTCGAACAGTTGAATGTTTCACCTTTTTCTCTTTCTGTGGATTGATGTCTTCATCACCCAACGAACTTCGTCTAGCTGCTTTGCGAGACGGAAGGTCATCGGAGTCGCGCTTCCGCTTTCGACTCGGTTGCTTTGGTGTCGAGGGTGGATCCCAGTAGCCCTGGACGGGAGGTAATTCCTCGAAAACCATGTGCTCAGAATCTGAAGATGGAGCCGTGTACGCCGTGACAAGACTGGGGTCACTCCACGGGTAGGTGTAGTCGGTATGTAACTTAGGTGGGAAAACGAGTCAATTGAGATCGTGTCACGTATGGTAGACTGTCCAAGATTTTTGCGATACCGAGTAGGGCTATTCAATTCCGTTGGACTCCCAGCGGAGTATTCAGTTGGGTATAGAGGGAATCCCCATTCCGCATATATCATAACCGGCTGCTCGGTGTTGCTCTTGGAAGCGCTTTTGGTCGGTGCTAGCCTAACCCTCAGGTGTTTAGGACACGGGCAGGATAAGTACCAATTTCAGTAAAAAGGTTAATCGAACAAAGCCTTGAGTACTCAACGCCTTTAGAAAGCCTGTTTTGGGGGAGGGCTAGGTCCACACGGGAAATACCACAAGAAATACACACTGGCTACTCGAGATCGCAAAGTTTGCTCACTTGTAACAAGTTTCATATTTCACCTAGCATACAGAAGGACAAAAGACCTACGGCTGGTTGCCCAGCTGCCGGAAAAGGCTATCTGACTCCATATGGGACAAAATGACGAGGAACCAGAGCAAGCCTTGCGAGCCCCATTGATCAATGAAGACCATTCCAGGCCAGCAAATTAATTCTGTTACCGGTGCACAATTTTTTCTTTCCTCGTCTCAACAGCATTATGATACGATGTGGTCGGCATAATCGAAACTCCAGTTGGAGTCCCAAACCATCTCATCCGCTGGCTGCTGTTGCAGCCTTGTATTCATATATAACCCCGGAACACATCCAGCGAGAGGCACACCCGGAATGGTCTGGACAGGCGCCATCGAATTATGCGGCATGTGAGCTTTTGGCAGCGGTTCTAAACTCATGTCGAGCCTGCCATCCCTAACCTCTGAAGTCCTCGGCCTTTGATACAAGGGGGTCGTCCAGGCCGGCGAGATGCTAACCGCCCCCGGGCTTTGAGCAGTCAAAGAGCCAGTAGTGCTGGTGCCGTTTGAGCCTACATATTCAGGACTCATAGAGCCGCCATAGGCATTCAAAGCTGAAGAAGAAGCAAGCAAGCTGTCCACGGACTTCCTTGCCTCGTTGGCAATGTATGCTTGGATGAGAACGCAGTTGCAGTCGGTGTGCCGTAACATTTCCGTCTTTAGATAGTAAATTTCGGTAGTCAGGGAGTCAAAACACGAAGAGAGGTAGCGGTTCTGGTCTTCAATGGCTCGTTCCCGGGAAGCAAGGGCTGAAGCTTCGTCACGTTTGCGGAGACGACATTTGGTGGCAGCGATTCGGTTACGTTCGGGGATGCGTCTTCGGTGGGGATTCTTGGGGAGGTCGTCATCATCGAGCTCCTCCTGCTGCCCTGTTGGATCCGATCCTTTGGACAGTTTCTTGAGTTTCCGACCGCATTTTCTTGGCTTAGGCGACTCTACAACCACCGCAGTGGCGCTGTTTTCCGAAGGCGCCGAACATGGTCGCGATTGTCTCCGGTTGCGAAGCCGGTTGGCCGGTTTATCGTTGCCCTCGGCGCCCGGCAATATGTCTTGCAAGGTTCCACCATCCCGGAGTCCCTTTGACTCCGTGGTCTGGGCCGGTGCGGCGCTGCAATGGGGCTGTTGTTCTGAAATATCAAGGCCCCATGCTATCGAGACCGAGGACGTATCAATTGCTTCGTCGAAGAACGAACTGTCCGTTAATTGATTTGGCGTGGCCTGGTATGGCATAATGTTTCCAGACATCGGGGAAGCGGTACTCATCCGACTGGACGAGGCAATCGTCAGTAGAGAGTGACAGTTATTACATCTAGGTGGGCACGAACCCGGGATCTCCCATAGAGGGAGAGCATGGCGGCTGTACGAATGTGGCCATCGGGGATCCGAGTCCACGGGTAGCGATGGACAGCCTGGAGGGATATATTCGCCTTGGGGTCTGTACGGCCCGGCACAAAGAAGAAGTTGGCTTTCAGAAGCTCTCCCGCCTCGTCGAGAGCTTGTGGGACGACGGCAGAAAGAGATGGTACAGCCAGGCAAGGCAAGGCGAAAAGGTGGCTCGATGATGAGATGGTATTAGCAGAACATGGGTCTGGTGACCCTAAGCATACAAGAAGAAAATGGTGACAGAATCCTTCGACGAGAGCCAAGAGTCCAAAGATTGAAGCAGAGCGCGAGCCCGATCGAGGGAGACGGGAGGTTCAAATATGGCAGCATATGGCAGCATATGGCAGCACCCACGAGCCATCAACTGTTATCCACGGAATGCGATACTGGACCGCCACCAGGGCGATCAGAAGCTGGGCTTGTGAAGGTTATGCCGTGGGGGGAAGTAGACCTGCGGCGTTGGAGCGGGATGTGCAATGGAAACCCCTCACTGAGCTTGAACCAGCCCAACAGGAACTCAATTCCCCAATTTCATTGCATTCGGGACATGTTCAGCGCCAGCTCGCGTTACACAAGTCTTGGGACGTTGTGATCAGGAAGCACACACCAGGGGACCAGGGCTATTATCAGTCAATTGTCTGGTGTAATGCACATGTCGTCATTTAGTAGGATCCGGGGTCGGAGGAGCCCATGCGTCCATCGTCTCCGCAACCAACGCCACAACATTACCACCGATGGGCTTCTGTGTCCCTAGAGTCTCCAGGGTGATGTGATGGTAAAGTTTGGGGCATCATGGTGTCTCGACCCATGCATTGACAACAAGAGATTACCAAGGAGCTCGTAAGCCCGATTATCAAGGCTCAATCGGCTGGGGTCCCTGGCGGGTGGCTGTTTCAACTCTTCGACATTACAATCAGCATCCCAGACCACAGACGCAACTGGCCAATGAGTTGTTCTTCATAGGTAAGCAAACGCACAATGGAATCGTGGATCACCTCTTACTGTTCCCAGTCATTGGAACGGCTGAGACTGCGCTGGATAGGTGGTGCGGATGTAGATCCCGTGAATACCCGCGTGATTCCGAGGGGCTACGATGCCGCCGTAAAACAAACTAGGACATCGCCGCAACATTCAGGCTTTCGGTCATCTAGATGTAAAGTGAGCTCTGCCATCTACACATCTCCCCGCTCGGACTTGTTGACTCCCACTTGAGGTATGTGGGATAGACACTAGCCTCATGCCTCTAGGGCTGCACTCGTCTTTGTGACACGCGACTGGCGCCCAAGCTGATGCCCCCCATTGGTTTGAGGCATCTCGACGGGTGGAGATAACTGGGGCGGCTCCCGCGGTTGGGGGATATCCTGAGACACTGTTGAGGGGAGGGCCAAGTGGGGTGGCTTACTACGTAATAGAAAGGGATTCGGCCGGGAACCATCTTCCTCAGCGTTCCAAATCGTCGGACGAGACTGGAAAGCAAGAGGGACTTACTCCCTTAGTGCATCTCAACAACTGTAAGTCTAGTATGAACCCGGCTCTGTGAAGACTCTAGCTCCCCCGGAAGCAGGCCAGCGAGATTCCGTTCTCCAACGAGGTTCCTCGCACGCTGTAGGTAAGTAACTTTGAAATTTGGTGGCTTGCGGATCCAACGAGACCACAAACTGCTGACGACCCCACCCCATCATCCTCTCCCTGTTGTCAGATTGCGCAGGGATGCTGAGTGCACACTAGATAAAAAGTGGTTTTATTTTTTTATTTTTTTTAATGAACGTGAAGGCCCTATTTTATATTTCAATATGAGCCTGAGTCCAACGAAGTAGCCACCATCTAGGACTTCTTTAGAGTTTGTGTCATGACATCAGGGTCATGAAGTCGAGGGGGAAACCTTAATTCTTCCAACACTCCCAAGGCTCATGGATTCTGCGATCGAGAATTGGCAGTGGACCGTGCGGCGGCTCGTTACACATTGTCACAAACTCTAATGTGGGACTGGGGTGGTGCCGATTCTCCCAACTATGCAATTGGCGCGGGCCCCCTCACAAGAAGGTTTCAGCCATTTGGTGGTGTCCTCCTCAGCGCCCGCTTGTCATCAAAGAAATGGCACCTGTCTTGTCGTCGCTGGCACAACACACACTGGCCGGCGGAGCAATCGACGCCGTTTTGAGGAGTGTGCTCGGCGTGTTGTAAGTCTACTCTAGTTTCTACCGTTTGCAGGGAAGACTTTCGGGAGACTAATTTGGTTAGTCAAGTCGCCTCGGCCATATATCATCCTCGCCCGAGTTTTGCTCATCATATGCCTATGATACGCGTTCCGCTATCTCCATGCCGCTCGACATGTGAAGCGTCTGTAGAGTACAGCGAAATCGCTGGTGTTCGAACAGCCCCGTATATGACTGGTCACTAACACTGCTCTAGGGGTGATGACATCTGCGGTACGTCATACCTGGGGGAATCTCTCCTCCATTCAACGTTAGCGATACCCAAAACTGACTTGTTGCCCAGCTGCCTGCCGCGAACGTCAACAGCCCAGTAACCACCCATGGGCGAAGTTGATCCAGCGCCCCGACCCTCAGCATGAGCGTCGTTGGTGGTCCAACGGTCGAAGCAGGACGTCAAAAGGCCACCGCGCCGCAAAACCCCACACCCCACAATCGACCGATGCCATAAATCGACTTCTGGGCGAATTTTTTTTTTTTCCCTTTATACTCTCTTTTTTTTTCTTTCTTCTGCCTCTCACGCACGCGCATCTTAGGGGTTGGTTAGGGGTTAGTGGGAAGGGGAGTTTTAAACTGGCCGACCCCACCTTTCGGGGAATGGACCGGAAAAGTGAAATGGGCAACGTTTTTCCGACAAGAAAAGTTCACAAACCCCACCTCAACAACCCTCCACAACAACCCTCCATTGCCAACCTCAGGTTCGCATCTTCGCGCGTGCATTCTCCCTAATCCAAAGAAACGTCCCCAGCATGATCCTTCTCAATATACTTGTCCCCGTCCGGGTCCGCATCTGCCCCTTTCCCACAATATACAGCACCTTCTGCGCATACGCGCGACCCAGCCTCGCCAGTTCCACCGCGATCCTCTTGTCCCTGGGCTCCAGCAGGCCCTCCGCATCCCCGTGGGCTCCGACGCCGGGGTCGTCTCTTGCTCGCTTGCGGTGACGGACTTGGGAGCGGCCTGGCGCATGACAAATTTGCGCATCCGCAGGTCTTACATCTACCGGTTCGCATCATGCCTGTTTTCCCTGTTTTCCACGTGAATGAAACGAATTACGAGTCCGTGACCATTCGCTGTCCATATAGTTAAGCGTTGGGAATCCTGTTGAGAAAGAAAGCGGGGGGTGGGTTGTCCGTCTATAGCATTAGTTGGTGAGAGGCGGCAAATTCGAGGATGGATTGAGATGGCAACCGAGACACTGGACGAGACGAAGATCAAACAAGGCCGTCTGTCACGGTTGTCTGGAAAACCCCACAGCTCACCCTGCACATTGGTACCACCAGCTCAGGCCAGGGGACGATCCTTCCCAGGTTCATTTCATGTCACGTCATCTACGAGAATTGGAATGCAGGAATAATATCGGGGCGGGCTAAAGTTGCTCAAGATCGTTTATTCGGGGATACACCAACGTCGCCGCATCGCACCAAGACGTCTCCGAAACAATCGGGCGCCTCCAGTAGATGTTGCGCCAGCGGGCACGCCCCCGGATGTCCCAGAGCCTTGCAAGTGGACTGCAATCATCACCGCGCACGTTGCCTGCCCCGTTTTTGCCAGCTTTCTCGTCATCCTGCCGGCAGATCATGGTTTCAGGATTCTATCACACCCTACCTGGATATTGGACCCTTATCTTGAAACCCGTCATGTTTGACGGCAACATAAAGCAGAGAAAATCCGCCACCAAGGGCGAACCAAGGGCAAAGAGAACCATGCTTCTGGGAAAGTTTGTTTCTGACCTCCCGCCATTGGTCGCATTTTCACCCAAATTACGGCGCCGTCGCCGCCACCAATGTCAGGCTAAGTTAGCCACAAGTCACTATCACTATCCCTTTCAGCATGGTTTTCTGCCCAGTTGGTACTCATGGATAAACTGAGTAGCTCTGCTACGGAATGGCGTCTTCTTTTCTCAGTTCGCCGCAGGCGACTTGTTTACCAAATAGTGCCCCTGTATTGCCTACGATATCCTGCGTGGTTTCATTTCTTCGTACCGCCGCTATCGCTTCCCCCAAGGTGGAGGGCGACGATGCATCTCTTGGGACGAGGGTCGAGGATCGAGGAACGCGTCGCGGGAGTGCAGAGCCTGCGGTATCGTATCATCATGCGCGACAAAGACAGCAACAACGGCAACGGCAGTGGGAATTCGAATAGCCGCAGCTCAAGGAATGGACAACCAGGTCCAGATGCGAACCCCACGGCACCTCCTGGTCGAGCCAAAAAGACAACACAGGCACCCACATCACCCACGACCGAATCCAGGGCGCCAGATATTCCCTCCAAAACGACCTTCTCTCCGAAATCATCCAAGCCGGGTCTGCCTGCTCCAAATCCTACCACTTCGAAGGAAGCATCACAGACAACACTTCCGCCCTCGCCGGAACCACAGGAAACGCGCACTAGCATCGCAAGCACCGAACTTTTGCCACTGGATACTATACCTCTGGAAACTACCCAACGGGTCACTGGCCCTGCTGCACTCTCGCCTCCCGCATTCTCGGCTTCAGCAGATATAACTACTCAAGATGTAGCTCCTCCGCCTTCTACCATATTGCCTCTGGTGCCTCCAATGGGACCGAGCTCATCAACCTCATCACTACCCACGTCGACAATAGGGCCCACCTCCACAGAACGGCCGCCCAACTCCATCAACTCCATCCCCAATGGTGACAGACAGCTGAGCAGTGCAGCCGCAATAGCCATAGGGGTCATAGGTCTTACTCCTATTCAGCTCTGTTTCCCTCTCAGGCCACCTAGGCTAACCCGTTCGCAGTTGGTCTCCTTGTTATCATCGCCCTGGGCTTCCTACCGTGGAAGTACCGAAGATATACGGCCCGTGCCCGCATCGTCAGCCGATTCAGAAGGGCGAGAGAGCGAATGCAAACTTCCCAGCGCCATGCCGCACGAAGCGATCCCTCCATGAGCGAGTGCCTTCTCGGCAATGAAGCAGATATCGAAACCGGCAGTAACATCGACTACGCGAGCCCTCTGCCGTATTGGGATTCCCATCAGATCGTGACACTGCCACAAACCACGCCAGTGGCCATTGTGAGGCCGCGTCCTGTCCTACACCGATCCGTTAGCCGGTTGATGCGTCCAGGGCGTAATTCCATTCGAAGGGTGAAGGCAGTCGAGAAGTCTCTCACCAAGGTTTCTCAACCTCCTCCCGGGTTTGGAGGCGTCCCCGAGCCGATGGCAATTGAACAGGACAGTAGTGCACTAGGTGGCGATAACAATATACCTCTTTTCCACGCCCAAGGAGTCGCAGAACCAATACGGCCACAGTCTGAAGCGGCCTCAACGACAGCTGACCCGCATAGCGCCACATCTGCTACCTCAAGTCCTACATTCCGGAGCGCGGGTGACCGACGTACAAATCACTCCGGCTGGTCCGAGTGGTTCCGAAATACCCCGCCCGAGGCCGAGCTCCAACCAGGTATGAGACGACGCAGCAGTGTGGGTAGTATAGGGGGTACGAGCGTCGCCAGTAGCGGAGTGCTCTCGCCTGCCTTTAGGAGCTGGCCGATAGCATCGCCTACTCCAACGACCGCGTCGATTGTCGGGCTGATAGTGGACGGGGCGCCGGAGACGAGAAACGGAGGGAGTTCCACCGCCAACTCAGTCATGTAAACTCGTCGAACTCCACTGGTAATCCAATACGAGCTCGGGTGAGATCCGACCAACGTATGTTAACCGTGACTGGGACTGTATCCAAAAAAAAAAAAAAAAAAACAAGATTGCACTGAGATTATTGTCATTGACTTAGAAAGAGAATATGGTGTCTCAAGGAAACTAAGAAACTAGCTAAGAACATGGCAGGCTGCCATTTTAAAGGATGACACGACCCGAACCCCCCACTCATCCCCACTCGTGCTATATTTGCAGCTAAACAGATTCGGTGACCCTATCTTGAACTTCTGCAATGATGACAGCCGAAGAGTAATACGCATCGAGACCGGTTGATTTCCATACTGCAAATAAGGCGATTGCAATATGCAACCAGGGTTCGGGACGCTCCGCGCGAATCCCGACGGCGCGTGACATGTCAATGCCGAGCGGGGTCGACGGTCAGACACACCCAGAATCTAACTCAGTCGTCGAAGACACTCCGGATGCCATAGCTATTTCCAATCTGGACAGCAGACCTCCCGGTAGCCGCGATAGAATCCGTGGTGTTCGTGGTCTCATCCGAGAGGAGCGCTTTGTAGAGATCGATGATCTGGTTCTCCAATTCGCGTCTCACTCCCGAGAGTTCGTCGCCATGGCCGGCGGAATCCTTCAGAAGGCTGCTCGACAAGCCTAGTACTAGGCCATCCTCTTGACGACGTAATCGATCCCTTTGCGGTTGGCTTCGGTCGCGGTGATGGGTTGGCGAGCATCTGCAGAAGTCAGTATACGATGCATCGCCTCCCAGACGGACTCACCTCGTGCACTCCTCGGCTTGGCAGCCTTGGCCGTGCGCTCTACCCATCCTGGCAGTTTGCGCGTTGCGTCACATGCCAACTCGTCCCATGGAACCACACTGTCCATCTTTACAATCAATTGGCCATTTCACGGGTGGACGTCGCAGGGCGCATAAATACCGGCGATTCGAGAAAGGGGAGCGACTGAAGGGAGCAAGAGGAGTCGGTCCTGAGGGAGGAGGTCTAGCTCAATCCCGATGATGCAGATGACCTCATGGTGCTGATCCTGTACAAGTCGGAGCTGAGGAGGTTGCAATGCCGCTGATCAACGACGATAGAATCAATTCGCAGCTAGAGGTTACATGATGAGGCGCAACGAGGTAGTTGTGGATTTCCATGCCTACTCCTAATATCCGGCGCCGGGAGCATGTTCGTCTGCCACGATCTGTCCGTTTCCCCGAGTCCCCAGGCACCTATATGAGCTCGACTGCTCGCCAACGCAGAGCAGCTCCCTGTCTGCCATGGTACCTAGTTCCCTTGCGTTCCTCGTTCCTGCTCTCTCCCCAGACGAAACAGCTCATTCCGCACCTTGTACCACTCCTCCCACACGCGGGGCGGTCCTTCCTGCTCCCTCATGTTCGGAATCCTGTTGAATGCCTGAATGAAACTCGGGGACGCTCCAGACACCCAAAACTGGACGTTGTCGGGGAAGTACCGTCGGCGATGAGGTAAACCTCCTTCAGATAGGGCATCACATCATCGCGACTGACGAGGTTAGACTCGAAGCGCATGAAGGAGTCGAGGTTGTAGGGTAGCAATGGGCCCTCGCCAACGTTGAAGTAGATGTAGGCGTTTTGGGTCCCTGGGGTCCCGACGATCTGGATCAAGGGCCCGCCGGTGTTGGGGTGGACGGCTTGCTTGTATTTCTGGATGACATCTTCGAGGAACGTCTTGTAGAGGCCCTGGCACTCTGTGCTGAGTGAGGGATAGACGTCGAAGCCGCAGTCGACGCCCATTTTCGGAGCGAGATGGAGTTCGTCTGGCGCGAGAGGCCAAATTCTTGGTCCCCTTCTACTTCGAAACTCGGCCGCGGTTCCTGATGCTGGGGGGCACTTGTCCGGAATCTGTGGCGGCCGTGATGGGCTTGCCACAGATGCGGGAGGCCGACTATGTGAGTGGGTCGAATCTCGATTGGACGTCGCCGGACGGTGCGACATCGTCAGCAGACCTGGAACGACGCCGAAGTCGACGGGCAAGCATTGCATGTGCGGGGCTACGTCGACCGGGCATCACGGCCATTCCTTCTTTTCCAATGGAAGTGTAGGGGGATGAAGTACGTATCCAACAAATATGGGGCGACTTGGTCATGGATGGACAGACCGAAGGGCATACTTGTCAGCCTCACCTCGAGCCGCCTCACTTTGGCCTGGCAAGGTTGCTATTGGCCGGCCGGCCGGCTCTTGGGCCCATCCATAGAAGTCTACATTCCTCAGGCAATCAAGACCGCCCCCTAGAGTTTGGCACTTCCGGGGGACTTATGATATTGCGTCACAAGAACCATCTCACCGTCAATGATGAACGCGCTCCGGTCGCGGTTGATGCTCCTCGCACTGGCCGCCTTTATCCAGGAACTCTTCCCTTCGCTTTCCACAGACAAGATTTTCCAGCATCTCCACCTCCTTTCCTGCTAAGCCGTTGCTATGGACAAAAGACTTCCCCCGTTGCGTCTGCGTCAGGCCGTCTTCAATGGCAGCCAGCGGTATCGTGAAACGGACGTCATCGCCTTCCTTGAACATCAGCTTGTTCCACAATATATCCTTGGCATCAGTGATTATCTCATCTACCATGCCCCGGATGGCGTCCATGGGAATTGGCTTCCCCATAAAGTACATCAGGTCGCCCTGCTTGCTCCAGGACACCATCAGCCGGCTGCCTGTTTCCCGCGCAATTTTCCGGCCGTAAAGGAGTAGACTTAGCGTGTAACCCATCGGGGAATACGTCGCCTTGCACAGCCAGCCGTTCCGGACCTCGGCAAAACACTCCTTCAGATCGTCCATCCCACATCGCTCTTTAGTTGGGATGGCATACTCCGCCAGCAAGGCTCTGCCTACGTATACCATTCCCGCCAGGACGTATGTAAAGAGATGGGCTGGCCGCAGCTGTCCAGACTCACCGTCAATCCCGAGGACGGCGACGAAGTGCCAGAGCTGACTTTCGAGGATCCCCGCCTAGACGCTGCATCCAGAAGCCGGCCGATACCTGAAGCACTTCTTCTTCTAGGTCCTTTTCCGACCAGTCCCCGTCCTGCAGGTGCACCCACAACCGCTCGAGGCTGCTTCTCTGGCCGGCGGTCAAGTTAAACCCATGTTTCTCGACCAACGTGGCCTCATCTAGCGAAGGGACGTTTAGGTAGTAGCACAGGAACCGTTTTCAGCATGTAAGGTACCGATCCATGCTAGTCTTCTCCTGCAATGGCCCGAACGGCCGGCTGTTGGCGTCCTCAGGGTGAGGGCTGGCCAGCAGCAGCCGCGCCATCAGAGGCATGCTCTTGAGTCCGCCTATACGGCGGTCGAAGAACATCCGGTCGGTAGCAGCAACTAGCCGGCGTAGCTCGTCGTCTTCCGGTCCTGGCATTCGTCTGCTGACGTATATCTCGCTGAGATCCCGTTCCACGAAGTGTGCGGTCCAGCCAGAACGCTTCAGCCAGTTGGGTGATCTCGTGCTTCGCGGCTCCGTCGGCGAGAACCTTCTGTATCGCTTCTTGCTGGCTCTGGTCGCACGCCCATTGCTCCTTGACCTGAGCAATCATCTCGGAGTGCTCCTGTTTTCCCTCTGGGGTGCCCGCTGCCGCCTCCTCCTCCTCCTCCTCCTCCCCGTCTAACCTTGAGGCAGTGACGCAGAAATAATGAATGGCCGACATAGGTCGAGTAAAAAAGGTCTGTAGTCTCGCGCTAGATCGAGGCTCCGCGTGACCCTTGGACCCCTTTACCCCGTGCTCCCTATTGCGGTGCACCTTGAGCCACTTCCAGCTGACGGTGAGGAAATCGCAGCGATCGCAGACAAACCCGCGGCGTATGGGCAGGCCCTCGATGGGCGACCTTGGATTCGACGGTCCATGGCGAAAGTCATCATTTGGCGGCCGCTGTAGTTTCAGACCGGCATACCTGGTCAAGATAGCCTTCCGAGCCTTGCTGCTTATGTCGGCGTGCTGGACCCGGAGGTGGCTGCTGAGATTCGTTACCGCGCAGCCGTGGGCTCGACATATCAAGGACTGATGACTCTCGTCATAAAGTAGCCAGTCATAACCACCCTCATCACCTTTTCCGCCCCCCGTTATCGTCATCTTCTTCTTCTTCTTCTTCTTCCTCCTCCTCTTTTTCTTTTCCCCTTCGTCTCGCCGACCCTTGGCAGCCCTGACCCGAGGTAATCACCCCTACAGCCTGTCAGGTAGGGGTTAAGGCTAAGTGGGGTAGCCGATTGGGCTCGCACTACGGCTCGCGGCTACCCGAAGTCGAACCCACCTGTCTGTGAGGTGCCAAGGCAATGGGATCGCGGCCTTTTTTGCGTACCTAGATGGCGCAGATAGGGGTAGAGGATGGAAACTTACGTAGTCTACGAATGGTAGTCTATACCCCTGTCCCGTACCCACCCGGGGCTCCGACCAAAGGCGCCGGCGCGGACCCCTGTCTCCGGGTTGGTAGTCTACGCACACTACCACCGGCCTCGCGGTTAGGAAATCAGAACAGTCCAAGAAGGGACTAAGTGGCTCCCACCTCCCAGCAACATTGAAGAATTCCATAACGCCCTCATCTCCTTGGTGGATGGGGCTGTACGCACCCACACACCGCTTGCAGAGCCTTCGCCGTACGCGAAACAGTGGTGGACGCAGGAACTCGCAGAGTTAAGAAAGTATTATACCTGTGGAGGAACTCTGCGAGGACCGCTCGAAGAGTAGGCCAATGCGACCCGGACCTGGAAAGGAAGGCTAAACATGCGAAAAAGGTGTTATTCGACACTTGCCAGAGACAAAAGAAGAAGCACTGGACGGAATTCCTCTCTGACCACGGTAAAAAGCACTTGGTCCAAGGGTTGGACATTCCCGTTATGATCTCAAATCTGAAAAAGAGTCAAGATCATCATCCTTCACACCCCCCCCCTCGCCGCCGGCCCTCCTCTACACGGCCGCCACAGGCCTGTCACTGACTCGATCTCAAGCCTTAATCTTCTCCTGACCCACCTTCGCGGCGTACTCTAAACCATCGACAACCTCCTGGGCCTGCGACAAGAACGGTGAGTGGCTGCCCTTGGAGTGAAAGCTGGCCGCATTCGGCCCGAGCAAAGCTGCCATTCCCTGCTGCACCGGCAGCGGCAGAGCCTGGTCGGCGTCGCAGAAGAAGAACATGCTGTTGATGTCGTGCCAGGGCTCATATGTGACGGCGTCAGTGAAGACCGAGGCCGACTGGTGCTTTAGCGCGACAATGGCCTTTTTCTGAGCCTCCGGTTCTAAGTCGTGATAGAACACGACCTCAGGCGTGTCGGCGTGGACGTAATTACCCTTGAGAGTCACGAGTCAGCGGAAAACTCTTGTTCCAATGTCAAATGTGACCTATAACAACCCCCCGGGGGGATGGTTTCATCAGGGTGATAGGGACCCTTACGTCAAACTTCATCCACGGCAAAAACTGCCCACCCAGCATGTCCTTGATGCTCTTGCCCAGCGGCGTCACGAAAGCTGCCAGATAGACAAACATGATGACGCCACCACTCTGGCCCTGCTTCGCCCGCTGTTTGTAGCCCAAGCCCTCGACAGCATTGGCGCCAACCAGCCCACCGTACGAATGCACGACGAGCACGATCGTCGTCCCCTCATCGGCGAGGCGCTGAAGCGCCGCCCGCACCGCCGCGGCGTCGTCGGCGAGGCCCTTGGTAGGCGGCTCGGCCGCGACGGATGGGTAGGTGACGGCCTCCGTGGACCAACCGCGGGCGTGGAGGGCGTCGCGGACGACGTCGAAGCAATCGGGCGTATGCCAGGCGCCCGGCGCGAAGACGATGGTTGGATTGCTGGTGGTGGCCATGGTGAGGGGGTGGCGTTGCGACGAATGTGACGAGTCTCGAGTTGAATAGTGAGTGTCCTGGGGATCGACAATAAGAGAGAACATGTTCAGGAATATATATGGGGAATGAAGATGGGTGGCGGTAACGGCAGACGCCGTTAAAGCCCCACAGGTTCCCGAGTCATGGCCTGCGACAAATCAAAAACTGGACGATCTGTCCTGCGTCTGTAGGTCCCCGGCAACTTGCGGCGCGGAAGTCGGCATGCCGGGCTCAAGCTACAGGCACCCGATAGGTTGGGACCGCAGTAGTGCCCTCTGTAGTGAAATGAATTAGGTTGTTAGTGCGTTTGGCACCAGAAACCACGCTCGGACGGCGCAGTTGTGAAGCAATTGGCGAATTGTGGGTGCGGGGTGGGCCTGGGAAAGGGGCACAGGCTGGTCGATGGAACATGTTTCGGGGTTCTTACGACTGAATGGAAGACTTTTTGTATTTACATGCTATGATCTTCCCGTCGAAACGCAAGTTAACCATGTAGCATCTTCGTCTTCGTTTCTGGACTTTTGGCTGTCATAACAGCTGCTTCTTCAATCTTCTATCCTTAAGTGAGCTGTTCGTGTCAAGATGGGCGTCGCGACGGTTCTCCAGACTCGCGAGAGCCTCTACGACAACAGAGCCGGGGAACTGAATGGCACTACAACGGCATTGCTCGTCCTCGCCACCGCCTTTGTCGGCTTGCGTTTCTGGGCTCGTTATCTCAACCGGGCAAGCTATGGTTCTGACGACTGGATGATGGTTGCTGCGCTGGTATGTGTTGACGGCTCGGAGATTCTTCCCTGACTGAACGCCCGAGCGGCAGCTGACGCGTAGAACAACGAGTAGATAGTCGTTTTTATTTCTGGCGCAATCAACTATGCTAGTAAGTTAGATCCCAGGACCAATGAATCGGTGCCGACGTCATACTGACCACGACTGCTGCAGTGGTCGCTCATGGGCTCGGCCGACACGCCGACACGTTGCCGATAGACGAGCTCGTTACCTTCTTCAAGCTCCTCCTCGCATTCGAGTGCATATACGTCACAACAGTGATGCTCGTGAAACTGTCTGTGCTCCAGATGTACCTGCGCATCTTCCCATCACGCGGGTTCAAGATTGCTGCAGCAATCATAGCTGCGCTCGTCGTCGCGTGGTGGATCGCCATCGTCGCCGTCTGCATCTTCCAGTGCAACCCCATCAGTAAGGCTTGGTTGCCGTGGATTGACGGCACTTGTATTGACCTTAAGGGTTCCTTTATTGGTAATGCCATCCCGAATATCGTCACGGATGTTGCAATCCTGTGCATGCCTATCAGGCAGGTCTGGAAGTTGCACGTCACCCTCGCACAGAGGCTGTCTCTGTGCTTCATGTTTTTGCTCGGCAGTTTGTGAGTTTAGCCCTGCTCTTGTGGTTCCCTGTCCTCAGTTCGCTAAGATCCCTCTAGCGTATTGTTCTCTTCTATATACCGCTTTACCACCATCATGCAATTCGACACGAGGGACACAACTTGTAAGTGACTGTCTTCCGATGAACACGAGCATGAACCTCGACATGTTGGTTCTAACCACCAGAAGGGACGCTTGCCACGGCGTGCACGTGGTGTGTGGTTGAGGTAGCTTGCGGAGTTATCAGCGGGTGCCTGCCAACGTTGCGGCCGCTCATGGGTAAAATCTCGAGCCAGTTCGGTAGCATGACGAACAGCAAGGCGGGGCAGGGTAGCGGCAACAGCAGAGCTTGGCGGCCGACCGAGCTGATCACCATCGGCGGAACTGGAGGTAGCAAATCGGGAGACAGATACTTCCAACGACTGGGAACCGAAGAGGACAAATACCGCACCCGCAAGGCTATCACTAGGTCGGAGTCCGTATCCAAACAGATCGGCCATAGTAGTGATCCGGGTTCGGGAGATGAACTCCCCGTGAATGGTGGAATCAGGGATAAGAACAACCTGGACATGGAGATCCAATGGCAGGGTCAGACATCGAACAAATGGGAATCGAATCGATAGATTCATTCGATGACAAGTCTTACGAATGTCGAATCGAATTTCTTGGCGTTCGATCAAAAATCGATCGAGTCGGTCGAACAGGGCTACGCGATGGCAGGGGGCAGGTTTAGCGTGATTGATTGACGCGTTAAGAGGCCACTGGCGCGATCCTCCGACGCGACGAGCGCAATTCGTTCATCGCCGGCCACGGTCCGGTGTGTCAGACAATTGGCTCCACAGGGATCATTGATGGCACCAGTCAATTGATGAGAATTATCTAAAGAACAAAAGAAATTGAACAGCCATGTGTTCGGGTACAGCTATTTAAGCTCATGTCTTAGGATCGGAGTCCTTGACGCGACAAGCCGGATGTGAAACCGGATACACGACCCCAAGGTATGGGTCGCGTTTCACATCCGGTCGCACGATGGTGGTGATATGCGACACGGTGCTAGTGCTAAGATTATGTCAGCTAGTACACCCACGCCCCCCGACTTGCCTATAGCATGGCAGGTACCCCACAACTACATCCATCATCCCGACAACAACCCACAATCAGGTGCTTTATAGAAATCCGACGGTAACCCATTTTGTAGCTTGGAATGAGACATCGCTCAGTTTCCATGAGGAGTAAATGTTGTGTGGGAGACGTTGAAGTACGAGTTATCTCTGCGGTAAAATCCAACTTCCGAAGTTAGGGGGGTACTAGGTGTCGGAAAGCTCGCGTGGCACTCAGTTGACTTAGCCCGTGATCACTCGTGTATTGTCTATGTTCCTCACTACCGTATAAACTCGGTTAACTCTCCCAAGTAGCGCCTCCACTTTATCTCCATATTTCCACTGTTAACCGCAAAAATGTGCAGAAGTGTCCATGAGTAACTGATTTCATTGGTTGCCCTTTGTTTTTATGGGGGTCGCTACTTGGGCGAGATAACTGAGTTTCTACGGTAGGCTATCTCTGCGTTGGTCAGGGGTTATAGGCTTCCCTGACCGCCTTCCTATTCAGGCAGGGCCCGGCAAAGGCTAGGCGAGCCCTCGGCCGGACCCTGGGTGGTCACCACGTGACCACCCGATCAGATGCTCTGTAAATGATCCAATCTAACAGATGTATTGTCCCAAATCCACTGGTGGCGAGCAATTCAACTTATTATTCTTCTGCTGCATTACAGTTTTACTACAATACACTGTTCCTTCTGGCTTTCGGCTGAATACATATTTCAAGGCCGATGGTTGAACTGCCTGACTGGTCTGATTTGCTTGACAACGGCGATTGTTCAGCCGAAGGCTGACTCTACATTAATCCATAAGTTTTCCCAATAATGTTTTCCCAATAATGAGGGTGCCTTCCGTTAGGAAGGTCTTTCTTATTCGCGCCCGACCCTTGACACCCTGGTCCCTGGCCTCTGAATGCCTTTCGGTACGAAAGGTCTTCTTAAGCTCTGGGATTTCCAACCCCAAAATTTGGCCCCCCCCCCCGGGCAAAATTACCCGATTAAGCGAGGCGCAACTGCACCTCCTAATTGGTCCAATCCTCCCACTCTCATTTGCCACAAATCCTCCCACTCCCATTTGCCACGCACTCCCATTTGCCACATGTGCATGAACTTCGAATTCACCCTCCCCCACCCGAGATCAAGTGTAAAGAAGTCTTCATTGGCTGGGATTTTTCTGTTAAGAATCACGTGGGATTCACTTGAGCTTTTAATTTATAATGCTGGCGTTGCTCTCGTCGTTTGCATTTTGTAAGGTTCTTATTTCTGCTTGAGTTAGGTAAAATCTATTCTATTAGATCGGATTTTTAATATATAATATATATATAGGAAACAGTGGATTGGTTTTTCTCGAAATCTCATTATTGATCTCCTTTATACCTCTTGGAATACCTGGTAGCCACTTGGCGGAGATGTTGGGCCTTTGGTGGATGTCTGGTGCTGAGAACCCCGCTTCAGACGTCATCATCGTCATCGAACGCGAACCGGACGTTCCGGGCGGGGGGACGTCATCGTCCCCTGCTTAGAAGAGCCAGAACGACGGGGGCAATGGAATCGGAACAAAACACCCATCATCTATCAATACATACTTGACTGTTCCTTGGATTCGCTATCTAAATTATAAACTATATTATTGCTCGTATTGTGCGGTTGGGTGCAATAATGATAACCGGGCCTCGTTTAATGTTCCCCCGCACAATTGCTCCAGCCTAGCCTCGCCATCAAACATTTCCTGTGGTATTTTATTCCCGACTATATCCTCCACACGCGCCTTTGACAGCAATATAATACCATCCAGCGATGTGCACCGCGATAGCTGCACATACAGGCTATATGGGTCGCACTTTCGTGGCTCGAGTTGTCCAGTCTTGGTATTCAGCTTTGTCCCGGTTCCTCGCAGCTCCAGCGCAATCTGGAGGAGGGTTTCGCCTTGGATTTTGTAATCGGTGCATGCGAATGCCGCAGTGCAGGGAAGTCCTCGGCGGCTCACATTATGCCTCTGCCAAGGCCTCTTCTTGACCCTCTTCTTCTTTTCGATTGGTATTTGGGCACTCGTTGGAGTAAGCAGGATTGTGCCTGGTGGCATTTCATCAAATTCGAACTTCTTGGTTGACTCGGACGACAGGATGATGCCGGCAGGTGGTCCAAAGTGGAGGATGATATTCGGGGCGAGTTGATAGCCTGGGAATCTTTTGCTGTCTGGTATAACTTCTAGCGCTGTGTATTTGGCGCCATTCACGAGCTTGAGGCCTGGGTTTATATTCATGGTCACCACAACCGGCATACCAGGCACGAACATGAATGTGGCCGGCACACAGATCTTACTGTCATCCCCGACGCTGGCCATAAGCGTAGCTTCTTCCTCCGTTACCGGCAATGTATTGGGTTTGCCCCAACGGTGCTCGGATAGAAATATCCGGACTGGCTTCTGTTCGTTCCTCTGGAAGGCCAAAACGGCATCCATGTTCAGGCACCACCTGGTGCTATTGAGCGGTGTAACTACTGTGATGCCCTTGCTCCATGGTATGGCTCGGCCTTCCTGAAAGCACCGGCTATTAAGAAGCTCCATGTCGGACTCGTCTTGCTGCCCCTGCCGGATCCGAGTCAGCAGCCGCTGCAGCTGCGGGTCCCCCGCTGCGCGCACCTGTTCGGTGAGCATAACGACGGTGGTAAATCGAGCCCAGAGTGCGTGCGCCCTCATTTCGTCCGCAATCCTGAGGGCGGACCATGGCGTCAATAGCGACTTGTTTTGCACTGGGCGGAACTGGTGGAAATCTCCTGATAGTAGCACCACTGGGATGCCGCCAAAATCTTGATTCGATCCTCGGGAGGCGCAAAGTCGCTTGTTGATGTCGGAGAGCGTCTGGAGGCCCAACATGCTCACCTCGTCAATGATGAGCAGCCACTTTTCTCTCCATCTTCTTCGAGCATCACCGTCCACGTAGGTTACCGTGCTGCCATCGTCGGCATTGCTACCGGATGCGTTGGGTTGCATCCCACAGGCGAAGTGAATAGTCACGCCGTTGATCCGCGCTGCTGCGGCCCCCGATGTTGCCGTCATAAGCAGCCTGTGTGATATGCCTTTGCTGGCGAACAATTCCGCCAACGCCTCGATGACCCTGGATTTCCCGGTGCCGCCCTCTCCACCTAGGAACTCACACAGTTGTGCGTTATGATTGTTCTCGGCATTGCTGCTATTGACGTTATCGCTGTCATCTTCGTCCGGGATGGTATCGAGATGGCGACACACTAAAAGGAAGGCGATTTCCTGCCGCTCGTTCAACGTAAACTTCCTTGCAATCTCCCGACCGGCATGGAGGAATGTTGTCGACGGTCCAAAGACGACCCTGGCACTGGGTCTTTGGGTGTTCCGGGTGTCTGTTTCTGACATTTCTATAATATCTTCTCCCGCGCCCGCGAAGGTATGGTTCAGTGATGCTTCTGCGCCGGCAGCTGTGATTTGCGTAATCTGAGCTCCATCAGTGCCTTGGATTCTTTTCACAATTTCCTTGTCAGCTTGATCCTGCTTGCTCTTAATTCCTCTAAGCTGACGTTGCGTTGGGAGCTCGCTCCTGGCTACCATGGTTGGCTGGCACTGCTCTGGGTTCTCTGCGGAAGCGGCAGTCTCGACATCATCCGCAAATTCGGGGATATCTGCTTGAGCTTCGCGGAGCTGATCTAGCATATGCAAAAGATGCTCCGAACCAGCGGTCACCTGGTTAAGGGCTGTAGCACCTCGTACTGTCTCAATCAATCGGCCAAGCTGGCCAACCTGGTCTGGGCGATATGCTTTTACTGGGCCTGTAGGATCTTGGAGATCATATCCCATAGCGTCGATATCATCCAAAACGGCGTCGTCCCCCGCAGCCGCCCACTGCTTTGCATCTCGCCGCGCATCTTCCGCTGATCGCTTCAAGAGCTGGATGTTGCCTGCGATAGTCTGGAGTCTTTTGGGAAGTCGCCGTCTCCAGTGCTCCCAGATTTCGTTGATGTCACCAGACGTTGCTGTAATAAACTTCTCCCATGGTACGAAGAGTGCAAGGTGCTGTACTGCAGCTCTAGTACTAATATCAGTACATGCTCTTTGTTTATCTGTACTGTTACATGGCTTGTGCTTACCTGCGGTATTTGTCTGTGTTTGAATCAATATCAAAGTCCATATCGAGAAAACCGTTAATGCACGGCACTGCATACTTCCCCGGGGGTCTTAGAACTTGCATCCAGTCCCTTCCCGGCTTCCAGTCCATTTCAAATTCTATCTTCACCAACTCCTTGGGAGATGAATCTATCCTCTTTTGTAATGTAACAAGCGACACGTAGTCATAGAAGCATAATGTCTGCAGCACCTCTCCACGGTGGTGGTAGGCTTCAATGTATGGTAGCTTCTGGCCATTGCTTCCCACCAAGACCCTCTCAGCGCTGGCTTCCGCGCCGTTGCCGTTGCCATTGCCATTGCCACCTATGTTCTCGATAGGTCGATCATCGTCGTCGCCTAAAGTGCTACTGCATTGCTGGAGATGCTCCCAGCGTCGGAGTATTGCCCAGTATATCATTGTCATATTCACATATGACCATTGTTTAGTACTCGAGAACTCAGTTGGGTAATCCAAGAAGTGCGCAATCACCTCCACCTGCGATAATGGCCTCTCGGTGAATATTCTGTTTGCGATTCTCATCAGATACTGGCGGTTTATATTTGCCTTGGCTTCGTAGTTTGCAGTTGTTGCACCTAGCCCGACGGCGCTGGTTGTGCTGATACTCGGAAAGAGCTCTGTCGCACTGAATGGATAGGATCACAATGATGATGATGAAAGCTCTTGATTTCTAGCTAAGGGACGGGCCTAGAGCCCGTCTCTTATACATGATGAAGACGGCTGCTGCCGGAGGCGGCAGTCCGTCGCCGACGCACAGGGGCCGGGGCCCTGTGGGTCCCGGGGACCGGGATCGTGGTCATAGGGCCGGCGATGTGGTCTGAGGAAGAAGGGAAAGTCGCGTTGTCTAGGAAATGGCCCCTAAATGTGACAAGCTCTGCTGCTATGGCCACTCTCTTCCAGATCGGATCTTCGATTTTTGTGGCGTAGTTTGTCAAGTAGTATATCAGCGCCATTGTCTTGCTTTGGGTTCCGATGAAGGAGATGTCGTGATTGTGCCGCAACCCAACCGCCATTGACTTGTTCCATCGGTTGATCATGGGATGTGAGCGTTGGAGCCGAAGTATACCATCCGCGCCAAATTCGCTTTTTGTAAAGAGCTTCCAAGGCGCATGGAATCGACACGTGGGCTTCTTGTCCCCCTCCTTGTTGTTGTTGTGAGAGTATTTGACACAAGTTGCGGTATGGACGTGCATCTGGACCCTGCCCGCGCAAAAGTGGGCTTCATCGTCAAACTGTTCAGAGAAGCGCCCTGCATCGGTCATCAGGTAGGATATGTTGTCGTAAACCACCCTAGTCTCGCTCTCCTCACTAAAGGCAGCGGATTCGTCCAGATCCTAGATAATAGTTTAGCTTCCGACCTACGTTGGCTTTTGGTTACGTGGATATATGGATGCACATACCTCGGTAAAGACAGAATCGACATATTTCAGGATTCCTTGTCGTTCCATCGCCGCACTCTCATCATCCTCCCCGTTTCCATGAGCACCGATCAAGTTTCCGAGCTCCAAGTTCCCCTCGAGCCATAGCAAACCATGGACATGAAGAGCACCGCGTTCGTTGGTCTCGACAGCGGCGAAATACTGTCCAATCTGACCAAACACAGATTCCTCCCCAACCTTGACGTAATGCTCAAAGAACATCTCTACTTCGCGGTGGAAGAAGATGGCAGAGCTTATGGGGTCGGTTATCGCCAGCTTCACTCTCTCATACCTATCCTGAAGGGCCCGAAGCAAGGTTGCTTCCGCGGCAGCCTTGTCCTCCTTTCGGTATGCCGCCAGACGTAGTTTTACCGGGTTCGTAATGTCATTAGGGTTCAGCGTAAACCAAATCGCCGGTATACCGTATCTGATGATGAGCGCTTTAATCTTTCTGCGCATGGCTAGCCGCGACTCCTGCGACATGGCCTGTTTGTAGCCAAAGTATGAGATGTATCGCAGGAGCTTTTTGATATCTTCATCTCGGGTGCTCCCGCCAGCCTCTAACTCCTTTTGTACTTCGCCAGCCTCTCTGGTGTTAACGACTGAATGATCCTCTCAACCTCAGGAAAATCGTTCCGTCGCACGCTCACCATACTTACTCCTCTATTCCTAGACCGAACCTCTATGTTGAATACTAGGAATGAAAACGCCGGATGATTGGCAAAGTGACCACCATGTCGTTGCAGCACTTTCTTCATCCATGCGTGAAGTCCGAGATTACGTGTTGGCGAAATCGCATCCCTCCACCCTCTCCAATACTGTCTCTATCACGGATATGCCCTGTGAGCTGGACACTGTTCTTCCACAGTTCCGATTCCATCTCTTCCTTACACCGTGGCCCACCGAAACCGAACGGGAATAGTGTTGGAAATGCTTTTGCAAGATACCAGAGATCATTGATATCTGCAAACTCATTGCCTCTTGAAATGTGAATGTATGGCTGAAGGTGCGAATCCTGCGCGCTCCCAGTCGGCTGGTTGGGCGGCTGTGCTTGCGCATTTGTGTGTCCACCTCTGATTGTATCAATAGCAAATTGCAGTTTATCGGCATCGGTTGCTCGCGGTGCTGTATCCAGTGGAAACATACCAGATGCAAGGATCTCATCAAGAAAGCTTCCCATGCCCTCATACTCGAGCTCCTCCCTACTGCGCTCGTCATAGAGCTGCTGATCCTCGTCGTAACTTACATCATTCTCATCATACGATCTGCCTAGCCCGTCCACAATCTGTTCGAGTGACTGCGGCCCAGCGTCATCCATTCCACGTTCTGCTGGGGGCACAATGTGCGCTGTTCGCGTTTCTTCCCATGCCGATGGTTCATCTCTCTCTATCCTGTCATAGATCTGGCTCGGAACCCCATGCGCCGGCTCTCCCCAACTATCCAACTCGGCTTTGTCGATTTGGATGTGCCGATAGTGGGGGTTAAATTCTTTTAGCCAAAGCAACGCCCGTTCCACAGCTCCTCTCCGGACTGAGAGCAACTTGGATAGATCGCTGGGGGCTGGTCTCTGCGGCCCATGCCAGGATATATGGATATCCTCCAAAGATTGTAGAAGCGGATGTGGTAGTACTGTGGTAACCAAGTCTTGAACACTGTTTGGAAACACAGTTATGTGACCCTTTACATGCCGTGCATATGCCGTACTCTGTTTGGTGCTTTTTGTCACTTTGATTCTTGCAACGAAGCCGAAATGGGTGTTGAGTGCGATCAGCTTCTCCTCAACCAATGTCAAGTCTGAGAGAGCATCCGGGTACATATGCTCGCAACCAAGTGCTTGATGCAAGTTCCCACCCCGCGCCATATTGCATTCGCGGATCTTCATTGCACAGTTTTCGCAGCTCGGTATAGCCTTGCCAATAGGGAAGCAATCTGGACATGAAAACGTGCGGCAGCTATTCATCGCTGCGCTATTTGTCCACTCTTCCCAGCTAAGCTCTTTTATCTCCATGGTGCTGATTTTCCGATAGCATATCATGCATGTGTGTATGGGTAGGGTGTCCATGTTGTGAAATGCTTGATAAAAGTCCATGACTGTGGATATATTCCTCTCACGGGGGACCGGCTTACGCCAATCCTTTGTGTAGGATATTCTCTCCTTCTCTGTAAATTCATCTTCCAGATGCTTAATAGCTCTCTTGAATGCCTGGGTTTGCTCTTCAAGGTTGCTACTCTCAACCCGTCTTCGATTTTGCCTTTTGTTTTGTTCTTGTCCGCGTTGGTCAGCCTTACGCTTGGCGCCAAGTTCTTGTTGGCCATGTTGATCCACATCTGAAAAGCTTAGAATGCTCATACATTGCTGCATGCCCAGTGCATTGTGCGGGTGATGTTGGGTCCCAATGGCAACCAGTGGTCTTTGCTGTTGGATTTGTCTCCTTTGCCTCCAGTTTCTTTCCCGGGCATCTTTCCGTCTTGATGCACGAGAAGTTCGCGGTTTGCCTCTTGATCTTGGAGGCGCCTGTATTGGTGTCGTACTCCTTGGCGGCGGTCGACTCATCCAGCTTTCAGATTACTGTATTTGAGTATTGATGGTGTCGGCTTGGTATGCACTTGGCTGATGTTCCTGCACCCGATTTCCTTCTCCAACATCTCTCCGCCTTGGTACACGAGAACCTCGCGGTCTGCCTCTTTTTCTTGGAGGCACTTGTGTCGGCGTCGTGCTCCCTGGTGGTGGCCGACTCATCCAGTTTCCTGCCGCCTGTGTTTGCGCATTCGCATTGTCGATTTGATTTACACTTGATCGGTATTCTTGGTGATTGCCTGGTTTGCTTGATTGGCCAGTTGATTGTGATCCCTCTAGTGCCGGGACTAGAGGTACGGTTTCTGGAATATCACCAGGTGTACTCGGTTGGACAGTAGAGTGTGACCTCCTTAATCCCACGCCCACAGGCTGGACATCCGGAACGCTATCGGATATGCTTGGTTGGACAGTAGAATGTGATTCTCTTGGTGTTGCGTTTGTATTCGAGTTTGCCGCACCAAAGATATCATTGTACATCTTCAGCCCGAGACTGCTGAGTGTGCTGCCAAATGACGAATCCATTACAAGATAGTGTATGTACGAATATTCTTACGGTGTGTAATCATGTGTATTAAGCCAAATAGTATTATAAATATGAACGATAAAGGTTGATGCCATTCACAATGCTGTTTTGTGATCGGTACATTCTGGGGCAGATTTCGATTCTCCCACACTAACCGGTCCTACTCTGCTCTGGATCCGATTCTATCCCGATACTCCCACGTCATCTTTATCACTATTATACCTATCAAACTATATGATAAAATCCTCTATCGTCATTGTCTTGACCCACCTACCAATAAACGATAGGTCTATCCCACCATGGTCTTCTTTAGTCTTCCAATTTCATCCCAATATCAGACTTGATTATTCATCCCATCATCTACTCGGAGCATCATCACACCGGTATACCAATAGAGCATCATACTCCTCCACCCTCTTATTCTTATAACATTAATAACATCGGGCTTGATTATTCATCCCATTATCTAGTCGGAATGCCATTACACCGGTAGACCAATACGGCATCATACTCCTCCACCCTCTTATTCATATGGCCGCTGCAGTATTGATATACCAATAGATCAAAATATCCCTTCACCCTCTTTCGTTGTAATGGTAACATCGATGGGCACTTATGTGATTGATATAATACACACCACGTTATTTCATCTACCTATCATATACTGCCCAGCTCTCATACTTGCTTTTTTCTTCTTTTTTTCATGTATTAATATCTTAGTCAATTCTTTGTAATCGTGGAAGAAGCGATTCTGTTCAACAGCTATGTTGATTGATCAATTCCGCTGTGCAAGTATCCACTTGGCAGGGATCAAGGTTCTTACCTCAAGGTGCTTTACCGCGATCGGCGACATGTGCTGACGTTTTGGCCAATCCTTTGTACTCATGGAAAAAGCAAATCTGTTCACCATCTATCTTAATTGATCAATTCAATTGTGCGAGTATCCACATCGGCAGGGATAGTAGCTCTTGGCTAAAAATGTTGGATGGAGATCGGCGATGCCACATCCTCTCTGCGCAACGAAATACAGTATCTTTACCAAGTCGTATCAATCTGTGCATTGTATATACTATATCATTTGATCGATCGTAAATATCAGATGTGTTTCTTCTTTGTTCTATACATTTGCATGCCAATCTTACAGGCTTATCTTACAATTACTCTCTCTCTCTCTCTCTCTCTTACAAAGTCGTAGTCTTAACTGCTCTCCCATTTTTATCGAAACATTTACTAGTTCAATATATCATGTCTTCATCAACTTCTACCTCAACTTCTACCTCAACTTCCACTCTTAGCGGCCATCCCCCTCCGCCCATGCCTCATGACTCTCCGAAAAACCTTGGTAGTGATATGACCATGTTCTTTTTTGGTCAGCTGGATACCCCAACGCGGTTTCCTACATCAGACGAACAACTTATAAAGAGCCTTAATGTTGAAGCTCTTGGCAGAGTTTTTCTTCCACCCCCTCCCTATATGACACTGCCTGAATATTCTGTGCTGCGTCCTGAAGGGTACCGATCCCCTGATCCACTACCGATCTACTTTAGTCTCAACCTCTCTGTCTATAACCAGCAGATTGTTGATTCGGAGTGGCAGAATCAGTGGTTCCATTTCACTGGCAAAGTACACCCCTACGCACTGGAGTGGGTGCTACGGGAGCCTGCTGTTTTCAGCGATGAAGATGGTGACGGCGAAGTGTACAAGGTTCCAGTTGTTCTCATACGCGACTTTGGATACCAAGCGTAAGCAGACTTATCATTTCCCCTTAGCTCGAGTTCGACTATCGCGCTTGCCACTAATGTAGCTATCAGCATTGACCCACGAACTCTTTGCAATGGTGAGGGCTTTCCACTTATCCAACCGATTGTTTCTTTGACCGGGCAGGTTCTCGGGACAGGTCAAACCCACTTGATCAAGGACTCTGTCCCGCTGTTGGATGATGCGCAGCTGAGATGCTGTGCATTTATCCAGTGCTGTACCTACATCACGCCGGGTCAGCCATCAAAGAGCCCTTTCAAAGGCTTCCACCCCTTTCAAGTTTTTATTCTCTTTCCTATTCGCGCTTTGCCATTCTCTCTCCTCTGCAAGAAGATGGCAGATAGGAAAGATACACAGTTTGTTCCAGGTGTGCCCTTCAACTGCGTCGGCAGGATTGTTGGCCTGCTTGACCATAGTCTTATGGTAGCTGCCCCTACGGCTGATGAGAAGGACTATGTTTTCATTGTCGTTCCCGACTCTTGGACATTTCCGGACAAGAGCACCCCACCTGCACCTGCCGCTAACACAGTCTCCCCCTCCAAAACCGAACCTGGCCCATCCCAAGCTGGCGGATTCGCAGCAGCGAGGTCTATGTTCAAGTCTCCCTCAAAGAAATCTTCACAGGTGCAACAGTCACGGTCACAATCATCACAATTGCCGCAGGGAGGCCCATCCCAACAACCCGTTACTCCATCTCAGAACAAAAGGCCCGCAATCTCCGCATCTCCATCGTCTCAGTCAAGTTCGAACAACCCCGCCCCCAAGAGACTCAGGAGGTCTACTGTAACTACCGCAACATCTCCAATCATTGCAGGGTCGCCGGTCTCCCCTTTAACGTCCGTAGACTCTGATGAAAATGATAACCATGAAGAAGGTGAAGCGAAGGAAAACGAGGACTCTCCATCACCTAACATATCTGCCACACTCCGATCCTCCGTTCGTCCTAATATGAGGTCATCAACTATCGAACCAGGTGGCAGGAACAAGAGGCATCCGACAAAGAGACTATAAGTAGCATAGTATAGTGATAGTGTGTGGTATTCTGGGCTGTTGTAATGGGTTTGGAAAACTTACAGATTGATATGTGAGGGAAATAAGAGTGTGGTTTCAACACCAGTGCGAGTGATAAAGTCCAATGATCTCAACACCAGGACATCTTGGCATGCCAGCTTCTTATACTCAAATTGACAATTTTCCCTCTTTGGTATGGCGTCTGATTGGTCTCTGCTAGTCTCAGTCCCCTGATCCCTGTCTCAATTATTCACCCTCACCCTATTCACTAGGTCTCTTAGTTCCGCATTAAGCTCTTCAAATCGTGCCACTCAAAATGGTGCCTGCTCCTCAAAGCCTGCTGCGTACGTCTTATTGGCTACGCAAAATAAAGGTAACACACACACGCGCCCTATTGGCCAAGTCTCTTCATCCACCCACCCAAAGCCGACCACTTAAAACCGCGCCCTCTTCTCAACACGTGCAACAACCCACAAGCTTTGTACCGAAAGGCTACTCAGCGCAAGGGAGCCGCCAACTTGCCCACCACGCCCAGCTTCCAACTTCCAACTTCCCCCGGCGGACGTGCGCCTTCCCCTGTTTGATATTATAAAGTTCAATATTATAGTCGCTGTATAGGGCACACGACGTATGATTGGTGCTTCCCACAGCCGAGGTTCAGTGCGTAGATCACCTTGTCTAGTGTTGAAGTAGATGCCCTGGGTGTGAATTCCATCCCACCAGGGGCGGAAACTCTCAAGAACGTACGTCCATTGCGCTGTCATTACAAGGACGTCGTTTAACCATCTCTTCCGGTAAACCCAGCTAGATTTTTCCGGCTAAGGCTTCCGCGATTGATTGCCTTTGCCTGCATTCTGCAAAATTACGGGCGACCGTCTCCGGACGATTACAGAATCCTGATACGGGATATCTGCATGCAAGATAGGTACCGTCACCGAGACACAGTGGTTCCGCTAGAATCTTGCCAGACTTGTGATTCAAAAAACAGTATCCTCATGCTAAGTTGGTCGACGGAAAGGCCGTGCAGCTTGTCTCGAGCACCTTTTTATCAGCACATCAGATTGTTGACATACATATTCGTAGCCAGGAACACTCGGGAACCAAGCTGTATTTCCGCGCCCAACAACGAGTGAGTAAGATCCTAGGCATTTGTGACAAGGGCTCAAATGTCAATCTCACACGACAGTGGTAATTCAAGTAGGGTTGTCGTTGGACCAGCCGCGTCTTCCAGAGGGAACCAAGAAGCCCACAGTGGATTTTGTGAGCTTGAAAGGAGCGCCGATAACATTGATGGGGCGCGTGTCGCCCCACTCCTTTCCCGAGATCTGTTCATAGAAATCCGGGTTTTCGAAGAGGCCCGGTCGAGCTGTCTTCAGAGATTCCATCAACATGCCAGCAATTTCCGGTAGGTCAGTAGTGTGACGAGGCTTGAAGTTGGGGTGAAGGGCACGGATAGAAGCCTGTTGCTCCGAGGCGTAGGGCCCCGCGCGGTACAACCAGATGTTGTAATGACACAAAGACAGGTCGATATCGAAAGTGACAGGCGCTTTGGTGCGTTTCATCAAAGCTTGGATGACCAAGCCCGCACCTAGGACGCCAGTCTGGTAGTCCGCATTCGCTATTGAAATGAATTTTGTCAGCGGACAACGGTCTACTCTCATGGGGGTCTGATGTGCTTACGAAGGAGCGGCTGAATGGGTTCATTCAGACCCAGGAATTCACCCGTCATCATCGCAAGACCGACGGTACAATCAGCAATCTGCTGCCAGCCAGAGCGGTGAGCCCACGGACCGTTGTAACCGTAGCAGTCTTCTCGGACGTAGATCAGAGAGGGATTGAGGTCTCGCAGTGACTTTGAGGCAAAACCCAACTTCTCAATGGCATGAGGTCGGTAGCCGTCGACAAGAACGTCCGCGTCTCTGATGATCGTGCGGAAAAGTGCCTTGCCCTCTTCCGTCTTCAAGTCGATACTGACGTCCCGCTTTCCGGCATTGACGTCCACCAACGTCATGCCCGTATCGGGAAGCGAAAAGACAGGAGACCTTGATGACATCTGCGCCAAGGGCAGCCAAGACTTTGGAGACTGTGGGAGCTGCAACGGCACGAGACAGGTCGACTACCCGGATGCCATCGAGAGGTCGAAAATCGGACTCATGGGTCGGGTATGGCCAAGGCTTTTGAGGTGCTGGCAATTCTTCAACGCCGGCGATGGGTTCTTGAGCTGCAATCTTGCCCTGAAATATGAAAGCCGATTAGCACAAGCAGGTCATCCCAAGAGGCGGCGAAGGATCGGTGATGACCACGAGGGTACCCGACGCAACAAGTATCCGCTTACATGTTCTGTGTTGAAGAACTCTTCTGGTGTATAACAAATAGTTCCTGCCTGACGATGGACCTCGTTCTCGAGGTGGTCGAGCCCTTGGGCATTGTGACGGTACAAGAGCACGAACGAGGTCGAGTGCGACTTGGGCAAAATGATTGTTTACAAGGAGAGAAAGAGATTCCTAAGGAAAGCTCTGACTTAAGCTATTTACACAATATTCATAAAGTGAGACTATTCATAAAGTATGAAAGTCACATGATCGTTCCCTCACAGGCATCATACTGAGCTACCTTGTCTGCATATATTTTTTTGGCCTCCTCGACAGTGACATCCTGCTCGGGAATGTTGAACATCCTCATGAGGGTTTTCGCATTCATTGATCCGTGTGTATGATAATACCGTCCGTCTTTCGTCCTGTATTGGTTCGTACTGGCTCTGTGGATCGGCTTGAAAAGGTCGTTTTTATCCGCCTCTCCTATGTTGTCCGCAACGACCTTCGATGCTGCCATAACTACCTTGCCATCGATGTTTGGCAGGAAGAACCCGAAGAGGAAAACGGAGGCATGATCACTGTGCCGCCGGATAGGTCATGTCAGCTCGTCCCGTTGATAGTATTTCGGTAAAGGTGTCTTACGTGTTCACTCTGATACCCTGCTTGATTCCATAGCGGTCCTCTGCCACAGCAGCAGCGCTTGCGCCAACAAACGCTGAGATGGTCGAGATGGATTCGCTGAACTTGACAGGAACCGGGAGCCACGGGTTGGCGTATCCAGTAAACTCGACCCTTTCCGCCGCTGCCTTTACCTCGGGATTGACATAAAGTTTGGGATCGTTCAAGAGACGCTCGAGGAGATGCTTGGCTTCAGCCTGGACAGTGTATTGAGAACCCATGATGTGGAGAGCAGAGAGTGAAATATAGCGATCAAAGAACTAAACTCGTAGTATGGACTTAGAGTGCAGAGACCTCTATACTACCTCTCTCGGGGCCCGTATGTATATTATGTATGTCCTATGTGTACGCGCCCTTCATAGTATATGTTCATAGGTAATCATTCGTTAGAGCAGAGTACCATTCCGACCTACCGGATCCATTGGATACCATGTGATGGAGAGCATTTGGAAGCTCCCGCGGATTGCGGCAAGGTGTTGCTACAGACAATGTCCATGAGGTGGCCGGGCCGCGGAAAGTTTCGATCGGGGCCCACACAGGGACCCAATTTGAGGGAAGGGGAATGTGGGGGATCAGGGGAGGGTTAGGGCGCTATCCCGGCACGAAAACGATGTGCCGCGGGCCGCGCTTCGGGGAGCTCCGTCACTTCGGAATGCTACTTGATTTTCAAGCTCTTAACCGGGACTGGCTAGGCTAATGTGACAAAATCATGGAACACTACCCCATAACCTCCAACAGGCAACGATCGCTGTGCCATTTATTTACTGGGTGAGTGCAACTATGGCTCTGCTATACCCACTCACATCGTTGCCGAATACCCGAGTCTGGACGGTTGCGATACGGACCTTGGCGGCGTCATCAGGAACGGCTCATCCTAGCATGGGGGGAGATACAGGAGTTTTGACTGATTCATTTCGAGGCGCTGTGCATTGCTCGGTAGAGCTTCGATGAGCGTAACCGGCAAGTTGCCATGATAGGGGGCTATGTACCAAATCAATCATTACTGAGCCGTCCATTTCCGCTGCTGCGACGAGGAGATTGAGTCGCTGTTCCGGCGAATCAACAACTCTCATCAGCCTTCTTCCCCTTCCCTGCAGGTGAAACTGGCGATTTGGTTGGCTAGTTCAGATTTAGATAGCAATGTGTAAACAAGTGAAGGATCGGTTGTAGTGGGCTACCAAGTAATTGATGCGATATGGGAAGGTCTCACATTCGATATACGGCATTGTTCTGCACGGGGGACTATACTTTGTGCCTATCGAAAATAGTCTAGACAAGCCATGCCCAATGCGACCAGGTCTATCTGCTTCGTATTGAGAAGGTGTTGGAAGAACTGAGGATTCCCCCTCAATTTCAGGATTAAAGTTAAGGTTTGAAGTCCTAAAACTTAGATCGTAGGACTTGATCGTAGGACTTTCTAGGACTCAAGTCCTAGAAGGGACCACTCGAAGATATAAGGTCTTAAAGGTCCTTCGATTGCAACAAGAACAATCACAATAAGAACTACTTTCTCATCAAGTGCACTCAGCATTCCTGCGCAATCCAACAACAGCGAGCCGGTCACGAAGAAGCGGCGCATATATCGGAATCCCTTTGACGAGTATCGTGAAGAATCTCGTCAGGCCCTGACTCTATTACAGCCACCTTCATCGATGACTACCTTGTTGCAAGCCGAGGATGTGGCTAGCAGTTCTACACATGCTGTTGGCGACGAATACAGCGATTGGTTCCGTGATGTCCACAAGTCCGACCAGAATATCCTAGATCCTATTAGCTATTGGTATGAGAGACGGGAGGAGTATCCACGTCTGTCACAAATGGCTCTCGATGTGCTCTCTGTCCTTCTTATGTCTGCTGATGTTGAGAGGCTCTTCTCAACATGCGGTCGAATGGTTCGAGACGATCGGGCCAGGCTGGACGCTAGTACGATCGGGATGACACAGACGGTGAGATCATGGCTTTGCGGAGGCTATATTAAGAGCACAGAGAAGCTCCTTGAAGAGGTCAAGGTGCCAGGGACTGATCTGTTGGCTGAAATGAGCTTTGCAGAAGCCCGGGAGGCAACGGGTGGGAGGATCACGTGTACTGTCCCTTTATAGCGTCCACGCATTTCCATTTCCACGTCCATCCATTCCATGGACCCACTCTTAGCGTCCATTTCCATCCATTCCATCCAAGGTGGGCCCAAATGGACGTCCATCCATTCTACAAGAGGCTGCGTGGATGGAAATGGAATGGACCGCCAGCCTGCATTCATGGTGAGTTGCCCAAGGCAGTAGAGGCCCAACCCTATGAAAACATGGTCGCATTTTCCCCCAATAGTGACAGTCCTAATATCTCCGTCTCCGCACATGATCTTATCCGGGCCGTCACGGGATAATGTTAAGGTAACATCCAGCTTCCTAGATATGGATGCTTGCTTCAACCGGATAACAGTCCAGATCTATGGCGTGACTGCTCCCTCAGGCAATCTGGAATTGCCGTCTCTAGATCTGATCATGCGGATCGCATTTACCAATGATTTTTGGGGAGCTTTTGAAAACTCTCCTGGGATTTTATCGGCCGTATGAAGTCTCCTAGTAACTAATAGGACTGACTCACAGTGCTATTGACTCGAAGTGATGAAGGATGTACGAAGGCATCAAATAATACGTGTAGAACCCTATAAAGTAAAGGACAGAGGGGATGAGATCTCCATGTTCGGTATCTAATTCTTAAATAAAATACACAAATAGAATGTAAAATGGAAATGAATCGCACAGCCACACTTGAGGATCAATTGCTTTTGCTTTTCTTGTAAACCTTTCCAGAAGGCCGATGATCCAATGACTGTAGGTGCGCATCCATACACGGCGACTGTTTGCATCGCTCAGTCTGACTACTTCAAGGTGTAGAGCAGCGTTCCCCAGCCAAGTTGGTCATATCCGCCGCTGTTGGGGCCATAATCACCCGACCCTCCTTCGGCTCCTCCATTGTCCGAGACGACCAGGTCCCGGAACTGCTTAGTCCATGTCACATTCTCATTCTTGAGAACACCGTAGTGGTTGTAGAGTAGTTCCCAGTTCGGCCTGATGCTCCCGCGGCTCGAGTTACTAATAGTCGGCATGTCGATCCATCCGTTGTCGTAGGGAGTGTAAGGGACATCGTAGCCTAGATTATATCGGGCAACATATTCAGACCTAATTCATGTTAGCAAGTCGGGAATTTGATTCATATTTGACAACCTTCCAGAGGGCTGTAACCGACTGAATGACCTGTCTTCATTATTGAAGTAGAGGGGAAGGTAGAAGAGTGTAATCTGGAGCAGGCGGGAATACAAGACAGATAGAGACATACGCTGCAAGGATAATACTGCCATTGTAGGCAAACAAGTCATTTCCTTGGTTGTAGGCAGTCTGGCCAATAACACCCAAAAGCGCCATGTTCAGTGTGTTGTGTCCCTGATCCCGTCCGGACTCCATCGTTTGGCCGAGAAGCTGGTTGTCATAAAAATGCGTGAAAGGAACCGCCTCGTTAATCTGGCCGTTGCCTGTGCCATTATAGAACCAACTGATTCCTTGGTTGTAGATAGCTGGGTCGTCCGCCAAGACACCGATAGACATGGCCGAGGCGATCAGGCTCAGGTCCCAATTGGCGTATACCCCTGGTGCATAAGATGCCCAGTTCTCGTGTCCCGTGAACCATCCATCCACAGGTTTGTAGAAGACATTGGTCATCATGTCTTTGAACTGCTGGAACTTCTCTGTGGACCAGCCCTCGTAGTCGCGCATGATCTCTCCGGCCTGGGCGAACTCATAACCGTAAATACCTGCGGCGAGGTAGAGATCCACGGTGCCAGAGAGGGCTGTCAGGGTTGAGGACCAAGCATCCATGATGCGCAAGGCTGCGTCGCCAAACTCCCTTTCCTGGGTTATGGCCCACCGAATAGCAAGCACATACGCAGCGGCCACATCGCCGTACAGCTGGCCATAGTTTTCGGCGTTCGTCCCGTCGTATCCACGGTATACAATCGCGACTGGGTTGGGTACGTACGAGGAGGAGGCGTATGAGCTCTCCAGGAGCTTGTTCCAGGCAGTTGTCCACGGTTCCTCTCCAGCGGCGAGTTTAGATCGAATGCGAGCGAAATCTTTGTCCGTCTGGAGAAGCCCTGGGTGGTTGAATGAAGCGGGTGCCAAAACTGGGCCGGTCGAGGTCGGCGCGGCCGAGCCAGAGACTGAGGTGCTGGACGCTAGTGACGATACCATGGTCGTCGGGAATGCAACTGATGACAAGTTCTGTGTCAATGGCGTGGAGAACTGGGAAATCACCGATGCCGAGGTTGACGAGGTATTTAAAGACAGAGGAGCAGTGGACAATGCCTGGGATGAATGCGACGTCAAGTTGATATGCGCTAGCACCGGCGTGGCGGTAGAAGATGAAATGGAAACAATTGTAGAGAATGTGGATGACTGGCCGGCAGGAAGATTGTGTGCTGAAGTCTCCGAGGTCTTCAGATCGTAAACGCTAGGGCCATCGCCATGGCGATAAGACTGGTGTAGGTCAGGGCTGCAGGCATGTCGTCTAGCACATACACGGCTAAGAACGGCCAGAAGAGAAAACGAGAGCGACGCCTTCATGATGATAATGAGTGCGGTTCAAAAACGAGCAGTAATAATAGCGAAACGAAAGGAGTGGACAAAATTCCTCGTGCAAAGAGGGAACTTCAACTGTTGACTGGCATTCGAAAAGGACAGCCACAGAGCGAGGGAGTATCGGTATATAAAGCAAGCTATCGTGAATGACGTCAAAACCTGAAACACGTCGGATGGGGCAAGTAGGGATTCTGCGGTTGGTGATACGAGCTAGACGCCACAAGCAGGGGTTAGTGCCGGTAAAATCGGCCATCTTGTCAGTGCTGAGGCAATCTGGGAGATTATGATGGCCACCGACCCAAGTTTAGGCCGAAGAATATTGCTAGAGAGGATACTAATGATTCGTGGAAGATTCTGTCAGTTATAGTGGGTGGCGATTAGTTTGAATCTAAACTACTTGCAGAACAGCTGCCTCCATCACAAGGTTGGTAGATATTACTTCAGGGGGCCGTATATGCAAGATTGGGGCTAGCCAGGGTTCATCGCGCGCGTCGCGTAGCCAATCTGCCGCTCCGGTACGTTCTTAGCCGAAACAGCGATGTCTGGCCTGAGCTGACGCAGTCTACCCCCCAGTAACCGAGCAAGTAGAAATGGTCAAGATATGACAGTAGGGAAAACCCCTCAGAAGGAATCAGAGGCTGGCGTGCAGCTTGCCTTCAGGGAGAAAACCCTCTGCAACTAGCGTCGTTGTTTGGAGGGCCTTGCGCGCCCTCCAATACCTCCGTCTGCCTTGGACCCTGCCAGCAACCAACCCACTTCGCAACGCTACATCCCGTATCCGAAAGTTCAGAAGATACAACCGCTCGCCATTTTACGAGATGGCAGTGGCACTCAATGAGATACCGATGGAGGAATTAGAAACGATCAATCCGTTCACACTGGCACCTTGGGCAGAACGGGTACAAACCGTTGTTGTCGACAAGGACAAGGCGGAGGCGAGACAAGCAGATCTGGGCTGGGCAGTACGCGTCGCAGTGAGCAGCTTAGCGCGGAACGGTATAGTAGGAGTCGGCTGGGTCATTGAGATCCCTGTGTCGGTGCGAGGAGGACCGAGGCTTGAGCGGTTTTCTTTTATCCCTGGCATGAGACCGGAACAGAGCCCGTTCTCCAGCGAGTTGGCAGCGGCAGCGTATGTATTGAAGCGGCTGCCGGAGCTTAGGTACCGACGTCTTCGCCACAGGAGACGCCGCACGCGCCCTCACCGATGATAAGGGTCACTGCACCACCATATCCTGCCAGCACGCCGTCTTACTCGGCCACGTATCTAGTTCAGAGTGCGCAATCAACCAATTCAACTCAACTAGTCCCTCCCCGCAGTTGGATTGACATCTAGCCAAGTATATTTCAGTTGGATTGAAGTTAGAAGAGGCTGCTCTCGGTTAGATTAGAGTTAGTTGTTTGGAACCAACGGATATCTCCGATCTTCATATGTTAACGCCGATCCCCATGAATACCACGCTCTTCGATGGCGACGTAATGCAACATTTGACACCCAGAGAGTGACGTCCTTTGCCTTCAATTTATCAGACACGACAGAGCAGCCTGTCCAGGCCGCCTGCAGGAACATTGACGCGGTCAGAAACCGCTACGCGATCCGACGCGACCAGCGTAGTGGGCGAGCTTTCCTGACGACTGCTAAGACATGTTTTTGTACGGTCAGATCAGCAATGCAATGCAGCCTGGAATAAGCGCTCGACTATTTTATTCTATTATACTGGCTTATATCTTGAATGTGACATGCTTCAATAGCTCAATAGCTCAATAACTCAAAAGCAATGGTCTCCATGGTTAGGAAATACACTCTGTTTGGTGAATTGGTTAATATGTACTTATCAAGACCTAGAAATAGCATCCGATACGCCATCTAACTACGCCTTGCCCCATACCTCTCCCGGAATGACATAAGGATAATCCGCAACCTCATCCAATGCCTCCTTAATAATCTTGCATCCTTTATCCAATTCTTCGTCCGACATCACCATACTTACGCTCATTCGCAGCCTGCCCTCAAGCGGGTACAGCAAAAGCCCCTTGCTCAAGCACAGCCCACCAATTCTTCTCGCTGTGACACCGCGCTGTGGATCCTCGCGGATTGGAATGCTGAAATCGGCCCCGCGGACCTGGATATCGGCCACATGGGGATGCGCCCTCCAATTGTCCGTCAGTTGAATAAACTTATCCCCAATCTCTTGCGCTCGCCTCGCCATATCTTCCTCATCGAGCACGGAAAGCGCTGCCTCAGCAGCGGCCAAGGCCATGGGAGTGTGCGCGAAGGTGGAACCAGACTCGTAGGGGCCAAGAACAAACATCATAGGAGCATCGGCGAGGACAAAGGATGCTGGGTAGGCACCACCAGTTATGGACTTGCCGATGACAATCATGTCAGGGCGCACGTCGGGGCCCAGGTGGTTAAAAGAGAAGAACTTGCCCGTCTTGCAGGAGCCCATGCGCACCTCATCGGCGATGAAGGGGATGTCATATTTTTTGCAGAGATCATAGACGCCGCGGGCGAAGGTGACCTCTTCCTCGTAGGTGCTAGATTGATATTTCATTAGTCTGCGAGTTTCGGCAAGAGGGCTGGCTGTGCACGTACTTTCCAGTGTTACGGATACACTCCATGATGACGGCGCCAACGCGAGCATGGTGTTCTGCAAGACATTTCGCCATATCGTCCACGTGGCCATACCGCAGCAACGATCCAGTTGAAGGGTTCACATTTGTGTGTTGAGTGCTATCAAGACCATATGCTGCAGATCCACGTTAGCGTCTCAAAATATCCCCTCGATATATTTTGAATCGAGATGAATTAGGACTTACCAGTCCTTGCTGGGCTGGGATCTTGCAGATTCCACACACCCGATGAAAGCCCGTGATAGCTATCAGAAACCGCCAGGATCAGGACCTCATTTGACGGAATCCCCCTCTTTTCATATGCATGACGTCTCGCGATTTTGCACGCCAGGTCCGCCCCTTCGGCACCAGTGACCATGGGAGAAATATGGTCGTATTTGAAGCGCTTGCACATCATCTCGGCGAAGACGGGCCAGCGGGAATTGTGCGTCGAGGTGTTGATAATGTAGGCTAGGAGTCTGATCTTAGATACCACATGGTTAAGCGGTGGATGGGACACAACCTACCCTTGCTCAGCTGGTTGACCAAGGCTGAAACGATCTTGGGGTGGCAGTGGCCTTGATTACAGGCGCTGAACATGCAGATAAAGTCGAGGTATTCTTTGCCGTCAACGTCCTATGATAAGTGACTTAGCTACGGCAAGTCGTCAAAATGGGGAACTGCAGATGACGAACCCAGAGCTTAGCGCCTTTGCCTCTGTCCATAAAGCCAGGTAGCGGTGTAAAACCGCCGACAACGTATTTTGCCTGAAGGTCTTGCAGATGTTTCGTAGCTTTGGACAAGACTATCTGATTGGGCTGGACCTCTGATGGTGCCATCTTTGTGCTGTCAGCTGAGGCAAGGCTTGGGCCTTCGCGATCGACTGGCATGGTGGTGGCAGATGGCATTGTCAGACAAGATTATGTTAAACGGAGAAAAGTTGAGACTGGGTTGGAAAGGTTGATGGATGTCACTGAAGAGACGACAGGTTGCAGTTATATCAGTAAATGGGCGTTGTAAAGTTTATAGAATGTTAGCCATTTATCTGGTGACGAGAATCAACTGGCTATGCAGTGAAATCGTCTGTCTTTCTTCGAGATAAGCTAGCGTGCACCAATATAACTCTACACCCGTCCCGATTGGGGAGGCCAGAAACAGCAATTCACAGCGAATACGTGTCGTGGAAATGAAACTTCGTCTCCTCGCTGTCGCTTTCCGGATAAAAATACATGATAAGCTTGAGTCTTCGTCGGCCACTGAATCCAGAAGTGTTTTGCCACATTATACATCATCTCGGTCACCAAGAGTGAGGCATTACTGATTCAGGAGATAAACAGGAATGATTCATAGGCTAGTCTTCTCTGTGATATTCAAGAAAGGTACGTCATGGAGCACTCCTGCGGTGACATTCCGACGGTTGCCGACCCTCGGATCTCACAGCGAAAACTTCCAGCACCATCTTATGGCACTCCTGGTCCCGTAATTTCATGCACTAGTTCTTTGCCTCCATTATGATCCAATCTATTTCTATAGCGTCTTATCACGTCGACTTCCCGCCATGATATCTATGTACTTTAAAACTATCGACCTATCCTAATGGAAGACCGGGCGCGGATAGCCGCCGGTGCTGAGGGGGCAATTATAACCGTCGTGGCGACTGGTCTCGTCGAGGCCGAGATTGGGACCTCGAAGGTGATCCTCCCGGAAGCGGACGCATACAACTTCTTCACGCAGACGCCGCTGGCTGGGGAAGCGAGATGGGAGAACAGAATCACGCTGCGAAGTCTGTTCAAGCTGTAGAACGAGCCGAGGGCGTACGTGAAGCGCGTCTTGCTTACACCGTTGTTGATGATTATTGCCGAGGACCATACCGCCATAGACGTACCAACGCAGGTGGCAACATTTGGGGAGGCGTCCAAGAAGCTCCTGTTTATTATGGCGACGTTGGGGCATTTCGAGCCGTACAGCGGAGATAAGTTTGAGAATAGTATAGAGCGGCGTATTACGCTTTTGATGAGATACTTGCTGTGATAAATAGCCGCCATAATAGTGAGAGATGGCCTGGGTATCTCGCGGTATTCTTGCTTTAGTTGGAGTATGATACACGATACTGTTTTCCTAGTCCTGAACTAAACCACCCTGGTTCATTTAGGTTATACTTCACTAATTATCCCAAGGAACAGTGATGATGGATTGATAGAGCCACCGGCTGCTCAACCCATTTTGCAATTACCAACACAACCATGCTGCCTTGGAAGGAAAGGTGAAGAATAAATCGGATTTTTATTCTGAATGAGACAATATCCCCCCCTTAAAAACCTTCAAGATTCGTAGCTAAAAAGATCAATGGGCTAAGGAACACCAATCCAAAGGGTCAAAGACAATCCAACAAGTTCCGTAGTCAACATCTCAACATCCAAATTATTCATGACCATGTTCCAGGCTCCATTCTCCCGGCTCGCGAGACCCTGCAGCCATCGCAACCGGGATGGTATATCGCTTCTTCGAGTACGCGAACCAATTGATAGCTGCGCAGAGGAAGACACCGCCGATGACTACAGATGCATAATTCATGGTTGACCCCGTTACAGGCAAGTAGGAAGGGAAGCATAACCAAGTTGTAATGAAAGGCATCCAAACGACCGAGATAATGTTGAACAAGATGCCGCTGCGACCCATGTTGAAGAAGCGTTTGGCCGGAAAGACACTGGCTCGACCGCAGTAGAGCAGACAACCGAGTACGATCATGTATGAGAGGTAGCACATGACGATACCACCGCCTAGGACAGCGTTGATGGCCGTTGTGGATCCGAGCTGGATGGTGCCGATGGCAATGGTCAGCACGCTCCCGCAGACGACGCTGTTGACAGGGAGGTCGTAGTAGCTGTTCACCGCTGCGATGAAACTGGAGCCGGGGAGGGCATTCTGAAGGGAGACGGCCCAAATGGTCCGGGAGAAGCCGGTCAAGAGGCAGACGGTGGCGGCGAGCATTGCGATGAGGTATATTAGGACGGCGACTATGACCAGGGCTTCAGAGTCGAGCGAGTCCACTAGGAGTTGCGCAATGGGCTGGCCGCCAATGGGGTCAAGGAGATTGTCAGGCTTGATGTTGCAGAACATGTAGACGAGGATCATGGGCAAGCCAGAAATGGCGCTCAGCACGGCACTTCCGACCATGACCCGCGGAACATTCTTCTTGGGCTCAGGCATCTCGTCTGCCAGATGAGCGGCGCCCTCGAAACAGTTGACAGCGGTGGCGCCAGGAAGGAGACCGAGGAAAAATACAACGCCGTTGGAGGACCAGCCGGTATTATTGACGAGGTCGGCAAAGACAAAGGACGCCGACTGCTTCGGGTGGGTGCGGATGAGGAGGACGATGAAGACAAAGAGGGCGCCAAGGTTGATGTACAGGACCATGCCATTGAGCATGTATGGGTATAGTTTGAAGAAGGGAACGTTCAAGGCCAAGGCAAAAAGCGTAGAGCCGACGTAGCCAGCATAGTAGTGCCATGGTTGGACGACAAAGGTGGTTCGGATGATCTGAACGACGGCCCAGGCGAGTTGGGACGTCAGCAGCGAGCATGCGGCCGTGAGGAAGAAGTATGCGGCGCTGGTGATCCAGGCACAGAGATAGCTGAGGACGCGGGCCACTTTCTTGGGAGCCATGGCCGCGGTCCAAAAGATTTGGCCTAAAAGTGTTCAGTTCCGGATCATGATTCAATCAACGTGGGAATTCTTACCGGATGTGTGAGGAGAGACAGCCGCAATCTCGGCCAGCGAAACACAGACACAAAGGTTACACAAGACGGCCAAGATGTATCCATAGATGAAGACTGGGCTTCCGCCCACTCCGATGACGCTCCCAAGATATGCCCCAATCGCAAGCGGTGTCGAAGTCAACGAGTATTGAAGTCCCATGCTACTCCATAGACTGAACGATTTGTGCAACTCATGTGGCTCGTCAACCTCCCGCAAGACGCCAACATCGTAGTCGGTGCCTTTATGCGAAGCCGACTCTCTCTTCTCAGAGCTGGCAGCAGCAAGAATATCACAAGCCTGCATCCTGTAACGAATATAGATTGATGCACCGAAAGAAGAGATAATGTACCGTGGGATGTGATACCGGTCTAGATTGCCACAGCAGCAAGCGTTTTGTAGTTTGGCCTCTCAGGTTCAATGCCTAGATATAAAGACATCTGCGAATCGCCATTGACACGGTAACACTCAATCAAGGTCTTATCATTGCTCTCTTTCATGCGATGCCTTGGCCAACAACCTCAGGCATAAAAGCTCTTATCGCTGCTATCTCGATAACGAAATCGCTCATTTTGGCAATCCACAACGAGCACCAGACTAAAGTCGTACATCAGGAGGATATCATCGATACACTAGTCAGGGTCTCGAAGAATGGACGCTCTTATCCAGATTACTAATAAGCACTAAGCCTAGCCCGGCTGCCCGGGTACACAGCCCCACTACACAATGGCAGCGGAAAGAGAGACTAGTATCAGACGGACATTGATCTGGGGATGAGTTCGAGTCATCTGGGCTTCACCTGAGGAGGTGACGAAGATGCATCCCCCACCTCACCAACTTCTCGCTTCTCGGGCCTTCCGAGAAGAGCTAATCCGGAATCCCACCTCGTCCGCCTCTAGTATCCTGTAGCAAACACCTAGCATCTGCTGCAGGGCTACGTCAAACGCACGCACGACCATGTTCTGCACAGACATCTAAGACCCTGACAAGGGTAACCCCCTTGTTATTAACATTACGCTGTTTTATGCTAACGATAGGGTCCTTCACTTCGGGCTGAGCACCTTCCACTCTAATTTGATAACACTAATCAGCGTCAATAAGGTGACGGCCTGAGTACGAATTGGACAAATAATATGAATTAGACAAAGGAATGTATAGAAAGCAATGATTGCAGCATCTTGAGCTGAATTGCATATTGTTCAAGGGCTAGTGTTTGCAATAATGATCAGACGAACGAATTCTCTGGGGCGTCCGGCCAGCTCTAACTAGAGGTTGGGCAGTAATTGGCAAATCTATTCGCTTCTACCTAAACAACGTTCGTGCACTTACTAGTAGCGAGGAAATCGCACAAGTCAGTATAGCGAGGATTGAGGAGATGTCGTAAATTCATAGCTATAACAGCCGCAAAGATTACAGACGTGCCGAACTGAACGGATGGCCCAAGTTTGCGCTCATCTCAGTATATTAGATAGCAAAACTATCAAGCTATCAAGTCAGGGTTATCCTCCACGCTTTGGAGGAAGTCCCCGACGGACCGGAATGAAATGCCCTCAAAGAAGGCCTTCCTATGCGCTGCAACCTTTGTAGGGTCCAGTGAGCCAGCATGGCTCGCGGAGAAAATTCGATACTCGGCTACAATCCGCGACATATCATCGGTACTTGTACGAACGTCCTCAATTAATTCGCCAAGACTTCGGTATGACACAGGCATACTGGGATACTTCTTGATCATCAAAGCAGCAACGTCGTTCCAGGTCGTCTTCTCCCCAGAAATGTAGGTGAACTCCTCCCACTTCGGAGCCTTCAGCAGCTTCGCTACTGCCTTGGCCATGTCCCGTGCGGCAAGTATATCCAGAGGCTCATTACCCGTCCCAGGGATGACCATATTATTTGCCTCTAGGTTCACTGGAAATGCCTCGCCGACATCTTTGAGGTATCGATAGTGCTGAGGCACTATGTAGTCGATAAGCCAGCCAACGGAAATCAGAGTCCATTCGAGGTCATTTTGCTCACGCAGGGCGTTCCGCACTGACTCGTGGTTCCGATAATAGAAGCCCGGCTGGTCCGGATAGTCTTCAAGGTTGCCGCCATATTCAGCAGGGATGAAGCGCTTGCATAGAGAGCTTTGCTTGCATGCCTCAATGAGGTGCATATGCACATCAGCGAAAGTTGATGTGTAGTCGAGGATGGTTGAAACAAGAGCCACGCAATCGTCCAGACCCCGAACTAAAGAGGGAACAGAATAGTCGGTGACGAACTGCGTGATACCGGGACGATTTTCAAATTGTGATTTGACGGACCGGGTGAGGATCACCACGTGGAGACCAGCTTTGGTGAACTCTTCGCTGAAATACCTTGCGACATCACCGGATCCAGCAACAGCGACGCGCATATTGATAAGCGAAATGGAAAAGTGGATCTGAGTGGTGAGGACTTTGAGTTGAAGTGATGGCTGGCCCGATTGATAGATAAGCTCCAATATATAAGTGAGGGAAGAAATAAGAGCGGATAGGAGTCAACATATAGCCAAAGCAACGTCCGCAGAGTCTATATATCACATTGTTAGGGAGAAACGATGAAATGCATGAGGGATTTTGAAGCAAGCTTATTAATTTCCTTGGAAAACAATAGAAGACGGAAGAATCGCTGTCCTATTTTTAGCCTGATATTCTCGCGTGATTAAGTTAGTCACGGGGTGTTGAGGAGACAATAATTTATCTCGTAGAACACTCCGTCGACTTCTTGACGTATTCACTCCCACGCGATAGGCCGTAATTCCATCATCAGAGTTATGCAACTGTTACTTTGTACCTCCTGACGCCTTTCTGCTTTTGCGATAGCCTCTTGGCACCTATGCCTATTACAGCCAAAAGATTGGGCCGGATCGCCAAACTATTGCTACAATCGAGCAGGCCTTATCAGTGACCCACAATGAGGCGTCAGGCCGTGATGGTTATCAGATGCGCTGAGAACCAGGACGCCTGACTTGGTAGGTAACAGCGAGCCTACTGACTCCACACTGATAGGTGTGTTTGCTTGGATTCTTGTGTCGTACTGAACATTTATCTAAGTCTTAGATTGTGGCTGGATTTACATAATCCTCTGATAGACCGATATCCTGACCTTAGTCAGGAGGGTGGGATTGACTCAAAAACCCCTCGCAGGAAAAGAAGGGCTGGAGGCATCCTAGATCAATACAATCAACAGATTCAAGATCCACACTCTATTGAACGAAGACCCCCTGATCGAATGCGACGATTCGTATCCAACACTAAGAAGAGATATAAATAAGTGAGTAATAGTTGCTTCATATAGCGTGAAAGGGTGCGAAGCAATTTACTAAGCATTTATCCGGCAACGCAGCAGCTCGCCTAGTGATATCACCATGACCCAAAAGCCCATCATCGCTGTGGCAGGCGCTGGAGATCTTGCCAAGTCAGTACCAAACAGAGCACATATATCTATGAAGCTGAGATACAGTTGGTTAACATGACGGTTAGATATTTTCTTGAAGAAGCATGGACCGATGGGACGTTTGATGTCGTTGTGTGCACTCGACAGGTTTGGCGAAGATATTCCAGTCTAGACGAGAAACGAGAAACGATGGCTAACCAGAAATAGAAACGGGACTGGTTCGACAGACACAATGTCCGGGTTGCCATCACCGACTACTCTACCGAGTCAATGACGGAAATCCTCGATTCGACTGGCGCCATCGCCCTCTACGTCTTCTACATAACGTTCGACTATCCCATGTTCGTTAAGGTCCACAACGACCTGTTAGACGCCTGTATTCGTTCCAAGTCGTGCAAGCGCTTTGTGCCCTCTGAATGGGCCGGCAACGCCCGTGACTTTCCCAGGGCACTGAGATTCTATACGCAGACTCGCCTTCCCATCCGTGAGAGGCTTAACGCCCAGACTGACATCGAATGGACTATTTTATGCCTAGGAATGTTTATGGACTACGTGGTCCCGCTCGGCAAGACCTATCTCAAGGACTACGGCGAGATGGTCCCATGGAATCGCCAGAAATGGGAGGCCGCGCTGGCAGGAACAGGAAACGAGCCGGTGGGATTCACTTCTGCCCGCGATGTGATGAAGGCGGCAGTTAGGATTGCCAAGCTGCCGAAATGGGTATTATCCTCCATGAAACGAGCTCGAAGCAGGGCTGAATAAAAAGCTAATCGTCTGGCCTAACTATAGGAAAACTACTTCTTTATTGTGGGAGAAAACAGCACCCTAAACAAAATCACCGAGAAGATGGAATCTTTTTACGGTAAACATGTCCATCATTTCCTAGGCAGTCTCCTCTGGTCTGACTGGTGCGCAGGTCGCAAATTCAACGCCATATGCTATAAGACTCCCGAGGCAACAGAAAAAGCAATGAAAGACCACGCAGGTGACGCTGAGAAGTTAAGTATCTTGGATGTTGACGAGTGGCTCTACTGCGGTGCTACACATATCCCTGAACCTGATGCCCAATCGCATAAGGAGAGGTATTTTCAGGATATCACGTTTCGGAAGGTAGATGAGTTGCTTGCGGACTCGCAGCGGATGGATAAGGTCTAGAACCACAAGCAGCGAATAATCACATGGGCTGAGTTAAGGGCGAATCTCGAGTACAATAGTCTAGTGGATTAAAGAGAGCAGTTCTAACAATGTGGCTTATAGTAGTGATCTCGGGGGCTTAGGGTCTCGCTCTGATTGATCAGGTACTATGGAGTCGTAAAAGAAGTGATAATTGTATTGCTCGTACCTACCTCTGCACAACTTATACATCAGTCGATATTTCTCCAAAGATCGGTTTGGCTGGGGTCATAGTCGTGGTCGGCGTGCGTAGGGGTCCCTAGACCTGAGATTTACTGTCTGCACCCGATCCCCGGAGATGGGTGACCCATGACCACCAACCAGGAACCGAATTAAAGAAAGCTTCACATTTCAAGTACGGATTGCTCATATTTTTGGTTGTTTATATTATCATACCAGATTAACTATACGAAGCACAATCCGCCATTTGCGTTAACCGTACTTCCTGTACTCCAACGACTCTCCTCACTGCACAGAAATGCCACAATCTGTGCAACATCATCAACAGTCCCGATCCTCGGCGCCGCTGGAGTCTCCTTCATCTTTGCATCGAACTCAGCCTGCACCTCAGCCCCGGTGTCCCGCAACCACATGTCCGTGCCCACTGGTCCCGGATTGACACAGTTCACCGTCGCATTGTAATCGTGGCCCAGTTCCGCTGCCCATACCTTGGTTACGCCCTCAAGAGCCGCCTTGGAGGCGCAGTACGGCGTCGCCCACCCGCCGCCCATGCGCGCTATGACCGAGGAGATGTTGACGATGCGTGGTGCCTTACCCAGATACGGCAGGGCCTCCTTAACTAGGAATGTGGCCATACGGAGATTCGTGTTGAGTATCTTGTCCCACAAGTTGTATGTGAGATCTTTGAGCAGGCAGTTGTCGCCGGCACCGGCATTGTTGACTATGATGTCGATGTGGGACCACTTATCGCCGGCGGCCTTGACGATCCGCCCTGGTGCGTCCTTGTCGCTCCCGGCCGCCTGTACTGCGAGTGCTTCACATCCCAAGGCCTGGATCTTGGCGACGAGTTCCTCAGCCTGTGACGAGGCACTATGGTACGTGATGAGGATGTTGGCACCCCGCGAGGCGAGCTCGAGCGCAATTCCGGCTCCAATGCCCCGCGAGCCGCCGGTGATGATAGCCGTGAGGCCTTGCAGATTCTTCGCCATGTTGATTGAGAATTCGAGATGTGTCAGAGGTTGGGAAAGAAAGTCCGGTGACAGACCACATATAAATAGCGATGAGAGAAGGAAGCAAACAGAAGGTGGTTTTGGGCGAGGAGGAAACTGAAAGAGCACCGCGAACAAGTTTTTGTCATTCCACTGTCTCGCTATGGCCTTCTTGATTAGCAAGCCGGATATCATCTTGACCTGTTAATGACGATAATGGTAGATGTCACTGACTGAGTGTGGGGCCGAGCCTCCGAGGTCTTGAGTGCATCGTGGGCAAGTCCCTCTCCTCGTTGTTAACTTCCTAATCGAGGCAATCTTTTATCAGAGGGCGCTCAAGTCGTGGCGCTATGCCACTACGCCCGCCACCTTATCGCCTTATCATATGATTTGTGAATCTCTTCTTTGATAGCCAGGTATCCAATCACACACGCAATTCCAACAGCTAGTCCTCCATCCTTATCACGATAAACCCCAGCCCCCACTTATTAGCATCACTTATCAGCCGCTAACGTTTCGTGCAGCCCGCATTGCATAGATAGCTCTTGTGATAAGGTCTCCCCGCACTTTTCTGACCCGTGCACTGTGTCGACTGCCTCTTTTATTAAGCCGCCGGTAGGCTACGAGAGATAACGTGTCTTAATTTCGCCTTCTGTTGGTTGCCTTTTTGGGACAGAAACCATTCAATTCCTTTCACAACATCTTACCAATGGGGAGTGCAACAATGGCTCCAGCACGCCATTCACGTTCCTTCACCCTGTCGCAGCCTCCACTCACCAAGCGCCAAAACAAACCCCGGATCAAACGGTCAAAGACTTACACCGGCTGCTGGACATGCCGGGCACGCGGCATAAAGTGTGATGAACAAAAGCCCGAGTGTGGAAGATGCCTACGGTCGAATCTCCGCTGCGCAGGGTATCACGTGAAATTGGTCTGGGATGTTCAGGATGGCGAGGCCGAAAAGCCTGCCAAACGCCGGGCTTTCCTGACGGCCCACGATGCTAGACAACCTGTGCTCAGCGCCAGCGAGATACGCCTCGCACTCGCAGAAGCAGATGTGGCAGATGCTCGCAATCCAGTGCAGTCTGGGCCATTCACGGTTTTCTCAGCTTCAGTTAACCCAGAAACACCAAGAGCCAGCTCTGAGACGCCCGAGGAAGATGACCACAACCAAGACAATGGCGCATGCGTAGAAACATCTACCGTATGGTGTCATGACTTGGGAGAGATTGACATCCAAGCACAGGACAGGAGTGGCAGGGATGTTGACCATGCGGTTATGAAATGGATGCATGGTATTGATCATGAACACCACCACGACACCAAAGGAGTCATGACAATGGTTTCCATCAAACAAAAAGTGTTTCCTCATATTCCAGCGTATATATCAAGCGCCAGCAAAGAGGAGCGGTCCCTCTTCCACGACTGGGTTACCGTTTTGAGTGGACTTATGATGCCGACTCAATATCTGGATAATCCCTTCCGCACGATTTTTATTCCTCTAGCTTTGGCCGCACCGTCATCTTCCTCTGAATCATCGGGAAATGGAGCATTGCTCCATTCTATATATGCTATTTCGGCCTTCAATCAAGCTCAATTGTCGTCCTCGAACGAGTATTTATTTTCCCTTGGAACGAAGCATCACAGGATAGCCCTTGAACATCTACGCAGAAGCCTGATGCAGCCAGAGGAAAGCCAGACAGAGGCCATCCTAGCTACCATCATCAACATGTCATCTATTGACGTTATCAAGGGACAATCAGCGAGTTGGCGTATACATCACGCAGGTGGCTGGACTTGGCTCCAGCATATTATGGAAAACGGCGCCACTCAGAGCGCCAACGCCTCCGTACTCTGTCAAATATTTTTCTGCATTAGCACCCTTGGCCAGAGTCACCCAGAGGTCATGAGCCGACTCGAACGCCGTCAAGGTATCCAACCTAAGTTCGCTTACTCAATGCAGGTATGGGACAAGCCATATGCCTTGGATAGGCTTTTTGGAATCACTCAGCCAGTTCTCGAGGGGATCATGAGGACCAACACGCTGTCAGAGCCAGTTTGCCACGCAACACAAGAGGAGATAGAAGACCTTGACCTTTTTATCCGCCGCAACGATCCCGACGTTCTGATCTCGGATATGGAGGAGGAATACGACGACATCACCCGCCACCACACCTGCACTTTCTTCTGCGCTTCCCTTATATATTTCGAAAGGCGCTTACGCAAGACGTCGCCGCGAAAGATCCAGCGCCTGGTGCAACGGAGTCTGGACCACTTGTGTGCCATTGATGCCCTCGAGGTGGAGCAGAAGTTGGTTGTATGTGGACTTTTCTGGCCTGTCTTTGTTACGGCCTGCGAGGCTGAAAATTTTAATAACTTGCGAGCTCGGGCGCTTCAAATGTTTGACAAGGGGACGCTGCTTGGTATTGGTAACATATTGTCTGCTAGAAAGGTTGTTGAGGAGGTTTGGCGACGGAGGGATAATGACTGTGAAGGGGTGGACACTACGTGGCAGAGTGTCATGGCCGATTTGGAGCTGGACCTTATTCTTACATGATCGCTATCGATTCAAAACTCGTTTCGGGGGAGCTCAAGGTAACAGTGCCAGAGTCAATTCGGTTAACCAAGAGACACAAACATATGGGTCATATCATATGCCCTTTTATGCCTGATTCCTGACTACCTCGCACAATACCCTCCATCTACATTCACTATTGCTCCCGTCATCCAACTGGCCCCATCACCACAAAGGAATAACACAGCCTTTGCCACATCCTCGGGTGAGCCTAGGTGTGGCCAAGGGGAATTGTCATGGAGCTCCTTGTTTAGGGCCTCGTCTTCAAGTGCGGAGCGCACCATTGCCGTCTTCAGGAAACCCGGGCACACTGCGTTAACATGAATCTTTTCTGGGCCATAGTCGAGTGCTACTTGGCGGGTCAAATTGGTCACCGCACCTTTGCTGGCGCAATAAGAGGCTGAGTAAATACTTTCATCAGTGGTGTGGTCCTACATGTCAGAGGGAAGATCGGTAGGACAGGCTTACGCTCCATGGATAGGCCCAGAAGGCCGCCGATGGACGAGATGTTAACGATCCAGCCGCGATCCCCAGAAATGGCGGGTTCTTGGTTCATCATTTGGGCAATGGCATATTTCATCCCCAGGAAGGTTCCACGAGTGTTTACGGCCTTGATAATGGTCAATTAGAGCTTCTCCCCATGACCATCATGGTCATTGAAGGCAGTTAGCGTACCATCGTCTTGTCGAAGGCCTCCACAGATTCCTCTGCAATTCGGTGCTGACCGCAGAAGATGCCAGCATTGTTCACCATTCTAAAAGTTATCAGCTTCACTACTCTTTGCTCAACAGCCTGGGACTGGTGCATTTACTCACATGTCCAACCGTCCAAATTCGGCAACAGCGGCTGCCACGAGAGCCTCCACCTGCTGCGGCGAGCTGACATCGACTTCCTTGAAAATAGCCTGACCCGTCCTCTTAATCACTTCGTGCGTAGGCGCTGTGTCGGTCTCGTAGCCTCCCAAGAGCAAATCCGGAGTGAGATCGCTACAGACAACCAGCGCGCCTTCGGAGGCCAGGGCCAGCGAGATCGTTCGGCCGAGGCCGAGGATGACCCGGTGACGATTGCGACTCGGCCTTGGAGACTGGTAATTGTTAGCGACGACCATTGACTTTGCCGACGTCTGTCACGAGCCCTGATTCTGTGTGGCGTCTCATTGGGTGTATGTGTATTCTGAGTTGCATATGATCCCCGCTTTGAGTCCCTGTACATCCTTATACTGAAACCAGCTAGAAGGATATAGCTATAGCAGTCACACGCCATATACACGCCCAGCTACCCAAATACACATCGTGACAACGTCTCCTTAGCGGATGGCTAATGGGACTGGGGCGGCGGTGGGGGCGGGGAGTCTCATTCTTACTTCAAGATTCGGGACATGGTGGGTGGAATGGAGCGGAGAAAGTGAAGTGATCGGATGCAAAGGGGAGAATTCAGTGGTCAACTCTTCTAGACATAGCTTTTTGCTTCATTGCATGATGCATGTGAAATATGACCGGCAAGATTTTGTCAAAGGAATCGGACACTGTTTCGTTGTTGATTTCCTAGAAGATTGAGACTGTTTCCATTGCGCGTCGCTGTCAGTTGCCTAATATGTCCGTAGATAACCCCGCTGTTAGTTACCCGATACGATTGATCATGTACAACATCACCTGATGGCATGTCCTGAACAATAACTTATATGTCCGACTCTGCTTTACAGAAGCGTGTGCCTTGATCTGATACAAGTGTCTATTGTAACTTGAATCCTGTTCACATTGTAACCTCTGATATCACTGATCGACTTTTTACAAAAAATCACTCAGCATGCCTGCAACCTCCAAAGAGTCATCGCCGTTGGACAAGGTCGTCGTCGATAGCTTCGATGCAGCCACAGCTGCTGTCGAGGATGTGTTGGACTCCTTGAAGAGAAATGGCGGTTGCGTCATAAAGAACTTCATGAGCCTGGAAGATGTCGACCAGGTGATTTCTGACGTGCATCCGTACCTTGAGGCGGATGAGCCTTGGGAAGGCGACTTCTTCCCGAAGGAAACACGAAGTAAAAGACTTCCCAAAACCCCCTGCTGCCACATCTTTTTATCTATCCCAAGGCTGTCATGCTAACCAGACTGTAGGAGTCTTTGGCCTTGCTGCAAAGTCGCCTTTGTACATGGAGAAGATCCCGGGGAACCCATTATACAACTCCGTCTGCCAGAAGTTCCTATCCACCGAGACTACCACCTGGGTCGGCAACAAGCAAGTAACAGACATCTCCCCGCCTCAAATCAACTCGGCTGTCGTCATTTCCATTGGCCCCGGTGCCAGTGCCCAGCCTCTCCATCGCGATGACTCGTTGCATCATAATAAGAAACCACAGGTCACGCTGAAGGAGTATACAATGTCCCGCGAGACAGCTGTCGGTGTCTTTGTTGCCGGCACGAAAAGCACCAAGGCGAATGGTGCTACTAGATTCATCCCCGGCAGCCACATGGATGAGTCATTGTCCGGCCCGGGTGACGAGAACAAGGTGGTCTATGCGGAGCTGGAAAAGGGCGATGCGTTTTTCATGTTGGCATCATGTTACCATGGAGGATCGGCCAATACCACCACGGACCAGATGCGGGTTATATTTGGCATGTTCATGACCCGAGGGTACCTGCGACAGGTGAGTGCAAATCTCAAACCGACAGCGCTGAACGCGGCGGGACTAACAATGATTGTTTTCAGGAAGAGAACCAGTTCCTTGCGAACCCCATGGATAAGGTCCAGAAACTGCCGATACAGACGCAGAAGCTGCTTGGGTATTCAGTCAGCGCTCCGTTCCTAGGCTGGGTAGATCTCAAGGATCCCATTCACGTTTTAAATGGGGAGACAGGGACGTATGACTTGGATCCTGCTCTAGCAGCTGCTCCTGTACCTGAATCTTAATCCGTAAATTTGTCCTCTGCTAGAGAGCTTCTGTCAGTAGAAAATTATACATCGACGTAACCAATAGCTGACGACCGTTGTCTACTTGGGTATTGCTAGCCTGCAAGCTGACTGTATTGTTCGATGTGGTATGTTCTTGAAGATACCATCCGGTACCCACCTACTGCTAACACCCACCTACTGCTAAGCAAGAATAAAATTCTGCCATACAAAATGCGTAATTTCACTTAAACCGTATGTAGCCAATATTGGAGTTATTTACATGAAACAAGCTGCGTATTATTGAGAGTTTCACGTTGTTTCATATCATTATCATACTTTTTCCATTACGGAGGCGGTATGATTGCACATCACCTATGTAAAATTTCTGCAAATAGCTCATTCATGAGTTGGCCTCCGTGAAACTTGATGAAAGATTTTGCCTACACCAACCTTCAGCAATCGCCTCAAAATGCTCGAACGTCTTATACGGAGAGTGAAGTCATTGAAGCCATATTGGATATCACAGATAACGGCCTGTCACAGAACCGAGCCGCCCAGAAACATGGCATCCCTCAGACAACTCTTTCTGCACGACTACGAGGCCTCCCGTCTAAATCCGAAGTCATCCCAGCCTGCCCAGTTGCTATCCAAGTCTCAGGAGGCCAGATTAGTCACCTGGATACTTCGACAAGAGGCCCTGGGCTATGCTCCTTCTCACAGTCAAGTTCGCGCCACCGTAACTGCCCTCTTAAAGCAACAAGGCCAGGAAAGCGTCATCGGCGTGCATTGGATAGCCAGATTCATGAAACGTAATTCAGCCATCAAGACGAAGATAGGGAAACGCCAAGAGGCCTCAAGATTCAATTCTTTCACTGCAATGGCCGTCAATTGGTACTTTGATATCCGCGAGAGGGAGTATGGCTGGATCAAGCCTGGGAACACAGTCAATGTTGACGAGGGCGGTATCATTGCTGGATTTGGTGCTTATTTATCATCTTTGATCATAAGACTTACTGATCCATTCCAATTCTAGGCTTGGACTCCTTGGTTATTGGCAGTAGCGACCCCAAGAAGAAGGCCTTCCTCAAAGGCTCTCAGTCCCGTGCTTGGACTAGCTTCATCGAAGCTGTGACTGCAGATGGCCGTCTTCTGAAACCGGGTATCATTTTCAAAGGCAAGGAACTTCAGCAGCAATGATTTATCGAGGAGTTCAAGAAGACAGCCGACTGGCATTACATCACTTCTGAGAACGGCTGGACGCACAACCACATCGCAATTGAGTGGCTCAAGGACGTCTATCTGCCACAAACGCAGCCAGAAGATGAGTCTGATGCTAGGCTTATCATCTTGGATGGCCATGAGAGTCACGTATCTGTGAGCATGTCACTGGTCTGAACCATAAATCTCGCTAACTTGGAAGCAGGATGAGTGGATGGCTACCTGTTTTTTAAGCAACGTGTATTGTTGTTACCTGCTAGCTCATTGCTCCCATGGTCTCCAGCCACTAGACAATGGTATTTTCAATGCTTCCAAGGCTGCTTATCGCAGGGAGCTCCAAAAGCTAGCAACCCTAACTGATTCCGCACCGGTGGACAAGGTCAACTTCATTAAGGCCTATGCTAAAAGCCAGGGAAGTGAATATTACCAAGAAGAATATACTCGCTGGATGGAGAGTGACTGGAAATTGGCCAATATCACGACGGAAAACCCTCATGCATCCAGAGATTCAGCCAGACAAGAAGGAAACTACACCTGAACCAGACGGTCTGAGAGATGTGCAACTCAACTCTGATGATACACCAAAAACCAGCCGACACATCAGAGACTTGGGAAAAAAACAAGACCCCTTCAACTAGAAGACGGTATTCTGTGATATCTAAAGGGTTTGAAGTCCAGGAGTCAAAGATAGTCTCCCTGACGGCAAGAAGAGCCAGTCTGGAGGAGGAAGTTGGCCGGTTGAGCAGAGGCAAGAATCCTAACAAGAAGTTCATGACACCAGCCGAAGCTCTAGCGGCTGGTGAAACTATTTCCGAGCCAATTCAGGCCACTGAAGTGTCGGAGACTATTGAGGATGTGATCGAGGTGGGACGGCTTGAAGAGGAAGAAAGTTCAAATTCAGGGGCGGAAGAATTACCTGTTGTACGCACCCGCACAGGTCGTGAGGTTAAAAGACCGAGAAAATATTAAGATTCATTCAATCCTAAGCCGAATTCCAACAATGATTTTACTTTCATTATTTTTGGTGATTTCTTCCCGTGAAGTTGAAAAAATAGATTTTGTATGGGGAAATTTTATTTTTGCTTACCGGCTGGTGGGTGTTACCGGTAGGTGGGTACTGGATGGTAATAAAATAAAACAAGCACAACACCTTAAATCAATTAAAATCAATTGCTATCCTCTTCTCTCTACGAGAGCTTCACATGGAATGGATGGAATATAAATCCACGAGCTGATCGGGTTCGTGGAATGGAGCGAGGATCCACTCAGTGGATCCACGCTTGGATTGAGTGGAGTGGTTTGCAACCCTGGTGAGAGGCAACTCTTTCCAAGCTTCTACCTCTACTCGATACTAACGAGCTAGGTACTGTTTGAAGCTGGAGATTTAAAGGCCTTGGTGATGGATTGATGGAGAAGGCAGCCACGGGTTGCGAATCAGGAGGCGATGCACTTTGGGGGATGCAGTTTAGGGGATGCGGCTCAGAGGACGCACTTTTCGGGACCAAATCTGACGCGACACTGTGAAGTCACACTGTACGGAGGGATTGCTGCTGCAGGTAATTAGTTTCTTATTCATAATCAGCCCGTCCGCGTTTGCGCCTTTACTGCGTCGTCAACCGTAATGGTTAGCGCATATTCGTTGGCTTTCCGACCCCTACTTTCCTAATATGAGAACTCGTTGCTGGCGCCGCTATAAGCGCAAGCAGATCAGTTTAGTCCCAGATGCGTTCTCACAGGGCACAAGTCCTTATCAGAACTTAGAACGCCTTCGACATGCCGGCAATAACGCCCTCCCTCCAGTACCATAAACCTGCGTACGTCGCCGCCGGCCCAACAACAACTTGCGCGGCCAGAGCCGTCGCCCCGGCCACCAAGACCGTCCGAGTTGACACGTACCCCAGACGACGCAGCTCGTATACGCTGTAAAAGCACCAGATGACCACGGTAACAAGGTACAGAAACATGTCCCACTTCCAAAACTTGATGATGTCGTCTCCGAAGTCAAAGGACGCAAAGGTCAGATGACTGAAGATGGCCTTGGACAGGGACACCGTGGGGCTGTTGTAGGCGTACACAAGGGTGCAGATGTGCGTGATGGCGCAGGTGAAGAACGTGAACGCGTAGCCAGCTTGGAGATAAGGCAGGTCCTTGTTCTCGAACAACTCCCAGTCCAAGGACTTAGTGGGCGCCACTTGCTGGAAAATGCGGTAAGAGGTCCACGTTAGCACGGGGACGTACAGAGTAGATGCCTGCCAGAACGCGATGGCGTTTTGCTGAGCAACGCTGTCGCCGTATTGGATGAGCATGAGAGCGGTGGGGAGAACATATCCAATGCATAGAGCAGGAAGCAAAGCCTTGGCAACCAAGGAGGGAATCGGCCGGCCCGTAGGGCGGGTGTAGATTGACCCGCTAGATGTCCATAAGGTGATAAGGAAGTATAGCGGCGCGATTTTGCCGATGCCGACTAGCTGGGCGATGGTGAAGACGGAGGGCCAGGACACGGGAGATCTGGTGTTACCGTTGCGGTAAGCTTCGAGTGTCCAGATGTAGACGGCGGGAAGCATGCTGACTATGAAGTAGACGCATTGAAGCCTTGTGTTTGGATCAGGGCCAGTAATACTTTGAGAGAAGCCCCAAACGAGACCCGAGAGCCTAGCGTCGACTTGAGGAATGCCGGTGAAAGTTTTTTTTAGTGTGTCACCCAAGAAAGTGATCTTGGACGGTCTCGGTCCTGTCGAAAGCGCCAGAGTTTTTTCTGCAGTGTAGATAATACCACAGAGAACGGCTGCCAGAACAAGCCTGAGCAGCCCAGGTGAGTCCTGTCGAGGGCCGGGGAGTTCATCGTGGTAGGGGATAAAGTGTCTCTTCTTCGGGACGTCCAGGATGTCCAATTTATGGCCGCCCTCAATTCTTGCGCCGGATCTGTGCAGCTTGTCGTCGATAGTCCCGCCAGGTATGATATACCTGGCAATAAACTCTGCCATAGGACTCTCCAGGGCGGCGAAACGTTGGTCTTCATGAGAAGCTCTGACAAGCTGCGAGACGCGCGGCTCGCGCTTCTCCTGCGTCTCGGCAAACGCGGCATTGATCTCGGCCGTTGTGACACCGGACGGGTGTGCTTTCAGAAGGAGTACCAGGTTGTTAACGAGGACGGCGGCCGTTTCGATAGCGCTGTTGCCGCCTTGTCCGGCAATGGGCTCAAGCTGGTATGTGTTAGATCAGCTGAGCACGGCTTAAGTTCGACATATAGGGGTATAGGGACTATTTACCTTATGCGCTGCGTCTCCGATTGTCATAATGCGGTTAAAATGCCATTTCTTAAACACGTATTCGGGTAGTGCGGTCAGAACAGAGGTGACCTTCTTAGAGTAGAGGTCTTGGAACGTCGTTAACTCGGCGATTCTGTCGTTCCGGTGCTCATTAACCAGTGCTTCTTCGTCTTGTTTCGTGAATCGCGGGGGCTCTTTGCCACGGTACGTTTGGCCCATGTTGACGAGTAGAAACCAGTAAACTCGGTCATTGGGACCACCAATGATCAGATACGAAAAGTTCTTGTTCAGATTGGTCTGGATTGCCGTGTGGTCCCAGTCCTTCATAACGGAAATACCGAAGATACACTTGTAGACCGTAGGGAGACATTCTAGATAGTTCTTTAGTTATTTAGTTAAGGTTTACGTTTCTTAGGCTTACTGACCTGTATGTTCTGAAGCGGGAATGTAGCCAGGTTTCATAGCGTCTGCGAGCCGCCACATCTCGCTTCTAACTTTGCTGTGAACGCCGTCTGCGCCGACTAAGATGTCGCCTGAGAAGAATTGGCCGTCGCTTGTTTCTACCGTGACTCCTGATCGTTCAAGCGATACGCGAGTGACCTTTTTGCTGACGTGAACCTTATCCTTATTCTTTAGGTTACGCCACAATGCCTGGAGAACCATTTGGCGATCCACGAAAATAACGTCGTATCCGTATCTATGGGAGGCGTCAGAAAGCTGCTACACATGACATAGCCACTGTGTCAAACTCACCGATCTTTGTTTTGATCCCCATAGCCGCGGTACTTCGACAAGACCTTCCCACTAGAATCGCGAAGAAGCGATGTGAGAAGAGGTTGCTCAATCCGGCTCCTGATATCGTCGTAGAGTCCGATCTGATCCAGAACGCGACTGCCGTTCGGCATGATACCAATGCTTGCCCCGACTTGGGGTGCGATTTCCCGGTATGCTTCAAGGATGATGAAGTCGATGCCAACCCTCTCAAGAAGGTTGGCTAATGTCAAGCCGGCTATGCCACCACCAGTGATGAGGACAGTGAAGTTCTTGGGTGCCATTATGAAATGATTAGCGTTCAATGGGGTGAGATATCGTTGAGGAAGTAGTTGAAGATGATGCGGGCTATAGGATGTTGAGGATTGCAAGTGATAGTTGGAAACCTCGACTTGTTATATATCTTTCGTGTTGCAAGAGCTAGTGGGGCGACACTTGAATAAGTGGCATACTACACAGGGCCGGAACGGTCGGCGATGCGGTGCGGACGGCGTTACCGAGCTCTCCGCTCTATCCGGAACAGCTGGATTTTGTTGAGGTGTTACATGTAAATATCCATCTTGGTTTTGCAAACCGCGCAACAGCTTGAACTACTGCCCGCGTAGGAGCGAGATGCGCTTGGTCCAGTGCCGAAAGGAGGGCTGGACTTTGCCAATACCGCGGGATAGATTCCGCGATGCGGAATGTCCGAGGAGCCTCACGAGTGACGTCTTCTTGTCGGACACGTGACCTAGTCAAAGAGGGGTCTCGGCCCGAGTTGCTGTGCGATACAACACAGGGATATTGATGATATTGAGGGGCCAAATAGGCTATTGCAATTGATGATAGTTACGGCGTTATATCTGCCGTTATGACTGCTATCGTGATGATCTTGATGATGATGTCTTGGTCCTTTTTTGGTCTCAAGGCTGCTGTCACGAGCCCTGATTCTGTGAGGCGACTCATTGGATGTGTGTATATTCTGAGTTGCATATGATCCCCGCTCTGAGTCCCTGTACATCCTGATAGATCCGTTACGGTCAATTCAATTTTGATAGATAGGGATCAATACAGTGATGATGATGTTGATTATTGCTTGTGCCGGTCATCCGGATCGGCCGGAAGAGGGGTTTTCATACCCCCCTTCTGACTAAGGTCAGGATATCAATCTATCCGAGGTTTCGTCATACAGGGTCATCATCCAACACATCCTTATACTGAAACCAGCTAGAAGGATATAGCTATTGTCGGATCCGTTACGGTCAATTCGATCGATCAAATAGGGATTAATGCAGTGATGATGATGTTGATTGTTGCTTGATCTGGTCATCCGGATCGGCCGGAAGAGGGGTTATCATACCGGGACCCAATAGAGCCACGGGTCCGTACACTCACGGGTCCTCTATTAGTCAGCATAACCCTAACCCTCTGCCTTGCTGCCTTTTCCGTCTCCCTTCTGCTTCACCGCCTGATACTTCATCATATCTATCCTTACTTACTACTATTAACAAAATGAACTCTCTTCCTCCTCAACAGTGGTATTCATCACAAGAAGATCTTATTCTAGATCTCAATATCTGGGCAGCAATCGGAGGCTATAAATTTATAACCAGAAGATCAACTACAGAAAGGTCTGGTCGACTTACGGTTACCTACGCATGCAATCGATTTCGCACTGGCTGCCAATTTTCAATAGTAGCCAAGGAAGAATGGAGTGGAAATTGGCTTCTTAAACATCGAACCGAAGCTCGATTTTGTCAACACAATCATGAGCCCCAAGGCAAACCACAAGACAAGCGACAAGACGAACCACAAGACGAACCACAAGACGAGCCTCAAGCCAGGCCGCAAAACAAGCGACAAGACAAGGGGCAAGATGAGCCACAAGATGAGCCGCAAGATAAGCCAGCAAAAAGACTACCTACATGTAGCAAATGTCATATAGTAGGCCATAGAAGAGGTGCAAAATCTTGCCCATTAAAATACAGAAGCAGCCCTTGATAGTTGTGATGGAGTGGTTATAGGCGGTCAGCGGTGAGGCGAGAATATTACAGTGGGTGTTGCTGACTAAGCGTAGGGACCCGTGGCTGTACGGACCCGTGGCTCTATTGGGTCCCTTATCATACCCCCCTTCTGACTAAGGTCAGGATATCAATCTATCAGAGGTTTCGTAATACAGGGTCTCAATCCAACACACCCCCCCAGCTGAAGCCGGGTCGGCTGAAGCTGTGATCTTCATCTCTCTAGATCTTCCTCCCTTATCTCTTCCAGCTTCCTTTGCTCTAGCCGGTCTGAGATATCGACCATACCTAGCTGCTGGACTGATCTTTGAAAGGCCGGGCCGGTAAGGGTTTTCGTGAGGCCATCAGCGATCATTTCCTCCGTACGGATATAGTCCACCTGGATCCTGTTCCTCTGAGCTTCCTGCCTCAACCAATGATTGTGAATATCAACATGCCGCAGCCTTGTCTGCAGCTTATTGATGTCGTTGTGGATAAGCCGGATCGTCTGCTGGTTGTCACATCGAATGTTGATTTTTTCGTCTTCCAGCTGGATCCCTAGCTCCCTGACCAGCCGGGAAATAAACATAGCCTCCCTAGCTGCTTGAGATAGGGCTAGAAGCTCGGCCTCTGTTGTTGACGTCGTAACCGTAGCCTGCTTGTTGGCCCTCCATCCGATCGTTCCTCCAAATAGTCTCATGACGTAGGCTTGGGAGCTTTTCCGGTCAGGGTTATCTGCGTAGGATGCATCGCTGGCCATCAGGAACTGATCGTCTTGGCCGAATTGAAGGGCTAGGCTGCTGGTCTTCTTGAGATACAGCAGGACCCGGTCTGCAGCGCGATGATGATCCGGTCCTGGGTTCGAATTGTGTCTAGCTAGCTGAGAGACCGCAAAAGCTGCATCTGGCCGGGTCATAACAACTGCATAGAGAATCGATCCGACTTTTCGTTGGTATCGTCGGATTGACGGGATCGGGGCCCGTTGCTCGTACGGATGAAGGTCTTCCCTTTTCATCGGGGTCTCATGACGTTGATCTAGATCATCCACAAGGTCAGCGATTTTAGCTAAATACGAGGATTGGGACAACCAGATCAGTCTTTGGTCTCGGTCTCGGATAACCTCGATCCCTAGGAACCACTGAAGGTCCTGCCCACCGGTTAGGTCATAACGGCCCTTGAGGGCGGCAACAGCCTCCTGAACTTCCTGACGTTTTTCCTTCCGGCAGGCAAAGACGATATCGTCAACATAGAAAAAGACGATGATCCCGCCCTTTGTCATACAGCAGGGCTCGTGCCGGACTGTCTTGAAGCCAAGGTCTTCCAGTGTGGCTGTGAGTTCCTTCTGCCAAAGGAGAGGGGATTCCCGTAGACCATAGAGGGCTTTCTGGATCAGTAGGGACTTTCCGTCTGATCTGTATCCAGGCGGCATTCTCATCAGGACTTGATGGTCTAGCTCGGCGTTGACGAAGGCGTTGACTGCATCATACTGTATGAGATCCAGGTCAAATCGGGCTGCTATTGCTATTAGGGTCCGGAAGGACCTTCCAGCTAGCGTTGCAGCGTAGGTCTCTTCGTCTAGCCCTTTCGGCTGTTGGTCTCCTCGAACAACTAGCCGGGCCTTGCACTTGATGAATCGACCATGCTTATCTAGCTTGTAGACGTAAACCCACATACAATCGAGGGTCTGTTTCCCTAGGGTTCTAGGGTCATTTGAATCTATCTCGATCCATGACTCCATTTCCCTATGACTTTGCAAGTGGTCTCGTTCAGCCTGTTCAAATTGGACCCCCATCGGATGATCCCTTAGATCCCGATGGTGCCGCGGCAGCTGTGGCAGCTGACTTTGATGAACAGACCTAGGTTTCCTCAACAGCCGTTGCAGCTTAGCCTTGTCAATGACCTTCCCGTTGAGGGTGCCGACTGGGCTAGCTAATCTTCCGGCGTTAAAGGCAGCTTTCCAGATATCGGACCTTTCAACCCTAGAGACCCTAGGGTCCCTAAGATCTAGCTTACCGTCAGATGGATCACCGGCATCCTGGATCGTCAACGCTAGAAGTGCTACTGGCAGCAGAGATACAGGAGTTGGGTAGGGTCCTTCATAAGGGCTAGGGGCTCCGGATTGACTGCCTGCTAAGGCTTCATATCCTTCCCCTAGCTTTCCTTGAGACCCTTCCTCAACCGAATGCACAACAGTACCAGCTGGTTGATCAGACCTAGCCTCTGATAGAGTCATCCCTATATCTATGTTTCCTGGCCCATCTACAGACGGAATAGAATAGATATCATCAACCTGATCCCTCGGGCCTAGGTCATCAACCTGATCCCTTGGGCCTAGGTCATCAACATCGTCCTGATCCTCGTCGTAGACAACACCCTGATCCTCATAGTGGGTTTGATCCCACCTAGAGGTCAGACTGCTAGCTGTTTCATCTGGTGACTGATCCGGACTAGCCTCTTCCACCTGGTTGAGTAGCCGGTCTAATTCCTCTCTGCTGATGTGGAGTAAATCATCTTGCAGCTGATTGATCTCTCCGTTAAATTGGTCGTCTTCGTTGAAAATGACATCTCTAGTAGAGATGACTTTCCCGGTAGCCGGGTTCCAGATCCGATAGATATTAGTTGACTGGTATCCCACAAGGTAGCCGATCCAGGCACGGGGATTTAGCCGCTGTCGCTTATTTCTGCCCTTTAGGGCGTCTTGGGTCAAGGCAAACGCCTTAGATCCATAGGCCCGTAGGTGACCAAGATAAGGGACCTTGCTTTCCTGACCGTGACCGTCTCGTTGGGCAATTGCTGTGTGGAACCGGCTGTATGGGGTCTCCCAGTTGCTGACCTTCCTAGGGGTCCGGTTGTAGAGATAAACAGCAGATCGATAGATCTCAACCCAAAGGAAGGAGGGAAATCGAGCTCCGGACCGTAGGGCTCTTGCCTTGGTCTTGATGACCTTGCCGGATAGCTCGGCGCCGCCATTCTGGGCAGGTGTGTCTGCAGCTGTTGACTCCACAATCATACTCATCCTGGTAAAGAGACGATATACCAGCCGGGGCCGGTATTCGGACTTTCCTAGGATCTCTCTATCGCACTCAACTACCCGGGGCTTCAGCTGATACTGACGGACTAGGTAGGCTAGGAAGTCCTTAATGATGTCAACTAGGTCCTTATGCTGCCGAGTCTTAAGGTAGAAGTCCCAGATATAGCCGGAATAGCGGTCTGTTATTAATAACAGACTGACCCTTCCTTCGGGATCCTCTTCCAGGTCATGGAAGTCAAGTGCTAGTCTCAGGCCGGGTCCGGCTGGAAGGTCC